GTGAGAAAAGTAAATCTATTAATTTAAAAAGGTGAATGTTTAAAAGAATTAAACAAATATGAGGATGCTATTATTTGGTTGGACAAAGCTATTGCTATTGATCCTAAAGATTTTCTTACCTTAAGTTTAAAAGGTAAATTAAATTATTCTAAAATAATAGGAGATTGTTTAAGATCATTAAAAAAATATAAAGAGTCTATATATTATCTCGATTTGGCACTCTCTATCAACCCTTAAAACTCTTTTTCTCTATCATGCAAAGGTATCTTATTAATTATTATTATAAGGAAATTGTTTATAAGATCAATAACAATATTAATAAGCTTTAATATATTATGAAAAGTCATTGAAAATAAATCCAGATCATCAATGGACAAAAAACTAAAAGGGTATTTTAATTTTTTTATTTAAGTTTATTGCGAAAAGAAATTGATACTTTGAGTTTTATTATGAAAACTTTGATATCTGTAATTTTATGATTAAGTAAATTATAAATAATTATGTTATGAAATAACTTTAATAACTTTTTAATAATGTTCTATAAAAAGATTCATTAATTAAAAATTTATCTATACTTAAAATAATAAATGTGATGAGAATAATCTAAAAGAATTTAAAGATAAAAATAGTTGTAGTATTTTTAATCATTTTTACCTTTTATATGGAAAAGTATTCTCAAAGATTTTGGATGAAGAATTATAAATTAATTAATTTACTATGAAAAATATATTCATAAATGTGAATGAGACTTGAATAGAATGAACAAAAATTGTAAGTTTGAATTTACTAATATATTTTTAGATACAGAGATCGAAAATAATAAATTTAACCAAAAATACGATGAATTCCTTATCAATATTATTTCAATAAAGTTAATATTTTTAAATTATAGTTGATCTACCCTTTACTTATATTTATTCATTAGAATAAACATCATATCATTTTTCATTGAGTTAATCAATGTCTAATATATTTATTTCTCTTTTATGATATAGATAAGTTTGATATATGTTTATAATTATAATCAATCATTTATATTTGATCATTCACTATTATGTTAACTTCTATTTACTATTATGGATTACATCATCCTATAATATTATTTTGCATTAGTCAACCTGAACTATTCATTTTTGTATAATACAATCTCTCTTTTCTTATCATTCAGATACTTATTTATGTATACTATACTAATCTAATAATGACTGTTGTATTAACTGTGGATTATATAATCTATACTTCAAAACTTTATGTATGATTTTGAGTGCTATTTAAATAAATAATAATAAATCATTTTCTTAGATTTTCATTTATATATACATATCAAATTTTTTATTCTACTTTTATTTTTCTAACATTTTCACTCAATATATTTGATATCAATTTTTAATAAAAATTAAATGGATCAGTCCAATTCAAACTAAAAATTAATTTATTATTAAAAGTAACTTAAGAAAAATTGTATACACGGAACTTACTTTAATCTGAATTCGATAAATCATATTACAGAAATGGCTCACTTTTAAAGAAAAAAAAGCATAAGGAAAAATAATAAGAATTATAAACTTAGAATCTCTGATAAAAACAAAATTTTTCATGCGACATATACATCATAATCCTTAAAATAAAAACTATAAAAAATATTATAAAGATTTTCATCATTTAAAGTTTAATCATTTTATTATTAATAAAATAACATATTAAGTCATATATTTCGAATATTTGATTCGAAATATAACTCTTGTGAACCCATAGAAAAATAATTAAAATATCAGGAATTAATTCAATATTAATTAAAAGTAATTTGTCTAATAATTAAACTAATGATTTTTACTTAAAATAATTTTGAAATTTGTTTGTCTCCTCTTTTTTTATTTCTCAAATTTATAACTAAATCTTAATATCTCTAAACTAATTCCTTTAATCAACAGATTGAACACATTTAATGAATATTATTAAAATGTTTTCTGATTATAATTTTTAAATGACTAAATCAGCCAATTTAGTATGTTTTTAATTGAAAAACTAATTTGATCCTATTTAATCTAAATATGATTTGCAACTATTCACTCAATAATAAGTTTCTTATTATTTTTGTTAAACTTAAAAATTATGAGGCTTATCGCTGTCAAAACTGTAATATAAATAATATCTATTCAAGATCTTTAAGTGGTTCAATTTTATAAGCTTAATTTTAAATTAAGTGTTTGATAACTTTGATTTTTAAAAGGACTAGTATAAGTGCACATTATTTTGTTTTTCTCAAAATGCTTGAACATCGATAAATTAATTTGATTAAAAATATCACTATTTTTTATAATTGGTCATCTCTTTGGGTTTAAGTATTTATTTTTGATTCGCTATCTAGATTTATCAAGATAAATAATTTTCTCTTAAACATTTAATTACAGAAAAAAAAAATCCTAATTATTTTACTAAGTTTTAAATATAAGAGAGAAGAATATTGATCAATTAAACAAAATTAATTAAAATCTAAACAGAATAATTTTCATAAAAATTGTTTATATTTTAATAAAAATTAATAAGAGTAGATTATTAATGAAAATACAAGAACTTAATGATTGGTGAGAGTTAATATTAAATTTTAAAATATAATAATAAATAAATATTAGATATTTGGAATTAATATGTACTTGATGTTCAAGCTTGATATTTATCTAAATATTTGTGATAAGTCTTAGAAATCATCTCTGACCAGTTAAAACTTAAGTCTGATGGATGTACATTATCTCTCAATTTTGCTTTAGCAAATTCTTATTCACCAAATTAAATGATCTAAAACAAAGATTGTTGAATTGTATTTTAAGAACAAGCTAACAAATAAATAGTATTTTTAATCCATTTAGGCATTAAACGAAACTAATTAATTTCCTATTCAGGATAATCTGCTATCCCATCTGTGTAAAATAAAATAATAGAACTAAATATAAATTTATATTAATACGAAGTAAATTCTGAATTAGATGATATTAAGTCAAAAGCCAATTTAAATGGAGGTCCAAACTTTGTATCACTACCATTCTAAAATTGAAGTAATTTTAACTATTCTTGAATTTTAAGTTCTTCACAATTAATAACAATTCTTGCATCTTTATTAAATATTATTACACTTATTTTTGCATCACTTTTCTTACTTATTACTTTGAATTAATCTGAAACGCTTTAAATTAAAAAATTCCAACTATTGATCATAGATCCAGAATCATCAAGTATGAAAATATAGTGAGTTGAGTTTATTTGCATATTCATTGGATGATCATGCTTTTATTTAAAAAGTATTTCCTCATTTAAATCTTCCTATAGTTGTTTACAAATATATTAACCAACTCCTCCATTCCAAATTTATCTCATCTTTAATAAATTTTGTTCAAGCGTCTATGATTAAAAAATATCCTTGAAACTCCAATCTCTGTAATATTATTTTATTTTATTCCATGTTTCAAATTTACGAGTTTCTTTTATTTAAATTTCTGCTTCATCAAGTATTTCTTCACAAGTATATGTAGATGGGGATGATCCAATCAATACTTTATTCATTCCTTTAAAATATATCAATATATTATACCTCTTAATTGATGGCCATTTTAACATTTATGTATATGATTTATATCTTAATAATCTTCATTATCACATTTTCTATTACACATAGGACATAATTAATCACAACCATTCATTATATTTTTCATCTCTTCAAATTTATCTTCTACTTCAAATCTATCAATTTATGTTTCAAGTGTTTTACTATTTTCATAAAAAATATCAATTTAAGATATAAATCCTTCCAAAAAATCATTCAACAAATATATGGAAATTTCATCACCATCAGAAATTTGTGGTTGTTTATCTATAATCAATTTTTAAAGGTTATTATCAAATTACAATATATTTTCTTAATTATCAATCTTTTCAACATCATTCCCTAAAATGAATTGCATTACCTATCTTTATGTATATTTGACATTCTTTTAATCTTCGTCAAGACCATAAAAATATTCATCTTTTTACAATTTCTATTTTTAATATAAATTTTAAATTCTATCTTTTAAAATTATTGCATTATTTTTTAATTTGTTCAAACATTCTTAAATATGTATTTACTCACTAAATTCTATCTAAATTAGTTTCTTTACTTTTAAAATTTATTATTGAGTGTATTTTTCAATAATTCCTTTTTAATCTAAAATGTAACTACATATTGTATTTTCAATATTTTACCCAGAGATAATATCATGTCTTTTATCTATTAATATTAATTAATCTAACTCTTTGATTACTTCATTAGATGTTATTTTATTTTTATTTATTATGTTCTCAACATTATTTAAATTTTATATGAAAAATTACCTTCTAAAAATTTCATTCAATTTTTATGCCAGTTCTTTTGCTTGTTGTTTACTTTCCTCCTAAACCTTTTATAAAATACCATTTTCATATTTTATTTAAAATTTTTCTTTTTTTTCTAACAATTCCTTTTATTCTAAATCATACATTTTTAATTTATCGTAGCATAAAAATCTCCAAATAATAAATAACTATAAACTCTGCATTTTTCGAAAAAGTCCTTAAGAAAATTACACTCCAAAGAAAGCTAATTATTTATTAGTTGTTAATATTATGTTCTCAACTTTTTACATCATTCCTTTTATTAATTAGCAATTATATTTTGTCATACTTTCGTTCAGATTTACATCGATGATTTATTTAAAACATTATTCCTCTTATTATGGTTTTTAATTTTATATAGTATCATAAATTTTTTAACATAGCTTTTCCCAACCTTTATTCTCTTACATGATTTACAACATTAATTCAAAAACTTATTTATTCTAAAATTAAGGTTAATTACGTTATGCTATTTAACTAGAGATGATATGTTAAAAAAATTCATCAAATTACTTTTTATTCTCTTTATTATAAATAATTGACTTATTTTCCTTAAGGATGAGATATTATTTCTTCTGATTATCTTCAATTTTTGATGTTTTTTTAATCTATATTTTTGGAAATATATTTTAGAATTGTCTTAAAGTAAAATCATCAATATCTTAAGATCCTTATTATTTAATTTTGACTGAATTTATAAGATCATCAATCAAACTAGGCTTTTCTATCATTTGGGTTTTTTTGTAATTAACTTCAGGTTTAAAAGCAATTAATGTCGAATTCTTTTAAAAAACTGGTTAATTTGCTGTATTGAATTTTTGATGAACTTAATTGATACTAACATTATTTTTTTGTTTTTAAATTTGTTATTGTTCTTCACTATTTTGAACCTTTCTTTATTATTTTGAAGATTCACTTGATGATGCAATTTTAACAGATTAAGCTGTTTTTTCTTTTTACTCTAACTTTGGGAATTACTTACTCTCTGTTTTTTAGAATAATTAATTTTTGAGATCTTAAAAATTACTCATCATTAAAGAATTCAATTCTTATAATTTTAGCTAATTAAATTCTATTGGTAATTTTTACAATAATTTAAATAAATTAGTGATAATTTATTTTTTTTATTCATCTTTATTATCTTCTTTTATGATTTTAATTAATTCCTATTTTAAATTAGCTTTTATTTCTCTCACAATATTTTCCATTTCTAAATAATTATAAGTAATTTCTTTTTTCAAGTATTTCCATGGATCTATAATAGGATCAATAAGAGGCAAATTATCAAGTCTTTTCCAAATATCTAAATAAAAAATTTGTTAAAGTTCATGCTTACTCTACTTGTTTATAATATTAAAAGCACAATATTCAAAATCTTTTGAAAATTGTTGACAAATTAGATTGCTCTCTTCCTTATTCTTATTCGGATCTTAATTATTTATTTTCTTTAGAAAATACTCTGTTTTTTCATCCAAATTATTAAATTCATAAATTTAATCTTTTTTGTAGTTCTTAAAACAATCAAATAATTGTTTTGAAAATTCTATATGAATGTTTTCAATTTCTTTGTTAGATTAATCTACTATTTCTTCAAAAATTTCTTTAAAAGATTCATTCCTCTTATCTTAATTTTTTTACTATATTTCTAATTAATTTTGATTCTTTAATATTTCAGCAATTTTTTGAGAAATCTTAGTTGGAAATTGACGATATTAAAATTTTCTCTTTTCTTAATGAATTTTTTACAATAGTAGCAAAGATCTATCTAAAATTTATGCTTTATATATTTCCTTGACAGTTTCTTCAACTTTTTTTCGAGTTTCAGATGAAATTATTGAAGCATAATTATCCTTTAATTCGCTTAAAATTTTTTCTTCAGCTTAGTTTATTTAAATGCAAATAAGGTCTTAAATTTCTTTTTAAATTAAATTATAATCATCTAAGGTATTTACATCCTTACTTTTCTCGTTTAAGAATGCTAAATTATTTAAAAATTTTTCGTTAACTTTGTTAATTTTTGTTAATGCAATACTCTTTATTTTTTGATAATCTCTTTATTCTTTTAAATCAGAAAATTCCACTAAATCAGGCAATTTAGTAACTAATTCCCAGTTTTCTTCTGCTTTAGTAATTAATGCATCCCAAGTTAAAATTTGTGGGGAATCCTAATATCTTTATTTCAATTTTCCAATGAACTGTTGGATAATTTTCAAACCAAATTTTAAGGCATTTTTTGAATAATCACTCTCATTAATTTCATATTTAATTTCTTAAATTTAGGATAAATTAGAGTTGTTATATTCTTGAAACTAATATTTTAACCATTCTTTTGGAACTTGTGCCATACCTAAAATATTTATTTCATCCTTTGTAATTTCTAAATATTTAGTAAAATCAAATTATTTAATTATAGGATGTTAATCATCAGAAATCTATTAGTCTTAGCCTTGATCAATTTATAAGCAAGATTCATCCATTGTACTTTCTTCATATTTTAATTATACTCCAATTGTTTCAATTTATTTGATTAATTTATATTTTTCATCTTCGTTTATCTAACTGTTTTAATTAAAACACCAAGCAAATTATTTTAAAAAATTTTATTAAAAAAATTTTTCAATAGTATAAACACTTGCTTCTATTAATTTATGAAATGAAGCATGAATTTCCCCTTTAACATTGAATATAATAATATCACTAATCGACAATATGAAAAGAGAAATTTTTTTATCGAATTCAGGATCTTATTATTTAGGATTTTATAACCCTTCTGAATCTAATAATAAAATATAATCAAATAAACCTTCTCCAAATTATTATTTATTTGATATTTTTAATAATTATAGGAATAAACCTTTTGTACATCTCCCTACACTAGTTAAAAAATGACATCCGAAAATTCTATTTAATAAAGTTGATTTTCCTGAACTTTAAGGTCCTAAAACACTCAATATTAGAATTTTATCTTTTTGGTCTAATAATTATTCTCTTAATTAATGAAAAAAATTAGAGTCTATGCTAAGATCATCCCCACTTAAAAATTCAAAAGGCTCACCTTTTTTAATCAACTTAGAGACTATATCTATTGGATTAACAGAAAAAGAACTATTACTATTTATTATTTCTCTCCAAAATAATTCTATACTTATATTTTAAACTATAAATTTTTCTTCAAAGTCTTTCAATTACTTTTCTAAAATTTGATCATTTTATTGTTGTTTTGCTTAACCGCATTATTTCTTTATTTACTCTATCTACATTCCTAAATTTTTAATGTTTCTTTAATTAAATTTTCCAATTTGTTCAACAAATCTTAAGTAGATTATATAAAAATTATTGCTCTAAAATACCTAACTAAATAACTTTATTAATTTTGATTATTCTAAATCCTGAGGTTTTTTAATTTTTTCTTCTATTTGCCTGATCTCTTAATCTATTTTTTTTAATTCTTCTTTAGTCTTAAAAATTTTTTTTTCAATCTCTACTTTTTCCTATTCTTTTTATTTTCCTTTTTACTATTATTCAATATTATATGCTGTTTTCCTTCCGTATTTAATTTAGTTTATTTTATTTTCCTATTCTTATTCAAATTAACATTTTTTTTGATAAAAATTTTATTTTTACTTTTTTAATTTTTGCATTTGCCACGCTAAATGTCTTAATGGAAATGCCTCGCTTGAATAAAATCCATCAGGATTCTATATATTTTTATTTAATTCAGTTTCTAATTCTTATAAAATCCTTTCAGCTCTTTCGATTTCATCATCTTTTGTTTTAAAGGCTTAACAAATTTTTAAAAAAGAATTTTTTAATTTTCCCTCATTTACTGTTTCATTTTAATTGTCAATTGTTTTTAAAATAAAATCTTTTATTTTTTATCTTTCATCAATTTATTAGGCCATATCATCTAATTTTAATAAATTTGGAATACGATAAGTTTTGAAATCAAAATCTTTTTTTTATAAGTTATTTATTTTATCCTTATTTAATTCCTTATTCATTGAGTCTCGAATAATTAGAACAATCTTAGTCTATGATAATGTTGATTTATCAAATAATTCGATTAATTTATTTACATTTTCTTCATATTCATCTTCTGTTTACATTTAAATTATCCAAAGATTGAAAAAAGGAAGTAAATTTTTTAATATTTCATCCTCTAATTTTCCATGTACATCAGTGATTAAATAATTTCGAGTTCCATTAAAGGAAAAATCAAACTAACAATCTACAGAATTATTGTTAATTAAAGATGAATCACAAACCTCGAATTTTCGTATTTTATATTCAGTAGAATTATTATAAAAGAGCATATTAATCAACTCTGTTTTTCCAAACTAATGTTATTTTTTACTTAATGAAAAATTGATTATTGTAAAATCGTTTGATAAAAGGTAAAATATATTTGAATTTAATACATAAAAGTCTAGGTTTGAATTTATATTTTCTAATAATGGATTTTAATACAGTAGGGGAACAGGATAATGCTTGGAATGTAATTTTAACAGCATCACCTAAAGTTCTTTATCTGAATTATTGTAAAGTAATTAAAACAGCGATTTAATGTTTAAAGTTTCAAATTTCTTGTTTCTTTAATTATTAATCACTTTATTATTTATCAATCCTAATAAATGTTCTGCTGATTCTCCTCTCTTAATAATATTAAAATAATAAGGAAGCAAATTTTTAAAAGTTTTTTCATCACTTTTATTTTCTAACCATTCTTAAATATTTTTCTCTTTTTCTTATTCTGATATCAATTAAATATTAAAATCTTCCATTTTAATTTTTAATTATTTAGGATAATTATTAAAAATTTCTATATGATGAACAAATCTTGAAATTTTTATTTAAGGCTTTTTCTTATTCATAAAAACATACTCAAAATAAAGTAAGTTAATTTTTTCAAATTTATCAAGTTTAGTTAATTAATTGAATTATAATTTTTCAGTTTTTTTAATTATTTAATTTAGAATTTTTTCAGAATCATTATTCAAATTATTTGTAGCTAAAAATATCGAAAGTTGTATCTATTAATTAAATTAAAATTGTTTATCTTTTTAAAATTAATAAAACATCATCCTTTTTATATTACCAAATTAGCTTAGATTAGATATCATTTCAGCGTTTATATTTGTAGAAATCAATTTTTCATATTTTTATATTAATTCCAACTCTTAAGTTTCTTATTCTTTCTATTTTTTAATAAAATCTTCATCTTTTTAATTTCTATAATAAACTATTTTGTTTATAAGGAAATTGAAGATTATATTTGATTGCTAATTTTTCATACGTTTAATGCCTTCCTCTAAAAGTCCTTGCTTCTTTTAAGTTTTAGATAATTTTTATTCAATCTGTTCCATGATTAGTTTTACATCATTTGAATTAAATAATTAAATCCAAAAATAAAATATTAAACTATAGTAAAGAAAATCTAAATTTTCATCGAAATTTTCTGTTAATGAAATATACTAAATAAGATCATCTTAACAAATTTATTTAACATCGATAAGATTTTTCATAAATCCTATTAATTTATCATAATGAAATTCAAGCTTTGTTGTAAATAATTCAAACAAAAAACAAATAGATTTATTGTTAACCTTTTTTTATAATTACTCTAATCCTTCCTTTACAGTTATTTCTTTAAATTAAACCTTTTATATAAATTATATAAAATCTGATTTTTCCTAATCATTATAGCTCATTACCATTTCCTCATAATTTTAAAATTAATAAATTAAATTCTGTAACAGAATGCCTATTAACTAATTAATTTCCTTTTTCAAATTTTGATCACATTCCAAAAAGAACAAATTAATAAGTGCTATTAAAAGTGATAAAAAATTGTATTAGTGTCTTTCTTTTACTAATTCAATGAGTTAAAAAATAAATTGAATGTTTTCTCCTAATCTTTCAAGAAGATTGAGATATTTTTTTATTTCAATTGGTATTAAGTTTGTTTAGCAGTATTGCTCATTTTTTAATTCCTAAAGGATTAAATCATACTATTTATTCTTTATATTTTCTTAGTATACACTTTTATAATCTTGAAATTATTATTTTAAAGGTTAATTTTCAGTGATATAACTTCTTTTAAAGTAAGGTCTTTTTATGAATGATTCTTAAAAAAATTGTTTTTGCAATTCTTTAATAATTACATCTCTTTTAGGTTCATCTAATTAATCTAACCATTATTTTAGATCATTTTCAATTTCTTCATCATTGAAATAAAATTCATCTTTTATATTTTCAATAATAGATTTAATTTAATTCTAAATGTTAACATCTTTGGTGTCTGATTAACAATTCATATTAAATTAATAGAAAAAGGAGTTTGATAAATTTATGAATATTTATTAATATGTTATTTTGTTGATAGAATTTAGAAATAAAATAAATGAACATATTAATGAGAATAATTTTATTATCTCTGATCATCCTTCTACATTTAAACATTTTAAAAATTGAAGGATATAATATGGAGCCAATATTCAATATCTTTTAAGGCTAAACTTTCATTTTTTGATAATCTAACTTAATGAATTTTTATATTTTCTATTTGATATTATTCTAACTATACACCTGCTTTATTAATAAAAGAATTAAGAATACATATGATTTAATTTTTTATCATTAAAAATTTTATTTCTCCTTATCTTTATTAGTTTTTATACTATTGTATTGATTTTCATGGAGGTATTATAAATATAACATTATATAATTAATTAAACTTCAGAAGTATGGATTAATCTTGGCTTATGTACCACGCAATTTTAGATAAACAATAATTATTTTTATAAAATTAGAAAGAAAAAATTGAACAATTACCAATAATGAATAACTAAATAAATAAATTATTATTTCTAATATAATAAATAAACATTAAATAACAAAATACACTAACTCAATAGTTCCATTTTTTAGATGGGTCTGATTAAAAATAGAATATTCATTGAATTTATGAAATAAGATTATTTATCATATAACAAATAATCTTTATGAATTTAATGTAGGATTATTCAATAATTATAAAATAATTTCATTTTGCATATATAATAATTATTATAAAAACATCTAATAAATAAACTAAATAATTACTTAATGAGATATTGTTGAGTTTAAATTTGTTTCATGATCAACTAATAAATATTATAAAATAATGCCTTTAAAATATAATTGCTTGAATCTATTTCAAAGATTGAAAAATTTTATAATATTCAAATAAATGGAGTATAAATTTCAGCAAAATTTATCAACATTTATAACCCTTAAATTATAGTATCAATATAATGAAAAATCACAAATCAAAACCCAAAATTTTAACTTTGCTATCACTACCTGATCGTATGCAAGGATAAAGGTCATAACAACTACATATTTATTGATTCTAAAAAATAAAATTTAAATCTTACAAATGATTCTCCTGATTAAAATTTGGTCCATTTTATATTTTTTTTTTAAATATCTACTTCAATTATAATAATATCATTATCTGAAAAATGAAAAGACAATTTATTATTATTTCTTTATTAATTATGTGAGTAACTGTGTTAGTCATTCCTTATCAAATAACTCCTAAATAAAATAATAACATTAAATATACCCTTAATTCAAACCAACATAGTTATAACTAGTTTCTTACATTACTTATTTAATACCTATCCCTACATAACAAGCCTTTGAATTTAAAATTTTGAAAGCAAATTTTGTAACTTAATGTGTCGGAATTAACTAATCACAAAGACAACTTCCTCCGCATTCAACTATTTTTCCATTATTTGAAACTACAGCATCTCTATGTTTATGTTCTGAAGAAAAAGTCAATTATTTTTGAAATGATGATGTCTTTTTTATAAATTTAAAAATCATTACTAATATTGACTCCAATAATTCTTATCTTATATTTTTCCAGTCTTTTTCTTTTAATTGTAATTAATTTTGAAGACTCAAACTGCATTATTATTATTTATGTTACTCCTACAAAGTTTATAAATTATAATCAGAAATTATGCTGAAAATTGTTTATTATATATCCTTCATGTTTTATTCAACATATTTAAAAGATTAACTACTCTCAATTTAGAACTTAAAGTAATCACATATCCAATCATTTAATTATTTTACATTTAAACATTATAATTTTTCTTTATTCATATTGAATTTTACTTGAATTCCTCTTTTTAAGTTTTCTAATTACATCTATACATTATTGATCACTTTTTAAAGATTTCTTAATAATTCCTCATTTTGATTGAATTGTTATTATAGGAAATCCTGAAATTCAGCCATTTAGAAAACATCTTTTGGATGAGAAAAATGGTCTCCATTTTGATAACAAAAGTAACATTATACACGAAATTGATTACAATTCTAATTTATACAAAAGTATTCCACAAACTTATTATGATGCTCTGGTACTTGACACTTTAATTGAATCATATTCAAAATTTATTTTTATATTATTCATAATCATTTGCAATTTTCTATTAAACTTGAGAATTTTAAAATATAAACTTATTTACTCTGTATTATAAAAAGAATAATTTACATCATAAATACTAAGGTTTAATTCTAATTAATTTTACTATTATTTCATGAAAATAATCTATTCCTTGTTAATTTAAGTTTTATATTGGTTTTAGTATATTATTATTTCAACCTTTTTATTAATTTTGATCTCTAATGCTTATTCTATACACATCAATATTTAATCTTACCTTTCAAAATATTAAAAGTTTGATTTTTATGTTACTTAATCCTTAGTCTATTTCTATCTTTCTATGTTATTTTTTATGTATTTCCCTTTTAAAATAAAAAACCTATAATTATTCTCCATTTTTCTATTTTTGTAATTTTTCTAAATAAAATGGTTTATAAATGATATATGAAGAGAAAGAAAGTTCTCCACAATTAAATTTTTTAAGCGGTAATAAGTAATACTCATAAATAAGATCTAAGCCTAAATTGAGTGTTTGGAAAAAAAGAAAATTACAAAGCTCACTATCATTTTTTTCTCCAAAATCACAAAAATATCATAATGTCATTTAGCTGTACTCATTCATTTTCCAGATTAAAAAGATGATTTGAGCTAATTCTTTTAAATAAAAAACGATACACTTTACTATTTTGAAATTCATATCTCCCACAACTAAATAGTTTCTTACCAATTTTTGTTGGTTGCAAATATTTTTCAAAATAAAAATTCAAACTAACCTTACATAAGCATATTTACCTTTATTGTCTCATAAAATAAATCTATGCAACGATTTAGTTAAGTTTTTTTATATATAAGGAGTTTAGATTAATTTATTTAAAGAATAAATATAATAATAATATTAAAAATTAAGCTCATAAGCAAATGGTGATGAATAAAAGAAGAAAAAAATGCTGTATTTATATATTGATGTATATATACCCTTCAGGATAAATTATCATATCCCATTTTACTTGTTTAATTATTCTTTAAATTTGACTATTGAATATTAAAATTGCACTATTAATAACTATGAGTGTTATTGATTTGAGAATATCAATACAATTTCTTAATAAATAAATCCATCTGATTTAAAATAAATAAATTATTTTTTTATTAATTATGATGTTTCTAGAAAGCAATGGACTTTATTCATAATCTTTTAGCTTCTAGTCCTACAACCCAAATGAGAAGTTGGATAAATAATTGAGAAAGTTTTTAAAATATTTGCTATACTAAGTTATTTATTTAAAGTATTTTCATTCTTATATAGATTTCAATATGCTTCTAGTTGCCATAAAATTTTTTAAAATTAAGTATTTTTCAAAGCATTTTATAAAGTTACGAGTAAGGAAGCAAGTTTAAGCCAAAAAGTATATTGTAAGCAAAAGAAATGATTGGAAAGAAATTTTAAAATAAAATAGCTCTCAAAATAAAAAAACCTTAGAATTTATAGATTTTCCTTAATAAAAAGATTCTTTTATTAGTTAATTAATAATAGGTAACACCTTAGTGAAACTCAATCGTTTTGAAGAAGCTTTGCAAAATTATGATCATGCAATTAATAAAAACCCTGAAATTGCTGATTTCTATATATCAAAATGTGTTTTGAATTAATCTATTTATAATAGGCAATGTGTTAACATAACTAAACCGTTTTGAAGAAGCTTTATAATATAATGATTATGCAATATAAAGAAATCCTGAGTGTGCAAATTATTATGCTTCAAAAGGTTTTTTTTATCAATCTATTAAAATAGCAAATATTTTAACATAACTAAATCGTTATGAAGAAGCTTTGTAATATAACGATTATGCAATTTAAAGAAATCCTGAATGTGCAAATTACTATGCTTAAAAAGGTTTTTTGGATTAATTTATTAAAAATAGCAAATATTTTAACATAACTAAATCGTTATGAAGAAGCTTTGTAATATAACGAATATGCAATTTAAAGAAATCCTGAATGTGCAAATTACTATGCTTAAAAAGGTTATTTGGATTAATTTATTAAAAATAGCAAATATTTTAACATAATTAAATCGTTTTGAAGAAGCTTTGCAATATTATGATGATGCAATTCAAAAAAACCCTGAGTGTGGAAATTATTATGCTTCAAAAGGTTTTTGTCTCAACCCATTTTATAGGGAACACTTTAGCAAAATTATAACGTTTTGAAGAAGCTTTGCAATGGTTAGATTATGCAATTCAAATAAATCCAGAGTGTGCAAATTATTATGCTTCAAAAGGTAATGTATAAATCCATTTTAAGGTTACACTTTAACTTAACTAAATCGATTTGAAGCAGCTTTGTAATATTTAGATTATGCAATTCAAAAAAACCCTGAATTTGCTGATTACTATGCTTTCAAAGGTAAAAAATATTAATAATACAGAGCTTATGCTTTAATTCATATGAACCGTTTCGAAGAAGCTTTATAGTATTAGGATTTCGCTATTCAGAAAAACCCTGAACAAGCTAATTTTTTTAATGACAAAGGTAAAACTAATTATTAATAAATAGCAAATACTTTAAGCAAAATGAATCGTTTTGAGGAAGCTTTATATTATTATAATGATGCAATTTAAAGAAACCCTCAATGTGCAGATTTTTTTTCTTCGAAAGGTTTTTTGTATAAATTAATTTATGATAGGTAACACATTAAAAAGACTCAATCGTTTTGAAGAAGCTTTGTAATATTATGACTATGCAATTAAAGTAAATCCAGAGTGTCCAAATTATTTTTTTTAAAAAGGTTTTTTGGATTAATCTATTAATAATAGGCAATGCGTTAACATAACTAAATCGATTTGAAGAAGCTTTGGAATATTATGATTATGCAATTTAAATAAATCCAGAGTGTGCAAATTATTATGCTTAAAAAGGTTTTTTCTATTAATCTACTAGTAATAGGCAATACATTAACATAACTAAATAGTTTTGAAGAAGCTTTGTGCTTTTATAACTATGCAATTTTATTAGACAATTAATTCGCTGATTATTATTCATAAAAAGGTTTTTTATAAATTTATTAATAATAGGTAACGCCTTAGCGAAACTCCATCGTTTTGAAGAAGCTTTGCAAAATTATGATCATGCAATTAATAAAAACCCTGAAATTGCCGACTATTTTTCTTTCAAAGGTAAAATATATAGTTTTAAAAAAAGCAAATACTTTAAGTTAATTAAATCGTTTTGAAGAAGCCTTGCTAAATTATGATTATGCAATTAATAAAAACCCTGAAATTGCTGATTATTTTTCTTTCAAAGGTAAAATAGATGGTTTTTAAAAAAGCAAATACTTTAAGTTAATTAAATCGTTTTGAAGAAGCCTTGCTAAATTATGATTATGCAATTAATAAAAACCCTGAAATTGCTGATTATTATTCGTTAAAAGGTAAACTTTATTGTTAATAAAGAGCTAATACTCTAATCCACTTGAACCGTTTTGAAGAGGCTTTGTAATATTATGATTATGCAATTTAACGAAAGCCTGAATTTGCTGACTATTTTACTTACAAAGGTAAATTACATTGTTAATAAAAAGCAAACACTCTAATCAACATGAACCGTTTTGAAGAGGGTTTGTAATATTATGATTAAGCAATTGAAAAAAAGCCTGATTATGCTGATTATTTTACTTACAAAGGTAAATTACATTGTTAATAAAAAGCAAACACTCTAACCCACTTGAACCGTTTTGAAGAGGCTTTGTAATATTATGATTATGCAATTGAAAAAAATCCTGAAGAATATACAAATTACATCAATAAAGGTATTTTCTTCTCATATTTCTAAAAGCTGTTACCTTACTAACATTAAATCGGTTTGAAGAAGCTTTATAATATTGTGATGATGCCATTTGTAGGAATCCTGATTCGTTTTATCCATTCTTTATTAAAGGTAAATTATCTTTATTAATTTAAGCAAAAGTTCTATTTAAATTGGGTTATTTTTAAGAAGCTCTTGAATATTGTAATTAAGCAAAATAAAAAAATACACAAAATTCTTAATTTTGCCTATTATAAGGTTTAAAATTTTATTATTTCCTAAGGAGAGGCTTTAGTTAATATTGATAGCTTTAGAGAAGCGCTTCAAAAAAATATAAAGGGATCCAATTCGAATTCAATTGATTTTCAGAATCATTTCATTCAAGGTAGACTAAAAGACATTAATTAGAAAACAACTCAAATACATTGATTTTTAAGTAGAAAATACAAAAGCTGAATTACTAAAATCAAGCTTTGATTGATGATGATAAAGATTTTTAATAATAAATGGATGATGTCTTTTCATTACATGCTTCTGAATTAGTTTAAAAAAATAACGATAATCCAGATTATTTTTACTTAATAGGTAAAATTGCTCAATAAGATTAAGCTTTACAGCTAAAATAATAGAAAAAGAAAAGCTTGGCTCTTAATTGTTGTGAAATAGGCATTTCAATAAATGCAGAAAACCCAGATTATTCAATTATCAAAGGTATTTTTTTTAACGATTTAGCCTCTTCTTTAAATAAATTATTGAGTTTAAAAAAAGCAATTTTATAGGAGGCTTGAAGATATTTATTTTGTGAAAAATATTAATTCAAAAGTTATTATTTTAAGATTAATCCATTTTTATCTCATTTTAATAATGATTTTTTTCTTTACAAAGTTTTAAATTTAACATCATTGTCGTTGTTGCTTTTATCGAATTAGAAAAAATATTTAAAACATAGTTTTTTGACAGAAATATAATGGCCAGAATCCGTATTTAAATAGTAAATAGTAAAATGATTTAAATAAATTAATCACAAATATCATTTTTCGGTACACTCTAATAAACTACCAAAATCGCAGTTAAATCTTATCTGTATGTAAATATTCTCTTTCAGCCTTCTTCAAAAACTAATGAACGCAATGAATTCATTTAGAATACAGCTGGTTTTGTATTTTTCTATTATTTTCGAAATTATTGAACACATTATAGAAAAAATTCACCAATTTACATCAAATAGGAAATACTTGTTAACTTTGAATAATTTGAGGATAATTATAAAAAGAGCAATTAATTTTCCAAAGTTAAAATCGAATATTTTAAAGAGTTTAATCATATTAATGAATGATTAATTATTATATTTTGAACATTAAAATTAAAGTCGCAATTCTTATTTCTTCTCTCAAAAAGCTTTGATTTGATTTTACAAATAATAAGATATAATTTTTATAAAAGTTAGTTTATATAAAAATTTACAGAAGCAAAAAATCCTTTTTAATTGATTAAATAATGAAATCTTGAGTAGGTAAAAAATCCAAATAAAATTTATCATTATCAGGTTTGCTAAAATAAACAGTATTTAATTATTCTGATATAATATAATATAAAATTAAGAAAAATAAAGCATTTAAACATATAAGCCATCTAAAATAATTTATCTTTTCAAAAACAAAGTATACCATTTAATTGCTATCTTTCAATATTTTCCACTTATTCTGCAATAGTAGTATGATTGTCAGCATATTCCTAATTGATTAAAAAAGGAAGAATATATAATTTATGGATATATTCTATTTGAAATTAATCTTCTCAGTACTTTTAGAATTAATAACTTTTAAGTTATTGATCCCTTAAAAAATTATTGGAAAACAATCATTTTAAACTGATTATTTTTGAAACTTTGATTATGTTTTTAATAATAAAAAATAACTTTATTTAATTATGGTTTTACTTGATTGAATTGAAAATATTTTAATTAATAAATTAATCATTTTTGAAAGATAAATCGAAGCTTTCTCGTTATCCTTAATTTATCACTCAATTAATTGTATTTATCTCTTTACTTTGTAATACTAAGATTCTCGAATTTCTACAATGGTCTTAATGCATTTATAAAAACATTAACAAACAAATGATACTCTTTAACCTTGTTCTTCTGAGATAGAATGGATATATTAAAGCTATTATTATTATTTATCGTTTATTTTTTCTATTTCTAAAGCTCTAAGTTTTCCCAAAAATTACATATTATAAATTATCTTTTAACAAGCAGACCAATTTTAATTTTCTTCTCTAAATGTATGACTCAATAAAATGCACNCAATTTACATCAAATAGGAAATACTTGTTAACTTTGAATAATTTGAGGATAATTATAAAAAGAGCAATTAATTTTCCAAAGTTAAAATCGAATATTTTAAAGAGTTTAATCATATTAATGAATGATTAATTATTATATTTTGAACATTAAAATTAAAGTCGCAATTCTTATTTCTTCTCTCAAAAAGCTTTGATTTGATTTTACAAATAATAAGATATAATTTTTATAAAAGTTAGTTTATATAAAAATTTACAGAAGCAAAAAATCCTTTTTAATTGATTAAATAATGAAATCTTGAGTAGGTAAAAAATCCAAATAAAATTTATCATTATCAGGTTTGCTAAAATAAACAGTATTTAATTATTCTGATATAATATAATATAAAATTAAGAAAAATAAAGCATTTAAACATATAAGCCATCTAAAATAATTTATCTTTTCAAAAACAAAGTATACCATTTAATTGCTATCTTTCAATATTTTCCACTTATTCTGCAATAGTAGTATGATTGTCAGCATATTCCTAATTGATTAAAAAAGGAAGAATATATAATTTATGGATATATTCTATTTGAAATTAATCTTCTCAGTACTTTTAGAATTAATAACTTTTAAGTTATTGATCCCTTAAAAAATTATTGGAAAACAATCATTTTAAACTGATTATTTTTGAAACTTTGATTATGTTTTTAATAATAAAAAATAACTTTATTTAATTATGGTTTTACTTGATTGAATTGAAAATATTTTAATTAATAAATTAATCATTTTTGAAAGATAAATCGAAGCTTTCTCGTTATCCTTAATTTATCACTCAATTAATTGTATTTATCTCTTTACTTTGTAATACTAAGATTCTCGAATTTCTACAATGGTCTTAATGCATTTATAAAAACATTAACAAACAAATGATACTCTTTAACCTTGTTCTTCTGAGATAGAATGGATATATTAAAGCTATTATTATTATTTATCGTTTATTTTTTCTATTTCTAAAGCTCTAAGTTTTCCCAAAAATTACATATTATAAATTATCTTTTAACAAGCAGACCAATTTTAATTTTCTTCTCTAAATGTATGACTCAATAAAATGCACACAATTATCATCACTTTTTCTACAATTATTGGGGGATGAGCGAATCTTTTAATCTGTGATATATCTTATTTATCTAGTCCGTTTAAGCCATATTCAGCATTTTATTTTCTTTGTATTAAATCCTAAAGATTTTCATTTTCTGGATTTTTTTGAGTATATTCTGATTATCTTATTTATGTTATTTTTTAAAATTATTGAATTTGAGCCATTCTTTATGAAATCATTTGAATTATAGTTTAATTGGCTCTTTGGCTGCTAATCTAAAACCTAAGTAACTTTTAAATTCAACAAATTGTAAAATTTGATTAAATACCTCAGGTCTAACTTTATGAAGCAGATTCTATGAATTTAAACTTTCTATAAAAAAACCCTTTATTTAGTTTTAAACTCCTTAATTTTGATTCTATATAGATAATAGCTGTAAGTCTTTTTATAGATTCTTTAACATAATATTAATAATATATAAATAAAGACAAAAAGAATATAAATATTAAATCATATATAAAAGAGTAATGTTATCAATTTGAATTATCTGAAGGAATTTAGGATTTAGTAAATGGGAGATCAGGAAATTTTGGATTTTCTCTTACAAATCTTTTCATTACTATATATAGTTTTCTGCATTTTTATATCAAGTAAATTATGATGAAAGATATAATAGTAGTTGCAATTGAAAGAATAATAATTATAAATTACATTTAACTGTCACTTTCATCAATAAGCTCTTGATTCTAAATTTAATTTTCTATCTCACATTAATCTAATGTAGTGTTAATAATATATCCCTGTTAGCAAATTTAACACTAATTTTCATTCAAGCATTGAGAACATGAATTAATATTACAAATTATTGGTATTTATTGACATTAACCATCATTTTATAGAGTATATCCCTATTTACATTATTAACATTAATTATTTGTACATGTTATACAATTCTCTTAACATTTAATACATTATTTTTAAATTAATTTAAATGGTTCTATACAGGTTATACAATCATTTAATGATGAACATTTTGAACAATTATCTGAACATTTGTCACATTTTTCATTATTCATATAATACCCATCTGCACAGATAATACATTGAGTTAATGAACTACAAGTGAAACAAGGAGCAACACATTTTTCACATTTTCCATCTTCAGTTAAAAATTGTTAATTAGAACAAACCAAACATCTACCTTCATTGCATGAATTGCATCCCTGATCACATTTTACACATTCATAAAGAAAATCTTTTTACTATATTAATTAATATCCATATTCACAAATCGTACAACTTTTTGTTTAAACTTAACAAGATTAACATCCTTGATTACATTTTTCACATTTCATATCAGGTGTTAAAAAATATCCTTCAAAACATGATGTACATTAATCACTTTTTATTGAGCAAGTTTTACAATTAGAACTACATGGATGACATTCTTGATCAATTAAATAATATCCTGGTAAACATGTCTTACAAATATAAAGGTCATCTAATAAGTGATTACATAATGAACAATACTGACGACAGCTTTAACAATTTTAATCTATACATTAAGGGCATTTTCCATTAGATAATTAAAAACCTGGATAACAAGATGTACAAAAATCGCTTTTGTTTTTACAAGTCTTACATGAAGGGTCACATAATAGACATTAATTATTATAAAAATAGTATCCATCTAAACAATCTATGCATTCTTCAAATGATTTGCAATTTTTACAAGGAGAGTTACATTTGAAAGCATTTATTTCATTTATATCAGTTATAGAATAATCTATATAATATAATTGATTTGAAATTGTTAGACAAAATTAATCACTCATACAATTATTACAAGGGAATTTGCAGTTTATACAAATTTCTGATTTTTTATAAGATTTTTCTTCACATATTATACAAGTTTTTAATTCTTTACAAATTAAACAATACTACAAGCATTTATCACAAGAATTGCTAAGTGTATTATAAAACTCTCTTTATAAAAGGCATAGAGGTGTAACATTAATGATATCTTCCACACATTTTCCATCGATTAATTGATATCCATTTTAACAATGCACACAATTTAGTTAATTACAACTAATACAATAGGATCCAAAAAGTTCATTGCATTGTTAACATTTTCCATTTTGTAAAATATATGGAAATGTACACTCTAAACATGTTTGTTCATTTGTGCAGTTAGTACAATAATTTGGACAATTAATGCATTCAAAAGGTTTATTAATTTTGCTGGGATAAAATCCAACTTAACATAGATCACATTAGATAAGTTTATGAATAATATCATAATAGCATGTATCTTAACAATAGAGAGGACATTCTAAAAATAAGAATTGATGCTATACCATAACATTAATAATTGTATAAATAGAATTTTTCGAGACAACCAACGCATAATAAACTTTCATCTAAATAACAGGTTGTACATGGAATTGGACATTTAATACATTTAAATTCTTCTTTCATGTAGTAATATTGTTCATTAATACAAGAAAGACATTTTGTTTAAGTTAAACAAGTTAAACAAGGAGATTAACATTGTTTACATTGAAAATTGTCAAGATAAAAATGATTGGAAATACAATCGATACAAGTTTCTTTATTAGAACAAGTTAAACAGGGTTATTAGCATGAATAACAATAAAAATCATCATCATTCCTATAGTATTAGATGGGACAATCCTTACATAAACATTAATCAAGATAATTGATACAAATATTAGTACATTATGATACGATTCCATTATAAATATGATATCCTATTTAACATTTAATGCAATAATCTTATTCTTAGCATTGAAAACAGTTCTCTTAACATTTAATACATTAATTATTATGCAAATAATATCCATCTTCACAAATAATACAGATATCTTAAAAATTACAAGATAGACATTTATTTGGACATTAAATACATTGATGAATTATATCAAGTTAATATCCATCATTGCATTTTGTACATTAACAATTATGATCATATTGATCACACATAAATAATGTTTAGAATTCTTAACAAGTAAAACATTGAGTATTATGTAAAATGAATTATTATTTACATGTTATACAATCTTTGCCATTTATACATGTTTTACATCTTATTTAACATTATAAACAAACTTTCTTTTCAGTATCTAAATAATAACCTTCTTAACATCTGATTGAATGATCAGATAGTAGACATACTTCTTTAGTACAAGTTAAACAATCACTTGGACATTGAGATTAACAAATACCATAATAAAGATAATATCCATTTTGATTATCACAAATACATTATTGATTCTTTAAAATATAAGGTGGTTAGCATGTCTCTATTATAATTGTATTTCCATTAAATTAGTAATCTAAACTATTTAATGGTCTCTGAAATTATATATATAATATATCATTTATTATTAAATCTAACTCAGAGTCAATTAAGAAGTAATTATGTTCATATGCTAAATAATACAATAAAACCATATTTCCATCTGCAATTTCTAATATACGATTTTGAGTTTAGGGTTAGACATCTCCATTTTCAGTTAATGCAATTTATAAAAAGACATTTCCAATATAATTGTTTAATTAGAATTGATAAATAACAAATTTCCATGTATTTGTATTGATTAATCTTGTTCCTTTATACATTTAGTAATTGGATGAATTAACATTAGCAGCCCAAAAAACCTGATAATCATGAGTAAGTTTAATTCCTAAAGCAAACATGTTATTAAATTGTTATTTGTAAGCTTAGCCTTAAGGGTATTAAGTATTTGGATTGATAATTTTATTAGATTCCAATTAAGAAATATATTAAAATTAATGGATATCATCTTTTACTACTCCACTATTGACCATATAATTAAGACCTTGAATAGTAATAGAAGAGTAGGAATACTTATCCTATAATCTATTAACATATTATTCTAATGACAAAATATATGAAAATTATAGAATTGATAAATTGAATTGTATGTCTAAATAGAATAAGCATGAATACTTTAACAATTATATGTATACCAAACTTCAAAATATCCTTCTGCACATACACAAACATTATTACTATCTAATATTCTATGAGTAATCTCTTAATCTCCACAATTAGTACATTTAGATGGGTTAGTGGAATCACAATTAATGCAATTTGAAGGACATTCTAAATTATATTTAATAAATTACATAAACACTCTTATCCTCCTATATCTACATAATTTTATTTGCATATACATACATTCATATCTGTTTTCTCTTTCTAAAGATATCTTGTACTTGGACAGCTTGAACATAATTCAAATGAATTATCACATTATTCACAATGATATTCACCTAATTAATAAGCAAACTAATTACAAGATCGGATTAGTTTAACTGTAGCTAATAATAGAAGAATCATATAATTTAGATTATTAATAATAATCTTCAGTATTATGATAGTAATATATTGAAATTAGAATAATTTAATTATAAATAAATATTTAAATTAAATGATTCTTTAATCAAGCAATTATTGAATCTTATGAAGGAAACTATGAGGGTAATATTTAGCTAAATCTTATATTCTTATTTGAAGATGTTGACATTTTCTTTAATTATAAATTGTTTCTTAATTATATCATTCTCATTTTATTTTTTATTTTTTTAAACTTGTTTTTTTCTATTATTGCTTCATTCATTCTATTACGTCTTAATTTTAGATATTTCAGTATATAATTAAAGGGGAAAAACATGAATTTAGATAATCTATCTATTATATCTTTTTGCCAAGTGTGAATATTCTTATTGGCTATATCAATTATTTATTGAACATTATGATGACTATAATAATAATCATAATTTTTTAAAACTTCAAAGTTCTCTATACTATTTTCATTTAATCTCCAAAATAGAGGTTCAATTTAACTTAATGCATTTTTAACAATAGATTCCTCTTAATCTTGTTTTATCAATTTATTATAAAGAAGTATAATATTTTCATTTTATAAATTTTAGAATTCTAAGGCCATATGTTATTCTTCCATATCTTCATCTTAAATATGTCTAACAGTAAATGTAGTAGTAGTACTCTTTTTAATTTATTTATTTTATGGATGGATAGTCATTTTTCTAATAATTCTACCTTAATTTAATTATTATCTTAATTCTCCCTTAAGATCAATATCCGTTTCCCTTATTAAATTCTTTTAAATTCTAATACTACTTAGTAAATCAGCACATTAAACAGATTATGGAGGAGGATGTACTTATTAAATATTAGGAGTAGCTTTTATAAAGTCAAAAGAATTAGTAGGTTCAACAGAATTAGATTCTAGAATATCAGATTCTTAATAAAGGTATATTTTTAATTATTAATTTATTTTTGGTTGATTAGCACTAACAAAAACTTTAGCGAACTCAGTCACTAATTCTTTCTCTGATAAAGCTAAAAATAAATTTTTATTTGTTCTTCTTGAAAATGGAGCTCTTTATTAATTTTTAGAACTTTAATGTTTTTTAATGACAACTTCTCTATTTGATTTAAGTTGAATATAAGGACATTATGCTAAAGAATGTTCAAAATGTTAACAAGCAGGACAATAAACACTCTTATTTAAAACAGTTGAATCAATATTTAGAATAATGGAATCTTTTAATTAACAATATTTTTAAAAATCTTCTGGAAAATCCTTGATAGTTTAAAGGAAATCTTATTTTGATAAAACCAAAAGACTGACATATCCAACAGCTTTAAATAATTCCATTTCTGGATCTTCATTAATGAATTCTTTAACACAAAGGAATTCTCCTAAATTAATTATAGTATTCATTTTAGATCTTTATTTTGAATCTTTATGTTAATATAATAAGTGTCCTTATTCAATAAAGCACAAATGATGTTGACCATTAAAATCGATTTAAAATGTATTCTCAGGTGGAATAACTTAAAAATATTAAATTTATATTACTTTTTCTTTTAATACTTTTAAATAGAGCATTTCTAAATTCTTAACTAAAGAATTATTGAAGAAGTATAGATTTTTCAATAAATACTTTATGAGCCTATTTATCTAATTCTTCTTTTAATTCATCAGATAATTAACTCAACAAGGCTTATTCTATATCTAGGTCTACTTCATCATCTTCTTTCCATCTATAAGTTAAATACTCTTTAATTCTGAGAATAAACATTATATTCTTACTAGTGTTATAAAGCAAACGGAATGTTTCGTTTACTCATGTATTTATTGATTACTCTCATTTTTTAATTTCTTTCTACTTAATTTTAAGTAATGTCATTCATAATACCTCCAATAAAATTAACACTATATGAAAACCATAAACAAGCACCAAGAATAAATATTATAGTTACTATTTTTTCACTTGGATTTTTTGGTACATTATCACCATAACCTATGGTCAACATTGTTACTATTGCAAAGTATAAAGCCTCTAAATATTATAATTGCCAAGATTTATCACCTAACTCTTTAAATTATATCCAAGAATCCTCTATTTCTAAACTTGATATCCAAAACCATACACAACTAAATAAATGTAAAATATAAAATAAAGTGGCTGCAAACTTTAATAATCCCAATATTCCTCTTTAAGGTCTTGTAAAATATGATAATTATTCACTTTTTGATAATATTTCATAAACATATGAATATTATGTTAGAGTAAATAATGTGAATAACTTATAATATTAATCTTATGGTTCTATTGATATAAATATTATTAATATTATTATTGATAAAAAATCTATAAACATAGATTTCTTAGCCTAATAAACAATCAATCTCCATCTATCTTTTATAGCTTATCCATTTAAATATTATTATGTATTTATTCTTATTAAAAAATCCATTATTAGAATAACTATTATTATTATACTTAATATAATATTCTTATCAAACATTATTTATGTTTAAAATGCTACTTCTAATGGTATTAAAAATACTAATATTATTCTAAAAACTACAGCAAATAAATCCCACTACATCTTAAATAATGATTCTGATTATATTAATGGAATTTTATCAATTAAGTTTTATAAGAATTTTATTGCCTGTTTTTTTATATTTTAGTAGTATTGCTTTACTGTTTCCATTCTGCTCTCCTCTAAAGATGATTACATCTTCAATAACTTTTTCATTGCTTTTAATGTAAATCCTGCTCTTTATATAGACTTAGTGTATTGCAAAACTACATTACTATCTGCTGCTTTATCACCAATCAAATTCAAATGAGTTTAATTTAATGTCTCTATTATTTTTCTCTTTATCTAAAGTTTCTCCAAAAATCTTTTTATCAAAAAGAATGCCATCATACTTGAACCAGTTTAATGTTGTTTATTATTTGTAGGTGTATTTATAAGAGTTCTATTTGTCTCAGGAGTATTTTGCTGAATGCTTTTCAATGTAATATTCTCCATCTTCTAACCATTTAAATCATTATACCCTTCTATACTCTTTATACTTTATGTTTAGCTATATAAATGTGGGCAGTTAATAGATGTTTCTCTCTTAGATGTACGTAAACAAAAACCTAAATATTATTACTCAAAGTCTTCGTGCTATTCTGCTTATAGCTCTTGATCCAATTCTCTATTGAATTCAGGAGATTCCAAATGCATTATTTATTATTTATTTTTATAAGCTATATCAAACCTATTTCTTTATTTTAATCACATATTAATATCAAATAATATTTGTATCATACAAACTTTTTGATTTCTCTTTCCGATAATTCATTTTATCATTTTTATTATCATACAAATCTATTTTTTATATCATTTTCTCACAATCTAATTGTATTACTATTTTTTACTAAGAACCTTTTATCTATTTATCTATGTTATTTTTAATCGCTTTTTTTTTATTTATTTTTTTTATCATTATGAATCGGTTATTCAAATATGTACATTGTTCTAAATATTTTGGTTGGATTTCTTGAACTATGATCGTATAATTTTTAAAGTTAGATTTATTGTTCTGAAACAAAATTTAGAATAAATATTCCAAAAAATTAAAAAAGCCTTTCTAATAAATATTTGATAAAAATTTATTGAAAAATAAATGCATTACTGCCAATTTATATTTTGATTAAATAATTAAATTAATCTCTTAAATAAACAATTGAGGTTCATAAATTAATTTATTATTCATAAAATGTTATTACAAAATTAATGAAAAAGCTTCTAAGAAGAATCAAAGAAATAGAAAAAAAAACTTGAGAGTTTCTTTATCCAACTTTAGGAACTTTGTATAACCCGAAATAAACAATAAATAAAATGTTTATTAATGAGACCTGAAAATTTTCATTTATTATTAATATTTTAGACACTAAACTACTTTTGTGAATTCTTGCTATGTGAGCTACTTATAATATTGTAAAATTATTGATTCCTCAAAAAATAATTATTAGTTATAAAAGTAAATAAATGATAATTTTTGGTGAATTACAATCTATTTAGAGCACAGAATAAGGTTAAAAAGAAGTTATTAAGAAATTCTGAAAGCGGCTCTGGAAGGATTAAGAAGAAAATAAAATTCGCAATACTGCAGGAATTTTCGAGAAAATTATAAATTTAATGTGCTTGGTCTAAGATTCTAAATCTATGATACAAAAAAGGTAATTGGCTGGTCTAATTTAAAAGATAATAAAAAATTAATAGTAAAATATCAATTAATACTCATTCATGAGTTTAAAAAAATTTAAAGAATTAAAAACTTTTAATTAAAAAGGAAGAACAATTCATTGTAAAGTTGGAAAAATAATCAAAGTAACATAATTTAATTTTAAAACGTCGAAATAATAAGATTTTTGAAAATAGAAGATATATGGAAATGTAATTGAATTTCAATGACCTCCTAATTATTGTATTTATTTAGTTAATTCTTCTATTAATGGATCATCAACCTGATATTCACCACTTTCGACTAAATATTCTCTCTCCTATAATAATCTTTGAAGATCAGATTTATTATCCAAATTAGGGTAATTTTTATAAGATTTTTAATTTTTAGAAATAGTGATTTTTTAAGATGATTTATCAATTAATCCATTTTTGAAAGGATTATTTGGTTGATTATAGTATTCTTAGTGTTGCTCAACTTTTGGAGTATTTATAATCTACTATTATTACTATTATTATTCATTTTAAAGATTGTCAATATATTATTTGATCATTTAAGAATTAGTTTGTGTATTAAGTGATTGTTTTTATTTAACTTCTAATAATTCAAGTTTTAATTTTTCTAATTCTAATAAAGTATTTTAGGATAAAGAATTGTTTTCTTGAGCTTGTTTTTTTTCTTTAATAAGTTCATCTCTCATTTTTTCATAATATTACTTATATTATTCTTTAATTTAATTAGTTCTATCTAATTCTTTTTTTAATTCTGTAATTTCCATATTTTTTTCTTATAGGCTCTCTTTTACAATTGCAACAGGAGATTTTTCAATTTCTTTTTTAAGATTTTTATTTTCTTCTTCTAATTTTTGAATAGCTGCTTAAGCATCGGTTAATTTCAAACTTAAAAGTGTTTTTTCTTTTTCCAAATTTAATTTCTCATCTTTTTGTCTTTTAATAAGAATACCCATTTCTTCATCTTTTACTTTAATTATTTTAGCAGTTTCTAAAAGTTTTGATTTAACTTCATCTTCTAATTATATAATTTTTTATTCTCTTTTTAATAGATCTGTTGCCTTATTTTTAATTTTATTTTCTAAAACTTATATTTAAGTTAAGGCTTATTTGAGTTATCTTTCTCTATCTAATTCTTTGTTTTTAAAATCTTAATATAATTTTGAAGTTAATTCAAATTCTTTTTATTTAAGTTAGACTCTAAATTTAGCCTCTTCACTTTTTTTCCAAGTATCTAATTCCCAAATAACTTTATGTTCTAATGAATGCAATTCCAATATAACTTATTATTTTTCAGGATCATCAGAATTTGGATAACTAATTACTGGTAATGCAGGATCTCCAACTATTTATTCAATAGCTGTTTATTCTTATTACTGTAATTAATCCACAGGCCCTAAGTCTTCAAGATAACAAATGCATCTTAATAAACCTATTCTTTTTGCATCTTATTCCAAATTATCATCTATTGGATAATATGCATCTAAAGCTCTGGCATAACTTTTAGAACTTTTTCTTATTGGACTTTTTAATAATTCTGCTAAACTTATTGTTGATATCCCAATAAACTAATCTTTCTTTAATCTATCTTAATGAAATATCTCAATCTATAATTAAGTCTCTTCAAATATCTTTTAAAGTTCTTCTTTATTTGTATCAAATATATATGAAGCAAATGAATTTTAAAATGATATTTCTACAAAAGGTTTAGTTATTTCTCTAATTATATATGTTACATTATTACATGACTGGGGCTGTTCTAAATTATTATTTAATTCCCAATTGTGGATAATGAGAATAATGAGCATAAATCAAACCTCTAAAAGAATGCTCTTTAATTGAATGGATGTCTATGGATAATTTTAATCGATGAGAATTTGAATCTGACATTCTGTTAATTTATTATTAATAATGTAAGATGCTAAAGATAATGAAGAATTTGTATAAAATGAATAAGAATTTAAATATATTAGTGAATAAGTGAAATAGAAATTAAGAAAAGGAGAATACAATACTGATGATTATTATAAGAGAAATGTTGATGATTTAAAAAAATGTGTATGATCTGGAATATAAATAATAGATTAAAATGATGGAAACAGAAGCTTCAATGATTTCTAATAATTCTAAGAAGATATTATAGAATAAAATATTATAATATAAGAAGCAATTAGATGTAATAGAAGAGAATATTAATGAATTATTGATAAAACAAAAGAAAACAGATAATTTAAAAGGAAACTTATTTGAGAATGATCTTATAATCGAAGAGATTGATAGATTAACTTAAGATACAGAATAAATTGCCTTGAATGTTGACTAAAAAATGAATGCAGGAACTCTTGCATTACAATAAACAAAATTTAAAGTATCAATTTAAAGTAAATAGAAATAAGACTTAAAGTCAAATATAAGAAAAAGTGAATTTACAATATCAATGATGAATAATTAAATAACTATGGATAAAAGATCTTTGTGGGCTATTGTAATATTATTAGGTATTATAGACTTATATGCAATTTATAAAAAGTATTTTTGATTATTTTTTATATTTAGTATATTAAAATTATAATAATTTTTATAGAGTAATTTTATTAACAGAAATGTAATAGGAATCTCAAAACAAGAAAATCACCTTTAAATTTCTTAATGTATTTTAATTACTTATTTTAGTAATTGAAACTTATGATTAAGCCATCTTAAAAAATTATATAGATCACTCATGCATTAGTAACAATATTAAGTGGAACAATAGCATCTATTTAAGGAAACTAAATAAAACCTGATTGGTAATCAATTAAATATAATATACGAAATACTAATGAAATTTTAGAAATAATTAATGATCCATAAACATTTTAAAAAAGAGTACGTTTTGAAAATCTAGAGAAATCAATGTTGATATTTTAATCAATTTAATAATAAAATCAAGATGAATAAAATGATGAGACTTTTTAATTAATATAAGAGACTTACAATTCACTTTTAGCTATTGCAAAACCTTTGTTTAAAAATTTATTATTATGTAGAAAAACTAATTAAAGAAATAGATCATTAAGTTAAAATGGTTTTTAAAAAATTGACAAACTTTAATAATCTTAATAATCATTCACTAATAAATCAAATATTTCTTAATAATAATTAAATAATAGCCATACCAAAATTAATAATAGACCTAGAAGTTAATAATCAAATCTAACTCTTAGTCGTTCTTCATCTAATTCTAAAGACTATTAAAAAAGAGTAATTGAAGCTCAAATTAAAAAAGTATATTGTTAATTTAAAATAGTAATCAAGATTGGATAAAATTTTAAAATTATAGACAAATAAACCATCAGCTAAATCCTAAATAAAACAAATGATTGATGGTTAATAATCTTTAAATAGATCTTATAGATCAAATAGTAAAGAATCTTTGATGAGACAAGAAATCGAAAAAAATTAATAAAAAATCAAAAAAATGAAATAATAAGAAAATGCTATTAAATGGGAAATAGAAAGAGAAAGTAAAAGAATCAGAGAAAATGAAATTGTTAATTAGATTTAAGATGAAATTTATAGATATAAAATAAGTTGGGAAAATGATTAAAAAATTAAACAAGAAAAACGAAAAAGTATTGCTAAGTAAAATAGTTTAAAAAAATAAAATTATACTAATAATGAAACTTAGAGAAGTAATTCAATCAATTATGATGAAAATAAAGGAAATAGTTTGAAATAAGATCTTTTGTTAACTGAAAAATTAAAAAGTGAGAAGGAATAATCATTAAATAAAATATTAAAAACAATAAATAATTCTAAATAGAAATAATAATAATAGTTGAAATGAAACATTATCTATAATTTTAATATTTATTTCATTTTTCCTTTTTAACAATATTAAACAGTTCTGTTTTTCGTATATTATTAATTACTTCTTATGTAATTTAATCTAAACTTATATTTGAAATCAAATATTTTATATAAGCACAGATAAATATACCTGAATCATTTGGTTATGATAATTAAGGACATTCGACTACAATAATATCTTTAGATTTCCAAGAGATTGCTAAATTATTTTATTTTATGATAGGTTCAATCATATTCCATACATGTTTGCAACTTGTAACATAGAATATGGGTTTTTTTTTAGAAGAACTATCATAAACTTTCATTTTAATATCTTAACCTTCAAAAAGTATTTCTAAAAGTATCCAATGACCATTAGAATTAATAATTACAAATATTTATTAATAAACTAACCAAAATTATCCTTTAAGATAAGAAAATTCAGCATAATATGTTAGTATGTCTAATTTTTACTATTCAAATAAGAAATATGGAATAATGAGAGTTCTTTTAAATGCTTATATTTCAGGCAATGATTTTAGATTAAAGAACTTTTCTGAATCTACATAATTAATATAATTCAGATAAGCTTCTATAATTTAATCATTAATTGCTTTTTCTGATAAAAGAGATGAGAGATGATCTTTACTCAATTCAACATCATACTTAGTCCATTTATCATTTTATTTAATTTATGATTTCTGTTATTAAGGTTAAGGTGGTGTTTGTTTAACTCCTGATTTGATTCTAAACATTTTGTTATTATTTCGATCTTCTTGTATAAAAGATTATTGCAATTAAGATTATTATAAATTTGGTTACTTAATCAGTATACTACCATCTTAATTATATTCTTGAAATTTTTCAATTAAGGACAATTTTTAGAATACTCCTTCAACTTTTTTATTATTTGTTTTTCCATAGTATTCTATACCTTTACCATTGATTTCATCATTTTTAAATTAGCCTTCAAATATAAAATAATTATTATTGCAATATGCATCATATTATTTAATATAGATTTTACCATCTCCATGCATTTTATTATTCTAGGTTTCTCCAATATATACATAATCTTTATAAATAATCATTTACTCTTTTGTATTCTTCTTTTATATTATTAGCTTAAATTATTTTGAATCTTAGTTTTCAAATTGTTATTATTAATTAGAGTTGAAAAAAATGAAATCAAATTTGAATTCTTAAGTTGCCTATTCTTATTATTATTCTTAAGGAGGTTTAGATTCTTTTTTTAATTTCAATCCAAGACGCATAAAATAGATATATAAATTATTTATATAATATTTCATCTGTCAAATATAAATTATATCTTCATTATCTTTCCATTCAATAATAATGAATGTTTAAAATGTATGATTCATTATATTTTTACAAACCTTTTTAACCAATATATTCTTAGCATCATTAAAAAGATAATTGTATCAAAAAAGCAATGATTTTTCGATAAATCAATTTATAAATTTATTTATTCCCAAAATTAACTAAGGATTATTGAAATATTGCTAGAATCAACAATACAAATGAGTTTTCTATAAATATAAAAATTGAAATTCTTTTTAATGAATTTGAAGTATTTTTCAAATAAGTGTTTTTTTGTTATTAATACATAATATAACTAGAACTAATATTAAATAGTTACTCCAAATTATTATATTTTCAAAATAATATTTTCCACAATTTAATTAATTAAATCTAAAAACAAAAGTGGTTTTCTAAGATTTTTATGAATAGTTTCAATAATTTTAACTTTGATATTTTTACAATAAGATAGGATTAGAATTATTGCAAATAGATTAAAAGAAGAGTAATAAATAATAATCTATATTAATTAATGAAATTAAGATGAAAGCTTAAGTAATATGATAGAGAATTATTAAATAAATAGTTTAAATAATAATTTATTAGTATGGATATTAAAATTATTATAATAGTATTTGAAATGAATGATGTATTTTATTATATTATAAATAATCTATAGATGAGATATATTAATATATAGTTAATAAGTATTGATAATAATTAGAAATTAGTATATAATAATATAAAATTTAATTAATAAAAATAAATATAAAAAAATCGCCCTCCAAGGGGGTCGAACCCTTGACATTTGGCTTAAAAGGCCAACGCTCTGACCAACTGAGCTAGGAGGGCTGATCTAATATTTAAATAATTGAATATTATTAATATTTCTTGATTAATAAAGTGAAATGAGTTTAGATAAAAAAAACATATAATAAATAAATGAAATAGAGTATAATAAAATGGTCATAGTATATAAGAATATTGATATATAAGTAGATTAAAATAATAATAATAAAAATATTAATAATAATAAATAAATAATATAAACAGTTATCAAATGGCATCAAAATACTTATAAAAATATCCAGTCCCAGAAGGGTTTCATTAAATTTTACATGATTTTGCAAGAGAGGTATTATATAAATAATAGTAAAGGTGTTAAGAGATTAGCCAGACGATATAATAAAGTATGGAGCAGAATATTTTGAATGTATGGCTTAAGGAAAGGAATTTAAATTTGATAGCAAATACAATATAGCAAAAGGTGAGGCACCAGGTAGAGTACATAAACCACCAAAACCATCAAATATGACAGAGAAGGCAAAAATAGTAGTAGAGAAATCAAATAACAGATCTGATAGTCAATAAATGAAAAGAGTGGGATCTGGTAATCCAAATAATGTTTCACATGTAAGTTCTTAAGGAAGTCATCCAGAAGAAAAGAAAGCTGCAAAAGAATATGTGAATGATTTATATGATAAGATAACTAAAGACATAGATGATTTTGAGAATCCTATTATAGAGTAAAATGATTAAGGTGAAGAATTACCAAAATTAACTAGTTTTGTAATAAATTATAATTATATTTTTAGGATGATAAGGATATGTAAAATATCATTAAAATATAAGCAGCAGCTAAAGGGAAGATTGTTAGAAATTAAGTTAATAAGAATTAAAAGAAATCTAAAGAAGATAATAAATAATAAATGTTAGAATAATAATAAACTGAAGAATAATTAGTATTCTAATCTGATCCAACATAATAAGAATTTGGTTAAGAAGAAGAATGATCAAACATTAATAATATAAATAAATAATATAAATAATATAATTTAACGCATTCAATGTATGAAAATATGTAAAAAACTATGTTGACTTAATTAATATTATTTTTAAATTAATGCAATTGAAAACTAAAATAGGCGACGGCTTTTCTAGTGATCTATATTTATGTCTTTATGAACAATAATAGTATGTAGTAAAGATCTATAAACAAAACTATTCTGACAAATTAAGATAGAAGGAAATTAAAATATTGAAAAGTTTAGATCATCCTCATATTCTTAAAATTATTGATCATCATTCAGATTACAAATACTTTATTTGTGATCAAATGAAAATAGATTTTTATTAAATTATGAAGAATGGAATTTAATTAGATATTAGAACTGTTAAATAGATATTACTTGAATTATGTGAAACTATACAATATCTTCATAAACTTAATTATGTTCATAGAGATATTAAATTAGAAAATGTAATGCTCAATAAACAATTATAAATCATTCTAATAGATTTTGGTTTTGCTGATATTGTTGATGATAACAAATAATATATCAGAAATTGTGGAACACGTAATTATATGTCACCAGAATTACTTATTTCTGATAAATATATTTAACCAAATCTACTTAAAAAATCTGATATTTTTGCTTTAGCTGTTCTAATCTTTATACTTTATTATGGATTTCCTCCATTTTCTGAGGCATCTTTAAATTGTCCATTTTGGAAATTTATCTCTGAAAAAAAATGGCATCATTTTTGGAAACTTGTAAATAAAAATGCTAAAAATCATGACGAATTATTTTAAGAATTATTTCAAAATATGATATCACCTGAAACTGAAAATAGATTTACTATAGAATAAGTACTCAATCATCCATGGATTGATGGAAATCATGATCTAAGCTAACTAATTAACATTATTTGATTATCTATATATATATATATTTAGTGTTATCAATCATTATTCATAATATCCTTTAAATTTTATTATCTTAAATACTCCCACTACTTCATCTATAAATAAACTCTAATATAGATATGTTAAAAATAAATCACAAAATATTGAATCTAAAACAAATTCAATTAATACACCTACCAATAAATACATATCAAACTTAAATTCTAATCCATACATCTACCAAATCCCTATTATCATATTCCCAATAAATAATATTACCCATAAAATCCAATAAAAACCTAATACTTTTCCTTTTCTCTTCTTTCTAAAAGCTAATGCCAATCCACCATATAAATAATTACAAATCCATGTCTATATTATTACTAATAAATAATAAGCTGTTAACATTCCAAATTTAAATGGCAAAGATGATAAATATACAGATGTAAATGTTACATACATCTGTATTTATATTAAATAAAGTGATAACTTTTATAAAGAAAATTCTAAAGATGAAGCTGTGAAAATTGCATTTATTGGATAAACACTCCAAAAATTTTTAGATTTCTTTCTAATTCTCATTTAATTTGATGGATTCTAAACTAAAACATGACCACTTTAACCAGTCTCATATATATCTGAGTATTTCTTTTTCTTCTTCGTTTTTATTGGTCTATTATATAAAATACATAATAAAGTCATTAAAGTTAAAAATAATCCAATCAATGTCATTGATATAGCAAAAGCACAATTTTATACAGTCTTTACAAATTCAAATTCTTAAGGAATTTCAAATATGCTTGATAAACTTGATTAATTATTTGTAATATTTTTAACAATCTAAACATAAGTACCAAAATCACCTAAAGAACTAACTTAACAGACAGTGTAATATTTACATTTCAATAAGGTAGCTCTTGTATTTTCCCATATTTATTTATCTTCATTCCATTATACGCAAACGTTATTTTCATGTACATCTGCATAATATTAATCACTTTTTGGAACAACAATTATCATATTCATTCCACTAACACTTAATAATTTACCAGATTTTATAATTTAAATTCTTGATATTGTAGAATTTATAGTTTAACCTGATGATCTATGATTTTAATAATAAAGATGCATTTAGTTAAAAATTAGAGGAGTTTGAGCATCAGATTGTAGAATTTTTATTTCTGCTAAGTTTTCATCTGTTAAATGAATTTATGGAGTAAGTAATTTCTTATCATTATCACATGTACCATAAGATTTTACAAAGTTAAATTTAAATGTGGAGAATGAATCATCACTAAAAAGATCAAATTTTCCAATAATTTATTTATGGAATGGTCCAGCAGTAGTTTATATTTCGGATATCATAATTGATTCTGCCTATTTTAAAATAGCATTAAATAATGAATTATCAAGATTGAATAATTTTTGTGTAGCTATATTTTCTTATTAAAATAAGTTTTTAGAGATAGCTCCAATAGCAGTAAAGTATTTTAAATCAAATTATTATATAATTTATTTATCAAGAAATTACTAAAATGATTTAATGTTGCTTTCTGTAACAGCATAGGTTGTATCTGAAATCTATTATATAATTTCAACAAAATTAGGATCATATTAATTTTAAGTATTTAAGTATGTAAGTAATTCTGTTTATAATTTAATGAAATCAGAAGTAGTTGTGAATTGACATCTACTACCTGCAATATTTTTAATGCATTTACAAGAGATTAAAAGACATCTACCGTACATATTACATTATTTATCACTTTAACAGAAAAATCCTTTTGAGTTAAGAGTACCTATAAATGGATGAGGTCCCAGACTTGATTTAGTAATAAGTATATTAGCATAAGCTAAGGCATCATCAGAATTTGTAGTTGAAGTCAATAAAAATGCAGTTGTATCTTCAGTACATTAACCATTAAAAAGTATAAGAGATCTTTAACATTTTGTACAAGTTGTAGATGTAGTACATTAAGTACAAGTAGAGGGACATGGTAGACATGTCTATTACTCTAAATAATAACCATCTTTGCATTAGTTGCAAGTATATTTTCTTTTTTCTTAAGTACTAATTTATGATTCACATTCATAACAGTTTTATAAATTAGTAATACTTCCAGAACAATCTAAACAATAATAAATTTCAGATTTATCTTCTGCTACTTTTAAAAAACCTGGTAAACAAGTAATACATTAAAAATTGCTACCTAAATTACTACAAGTATCACAATTTTCAAATAGTTAATTACACTTCTTACATTACTATGTACTTGTTAATACAAATCCTTGTTCACATTTTTAACATATAATATTATTTGTTGTTCCTTATGTTAATGTATTTAAACAAGTTTAACAACCAGTATTAAAACTTGAACATAAATAACAATATTATTTACTATTATCATAATAATAATTATTAGAACAGCTTATACATTTATTTATTATACATTATTCACAACTTGCATATTTTGCAGAACATGCAGTACATTTCCCTTAAGGATTAATGAAATAGCCATCTGAACATTTTGTACAAGTTTAATTTGAACATGTAACACAATTTGTCATTATTGAATTTTAACTTTCACATTAACCTATACAAGACAGAGCATTTGATCCTTTTACATAACCAGTTTAACATTATGAACAAATTTTAACAAAAATAGTCGAATCTCCACAAGTACTACAATAGTTAATTGGACAGTATTCACACAATCTTGTAACTTAATTTATTATGAAATTATTATTGCATTTTAAACATACAGTCAAATCTAAATTAAATAAAAGACACTCTTTATTCATTATTGAACATTATTTATTTCCAGTAGGTTCATAATTGTCTTTACACTCAGAACAATATGTTCTTTAGGTTTCATCAAGATATATTGTTTGTTTAAGTTTGCAATTTAAAATTTCAGGGAAACAAAATGTTTAATTTGTATGTTCTGCATACCCAGAAATACATTTACTACATTTATCATCAATATGTTAATCACAATTTTTTATATTTTAATAGCATAAAGTCTTGTTAACAGATTAATGATAATTAATCTCACATTCTTCACATTATTCTGATTATTCTTAATAATATTTGCAATTCAATATTTCTTTACTGATGCAAATCTTAATATTATCTTTTGAATTTTTCAATAAAAATGTAGAATTACATTTTTAACATTAATCATCTATTTAATATTCGCAATTTTTTCTTCCTTTCCAACATTTACCATTTGACAAAAAATACTATTCCCCGCATTTCTTACAAGCTTTTTATTATTATTCTGCTTAATCACATGTTGTTGTACTTATACAAACATTATTTTGTTCTACTTCATAATTAGAGCAATCCAAACAATTTTCAATAGCATCAAAACAAAATTATACATTTTCTTATCCACTATTACATTAACAAAATTTATTCTCTGTATTTGTAATCTTTATTAGTATGAATAAACCTATAAATAACATTAGTGCAATTTAAATTTATTTTTATATATATATATTTTTTTAATTTCTTTTTCTTATTTTATAATCCAACACATCAAAGATATTAGTATATCAATCCAATTATCTTTATTATCTCATCCTATAAGTCATCTTAAACCACTAACGATAGTAAATCACAAAAACATTAATATAAGTAAATATACTAATTACTTTTTTTTTTATAAATTTACATAAGCTATCTTTATTAAACATTTAATTTTTAAAAAATATTTCATACTTTACTCTATTGTAATTGATTTGAATATTGCCATTACAGATTAGGATATAATTTTTATTTTAACTAAGCAATCAAGAATAGATAGAAATAGCATTATAATTTTTAAAGTATTATTCCTTGATTTCTTATTATTTAATTTTATGATAAAAATTATTAAGCCAATTTTACCAATAATTCATATTAAATATATTATGAAAAATAATAGCTTTCTTAACAAATTTGATTTCTACTAAAATAATATTCTCATCTTTTTAGGTCTTTCCAGTCTTATATACAATATTTTTTCTCTATATTAATTTGGGGTAAATAAGAATTTTTAGAATCTTTATTAGACTGTTGTTTTTGTCACATCCTCTAGTGAGAATAATATATCTATTTTTTTAAGATAAATTGTTTGATAAAAGGTTTACAAAGTTTATGGTTTTAAATATTGAACATATATATTTATATCTTAGTTTTTTATAAAATATTTTAATAATGGTTAATTATTATAATAATTTTGGTTTGGAAAAAAATCTATTTAAGAAAAGAACTAAAATTGTTCATTCAGTTCTTGTGTTCAAGATATTGTATCAATGCTGATAAAGAAAAGAGTAATTTAATGTTAAAAGTTTAATTTTGATTGTCTTGAAAATATTCAAGAATCATACTAAATATAAATATTTAGAGTTAAAATTAATATTTATTATCTTTAAATTATCCTATATAAAATAAATATAATTTTAAAAATAATAATTTATATATTAACTAAATAGAAAATTTATGAGATTGGAAATTGTTTTTATTGTTGAGTTTTTACTTCTCAATTTTTCTTAATAATTATTATAATTAAAATGATGAAGTCATGCTAAATACATTCTATATTTAACAATTTGTCATAATAAAAATAAAATAATAATCATTTTATACAAGATTTAACAATGATTTTGATTTACAATATAAATGTTAAATTTTTTTTTTTTATAAGAAACAAATTGAAGACTAAAAACTTTTAAAAGGTTCATCATTTTACTACGATTCTGTTAGTATTTTAAATCTTTTAGAGTTTTTTATTTGGTAGAGATAGTGTACATAATGAAATAATTAATATAATTGATATAATATATATGTTAATCAATTATTCCAATCGCTATTTAGTCGAAAATAGCTTCTGAGATCATCATTTACAAGAGATTTGACCCANTATTGTAATTGATTTGAATATTGCCATTACAGATTAGGATATAATTTTTATTTTAACTAAGCAATCAAGAATAGATAGAAATAGCATTATAATTTTTAAAGTATTATTCCTTGATTTCTTATTATTTAATTTTATGATAAAAATTATTAAGCCAATTTTACCAATAATTCATATTAAATATATTATGAAAAATAATAGCTTTCTTAACAAATTTGATTTCTACTAAAATAATATTCTCATCTTTTTAGGTCTTTCCAGTCTTATATACAATATTTTTTCTCTATATTAATTTGGGGTAAATAAGAATTTTTAGAATCTTTATTAGACTGTTGTTTTTGTCACATCCTCTAGTGAGAATAATATATCTATTTTTTTAAGATAAATTGTTTGATAAAAGGTTTACAAAGTTTATGGTTTTAAATATTGAACATATATATTTATATCTTAGTTTTTTATAAAATATTTTAATAATGGTTAATTATTATAATAATTTTGGTTTGGAAAAAAATCTATTTAAGAAAAGAACTAAAATTGTTCATTCAGTTCTTGTGTTCAAGATATTGTATCAATGCTGATAAAGAAAAGAGTAATTTAATGTTAAAAGTTTAATTTTGATTGTCTTGAAAATATTCAAGAATCATACTAAATATAAATATTTAGAGTTAAAATTAATATTTATTATCTTTAAATTATCCTATATAAAATAAATATAATTTTAAAAATAATAATTTATATATTAACTAAATAGAAAATTTATGAGATTGGAAATTGTTTTTATTGTTGAGTTTTTACTTCTCAATTTTTCTTAATAATTATTATAATTAAAATGATGAAGTCATGCTAAATACATTCTATATTTAACAATTTGTCATAATAAAAATAAAATAATAATCATTTTATACAAGATTTAACAATGATTTTGATTTACAATATAAATGTTAAATTTTTTTTTTTTATAAGAAACAAATTGAAGACTAAAAACTTTTAAAAGGTTCATCATTTTACTACGATTCTGTTAGTATTTTAAATCTTTTAGAGTTTTTTATTTGGTAGAGATAGTGTACATAATGAAATAATTAATATAATTGATATAATATATATGTTAATCAATTATTCCAATCGCTATTTAGTCGAAAATAGCTTCTGAGATCATCATTTACAAGAGATTTGACCCATCTATAATTTTTAAAGAAAATTTTAGCAATAGCTTTACCTAATCTTGATTTACAAAGTCGCTGAATATGAAATTTGGTGTGATTCTAATTTTAAATCATTTAGAATTCTAAAATAAAAGTCTGATTCATAATTTCAGTTAAATTAGAAAAATTTTAGCTAATAAATTCTCTAAGTTTAGGTCCAATATTTTTGAAATAATTTTTTGATTCTCTAGGATATCTATAATTTTTCTTTTAAATTGGTAAGAAAGAGATCTTTTGTTCTTAAATAATGTTATGGAATGTTGATGTATGCCCATTTTGTGGTTTATCATTTTAATTACTGATAAAATCATCTAATTAAGCTTCTATCAACATTCCAGATTCATCTTTAAATTGATTTTAGTCTTTAAAATTAAGAAAACTATCAGTATCTAAATAACTTTATTTAATAGATGTGATTTCTTCAAAATATAAATCTTCAAATGAATTGAACATTTAGATATTAATAAAAATAGATATTATTATTGAATTAAGTATTCTAAATTACTGATGATTATTGATTATTTTTTTAAACATATGTTCGTCTAAAGTTCAATTTCATAAGGAGAAATAATAAATGAAAAATCAGATATAATAAGACTAAAAATTCAAGTAAACTTCTGATAAACATAATAAAGAATGAAATTGAAGAGGCTTCAAATTTTTATCAGATTACAAAAGTGGAATCTAATTTCGGAAATACATTTAAGTAATAAGAATATTTGTGCAGACTATGTGATAATATTGAATTATAAATGTAATGATATAATAATGAATAGTTTATTCAATTATGATTATCCACGAAGTACTCCAAAGTATTTTGTATAGTAAAAATTTAAAAAGAATCCTTTAATTGATGAATAAACATGGCAAATATAGATAATACATGAAAATAGTCTTTTGAATACACTTAATGAAATTTTCAGTCAGTTTTAAAAATATCCTCCATAACCAGATGAATGGATTTAGTAATAAGTCTAGGATACTCATTAAGATTTCCCTGATTAACTTATTATTTTAAATGAATAAGAAATGAATATTTTGAAAAGAATTCCAAATGCATAATAAGATGAAAACTCATTATTAGATCTTATTCTATCTATATAGAAATTTTAAGATTTATATCAATTAATCACAATTAGAGCAACTAACAATTAAATTATTCATGGTAATTATGATGATTATTTTTTATAGAAAAAGTTAAAGAAAATTAAAATGATATTCGTAAACTAAAGAATGATTTATAAAATATTTATAATCAATTCTAACAAACCTAATTGGATGTTTAAATATTAATTTCTTAATGTAATAATATTTAAAATGTAAATATTTTATTCTATTACTGTTTTAGAAATTTAGTAATTAAGAATTATTAAGATTATTATAGTCAAAAAAAGAAAAACTTGAATAGATTGGTCAATAATTTTATTCAAAACCACAATCAGCTAATTTTGAAGATTAAGAACTACTTTATAAATAGTTTTTAAATAATAGAACAGAATATCATAGATATGAATCTATTGAAATAGTTTTGACATAAGATATAAATTAATAAAAATCTTAAATAATTTGAATTTAAATTATTCATAACACATCTTCTTCTCTCATATTTTCAGTTTTAATTTCAATATAACATTGATCATTTTTAATCTATTAAATATTCATTGTTGCAAAAATAGATATTGATTAATTTGATTAATTTATTTACTGATTTTGTTATTCTTATTGAGCTGAATCTAAAGGTAGTTTTTTTTAATTCAATTGAATATTAAAGTTTTAATTTCTCATTTTCCAAATATTACACAGTACCTTAAAACCAACAATAGAGATTAATGTAGCAAAAAGAATGAAAAAACAATAAGAAGTTGTCATAATAATAAATTTAAATATTATTTAATATAAATTCATTATTATTACAATATTTATTATGATACTTTTTATTCAAATCTAATTAATACTATATATGCTCATATTATTTTTATCAAACTATATTCAAGTTTCATTAAAATCTGAAATATCAACAATAATAGTATTAAGATTATCCTTTTAATTAATTTAACATTAAAGCTTAATTAATAATATATTTTTTTTTAAATATTATGTTAAATTGAATGCAATAACTTTTTTATTTTAAAAATCAAATTTAAAATAAAACCAATTACAACAAATTTAAGATAAATAGAATTAATGATAAGGCATAATTTCTAGAATTTATCTAGCTAAGATTGTTAAATTATATAATCTTAATGAATAATAATAATACCGTAAAGTTTAATTAATATTTTTTAATTTATCTAAAAAATTAGAATATAATTAATTTAATATAAAATGAGCTTATTCTTTTTTTTAACGTATCTATCTTTTATAATCTCTTCTTATTTTTATATTTTTTTTTAGCAATTTCAAATACAAAAATTACAGTTAATGTATTTACAAAAAAACTACTAACTTTTTATAAAGAAATATGATTATCTAATTCTAATCAACCCAAAGCATATTCTATTACGAAAATAAACTCCATTTAAATTTGTCATATCAGAAGTATTTATTTGAGCATCCTTATTATTAAAAAGGTATTACAATCTCCTTTATTAAAAGTTCTTTACTTGTATTTTTATACATTAATTTATACTTTTATTATTAAAATATACTTATTTGTATTTATTACATGTATTCTTTTTTTTCTCATTTCTAAAAATTGAAATTTGAATGTTGAGATTATATTTATAGATATATAAATAATATTATTATTCAAACAGCTTTATAATCTTTTAAAATACTTTCTATATTCCATTATTATCTTTATTCTCTCATATCTTTCAATCTTTTTTCTATATATATTTATATATATAAATACCATGAGATTCGATATTGTTTTATTTTTATTAATTTTATTATGTATCTTCTTTTTCTTTTTTGGATTCCTTTTTTTCTTCGAATTTTTCTAATTTAGGTACTCTTTTAGCTTAATTACCAACTTAAACAACTTCCATTTTACCTGGATAACGAACTTAACCTTTATGTTCTTATAAATATTATTTTGATAATCTAATTATATTATATATTTACTTATCTTTATAATTATTTCTTAATTAAGCATGTATTTCTTTTCTAAATAAATCAAATTAACCTCCTGATTCTTCTTTTTTAATATCTTCTTTTTTGGGTTCCTCTCTTCTAATTTCCTATTTAAAAAATTATTAATTTTCATCTAAAATTTTATTATCTATTTCTTATATCTAAAATTCTCTTTCTCCTTAATCTGTCATTAATACATCATATAATAATAATTATCCAGGAAGAAATGTTTCAAAAAGCATTTTATTTTATTTAAGAGAATCTAAAAACTTTTTACCTTCAATTAAACCTAATTCATCATTTTTAATTTCAATTTATTTATCCATTTTAATTGTTGCCCATGAAAATTTTCTCATAGCTCTTTTAAATGCTAATTCATTTTATAATGCCTATGAATCACTTGTTATTAATGATGTTTCTCTTGTAAAATTCTTTTCTATTCTTTTTATCATTTATTATATATCATCTATAGATAAACAACCATCTTCATCAACATCACTTAAATCAAATATTAATTCTAATTTCTTTTCTAATTCCATTCTTGCTAATACTCCAAGAGATAATACTAAATCTTATATTTCTATTTTATCATCAAATTCCAATTAAAATCCTTATATAACATTTTAAATTACTTTCAAACAATTTCTCAAATAATGTTTCAAATTTCTTACCTACCCAAATTTCAAAATATGTCTTCTCTTATTATGCTTTTTCAAATATCGGTTAAACATTATTAGATCTAAACCATCTTTCAAATAAACTATCCAAAGCTGATATTTTCATTTTTTTTTTATCTGAATTATAATTAGTTCCAAACCATTTAAGAAATTATTAATCATAATTCTACTTAAACCAATTTTCAAATGCTTAATCTGGTGGTTAATGTTTTTCAGATTAATTATCCCTTCTCTATGCAGGTTCTCTAACCAATTAAGTATCTGGATCAAATCTATATGATTCAGCACATGATCTTTCAACAATTGCTTCAAAATCATTTTTCATTTTATTCTAATATCTTGTAAATTCTTCTGGTGCTAAAATCAAAAAGAATTATGAAGAAATATAACTGTATTCTCTACTCTTCACATGTAATTTAAGTTATTTTAACATTTCTTTTGTGAAGTTAGATTTAGTCATCTTACCTTCTGATAAATTACCGGATTCTCTAAATTCCTATATTATAATATATAATTCATATACCTTCCATATCTTCTTAATGAATATATCAGAAAGCAATTTTTGAAAGACTTCACAAACTGATGGATTAAGTGGTTCTTTAGCTTATTAATTCATTATTTATTATAAAAATGAATGCTGATTAAAAAGTTATTTAAAAAAAGAGAAATATCTAAAACATAATTGATAATGATGATGAAATAGGAGAAGTAGCAGAATGGGCAGGAGTATCAGCTGCTTAAGCTAAAGATGATGATGATTTTAATATTGATAATAAATAACATTTTTAATAGTCAAATCATCATATAGAAATGGCTAGATAAAAAATTAATTAAAAATTTAATAAGAAAGGAAATAATGTAAATTAAAGAAATGGAACTTTAGTTAATAATCTTAAAGATAAGGCTAAAAGTATAGCATTATAGAATAATCAAAATAATGATATACCTAAAAAATAACAATGTTAATCTAGTGACGAAGAAAATTAAAAGCCTCCTGTTGATAAAGGTGAAGAAAGTCCAGATAAAAAGATTTTTAGATTATCAGATAGAAGTATTGATAAAATTGAATAAGAATTTTAATAAGCCAATAAAGAAAGAATTTTAGACTTAGAAAAGAAGAAAAATGAAATTAAACAAATTAATTTTATTGAAGCTTTAGATTAATTAAAAGGTTCTTAAGATATTAAAGATTAGATTGAATTTATATAAAAAAATACATCGTTTTTAGATAAAATATTTGGATGTTTCAGTATCCATTTAAAAAGTACCAGATTAATATCAGAAAAAAATTAAGTATTATAATTCTAAAAAAGGTTTGCTTAATGTCGTAATTATCATTTGATGACAATAACGAGTGTCATTTTAGAATTCTTTATACCATATATTGTCAATTAATGACAACTGATTATTGTCTTAGATATGGTTCACATTGGGAAATGATTGGATTTTAAGGTACAGATCCAGCTACTGATCTTAGAGGAGCTGGAATACTTGGATTATTATAAATACTTGCTTTTATATCAGAATATAAAATTTATATCAAGTAAACACTTAAATTGTTTCAATAAATAAAAATTCCTATTAGTATTACACTTATTAATATCACAACTTTTGTATTAGTTAGTCTTAAAGATAATAAATTAAACTAACTCATTAATTAAGAAGATTCAGTTATCAGTGTTGTGAATAAACTTTATTTTGCAGGATTCCATCTATTACACAAAATTCTTAAAAAGTATATATTTTTATTAATGAAAAAAGAGAACAAATTACTTTCCATACTATTGGAAATCATTTGACACATATAAGAAAACTCATACATGAACAACCACAGAAATTGATCAGAGAATTTCATTCAGATATTCAAAGATTTTATAAAATTAATAACATCTGATTGATTTATCTATAATCATTAATTTTAAAAACACTATATTTATATATTCTATATTTATTCATTTTTTAAAAGCTATGCAATAAGCTTTACATACAAGATCATAAAACTTCTATGCATCTTCATCGATTGAATTTACCTTAAATCCTATTTGAATTTATAATCCAAATGGATGCTAATCTTAAAGTTTTTTTTTTTTTAAAATAAACTCCAAAACAGCAACTACTTCATTATCTTAAATTATTGGACCTGCAAATACAGGTAATATTGAGGAGATATCAATATTTTCATCAAAATTTGGATGTTTGGTTATAGAAGTGAAAATCTAAGACCTTTAAGATTTATAGACTTAATATGCACATCCTGATCTAAGATCATAATAGTTCGTTCTCTTTTTAAATCTACCATTTTCTACATGTATTATTGTTGTTTATGCTATTTAGAATATACAATAAGCTGAATCTTAAGTCTTTTATTCGAAATCTTCAAAATTTGAAGATTGACTTAGCTTCATAAAACAAGAGAAAAAAAGATCTTAATATTTTAATTCCTTATATAAAGCATCATAATTTAAAATACTTGTAATTACTGACTTACTCAACATATTTACTAATAATCCATAATATTACATATCTATTATCATATCATCATTAATATTTTAAATCTATTACATATACAAATAATTTTTACTTCTAACAATCCACATGGTTTTTTAGAATTCATCATAATTGGTAATAATAAAAAATTCTTACCATAAACTTTTTATCCTTCAGTAACATAAAGTAGTAATTCTTCTTTTGATGGACTTTATATTCCGAAATCTTCATAAACAATTTTTTAAAAAACACCTTCAGTTAACATAGCAACTAATTAACATCCATTTGAATCATGTGTATAAGCTTTACATGTCATTCCATCTATAATCCATAAATGAACAGTTTCAGTTTAAAATATAGTTTTGAATCCTTTACTTATATGTATTTAAAAATCTTTAATATTTTTATAACTTATTAAAGTAATGAATTCATTCATGATTTAATTAATCTTTTCACTAAATTCTCTTGAACTTATAAATTAATCTAAGTATTAAATTAAATATTAATACTTGATATTAAATTAATTAAATCTTTCCTTTATTACAAATTATCAAGTTAAATAACTTAATTAGTAAATATATCAGCTCCATGCTCTATTAAATCTACTAAAAAATCATTTTATTCAGAAGTCAATTAATTAAATCTGAATTCTAAATTTTAAGGTAATTGATTTGGATCAAATACATAATTACTTTAATAATTTTCTTCAATTATTAAATTATCTGGTTTACTTCCTACTCGTTTAGTTTTTAAATTATCTAACTTTTTTGATAATCTATTATTTTATTATATTAATTTTTAATTTAATTCTTTTAATCTCTCAATTTCTTTCTCTCTTTTTATAACATTTCTTTTTAATTATTCATTATCCTTAACTAATTCTGATAATGTCATTCTTAATTCATCCTAATGAGTTGATAAATTCTTTTCTAAAATCATTTCTATTCTCTTTTCAAGACTTCGTACTTTCTTATAATACTCTTCACATAATTATTTTTAATAGAGATAATCTCTTTATAATTTCTATTAATCCATTTAAGTCAGATACAATTTCTTAGATTAATCCAAATTATCTTATTTAAAATGATTCTATTAATAATGATAATAAATAATACCTATTATTCTTTAAGTTGTTAAATTATTTATTTTTATGTAATATTTTCCAATGTACTTTTATTTAATAACTTATTTTTCTGATTTAATTCAATTTCATTTTTCGAAGCTGATTTCAATGTTACAGCCATTTATTATAAACTCTATAGAATTTTACCAACTTCAAAAGATTAATTAGATTTGAAAGACTCCACTAATTAATCAATCCAATGCAGCCTTTATTCCAGAATCTAATCTTTAGTATTGCCTATACCATATTAGTTTCTTAACTAGAATCAAGTCTTCTTGATAAATTATTTGTGGTATTTCTTTCATCAGGCAGGGTTTTTGTATATTTTTAAACTGAAAAATCACACTATTTTTTAGGTGTAATTTATGCCTAATTGATTTTTTTAATCTTAATTTTAGGTCCTTAGATATTGAAATAGCTTACTCTCCAAAAAATATGTATTACTGTTCATTTAATATATAATTTTATATTTTAATATTAAATTCATTCTAAGGTAATATGATTCTTATCTTTCTCTACTTTTTCTAAATATTATTATCTTAATTCATAAAGTAAAGAGTTAACTTATTAATAATAGTCAGTTACATTGTTTTATTCAATAAAATTTTATTCTTATTTTCTAAAATCATATATTTATTACTATTATTAAATATTAAAACAACTTTTTAATGTTTTCCATCTTTTAATGACATAATTTTAAATTATGAAATTAGATCATCTTAAATGTCTAAATCTGTTAATTTAATACTTTAAGTTTCTTCTTCTTCCATTAATTTTATATATTTTAATAAACAAATTAATAGGTTGTATTTTATGATTACAAAATTTAATATTATGTTTTTAATTTTATTTTTTTTAATTGCTTAAATCAATACATTAAAGCCATCAACATATTAATAAGCTCTAGCAACAATCTAAGATGATCCAGATCATCTAGCTTTAATGATGTTTATTAAAAATGATTCAGATGAATCAGATAAAGCAATAAAATTATTAGAAGAACATTCTGCTACTATGATGGATATACTTAATGTAATAATGTTTAATTTATTAGATTATTAGATATAAATCATAAATTGTGATTAAATATCTAAAGAAGAATTCCATCATTTACCAGCTTGTTAATATAAAGAAAGTTTACCTTTTGCAATGTATTTGATTCCACCAAAAGATTCTGATCCTACATAAGGCCCAATTTAACCTATTTAAAAATTAATTACTAATTTCTCTCTACCTGCACTCAAGGAAGGATTTTTAGAAAATAGTCCATAATTTTGGGAATTAATCAATGATGAAAAATAATATGAACAATTTTTAAATGATAAAAGATTAAATAAAGTATTAACTAAAATTGCAAATAAACCTATTTGGTGGTATGGTATTACATAAAAATTCAGAGATAGAATAGATGTAAGAAAATTACTTTTATTTAGTTTGCTATTGTTAATCCTAGATTATTAAGTTAAGATCTTGTGATACTTAAGTTAATTAATGGATAATATATTGAATAGACTTACCATGGTGCAAAATAATATGAAAGTTTAAGAGCTTATTTATCAGTATTAGCAAGTGTAAAATTTATTAGAATATTTTAAGTCTTAAAGAGTTTATAAGAACTTGGAATCATCAAGGAATATTAATTCAAATTAAATTACTAATATAACTTCAATTTAAAATATAAATTTTGATAATTAATGGATCTTACTTTCCATCAATAATCATTAAAGATTAAAAGGTGTTATTTCAGATATGAAAGGAATATTTAGTGCTTATAATTTAATAGATAATTCTGGTACTTAACAATTACTAATTTATCCATTTTCCTAAAAAAAGAATTCAATTACTGTAAAATCTTAAAACACTTTAGAATTATGTATAGAAATGATTGATTTTTTAAAATACAATGTAAATACTGATTCTCTTTAACTTTTATCAGAAATTAAATAATTATTGACAACCAAATAAATTATTAATGTATGGTTTTTAAATCAAAAAAATTATAATAAATGCCATTTATTATGGGCTTTAACATTTGCAAATAAATAAGAATACAAAAAGATATTTTCATTTCATATCATTTATGATCCAGATGATTAAATGAAAAAATAATTTTATATTAATAAAGTACCTTTCATTACCAGTTTAGAAATTAACGATGGTTAAGTAGCTTAATTAGATTATACTGAAAGTTTCATTTATTAAAATATAGAAGAATATATTGATAAATTATATTAGAGATATTAATTAAAGAACAAATAAACTCAATAGTATCCAGAGAATAATAAAGAATTTGAATTTCTTTGTACTTAGGAATAAGTTAAATGCATAATAACAATAATTGATAGAAAAAATTAAGTTGATGAAGACGTCTTTATTAAATCAATGAAAACAATTAATAATAACAAATAAATATGGATTATTTTATATTAAGATTGCCAATCAATATTTATTGAAAAGTATAAATTATAAATTCCAACTTTAATTTTATATGATGCAAACAATTATAAATATTAAATAATGAAAGATTAATTTAACTTTATGAATATTGATAAATTTATCAAATAAAAAAAGAGGAATTGGAAAGAATTAGATTATCAATTTTAAATAGAAAAATGTTCAATAAAAAAAGATGATTTATGATGTAATTTAATAAAACAGTATCAATATTATTATCTATTTAATTGATCTATATTATGTAGAAAAATTTCTTAATTGTATTTTTTTTGAATAATTTAAACTTATTTTATGAAATTGAAGAAATTATTAATCAACCCCATGAACGAGATATTGTATCATATTGTGTAAAAAAGTAAACTCTGTTTTAGCATCTATATTAATATAATATTTTCTTTAAGAAGTAGATTATTTATATATTTCTTTTTTTAAATCTTATTTCTCTTGTTAATAAATGATAAGAGATCTTTATTGATAAATATGGGGAGTAAATATCATTTAAAATAAGTATATAAAATAATATTTATATAAAGATAAAAAGAGTAGAATAAATTTTAGAACAACTCAAGAAAGAAGAATAATAATTCTATAATTTTTTATAATGAAACATCTTCAATAATCAAATACTTTGATTTGATCTATAATTACTTTAAGAGCCTTAGTTTGTGTTTCAGCAACTTCTCCTCTAATTTCTAAATAACCTGCTATTTCATCAATCAATCCATTAAAAAGTTTTTTGGTAATCAATCCTTAAATATATTTTTACAGGACAGGAACTTCAATCAATAGTTATTTAGATAAATAATCAAGTTTAATGGTTGAGTAACATTTAGCATATCTTAAAATTTTGCATTCAACAATTATTTATTACATATATGGTTTTAAGAGAGATAAAAATGAATCTTTTTAAAAATGCTATGAATTAGATTATATTTTTACTTCTGAATTTATAATGTTACTAAAATTTTAAACATTTTATTGTTCATAAGATATTCTTAAATCTTAAAATACTTTAACATTAGGATCTTAATCATAAACCTTACTTTTCATATCATCAAATAAATTCATTTTGAAATTTTCAAGAATACTTACAACAGATGCATAGATTAATGCCTATTTAGCCTCAGGAGAACTAGCATCTAAGAAATTATAGAAAGCTTCCATAAATTTCTTTCTACTAAATTCATATTATCTTTCTAGAGCTTTTTATTAACCAATAGTTAAATTGATAACTCCTTGAATCTATAGATATCTTATATATTGATATATACATATGGCTCAAGCAAATCAAGATTAGATTTTAATAGTTATCTATAGATTGGTTTAATTTCATCATTTCTATTAGTAGCATTGTACAATAAAATTCTATATGCCAATAATTCAGCAAGAAATGCTTTTCTTCTATCTTCATCTTGAATACTGCTATTTTCAAGTACAGAATTAATATTCTTAAAGATATTATATATTTAAATACATTAATAGTTTCTTCTAATTTTTTATAATTACCTTTTGCATGATAATCTTTGCATAATTTCATACTAGCTCCACAATAGATTCCAATTTAATTCATATATTTAAGTTTATCAAGTAGATTTGGTAAAACAGTAGTTATAAGATGAGAATTATTTGAATTCATTAATGCATCAACAACTATTTTGAGTGCTTTATCTCCTTCAGTTTTATATTATTTATCTAATAATTCTAAGAATCCTGAAATATATTAAAAAATTTGATTATCTTCAAATAAAGATTTTTAAATAACAATCTATATTAAAAACTAAAAAATAGAATGAAATTTTAATACTTTATAACTTTAAAAACTCCATTTTCTTGAATTGATATCTTTTGACTTTTCTTTTTCTATTACCTCATTGAATAGTTTAAAAGCTAAATCAGGATTATCTTTTAATTCATCTTCTGCTTTATTATAATTATTTTCAAGTTCAATTTCATCTTGATCTTCTTCTTATTCCATTTGATTTTGATCATAATCATAATCATCATATTCATAATCTGACATTTTATTATGTAATTTTATTAATGAAAAAATAATAAGTTTAAGCAAAATCAAAAGCAAAGACTGCTGAAAAATAGAATAAGTTGAATTAGAATTCAAATGATAGATATTATCCAGATTTATTAATAGATGAAGATGCTTATCTTCGTAACAATTACAAAGTAGTTAGAGAATTAGGAAGAGGAGGATATGGTGTTGTTTATAAAGGGTATTTTTTATTATTATTTAGATATGCATATCATAATGGATAGGAAGATAAGACAAAAAAATATGCAATCAAAGTGAATTTTTCAACGGTGTCTCCAGAATTGATATTTGCTGAAATTGGATTCCTGAAATTAGTGTAAGGAAAGGAGAACTTACCTTAATTAGTGAATTTGTTCCTAACAAATTAGAAAATATATATAGTAACAGAATATTTTAGTTTTGATCCATTTATTACATTTTTTTCTACTTTCAACATGTAATAAATAAAAGATTATTTACGAGAATTATTAAAAGCTTTATTAGTTTTAAAATAGAATGGAATATATCATAGAGATGTAAAACCAGGTAATTTTCTATACAATCCAAAATTAAAGAAAGGAATTCTGATAGATTATGGATTATCAGAAATAGATAAATCATTTGTTAATAATATGTTAGAGAATGGAGGTAACACACCAGAAATAAGAAGAAGAAAACAATTATATGAAGATATTATGAAAACAATTGCATAAATTGGTCATAATAAAATAGGAACAGAAAGTTTTATGCCTTTAGAATCAATATTACATTATTAAGAATAATCATATGAAGTTGATATTTGGGCAGTAGGAGTGATATTTCTATAATTTCTAACTAGGAAATATAATTTATTTAGTAATGTAAGAATGGTACATAAACCAGCAGTTCCTAAGAATCTATTTTATGTTAATTTTATATTAGAATTAACTTCACTTTTTGGAGCAGAAGCCATTACTAAAATATGTAATAAATTTGGTAATTGATATATCTATATTAATTTACAATTTAGGATATTATTTGAATCTACCATCCGTTGTAGCAAAAACTCCAATTAATTGGAGTAATATAATACACATTGAAGGATTTGATGATAAAGCAGAAGATTTACTAACTTAATTATTAGAACTAGATCCTCAAAAAAGGATTAAAGTTGAAGATGCATTAAAGCATCCATTCTTTGAACAATGAAATCAATAATATTTAATTGTATTATTAATTATTAATTATCATTTATAAATATCAGCGATCTCTTACTCTTATAAATTTATTTATTATCTATGTTAATAAAACTATTTCTATAGAGTTTCCTCTTCTGATAAATGTGATCTAAATGTTTATAATTAAAATTGTAAACTATCAAATTTATAATATTAAAATTATACGTTTAAATTTCTTCCATTTTAGTTAACAATATCTAATCTAATCCTTTAACATACTCATCCACATCAGAACCAGGTTNGCTGAAATTGGATTCCTGAAATTAGTGTAAGGAAAGGAGAACTTACCTTAATTAGTGAATTTGTTCCTAACAAATTAGAAAATATATATAGTAACAGAATATTTTAGTTTTGATCCATTTATTACATTTTTTTCTACTTTCAACATGTAATAAATAAAAGATTATTTACGAGAATTATTAAAAGCTTTATTAGTTTTAAAATAGAATGGAATATATCATAGAGATGTAAAACCAGGTAATTTTCTATACAATCCAAAATTAAAGAAAGGAATTCTGATAGATTATGGATTATCAGAAATAGATAAATCATTTGTTAATAATATGTTAGAGAATGGAGGTAACACACCAGAAATAAGAAGAAGAAAACAATTATATGAAGATATTATGAAAACAATTGCATAAATTGGTCATAATAAAATAGGAACAGAAAGTTTTATGCCTTTAGAATCAATATTACATTATTAAGAATAATCATATGAAGTTGATATTTGGGCAGTAGGAGTGATATTTCTATAATTTCTAACTAGGAAATATAATTTATTTAGTAATGTAAGAATGGTACATAAACCAGCAGTTCCTAAGAATCTATTTTATGTTAATTTTATATTAGAATTAACTTCACTTTTTGGAGCAGAAGCCATTACTAAAATATGTAATAAATTTGGTAATTGATATATCTATATTAATTTACAATTTAGGATATTATTTGAATCTACCATCCGTTGTAGCAAAAACTCCAATTAATTGGAGTAATATAATACACATTGAAGGATTTGATGATAAAGCAGAAGATTTACTAACTTAATTATTAGAACTAGATCCTCAAAAAAGGATTAAAGTTGAAGATGCATTAAAGCATCCATTCTTTGAACAATGAAATCAATAATATTTAATTGTATTATTAATTATTAATTATCATTTATAAATATCAGCGATCTCTTACTCTTATAAATTTATTTATTATCTATGTTAATAAAACTATTTCTATAGAGTTTCCTCTTCTGATAAATGTGATCTAAATGTTTATAATTAAAATTGTAAACTATCAAATTTATAATATTAAAATTATACGTTTAAATTTCTTCCATTTTAGTTAACAATATCTAATCTAATCCTTTAACATACTCATCCACATCAGAACCAGGTTTATCTATATTATGTAATAACATCATTTCCTATTATTTAATTTAACTCATACTTATTTAACTAATTCAACCATTTAATCAATATGGGATCTATGATTTTATATTAAATTCTCTTCTTCTTCTAGAATAACACTTATTAACTATTCATGTTTCTATCCAATCTTCGTTAAGTCATCTTCCATTGATTAATTCACTTCTACAAAATCATTTAGTACTCATACTTGATTTACGTTCTATTGGTCCTGGAAATATATTTTCATTTAAATAAGAACGAGCTTCATTTATTTATGGATTTGGCTTTTAAGAAGAATGCTTCATTTTACTTTCATTTATTTTAAACTAAGGTTATTGCTATTACTATAATGGAATCATAGCTTGAGGTTAAGGAGGAGGGGGTTATATATAATTTTGAAATTAATATTAATTTTATTATTATGAAGTAGATTATTATTATTATGAAGATTATTACGAAGATTATTAAATTATCATTCCAGGTATAGAATTTTATAAATTCAAAAATTGAGGTTACTATTGTTACTAAAATAAATTTTAATTCTAATAATTTTATAATGGATTGTTTTTAAATGGATTAAAGGATTATTAAACCGATTATTAAACCTATGTTTATTTTTTAACTGGTTATTATTATCTTGGTAACATCAATTCTCTTGCAAGTTTATCTAAAGAAGTTACTTAATCTTTTAAATCTTTATCATTTGGTTTCTTTAATTCTTTTACTCTATCTGCATATCTTAATGTATTTAAAGTATGTTCAGAAGATGAATTGGAAGGCGAGAAATTACCAATCATAACAGTTTTACAATTACCAAGAAAAGAATCCTTTAAAACCAATGTTAATTTAGATCCTCTAAATGGTGTATGATTTTTATTTAAATCTAATGCTCTAATGCATTCTTTTAATGCTAACAATGATTTATTAATTTCAGCTCCATCAAATCTGGTTTATTTATTTGTATCACTTACATCTGCACCTCTTTCACTACCTGCTAAATCAATAAATGATAATTTGCCATGAGATCTATTACCATCCTTCAAAGTAATTTATAAAATTGCATGTGATCTAGATGAATCATTATTTGATGAATTTGATGCTGTAATTCTTGAAGCACTACCTTATTCAATTACTTTCATTAATTATTCAACCGATTATACTTTTCTTTCTTATAAACCTACAACATTGACATTTCCTTTTGCATCTTCTCTTGCATGTAAAAGGGTTCGTTCATTTAATAAATCAAATAATTTTCCACAATAAATTTCATAGAAAGATATAGATATTTACAAATGTCCATAACATTCATTATTTAATAAACAAAAAATGTCATATGCTGCTAATAAATATAAACCAGGCACTCTTTCTGAATAATCTCCAAGCATTGTATATGTTTTACCAGATCCTGTTTATCCATATGCAAAACATGTTACTTTTGCCTTATTAAATGCTGCTTCAACTATTGGTCTTACTATTTATAAGTATAATTATTCATTTGTAGTATTTTCATCAAAAGCAGCATCAAAATTAAATTAATGCTCCTCTGTATATTTTGTTAAATCTACTTTCATTCTAAAATAGTTATCAAAATATTATTGATACCTTTATTCTTTCACTATTACTTGACTTTATGAATTGTAAACATCTACTATATCTATGTCTCCTTTGTTCATTTCTTTCTTATTTAATGGCCTCTTACGAACTGCTACTATAATCTTAGGTTCTCCTTATTCAATTAACATTTTAAATTTATTTTTTTTGAATTTTAATTTGTTATTTTTAGTTCGTTATCTTTATCTTTATCTTTTAGATTCTCATAACACTTCTATATATTAATATTATATTATTAAACAATAAAATAGTTATAATATCATCTTAACTTTGATTTTAATTTAGCTTAGTATTCCAAATTTTCTTTTTATACTTTTTCCAATTATTAAGATTTCTCTAACACTTTCTAACGTAATCTTTCTATCTCCTTATCTTATAATTCACATTTACTTTAAAATTCATTTATTGTAATACTATTAATCTTTACTTCTTCTGAATATTTTTATAATTATTTATGCTATTATATTAAATTTCTATAATTCTCAGCTTATCTTGATAAATCACTTATTAAACTATCATTCTATTGTTTTAAAATATTAATCTCTCCTTCCTTTATCTATAAAGTTTCTAAAATCTATTCTTAAGATTAATTTTTTCCATTTAAATTTTACAAATCTTTTAATTATACTTAAAGTCTATAAAGTTATTCATCTTTTTATTTAATTATATTATTAAGTCTAGTACATTCATCTCCTAACATATTAGTTTTGCATTCCAATTCTCTAAAATTTTACTAATAAGATTATTAATTCTCTTTATAAGAAGTCTCTAATTTTTAATTCATTAATTTTAATTATTGATTCTATTCTTTATAACCTAGCAATTCTTACTCTAAAAATTGAATCAACATTTATTTTTGTTTATGAATATCATTTATTTCAATTTAATGATTCTTTTCTTAATTTTCTAATGATGTTTATAATTTCTTAATTTAATTCTATTCCTTAATTTATTATTATTATAAAAGATTAATCTATTCTTACGATTTTCCATACATAGAAGTCAATTCACTTATCTTTTATTATAATGAATCTCTATGTTCATTATAAGTTTATGATAAGTGTTCAAAATCACTTTCAATTAACTTCAATTTATTTTATAAAATATTCTCACTTAATGTCTTAGAATCTGCAACATCCTTATATTTATTAAGCTATTAATTAATTTATTAATTTTATTCTCTAGATTAAGTTAATTTACTCTTCAATTCCATAACATGTTATTCCTAAGAACCAATCACAGCCTATTATTTTAATAATGTAAATTCCTAATCCTTTGATTGACAATCAAATTATTATATAGCATATGATAATTTCTCTTCCAAAACATTATTATTCTTCTTCAAATTTATTAATTGAGTTTCCTAAATTTAATATATATTCTTACCAAAGATTAAACAAGACTTTAGTTCTTATTATCTGAACTTGAAATCTATGATAAATTCTATTAAAGTCTTGCAATTTCCTATTTTGCTTATTATTATTCTTATCTTAAAGCTTATCTATGTTTTTATTCCTATTACTCCATCTAATACTTTAAATTAGCTATATCTTATTTCCAACTTAAATCTATCTATCTTACTGCATCATTATGACTCTTTTCTTATAATTCACATTTATGTTTATGAAAATCTAATTAATCCTAAAATTTCATTCTAACTATTTACTTTAAGTTCCTAATTCTCTACTTGTAATTTTGGATCTTATTATACTATTACTTTTGATTCTTAAGACTTTTCTTTCAATTTTTAATTCTCTAATTGCAATCTATCTATTTCCTTAATAAATGTCTCCAAATCTTAAATTGAACAATTAGGCTTCTATTATTATTTAGAAACCTATTAAGTAATCGCCATTGGAGATTAAGGAGGTAATTAAGTTTACAATATTTAAGGATTAGATATATTTGGTTTTATAAATGAGTATGATTTTGTATCCTACTTTGTTTCTGGTCTATTTTCTCTCTTATCTATTGAATTATGTAATGATAATGGCTATCTAACACTTGAATTCATTTGATTAATTATTAACGGATAAATATATAAATAAAATTTGTTTATTATTTTTCTCTTTTTTTAACTCAAATTTTATTCAAACTCAAAAATTAAATTATTTATTTATTATTAATCGAAATTCATTATTTTTATTTTGGTGTCCTTGAACACTATTTTATTATTCGCTTATTAAAATTTCTTTATTGTCTTTAAGAATTACTTCTATTTAAACCTCTAGATTCTTTCTCTAACTAACAATTTTAATGAACATCAATCGATTCTGCTTATAATTAACTTGGAATGAATCTTCTACTACAGGATCTAATTAATTAAACTATGTAATTTAAATTTTGCTCTCTTAATTCTAATAATTATTTATTTTTATTCTAAAGATCTTCTATCCTTTTATTACATTAACTTATTGTTTCTTTTAAATTTAATATTTAATTCTAGTAATACTAAATCTACTTCTACTTTAATTCAAAATTTTCCCTTTATTTAACAAGATTTTCATTAAATTTCAATAAATTTGTCTAATACTCTTCAATATTCTAATTTACATGCATCAAATAAATTTAGCTATAATCCTATTATTCTATTTAAATTTATTGAGAGGATTTTTAGACTATTTAATCTCTTTATCCTAAAGTTAGATTAAACATATCAACATTCGGTTAAACTTAATGTAGAAATTAATCATTGTTTATGTTAAAATTATTAATTTTCATCTCTTAGTTGATTTAAGTTAGAAAAATATATTTCATTGGCTCCTTATTCTAAACAATTTAAGTGTTAGAAAGAAATAATTTTTCATTATTTAATTTCATATTTTGACAATCTTAATCAATCTCATTTACATAAGAAAATAATTGATCAACTTCCTTTGATAATTCACTTATTTAAGGATTTATGTTATTCATTATCTATTGATGTCTCAGAAATTATCTCTCAAAATTATTCATATAATCTTTTTAACATTTTTCATTATAATCTATTAAAGATTCAACGAATTATAAAATATTCTATAAATTTAAATTTTGAATTTTTTTATCTACTACTTTCATTATACCATTTTGCTATATTTAATTTTATTGTTGTTATACACAATTAAGTAAATCATTTTATTTTATTATTACTTTGTAAGCATTTCTATACTATATGAAATGCTTTTTATCAATAACAACTGTAATATTTTAATACTTTTATTTATCGAATTAGAAATTTTCAATTTTTAATTTCAATTCTTCATCATTCATATCTTATTAAATATGAACTTCATAACAATTTGTTTATAAGTTATATTATAAATGCACTTTTTCCTTTTCTTGTGTGCAATTACGAATATAATGAAATAAATAATTTTAAGGAAGTTTTATAAGCGATTAAATACATAAAATTACTCGTTATTTATTCCAAATTTCAGGATAAGGCTTTCCATCAGAAGATAGATAAAACCTTTCATTAAGTTCTTTTTCATTTTCATTTCTTGAATATCTATATAAAATCGATGCATTTTGATGTTATATTTGATAAATTTATTTTTTCTCTAACATCCCTTAAGTTTATTTAGTTTTAATTGGCATTATTTATTCTTATAATCTAGTTAATGTTTTTAAATTCATTTAATAATTCATATCATCAGATTAAGTTGAAAGTTCAAAAATAGCATTCATTTATATAATATATATATAATATAATAATTATATATTTCAAAAACAAATGTTATTATTTTACAATTCTTAAAAAAAGTATGTAAAAAATAAAATTTTTAAATTTATTTAAATCATTAAAAACTCAATTCAAATTGCTTTTCTTATTTGAATTTCTTTTGAAACTTAATCCCAAATTCCCATATATTATGAATCTTCACTAATAGCAATAAATGATTCAATTGCTTTTAACTAAATACTTTATTGAACAATAAACTATTTATCATTAACATTTTTTATGATGTTAATTGATTAGCCTGATTTAAAAAATAACAAATCTTTCTCATTTAAATAAATTGATGGCGAATATTAATAACATTATTTATTTGGCTATATTTGAATTTCCTATCCTGAAAAGAATTTTAATGAATTATTTTCCTTTACATAAAATTGTAATTTTGATTCCGAAGACTAAAAAACAAATATATTATTGTTAATAAAAGAAATTCTATAAATAGGAAATAAAAGATCTATTTTCTAAATTTATTGAACTTAAAAATCTCCTTAATTAATTACTTGATTGAGTAGAATCACATTATTAGAACATGATACTAATAATTATTCACTTTTAGATAAACTTAAAGCTTAAACTGGTTATTCATGGTTAATAAAAATTTCAGATTGAATCCATTCATCCTATAAAATCCAAAATTTGATTTTATCATCCATACTTCCAGATATTATTAGATTTTCACTTCTATTAAGTTCCAAACATGTTATACTATAACTATGTCCTTTTAATTGTTATTCACAAAAGTATTATTATTTATCATCTCTTGACCATATTATTATTTATTTATCTTAACCTCCAGATATGAACCTATATGATTTTTTCATAAATTTTAAGCAACACACATTGCCTTAATGAGAATTTAAAGTTTAAATTAATTGAAATTAACAATTGCTAATTTAAAAAACCTTAATTAATTTTTTAGAACTAACAACCATTAAGGAAGCATCATGATAAAAAGAAAGAGCACAACATAATTCTTCTTATTTAATTGTACAAACTTATTGATACTAAATTTATTATTTTTAACACTTCTCTTTAATTTATGACTGATTACTTATTTATCTTTTTAAGATTAAACATGCAAATTATACAGTTTTTTAACATTAAACTAATTTCTTTTTTTTTGTAATTCTATCAATATCGAGTTCTTCTTCACACATTTCAATTTAATTATATTTTTATTAAAAAATCGCAATTAATTATTTTAAATCATGACAAATATTTGTTTAAATTTCTTAAGTTTTCTTTATTTCTGATTAATATTAAATCTTTATTTTTTCTTAATATTAATTTAAATTATTTGGATTACTTATTTCATTTGCAGTATTAATTAATTCACTTTAAGATAAATTTTACCATTTTTTTTATACCATATTTTATTCTTTAATAAGTTAATCTGAATACCCTTCTATAAAACTATTTAATTATGTTAATGCTTAACCCAATCTTTCTTCAATAGAAAGTTTACAATCTGTAATAAATTAAATTTATTTATCCATATAATTTGAATAATTATTTTTTGATTATTCTATTAAAATTTATTTCTATTATTATTAATTTAAGCATTGATCAAAAAATTTTTCTAATTTAGTATAAGTAATAGGACAACTAGAAATACAATCAAAACAAGCAAATCTACTAGGTATTGTGGATTATTCATTCAAATCAATCATAACTGCCTCTTTATTATGATTTTAACATAAATACTTTTACTATTTAGATTATTTAAATAACTATTTTTCTAAATTCTAAATCATTTCATCAATATAATCAGGTTTATTTAATTAAATTTATGTTATTTATGATTGAATTTTACGTTTGCTTTCCATAATTTCCAAATTCTCTAATTATTTGTTAAGTAATTATTTAATATGTTAATTCATTGAATTCAATTATAAAATGAAATTGTATTATTCAAAAAGATTTTCATCAGTAGAAACCTCTTTTACCGTATTTGAAAATAGATTATGTTACATATTCATAATTTCTATTTCTTAATTCAAAATTTTTAAATTATTATCTACTTAAAATATAGTTTTTATCTTAATCTCTTCTTACAATTTGATAATTTCTTTGATTATTGCTATATTATTTTATGTTTACTCTTAACGTCCTTGTATCAATTTAAATAATATTTCTTATATATATTTCTGGATGTCTTCAAGAAGAATTAAATGTTGCGATTATTAAGTTATACAAAATTTGCAAGTGATTTTCTTTTCTGGATTTGTTTAATTTACATCAAACCATATTCCAGTTTCATTATGTAATGAGCATTTTTAGAAATTAATTGAACTATTCATAAATATAATAATAATTAAGTAAATTTAATCACATAATTTAATTAATTGAATAAAAAATTCACTTTCTTTAATTTTCTTAATCCTAATATGGTTCAGGTTAATGAATAGAACTCTCTTCAACTTCTTCATCTTAATCATTTTAAGAGCTTTCTTCTATTTCTTATTCATCTATTGCATAAAATTCAGGTTATTATTATTCTTTCCCTTCAGAACTTTTCAAATCTTAATCAGAGAAGTTCTCTTTTTAATTCTCTTCTTAATTTATTATCATTTCCTCTAAAGATAATGCTTATAATAACAATAAACAATGAAGTTATGATATATCTTATTTTTAATTAAAAGGAGATTGACTTTTTAATCGATTCAACTTTTACAAATCATCTTCTTTACTATTCAAAATCTCATTAATTTTTACTAAAGATTAAAAAAATGATGTTTAATCTTAAACATCATAATTCAATTTTCTACCAACTTTTGTTTATGATTATTATATTTCATTCTATTAAAAAGCATAATCAATTTCTTTTTTAATTTCTTCTATTTGCTTATTATTTAATCTATTTTATTATTCAAGTTTTTCTTTAAAATTTCTTAAATCCTATAATTGTTCTATAAGTTTTTCAGCTTATTCATTCTAATTTTATTCTATTTAATTTTATATTATTTCATCTGTAAATTCTCCAAAAACTTATCTAAGTAAATTTATTTATTCTTAATTAGGACGCTCTTTCGATAATATTATTAATGCTAATTATTATGCTTAATCATTCGGACTCATTTTATTAAATTATTATCTAGTACTACCTATAGCCTATGATTCTATTTGTTATAGAGTTTATTAAAGTTCCTAATTCTATTTTAATAATTAATCATTTTATTATCTCTATAATAAATTTTAATGACTAATATTATTCATACCAGTTTGGTAATCAAATAATTACTTTCTCAATTTATCATGTTCCTCTTACAAAGTTTAATTTAGAATTCTCAATTCCTTTTCAAATTTTTAACTAATCTCTAATTCTTATTTCAATTATTCAAGTGTTTTCTCTAAATGATTTTTTTCATTACTCCATCTCTATTCTTAAGTTTAAAATTCATTTGAAAATTATGAAAAAGATTCTTTTTTCATCACCTCTGTCTCCTTTTCTAAATGATTTGCATGAATTCTTAATTTTGTATTTTCTAATTTAATTTTAGTTAATTCTTTTTCTTATTCCGTTAAATATATATCAAAATAAGATACATCTGTTTCTTTTAATTATTCAGTTGGATATTACTACATATAATAATTAAATATACTTCCATTATTTTAATAAATAAATAATGTCTATCTAATTAGGCATACTAAAATAAAAAATAATTTTCTTTTATTAACCATTCATACTCTCTCTCCATTATCAAAAGTTAATCCTAAGTTTCTTTTAAAAGATTTTTCAAATAAGAAATTTCTTTTTATGCTTTAAGTTAATTATCAATTTACTATTTTAAACCTATCGAATTATTTTACTCTAACAATTAGACTTATTCTTTAGTCATTTCCAATTATTCTTTGAAATGTTAAATCTTTTTTTCTTACATTTAATACCTAATACTTGAATTGCCTAAAGATTTCTTAGTAGATTCTTACTGAATTGACTTAGTACTATTGTGTAATGTTTCATAATTTATTTCTATTTCATCTATTGAATAATTTGCTAAGGTTTCAAGAATAGGTACTACAGAAATTTCTCCTTTTTAAATGCATTTCACATTTTCTTCTAATTATTATCTTAATCTGCGAATTACTTCATATAATTGTAATACAACATCTGGTTTATAATATTCTGCTTAATAATTAAGTTATTTATGTTAAGGAGTAATTGAGTTTTTGAATATTTTTTAAAATTCTCTCAAAAATGGATGCCAAGGTTTTATTATAATATCATTCATTTTGTAAGTTTCGAAAATCTTTTTTTTCTTTTTAGCTTTTTTATTTGCCAATAAAAGTGAGACTTATTTTGGTTTTTATTTTTGACAGCCATAACATTTATAAGTTGAGGTTAAAGGATTATAATCAAAATAATCACTATGATTATCCTTTTCTTTACCTCTCTATAAATTCTTGATCATTAAATTGTTAAGAGTTTCTTCATTTTCACAAATTGACATAATTTGAAATAATAATATAATAATTGTTAATTATTCTTGAAATTCGTTTTTAATTAATTTATTAATGAAAATCTTGGTTTTTTGCTTATTAGCATTGACTATAGCAGCAGACAAATTTGATTAATTCAGAGCATTTGATGAAGATGAATTTGGTAGAACATTAATAGATACTCTTTAAATGTAAATGAGTACAGGTGAACCAATTGCTCGTTTTATTGAAATAATGAGAAACTTAGAAACATCAATAGAAAATGAATAAAAAGAAGATGATAAAGCAAATAATGAATATTAGAATTAATGCACAGAAGATATAAAAGTTTTATAATAAGAGAGTGCAAATTTAGAAAGAAGAACAGTTGAAATTTAATCAATTTTAGATGAATTAGAACCATTAAGATCATATAAATAAGGTTAAGCAGATGCTAAGAATGCATGGAAAGTTGAAACTGAAAAGAAATTAGCTGATTTAGTAAAGAAGAGAGAAACTGAGAAAGCTGAATTTGATAAAAAAGTAGAAGAACATGATTATGCAACATTTGTTATAGAAACAGTTAGAAGAATGTTTTCTGATAAAAATTAAAGTTTTCTATAAATGAACAATGAATCATAATGGTAAAAAGTTAGAGATTACTTTATAAATGCTTCTGAATAAGCAAGTAAAATAAATATATTAATATTATAGAGAAATTTGAAATAAAAAAGAGTTATTCTAAAATGTTTAATGTATTTGCTGAAATCGCCAATGCTGCTTAAACAGAAGACTTTTAAAATTCTCCAACTGTTAGTAGAATTGTTAATTTATGTGATTTGATGCTTAAATAAATTGAAGACAGTAAAGCTTTGGAAACTAAAGCAGAATAAAAGAGATTAAATATGTTCATGTTAGAAAAAGGTAATTTCGATAAAGATTTAACAACTTTGAATAATGCTCTAGCTTAATTAACAGCTGCCATACTTAGTTTAGATAACAGAATTTAAGATTAAAAAAGAGATTTAAGTGATTATAATGCTAGATTGGCTGCTAAAAATAAGTAGAGTGAAGATAGAGGAAATGAATGTAGAGAAAAAGCTTACAATTATTAATTAACAAGAGAAAAAAGGTATTTAAATTTTATAAATATAATTAGAGAATAGAAAAGATAATTAGTATCTTAGATTATTGGTGCCTTCTCTGCTAATTAAAGAGATTTTGCTGAATATGTTAAACTTAGAGGATAAGCAGGAGATTTCAGAGGAAAAAACTTTTAAATCTTAGGCAACCCTACAGAAGATTGATTATTATATTATACAATAATAAATTATTAACTATTTTCTAGAATTTCCATAATGATTAATTCTGAAGAATTAGTTATTCAGATAAAGAATAATATTTATGAAGAATCATTATATCACTTTAGGCTTAGAAAAGAATGCTTAATAACAACAAATAAAAGAAGCATATTATAAACTAGCCTTAAAGTGGCATCCAGTATGATATTATCATTAATCTATTATTAGGATAAGAATGGTAGTTGTCGAGCACAAGCAATTACATAATTTAGAGAGATTAATGAAGCTTATAATATATTATCTCAATCAGAAAGTAAAAGAAAATATGATCATAAGTTGGAAAAACATGACAATTTCCAACTAGCAAATTTCTTTCTAGAACAAATTCAAGAAATAAATCAAGAATTTACTTATTTAAGTTAAGATGATTAAGATACATTAAACAAATTTATTAATCGAATTAATAAACAAAGTAAAACAATAAAAAAGAACAGATGAAGTTTTAATCAATTATATCTTTTTTGATACTTTTAATTTAAAGATTAAAATATTATAAATTTTATAGTCATTTATTTTTATAATTTACTTTTTGGTCTAATCTATAAAAATAGTCCTAAACAAAATGAAAGTTAATAAAAGTGTTGAAAATTTTGTAAATAATAACACCCTTAGATTCTGAGTAAGTTAAAGCAAAATAAGAAAAATCATAAGAAAATTCTTCTCTTACCTCTTAATATTTGGCAACAAATACTCTTTTCATGATCCTCAAGCTCTTCTAAAATACTAAACAGAAGATTTAAATATAAGCATTTCCAAATATAATTTCTTATATACAGCTTTTTCATTTCCAAACATATTCTTGACTCTTATAGAAAGAGTATTAATTGATATATTGACTAAATGAATCTCTATCACAAAAGGCATAAGGGTAGTTATATTGAGATTCAGTTGCACTAGTAGTTATTGTCTATACATTAACAGGTATTGGATTATGTTAGTAGATAGAGTATTTTTTGGAAGTGCTTCTGAAAGTTTGCTGATTGATTAAATAATCATGAAAGGTATATGTTTAGGGGAAAGAAATTAATATTATGATTATACCAGAAATAGTATCAGCAGCAAATTCATTTCTCACTCCAATAATTTATGATCTTTTAAATTGCTTAACTTATCCATTGCTTTCTTTTATTCAATTTTAGAGTAGTTCTATGTATATTAGAGAAAAAATTGATTGGATGTAGAAAGGTAAAAACATAAATTAAACAAAAAGAATTATAAATTGTTTATAAGGATTATCCAAGTGAAAAGTTGAAAAAGTATATTTGAAAGATATCAAAAGTCTTAATAATACATTTTGGATTCTTATACTGTTATGAACTATTATCATGGAATTGTATGTTCCTTTTATAGATGATATTAATAATTTTGTGCAAAAAAAGTTTGAATTCAGTTATGTTTAATCTGGAAGGATTTTATCTTTAACATATCTAGCTTTTCTAGCTTTTGGTATTACTGTAATATATAAAGTCAATATGTGGAAAAAATGGGCCAGAGACGATTTTTTATACATCTTTTTTTCAATCGCAAATTTTCTCTTTGGATATACGAATCTAGGTTACTAATTGGTTTTCAATCATCTCTTTGATTAAATTAGAAATATCATAATTTCTCTATTGTTGTGTCTTAATACCATCTATTTAGTATTTAGTACAATAAAGAGTTTTAGGAACCGTATTTGGAATTCTAGGAATATTTACTAATTCTTCAATGGCATTATTTTCAATTTTAGCTGGTTACATTTTAGAGAAGGTAATATAAAATAAGAGGAATATTTAACAGCTGGATTCTTTTGTAGTGGAGTTTCAGTATTTATTTTTGCACTTTATTTTTTTTGTTTAATAAAGTTCAACTATTTTAGATTTTGTAATCTTGAAGTTCCATCTGAATAGGAAGAAGCAATTTTAACAAATATACAAATAATAAAATAATAAATAATTAGAGATTTTTGAGACATTGATGATGATTTATTAAAAATAGAAGGAGAAAAAAATTATGATGATGATGAAAATGAAAAAAATTATTAGAAGAATTTAGATTTTTGTTTTCAAGCAAATGATTTTCAATATGAAAAATAGCAAGATAATAAAGCAATCTAAGAAAGAAGAGGATCTTCATATAGTTAATTAAAATAATAAAATATGAATAAGAATAAATTATTAAGACTTAAAACTTTAGATCATCTTTTAAATTATTCTCCTTAAATTAAGTAATTAATTGTAGAGGATACTTTATCCACTAAAAAATTTAGAGTATTCACTTTTTCTGATAAATTACCTTATTAAGAGAATATAGGCAAATTATCTACACCTAAAAGTATGATTAGTTTACAATCAAATAAATCATTTTATAGTTTAACAAAACTAGAAAAAGCTATTTAAATTCATAAAAGATTGAATAGTTGTTAACATAATACACATCTTAATTAACTTCTGAATGATGATAAATATTAAAAGATAACATAAATAAAAATGGAAGATGAAGATCCATTCTTCAAAAAGACTAAACAATTAAAATAAGATATCAAACCTAATTAATAAAAATAAAGGAATAGTCTACTTAGAAAACTTGAAATAGAAAAGAAACAACGAGACAATGATTTTTAACTCTAAAATTAAGAAAAGATTCGTTTACTTAATTAATAGATAAATCACTCTCCAGGATCTCGATATTATAAAACATACATACATAAAAATGGCTATAGATAGCCAGAATTTTTAAATGATGTTGAAATTATTTAATGATAAATAGATCATCATTAAAGAAAATTTATTCATTAATCAAGTGATTAAAAGGATTCCAGAAAAGAAGCATTCTATTTTTCATTTACTCTTTTCTATTTCCATTTATCAACTAAGTTATTAGACTATAGAAATTCTAATTTATTCTACATTAATAATGTTATTATTATTACCATTGACATTTTTTATTCATTCTACAAATAGTCCATTGATGTATATTATGGAGGAGTTTACCAAAAGGCTTAAGTTTGTTATTACTATGGTGCAATATTTGGTGATTAATTCTCTGCATAAGGACTTCTAATCAAAAGAGGTGACATGCCCATGTTATAAGGATTGCTATTATTATACATATACATAGCTTAAGCAGGTGTATAAACCATTGGAGTTTGATTGAGTTATGGAAAAGGAGAAATAAGATTATAATTTTATGGGTAATTCTTAAAGTACTAACCCATATACATTTATACAGGAGTTTGTTAAAATTATTGTTGCATCTCTTCTTAATAAGAACGAAATCCTTAAAATAAATATTAATTTGGTTATTATATTGGAGATTGTTATACTTATCTAAATCCAAATTGATCATTCTTATATTCCTCTATCTTTTAAAATGAGGGTTAAATATTATAATATAATGTATTAGGAGTAGAAAGCTCTTTTTTATTATTTTCATTCAAAAATTATGATTAGATTTGCTATTGCATTTTTAATTATTGATCATATAAAGATTATTATTATTATTGTAATTCTACTTAAATCTCCTAAGCGATTTCTTCTTCTTTTAATTTTAATTTATTATCCTATAATTTTAATATTGATAAAGAATCCTTTTATATTTTGATAGGTTCTTATTAATCAATCTATTATACATCCTTTTTTGTTTTTCTTTTCTTTTTTCGAAGTTCTATCTCATCAATTTTATTAAATTATTATTTTTGATTTGTTTTATTTTTAACCTATCTTAAATAAGTTATTCTAATTTATGACTCTTCTTTTTATGGTTCCTAAATTTATTACACATTCTGCTTATTCAAATACTCTTTTATGGCTTATAATTCTTCAATATCATCAACATCTTCATCTTTATAAATCTTTTGTATTAAACTCTTAAATCTAATTTAAGAATTTATAATCACTACCTGTTTTTAACTTGATTTTCAGTTCTTCCATCTAAAAGACTGGAAATCAAAGACCATCTCTTTCCATTCTAGACTACCATATTCAATAATTGGAGATCCTCTTATTAGCTCCAATTTGTTCTATTGATTTATTATATTTCTATATACTTTTTAAGTTTTGGATTTAAATAATTCATCCATCTTTCTCTAACCTATTTTGGAGTTCTGATGTATTATCCATTGTTTTAATTATACAATTCTAAAGCTATATGTGTCCAAATATGCTTTTCATCTGAATCGCTTATTAAAATTATTAATATTTAATACTTCATAAGTGATCTTATGATTTCATCCTCCTCTGTATCCCAATTGATACTCTTAGAAACTGGATTTATAAGAGTAATCCATCTTTATTTTATTGTTATTTCATCAATTTTTAGTATATTTGATAATTATTCCCATTCATCTTGAGTTGGATTGATAGTTTTCTTATTTTTCAATTAAAAAAACTTGCCCAATATCCAAATGAACATCATTTTACATTATTTATCCCATTTACGTTTTATACTTGCTTTTTCTTATGATAATAATCTAAGTAATTTTAAAATAAAAATTTACTTTTGAGCAATAGAATCGAAATGTTTGCTATTCGGATTGATAAAGTTTTCTTTTATTTTGAATTGATTTCTAAATGGAAAGGGTAGCTCTGAATTTTTTAAAGTACCCAACTCCTATAGAAATTCATGAAACATTAATTATAAATAAAATTCAGACGAGGATTAATTTATGCTATAAGAAAAGATAAAAAATTATATAAAATCTCGAGAATGTGCAACTAATCGTATAAAAACATTATTAAGATAACCTTGTCCAATCTAATTTTAGGTTAGATAAGATTTCAGTCCACATAAGACTATACATTAATTTTAATGTCAAAATGTTAGAGTGCGTTCAGTATTAAAGTTATCAAGAAAACTTTCAAGTTAATGTTCACCTAATCTAAAATTTGATGAAGTAATAACAAATGCTAAAACAAATATTGGAAGAAGAACATCGCAAAAATAACAATCAAGTCCATTATTGAAATAAAGAGTTAAAGATGTTAATTTGTAAACCTAAATAACTTAAGTACCAACATTTAGAATAAGTTCTTAATGGTTTGGAAAATAACAACGATCTCAGTCAAACTAATTTGCTTTCGTTACTTTATCTACTTTAATTGATGATGAATATAATTACAACAAAGAAAGAATCACAAAATTCAATCATATGGAGAATAGATTGGTAGAACATCAATTTATTATAAATGACTTTGATCCTATTCTTAATGTGAGTTGAGAAAACAAAATTATTTAATTAATTTAATATGCTTTATAAGACTCCCTATTAATCTGACCTTAAACCTTTGGATAGAAATCTTCATCAATAATCTAAACCTCAATTTCTACCTGAAATTCAAATGTACCAATAATTTAAATCTCTTTAAAATATTCCTTAAACAAGTAGAGCAACCGATGCTTTATTGTCTGCCAGGAATAGTCTAATTGATTAAATATTGGAACCTTAAACATCACGATCATCATACCAATCCATTATTAAGAATAAGAAATTCTCTTTGAACCAAGAATAACAAAATTAAAAAAAAGGATAATTAGTTAAATTTGAAGATATGGGAACCTAAAATAATCAACCAAAAAGTATATTAAAAAGAAAAAATTCAAACAGTAGTCAACATTCAGATATTATGGATTTCTTTGAATTGGTAGAGGAATAACCTTTAACAATACGTAACAAAAAACATATAATCCTTGAACCTTTATAATCTACTCCTTCTCCATAAATGGCAAATGCTGTTTCACCTAAAAGAGTCTCCTTCAACAAATAAATCTAAGTTAAATTGATCAGTGATGATTATACTGAATCTCATGAAAAAAGAATATAAAGTAGACATCTGCTAAGAAGATAATTGACAGACTTCATAAATTGATAACACACATAAATTGATAACAATCATTAATATATATATATAATAATATATATTTTAATGTCAAACAATTAAATCATATACTAATAATAAAAATAATAAAAAACAGATCTCTCTTTTCTTGATTATATCCATATTTGCAAATAATAATATTAATACATGTTTGCAAATATTTAATACAAAGAATAGCAAGATTAATTAAATCATTATAGTCCAGAAATAGACACCCAAAAATCATATTTTATTATATTTATTAACAATTAATACTCAGTTATGTTAAAAGAAAACTATCGAATAAGATTTATATGAAAAATTAGTACTTAGTCAATTTCAACCAATAGATAATTGCGACTTATAATTAGATGTAATCATTCTTTCCTAAATAATATTATACTTTAATCATAAAATTTCAATGTTTTTATGCTAAGAAATTTATTGATGAACTATCCAATTTTTATTACATTATCATATACAGTAATGAATTTTGTTGATTCAGATAAAAAAGCCATTGAAAAATTGTTTAGGGAAAGCTGCACAATTATTAAAGCTGGTCTAACAAAAGACTTAAATAAATAAGGTTGAGATTTTAAAGATATTATTATTCTTGATGTATATATTAATAAATTAATTTTAAGAATTCATTGTTATCATTTGCATTGAATCCAGAAAATTGATGCAAAATAAAAGATTTTTTTCTAAGATAAATAAAATCGAGAACTTGAAAAAATTCTTCAATTTTTTATTTAGATTTAATATATTTTTCCATAAAACAAGCTTCCTGATGTAAGACCGTGGCTTTATCTATATGAATTGTTTATAAACTCATCACCAGAATAGTTAAATTAAAGGAAAAGTGCCAATATTATATACCAACCGACTAAAACATATATTACTGAGTCTCCAGATCCTTAACAATTCAAAAGAAAAAAATTAAATAAGACTATATTATTAGAATTTTAACCTTATCTAAAGATGAAGACTAATTTAATGAAATTGCTTTGAAAAAATAATATAAATCAGAAGTAATTGTCAAATAAGATTAAACACATTATAGTGAAAAGGTGATATTTGAAATTAGCAATTGATTATTAATAATATTTATATTATAATATAATTAATATTCAGTATAAATAAATTATAATAATATACAAATTAGAAATATGCATTAAATAACAACACTTGAAACTGACACACCTAAAAAAACGGTAGAAAATGAGTTTAATTATCATAGAATAGCTTTTCAATAAGATCATTGGCTCTACCTAGAATAACCTTTGTTAAATTTGAAAAATCCCCTTACCAAAGTGGAATTCATGAACACACGAGTAATGTCCCAAAACGTTATAACAGATAGTATTATAAGATCCAACAATCTGCCAAGGATCGAGATTTGATTAGCGATGTTAACTGAATTGGTTATTGTTTAGAAAGATGTATATGCCACGCTTTCAAATAATCATGAAGAACCTTACCTAGACCGTAAGCCTAAAGACCTTGTTGGAGACGAAGCTTACAAATCCTACTATCATACATTTAAAAATATTAAACGAATTCTAGAATAGAATCAATTCGAGAATATTGCTAGTATATTTAATTAAAAAAAATTATTTAGATTCTGTATAAACTAATCTAATCTAAAAAGCAGATAAACTTAAAATTTTACCATGCAAAATGGGACTTATCAAACTTAAAGGAGATAAAAACTCCATAGCCATTTAAAACTAAAAATTTGGTGATAAATATGTAGAAGTTCTATCAGAAGGATTAAGAACATTACCTACTATCCAAGATTTCAACTTTAATCATAATCGAATCAAAGAATATGGAGCATCGTAGTTGTTTCCTTTAATCAGCAAATAAGCAAGAAAAATTGAGTTTTAAACTAATACCATAGGACAGAAAGGTCTTGAACCAATTCTATAATGTTTACCATTATAGACATGCAAGTAAATTTGAATTGCAATCTCAAGGATCTAGATTCTCAATTTAGAAGATAATTAATTAGGGGATGCATTAATTTTAGACTTGTGTAAAGCCATGAGTAAGAATCCATCTGTAGAGATGCTCAATATATCAAAGAACAATATTACAAATGCTTCTTATCAAGCAATTAAGCAGATGATTGAATAAAATGATACTCTACTTGAATTATATATGAGATGGAATTCTATCAAAGGATCTGGAGGCTGTGAAATTTTTAAAGTGCTTTAAGCAAATAAGAATATAAAGGTTTTAGATTTCTCTTATAATTTACTTGGAGCTGGAAATATCATTATAACAGCACTTAAAGACTTTATAATTGAAAATAAGACTGTTTAGCATTTGGATTTATCAGCAAATGGATTCACATATTAGGATTGCCTTTAAATTTCTGAAGCTTTAAAATCCAATCATTCTATTTATGGATTCCATTTTAGAGGCAATTTTGGTTATGTGGACTCAAAAGGATTTCTGATTATTGAGAATAATATGAAAAATTATAATTCTATTCATGTAGATCAAAGGATTAAAGGAGTATCTCCAAATCCAAAACCATATGAACACTCTTCTCATTTTGAGAAATTAAAAGATGTTTGTTGGATTTGTGATGAATGGTAAATGAGTACTTTTGAGTGGATTCCAAGTATTTATATTAAATTATTATAGATTAAAGTGGAGCTTGTTCTGATGAGCCAATATTTATTCATTTAGATTATGAAGGCTTTGAACCAATATTCTTAGGGAAACCTGATTCTAATGGTAATTTTAAGACTCATCGTATGATTCCAACAGGAGATATAGAATATTTTTATACTGCCAATTCAATTTAAATAGCTAGTCAAACTGCTCCAATTAAATAACATATAGAAAAATTTAGAACAAAAGTTACAATTGCAGATTAATTAGTAAATGTCCTTATTGATGAAACAAATTTAGAAAGTTTTAAAAAATCAAAGCCAGTTATAGAAGATTGGTATCCTACATATGATGTTTTACCAAGAACATAGGATCCAATATATATTCCAGCAAAAAGAAAAAAGTAGAAAAGAGTTTGGAGTTATCCAATATCTATTTGGGCACCAAAATATAAATTTGATACTGAGGAACTTCTAAGGAAATGTTTTGAAAGAGATTGGGCTTGCTGTAAAATAGCTAAATTTGTAAAAAAATAAGAAGAATAGGATCAAGTGAAGGAATTATTATGGCAAGCATATAAACCAATGAGAGAAACTTATAGATTTTATGCAAGTGTTAATCCAACAGGAGATGTATTCTCAATGTCTGTAAATCCAACTTCTGATTTTATTAATTAATGTTAATTGATAGATGGGAAATAATTAAAATTGGCTGATGTAGATTTAAAGTTTATTGCAACATGTAGTGCTTCATCTATAGATTGGAAAGGAAATTACAGAAATCCTGAAAGATCTTTAGTTAGATATCAAATGATGGAATTCTTAGTTAGATTGTCAGATGATAAATATGTTAGATTTAATCCTTAAATCAATATAGTTTAAGCAACTAAAATGATTTTGGATTAGTGTATGCCTCATATGTCTTAATATGATTGTCATAAATGGAGAGCTGAACGTTATTTTGTAGAATAATGTGATGATGTTTGTAAAAAATATAAGTGGGTTATTGATTATGTTTATATGAGAAATTCTTAAAAGAAAGTTAAACCAGGTCAACCTCCTTTTATGTGTTTAGATGAACTCAAAGATATTTGCAATAGAGCCAATTTATATGATGAAAATTTTGTTGAAAGAGATGTTAACTTAGCCTTTAATTTATCTATGTTGACATAAGTTGATGAATTGGAAAGTGATCGATTGTTTTAAATGCAATGGATAGAATTTATGGAAGCTATTGCTAGAATTTCAGAAAAATATTCTCCTATTGCATTAGGAAAGAAAGATGAAGTAACATTTAAATTTATAAATTTAGAAAGAATGGAATTATGAATTAAGATTTTAATAACCTTTGTATTATAAGCTTGAAGCATTCATGATTCATTTAATTAATACTCTGGTTGATGAAGAAACCAAAAAGAATTGGAAGCAACCAACGATTTCTATGTTTGATGAAGTTGAAGAAGATGAATATTATTGAAATATGTAATGTTCATTTTACGTGCGTATTATTTATAATAATTACATAATAAGTACATCATAAAAAAATTAATTATAAAAAATACAATGTTAGAAGCTGAAAGAAAATAAGGATAATTTCCTATGTTGGAGATGTCTCACTTACTCTATGGTGGGAAAGAATAGTTTGATAAGTTTATTGAGAGATAAAGCTTCTTTGATAATCATCCTATGTTTAAAGTTAATCACGATTTCTTTAATTTGTCAAGATAGGATCAAGTTTATTTGTTTTTATATAATTAAGATTCTATTAAATGCAGAAAAAACAGTTGAAGCAATGAAGAAAATTTCTTTGGAAGATCCAAATTACTACACACCAAATGTATTGTGTCCTTAAGGTATATTCATATCAACAGTTCATTTTGCAATGGTGATACCTGCCTTTTAAGTTTTGGCATCTGATGAATAGATTAAAAAATGGATGACTTCACTTAAGAATTTTAGTGCATTTGGATGTTATGCTTAAACAGAATTAGGTCATGGTTCTGATGTATAGAATTTATAGACAGTAGCAGTTTTTGATAAATAAACTTGTGAATTTGTCATTCATACTCCAAATATAGAAGCAACAAAATGTATTTGTAATTTATTAAGACTAGTTTGGCCAGGAGAATTAGGACTATATTGCGAATTTGCTTTAGTATTTGCTTAATTAATTGTTGATGGAAAAGGATATGGAGTACATCCATTCTGGATTAGAATAAGAGACAAGGAGACTCACAAACCATTATCAGGAATTCAGATTGGAGATATTGGTCCCAAAATGGGTTATGCAGTTAAAGATAATGGATTCATGAGTTTTGATCATTATAGAGTTCCTTTAGATAGTTTATTAAATAGGTATATCAAAGTTAACAGAGAAGGCAAAGTAGAAAGACAAGGTAATCCTAAAGTAGGTTATGGAAGTATGATGTATATGAGAAACATTTTATGTGATCAATATACAAAATTTGCTGGTAGAGCTTTGGCAATTGCTATTCGATATTCTTTATATAGAAAATAATTTAAAGATGATAATAAATAAGAAATCAGAATTTTAGATTATTAATGTTAATAATAGAAATTATTCCCATTATTAGCAGAATTTTATGCTTGTGTTTTTGGAAGTGTGAAGATCAAGGAATTAGTAAATGACAATTTTAATAAAATTTCTCGAAACAATGATTTCAGTTTACTCGGATTGACTCATGCAGTATTGAGTGGAGCTAAAGCTAACTATACATATTTTGTAGCAAATTGTGCAGAATGGTGTAGGTTGAGTTGTGGAGGACATGGATTTGCTCATTATTCTGGACTACCTATTATTTTCTTTGAAATGTCTCCAAATGTATCCAATATATATATAATAAATAGATTACTTTAGAAGGAGAGAATACAATCTTAAATTTACAATTAGCCAGATACTTACTTAAATAATTGTAACACATTGTTTCAAAACCAACTGCAGTTCCTTCATTTTTTAAGTTTCTATCTATCGAAACAGCAAAAGTAGATGATGTCACCTCTCTAGACGGTTTGGTTACACTTTTAGGATTGAATTGTGCTAATTTGACTAAATATGCAGCCTAAAAATTGATGTCTAATCCTGATTTAAAAGAAAGTTGGGATACTAAATCTGGAATCGCTTTAGCTAAAGCTGCATCCACATTCATTCCTTATTTCAATATGCTTTGTTTCGTAGATACTATTAACAACAAGGCTAAAGACACTAAACAAATTTTAACTGTTTTAGCTAGAATCTATGGCATCACTATGTTGTTGAATAACATGTAAGGATTACTATTAAGTAAATATATTTATCCAAGAAATAGAAAATTAACTTAGTAGTCAAGACATAACAACCCTTTAAGACACAAGAGAACAACTCTACCCCATCATCAGATTAAATGCTTTATGTTTAGTCGAAGCTCAAGGATTGACTGATAATTCCTTATAAAGCTTGATAGCACCTAAAGAAGGTGATGTTTATGTCAACATGTACAACTTTGCTTCAAAGGAGAATTCATTAAATAAACAATAAGTACACAGCGGGATCAATTATATCTAAAAAATGAGAGAAGTAAATGCTAAATTATGATTTCTAACATTATCACAATTCATATTAAAAGAAAATAACAATTGCAGTAATGTCATCTATTCCTTCACTATGAGCTTTCCATGCAGCGACTGATTCTTAAATAATTTTCTAACATGCTCCCTAAGCATCATTCTTTTGATAAAATGGATACACAAGTTCAGCAATCTTGATAATTAAACTGATAATACGCTTTAATTATCCAAAAACTCCCATATTCCATCTGAGCCTAAAACAATAAAAATATCATCTTTAGAATCAATATCATGAGATTTAATATCAGGAGTTTATGAAACTCCAATAGCAGCTGCAACAGTATCACCTAAACTTCTGCTCATAGCTAATCCAGGAAATTGTGCTCCTCTTGCCCATACTCTTGAGGGTCCTATTGGTGCTCCATTAGGTAAATGATAAGTATCAACCACTCCTCCATTTTATTCTATTCTCAATCTTTCATTTTCCAAATGTGGTTTATGATCCACAGATAATTCAACTACATTTAAATTTCCACCATTATTATTGTTCCTTTTTACAAGAATGGCTCTACTATCACCTACCCATCCACATTAAATATTATTCTCTCTTATTAATACTACTGTCAAAGTACTTCCTGAGAATTGACATCCGAATTCTTACTAAAACTTCATTTTTTGATGCATCTCAAAGAAGACTTTCTGAAAATCAAATGTCTTATAAAATTTAGTTAAATTATCTACATACATAACATTTTTATACATTTTAACAACTCTTTGATAAATGAACTAACATATTCACCATCCATCCCATGTCCATCCATAACTGCAAATGCATGATTATTATCATCTAATTATAAACAAAGTTCTTTATCTTAATTAGTTTTATCTTATATGCCATCAAACCCAGCTCTTGATTAACTACAATGTGTTATCTTTATTTTATTTTTTGATTATTGTTAACTACCTTGACCCTCCTCTCTTTAACTCTTAATAGGAAGAGTCTGTGTTAATGAATTCTGCTATCCTTAAAGCTATTGTTTTGTTTTTGAATCTAATATCAATCTGTTTTTCAATAGAGGTGGTTTCTTAGTCAAATCAGCTCCTGATATTGATTTTTCCATTTATTTCTAATATCCTTTTAAGTCTGGCAATTTTATTGTCAATCTCTATGCTGCTGGAATACTCTAAATCAAATTAGATTATGGTTTCAAACTATTCTGATTTTAATCTTCAACTGTAGATTATTGTACTTTAGATTCACTTCTCTCTCTTTTTTGTGTGAAATGATAATTGGGCTTAGTAACTGATTATTCCTTTCTGTTCTCAGAAGAGGAACGATTTATTATTGGTTTGAGTTGTTATCCAAATTTTTAGAACATGATAAATTAATTTATATAAAATTCACTTTTATAGTACATGAAAATGATCTTCAATTTTATATTTAGGCAAAACATAATTAAAAGTGTTAGTTTAAGGTATATATCTACCTCCAATAGCATGCTGACCTTCAAATTCTTTTATACCTTTCAAAGGCAATCCCAAAGAGATTACAAATTATGGCACATAAACATTATACAGATTTCCATTATCTGTATGCCATCCAACAGGTAAATTAATTGCAAGTACTTTTTTATTTACTTCTGAAAAAGCATGCATGAATTCTCTAATTGGAGTTTTTGGCTATTCTATAGAACTCAAAGTAATGGCATCTATTACTAGATCATAATCATTTAACCAATTAGCTAAAATGTTCTTAGTCATTTAAACATTTAATTGTTCTTGAAGATTTTAAAGAATATCAAAATGAAGTGTTGCCGAATGTGATTTACATTGCATAGCCAATCTGCTTCTAAGTGGATCATTTGGATATAAAAGTACTACATCAACTTCTACTTTTCTCTATGCTAAATAACGAGCAGCTGCCAATCCAAAATATCCGTTTTGGTAAGTTGAACCTTAAAAATCTTATCCAATAATAAAAATAACCCTCTTTAGAGGAACATCTATTCTAGATAAATAGAGAATATATTCTGCAACACTCTAACCTCCTATTTCTGCCAATTATGCTTTTGTATATCCATATTATTTTCCTGATAATGTTTCCATTAAATTTTGAAATTCACTTCCTTTAAGAAATGACAATGACGGTGTAGGTAGCGATGCTTACTCTTGAGCTAAAAGTGAATTGAGGAAAGTTAAAAAAAATATTAACATTTGTTAATATTTGATTAACAATAATAAATAATTGAATAAATGAAAGGTAGTTGATTTAACATTAATTATCTCAATTTCTCACTATAATGAATACAATATTATAGAGTCAATTGATTATAATTAAAAAAAGAAATGAATCATTTCCTCATAAAAACCCATTTGTTTAAATATATCCAATTCTTAATTATTATTTTCAATCCATTAAAGATGGCTGAAGATTGGACAACCAAAAAAGTTGACAAATATGTGGTCGTTAACAAAACTTTAGGCCAAGGCGCTTATGGAATCGTATATCGAGGCTTTCTTCAAGAAGACGAAACTAAACAAGTGGCTGTCAAAACCATAAAAATAGCTGTATATTTGGATTACCTAACTTTTATAGACAATCTCAGACACCCCAAAAATGATTGAGTTGATCAAAAGAGAAATAGCTATCCTTCAAAAAATTAATCATCCCAATATAGTAAGGTTGTTTGATGTAGCACGTACAAACAACTATTTGTATATGTTTCTTGAATATTGTGCTGATGGAGATCTAAAAGATTATATGGCCAAAAAGGAAGAGAAAAGATTGAGTGAGGTAATTTTTGCTATCAATTACATAAGCTTGAAGCTGTGATCTTTATCAAACATATTGTAGAAGGCTTCAAAAGATTATACAAGCAGAAAATAATTCATAGAGATATAAAACCAGCCAACATTCTCTTACACTAAGGAGTAGCTAAGATCACTGATTTTGGTTTTGCACGTGTCATGGATACAGAAATGAATGGTATTTTATCAAAATTCTTCCTTTTAGACCCTGCTTATTTATCAAGATTAGGATCACCACTTTATATGGCTCCACAAATTCTTGAAGGTCAACCTTTTTCAGCTAAATGTGATGTCTGGTCTGTTGGAGTTATGTTTTATGAACTTCTTTATGGTAGAACTCCTTGGTCAGCTGAAAATGCTTATTCACTTCTAGAAAATATAAAAAAATAAGTATAGCCACTTATATTAACTATAGTCATTGAAATTCCCACCTAAACCTGTAAGATCTTAAAAAGTCAAAGAACTTATTACTCTAATGTTGAGAGTCTAAGAAAAGGACAGAATTTCTTGGGAAGGTGTTTTCGAAGATCCTACTATTAAAATAGATGAAGAAACAATCAAAGAAAACATGAAAAATATCTTAAAAGAAAAAGGTACATCAAATACTTATTTATAAAGACGAAATTTCTAAATCCATCAGTCTTAATAAACTCTATATTGATTAAAATTTAGTTGTTGGATATTTAGCTAAAAATCCAATTAACACTCTTGAAAATTCTAATTAATAGACAATGGAGGCTTCTGCTGAAGCTAGATCTTAATCAGCCAAGTTTTCAAGTTAATTAGATTCAGATTCAAATGTAAATACTTTTATTCAAATATTAGGGTGATATTATTATGAGTAATTACAAAAATGAAAAAAAGAGAAGAGATGCTATGTTAAAATATAACAATTACTTTCTGTTTGAAAGAAACATTGCTTTCTTTTTTAACTTTGTTATTCAAAAAATTATTAAACTATAAGCAAAACTCTAATTAACAAATGATAATTATTTTAGATTAATCTATTTAATTGCTAAAAATCAAATGGTTCATCTTGAAAGAGTCAATCAATAATTATAAAGGAAAGATCATGATAAATTTGATAAGGAAACCTGGGGAAGATTTTTAGCATCTTAAGTAAAATATTAATTAAAAGTATAGGAATACCAAAAATTAATCTAATTGATCTAAATGGATGTGAAACACTCATTAGATTTCTATACTGAAATATCAAAGAAATGTAATATTGTTCAACAAGAGGAATTAGTAAATGGAAAAGCTACTGGAGCAACCTTGAGTTTGATCAAGAATTTCTAATCCATACAAAATAATAACTTTGAAGCTAATGACACTTTTCATATGTTATATAGAGATATTATTGTTGAAAACTTAAAACTCATAAAAAATCTTAATAGTAAAGAAACGGAGATAAATTTACTTCTTCTTTATCTTTTAATTTGTTAGAATCCATATGAAGAATTTAAAGATATAAATTATGACTTTAATACCTTTTATGAGGAAATAGAAAATTTAAATCTTTAAGAAGTCTAAGAAAAACTTTAAAAAAAAGGACAAAAATGAATAACATAAATATCATAAAAATTAATACAATTCTTTATATTCTATAAGTATGTTTGATTAGCAATATTATTTTTACTTATTTGTTGATAAATTGAATAATAATATTTTAGATATCCTTTTTAATATTCTAAATTGCATTTTTAAAATAAAATCAAAAAACATTAATTCTAAAAAGAACTCAATGACAGCTTTGTAATCACTGTCTCTCAATATTTTTAATATCTGATGATTGATTTTATTCTATCTGATTTTATATTTCCTCATCTAGAGGAGTGATTTTAATTAAGATGTATGATATTTCCAAATAATATATTGCTGTTATCAAAACTAGAATTTAAATTTAAAATTCCTATTGTTATTTTTATACTCATTTATTCCTCTTCAGCTTCAATAATAAATGGCTCTATCATACTTTTGTAACTAATCCTATCTTTGTTCTAAGATAATCAACTTCAAATTGAATTATTGGTTTAAATCAATTTAGGTTATAAGGAATTCGAATAATAGATTTTTAATTTTTCTTAAAAACAGATACTTAAATTATTATAATTGTGTTTTAAAATAAAGAAGCTATTCTTAATCAACATCCTCGTTTTAAGAACTACTGTGTATCATATAAATTTATTATATATTTTTATTTAAATGCTAATCTAATTGTTTTCAAATCAAATATCATTAATAAATTTTGAAGTAAGACTATTAGATTAATATTTTTATTTATACTATTATCAAATTTTTATTTATAAAAAATATTTTCTCTTCAATAAGGTATAAATTCAATTTAGCCATCCACAGAATAAAATGCTACACAAGGATATAAGACCACATTAGAAGGAACATCAAATTAAATGAACTCATTAGTCTAAACTTTATTTTAATTATTACTTTTTAATTAGTAAATTTTATTTTCTAAATTTTTGGATTGTATGTACATTGAATAATATCGTTTGTTTAGAAAGTGCATGATGAACTTTTGTTATTGTTTTATTTATCTGAATTAACTAAATAATATCCATTTGAGCAAACTAAATAGCCTCCATGTCCTATTTAATTCTAATCATTAAATTTAAAAGAATTAGATTTTACTACATCAAGATTACAAACTCCAATAAATATCAAATCTTTAGGGCTATATTAGTTTTAATTATGATTTTTACTGGTTTTGAATTTTAAATCTAAATGTTGAAATAAATTCTTTTGATAAACCATAATTCATAACAGCATATTGTTTATGACCATTTGCATCTAATTTAATATCTAAATTATCTATTATTATTTTTACTCTTCACTGAATGTTTATTAATTATTTCAATATCAGTTCCGCAAAAATTAGATACAAATCCAGCTGAATAAAATTCTTAAAAATATGATCTTATTTCTTTCTCTTTAACATTCTACTTTTCATCTATTGGTGTTTTGTTCTCTTCAACTTATTCATCAAAGAAAACCTTCTACTAACTTTTATACCAACTTTGCACTTCTTCTTATGAAAAGTTTTCTTTTATAACTTTTGTTATTTCTTATAAATTCTATTATTCCTATAATTTAAAACGCTCACAAAAAGAGCTTAATTACTCATATAATTATTAATTATCATCACTTTATTATTTCTATTTCTCTGACAATAAATTATTATAGTTTTTTTGTATGAAAACTTGATTAACAATATCTTTAATTTCTTATTCATCTAAATCAAAAATTTCTTTTATATTTGTTTTTTATTAAATTTAATCAATGATAATTTCAGTTTTATCATTAATGCTTGATAAAAATTCATCTATTAACTTCGTTAAGTTTTTTTTCCATTAAATCAATATTTTAGTTAATTCTTAAAATTTGAGTTTATTTTTTTCTTAATATTAATTCTTTATAAATTCTTTCTGAAACTCAACATATTTTTTATTAAAATCCCCAATACCTAGATATGTAGAGCGAAATTCTGATATACAAACTACACAAGCCAATAAAGGACTATCATTGTTAGGATTTGTATTTATCATAATTATTTCTTTCATATGTTTCTAACATTACACTTTTAAACTAGGGGTTTTCTAAAATAATCTAAAATATAATTACATATTTATCATTATTAGCATTTTATGATTAAGTTATTTCATCTATTTTGCAAATTTGACTTTTTTCAAATTGTTTTAGAATAGCTTGATATTAACTACTATTTTAAGTATCTGCTAATAATTGTATAGTTTAACAAAAGAATGCATCATCATCATCTAAAGATTATTTCTCTATTTTTTGATTTGATTATGATTATGATTATTCTTTTGAAGTTATGGATTATGTAATAACATCTTGATCTTAACTCTCTTCATCATTCAAATAAGTATCACATTAACTTTATTTTTATAATTATTCAATTTTAGCATCAGTTTTAGCTGATATTTCTTTAATGGTTTTACTAATAGAATTTGTATATTCTCTTATCAATGATCTAAGAGTTTCAAGATTCTCTATTCTTTTTTAATAATCATCCTTTAATTTTTGTTTTTCTTACTCTCTTATTTAAGATATCTTCTCTTTAGCTTCTTAAACTGAAGCTAATTGTTATTAATCAAACTTTTAAGTTAAACATTTAAGACAATAATATTTATCTTCTACATTGTTAGAAGATTGTAAATCTATTGCTAAAATTTCCAACTAGTGAATTTGGCAAATTTAAGGCTTCGTTTAAATAGACATAAAAAAAATTGATAAATTAATTTAATATTATATGTAATTTTGAAAATACTCTACTATAATTTATATAACATTAACATCACATATATTAAGTGATTAATTTATATATTAATGAAATGGATTTTAATAATATATTAATAATATCAATAATTAAAAGAAAGAATATTTAATTTAGGATTTTATTGATCTTTAACGAAAAGATGTTAAATTTATTTGATGCAGAATTATATGCTAATTCAAATAATAATGTTAAAATATCTATAAATACTAATAATATCAAAAGAATTATGATTATTAAATAAGAGTTTTTGATATAAATAATTTAAAAAAAATAATATGATTCAAAGACTAAACTTATGTATAAGAAGTATTAATAAAAAAGATTGCAATGTTCTAAATGAAAAAATGAATAAATTTACAAATTAAAGATTGACAAATTTAGTATTTAGAGTTAAAAACAATAATCAGAGGTAAGTATTTTAAAAAACTTCTCAAAAAAAATTAGCAATCACAGAAAAATTAAACAGAAACAATAGCACCTGAAAAATAAGATAGAATAGTAAAATAGTGTACACTATTTTAAATATCTTAGAATTTATTTTAAGCTTGAATTAATAATTAATCAAATAAATGTAAAAATTAAACACCATTATTTAAGAATGCATATAAATATTGATTTAATAAAAATTCTAGTAAAAAAATTAATTTAAAAGATAGACAAAATTATTCTATGAGAAAGAAGAATTTATTCAATTTTATATTTTAATAAGTTTAAGTATAAGTATCGTATTTATAATCACTTTAAATTGATGTGAGGATTTATCAGAGCTAAGAAACTAATTTTTTAAACTGAAGTTCTTTTTAGTTATCTTAAATGAAATCTGTTTTATTGTAATAATGTTGTGAAAAATTTTGAATCATCATTCTATTTTACCGAATACTTTTTGATATTTATCGAAATTTTTAATTATCCTTTAAATATTCTTAGATTCTAGAAATATTCTTAGATTCTATATGAAAGTTTATTAAAATGTGTTTCATTTAAATAAAAATTTAATTAATTAGAACAAATACTTTGAAAAAGTTAGATAAAAAAATAAAGTTAAGTAATTTTTGAATAATAATTTAAAATTTCCAAAAAGATCAAACAAGAGATTGAATATATTCATCATTTTCATCCTGCTCCCATAACTATTATTAAATTTTCCAAATTTAGAGTATGTTTTTCTCTTATTCTACACTTGCTAATAAATGTTTATGATTGAGATTCCATGATAAATCATTAACTTTAGATCTATGTCCTCCATGATAAAACTAATATAAAAATAGTATAATTACCAATAATTCTGATGGTCCATCTTTTTCATCTTCAGCTTTAATTTCATTTCCAATTTTAAAATAATCCCATACAACAATTTTGGTATCAACAGATCCAGATGCAAGTAGATTTCTTTAATGAGGCGACCATTAGAGACTATAAATAGCATCTTCATGATTTGAGAAGGTATGTATATCCTCTTCTGGTTTATTCATATCAAACATTTTAACCAAAGCATCATTAGATCCAGTTGCAAATAAATTAGATTAAAAATTATTAAATTATGCACAATTAACTTCTTATGAGTGAGCTTCTTATTATATAGTGACACCTTAATTAGTTCGAACATCAGCACTAAAAAATAAGATAATTAATTTACATAGCAAATGTCTTATCATCAGAACATGAAAGAAATATATTTGGATTTTGTGGATGCCAACAAACATCTTCTACTTCAGCTGAATGAAAATTGTAAGAATTTATTAATTAAGCTGTATTTGTATCCCAAAAATATATTTTATGATCATAACTAGCTGATAATAATTATCCACTATTTGTGAGATTCCAAGACAATCCATAACCTTCTTTATTTTATCCAATTAAAGCTTAAACTTTCGATTATTTGCTTAAATCATATAAACCTATTAAGGATAGATTAGATAGATACCAACTTCCCCATCACCTGCTTAAGCTGCTAAAATTAATTAATTATTTGGTTATTATCTAACTCGGTTAATTTCAACTTCCACTTAAATTTGTAATTCTTCTTAGACTTTACCCACCGCTTAAGTTTTCCCTCAACATATTAATGTATAAGTACAAATATTGTTAAGCAAAGTATTATCAATCTTATCATCAATTTACTTTGGAATAGCAACTTTTAGCAATTTTATATAATCCTATTCTTGATTATTAGTCTGCGTGGCCACAATCAATCTGTGTACTTCATTTTCATTTTGATCACTATGATAATAATGGAAAAAACATCTCAAGTTCGTTCAACCAACAAACTGTTAAAGATGGCCATTTGTTTTAATGATTGATGCAAATTTCATACATAAATGGAATATTCTATTTCCAATTTCTATATTACTCTTCATAATTTTTCTCTTCTTGAATTTCATTTTCTCCACTCATTTTTAGGCGCTATTTTATTAAATATAATTTAGTATAAATTCCACTAAAAATACTTAAAATGTTTTAAAGTATTATTATTTAATTATGAATGCTGCTGAAGTACAACATGATGGTTCCTCACCATCTAAGAAAGTTAAATCAAATCCAAATGCTTTAAATTCTCTTAAAGATGTATTTTTCATTCTTATTCATCCTAGCATACTGTGGTAGTAGCTGATACAGGCAAGATCAATGATATCTAAAAATTCTAACCTCAAGATGCCACTACAAATCCAAGTCTAATCCTTGAAGCTGCTAAATTACCAGAATATCAAGCCTTGATTGATGATGCAATACAAAAAGGAATTAAAGCTTATCAACTCTCTAAACAACCAGTGTATGTTACTTATTAACCTATAGTTAAAAATAACCAAAAAGAACAAATTCCAGAAAAAAGAAAGACGAACCTGAAACTAAAGAAATTGTTGAACCAGAATTACCATAATTCAATTTTAATACATTAAATCCAGAAGAACAAAAAATTGTTATTGGATTAATAACAGATCAATTAAGTGTCAATTTTGGATTAGAAATCCTTAAATTAGTTCCAGGTTATGTTTCTACTGAAGTTGATGCTCGTTTGAGTTATGATAAATAAGCAACCATTGATAAAGCTAAAAGAATTATTTCCCTATATGACTCAGCTGGTATTACTAAGGAAAGAATTCTTATTAAAATTGCTAGTACATGGGAAGGAATTCAAGCTGCTAAGGCTTTAAAAAAAGAAGGCATATTATGCAATATGACTCTCATTTTTAATTATTATCAAGCTTTGGCTTGTGCTTAAGCTGGAGTCAGATTGATTTCTCCATTTGTTGGTAGAATTTTAGATTGGTTTACCAAAAATAAAAGTGGAGAAGATTATTCTAAATAAAATCATCCTGGAGTTAAATTAGTCACTAGTATTTGGAATAGCTTTAAAAAATTCAAATATGATACAATTGTTATGGTAATCTATTATTTAATATATACTTTAGGCAGCATCTCTCCGTTTAGTAGATGAAGCTACTGAATTATGTGGTTGTGATAGAATGACAATTCCTATTAAATTACTCAATGATTTATAAGGATTAGAAGGTACAGTTTTGGAACCTAAATTAAAAGTTGAAAATTTGGATAAGTTAAATATCGAAAAAGTCATTGTTGATGAAAAAACTTACAGATGGGAAATGAACTGTAATTTTTTATTATAATCAATAGAGGATGCTATGGGTACTGAAAAATTAAATGAAGGAATTAGAAAATTTGCTTAAGATCTAGAAACCTTAGAAAATGTAATCAAATAAAAATTAACATAAAATAACTAATGAAAAAGTTAACACATTAATATATATTAAAAACATATTAGTATCAATTATTGAAGTATAATTTGATTTTATAGAAATCTTTTGCATAGATATACTTTTTAAAGATGAATATCTATTTTCTCTAAGTATGCTTTTAACACTCCTTAATATATTGTAACTTTCATTATTAATGTTTTCATCTAATAAATATCAATCCCTAAACATCTTTTCAAATGCATCTTATTATTATTTCTTATTAATTCAATTTTTAAGACTACCAATATTTGCAATAATACTTGCTATTTCTTCCATGCCTTATTTTATCTTTATTAAAGCACTTTTTCTTATCATATCCCTTTACGGGGATATTTATAGATTTTTTAAAGGTTTTTGAGTTTTAGAAATTTAAAATTTTTAAGAAACTGTATCACAATCTACTTTTTTTTTAGTAGAATAAAGAGGTTTATCTTGGCAAGTAAGGAACAGCTATTTATTTAATTCAGTTTGCAGGGGGGAATTTTAAAAAGAAAATTAATTTTCTAATTCTTAATAAGTTTCCTCATTATTTTTCTTAACTTTCATTGTATTATTTTTAAAACAACTATTCTTAATTTAAAACTATATAATTAATCTTTGACACAATACTTTTCGAATTCTAATTACAATTATTTTAGTTCTTCTTATTCTTTTAAGAGGTTATTCATAAAAATTATAAAACATTCTTTTGCTTTATTATGTATTTTACTTTCAATTCTTAGTCATAAGTAACCTACTTTTTTTATCTGCTGGAACGACAAAATCTTCTATTAATTCTACCTTCATTAATTATTATGATGAACAATATAGATCATTTTAGAATCAACATGTGAAAATGATTTCTTTTTTTTACCTTTATATTTGTTCACAGCATTAAAATTAAATTCTTTTTCTGTTACTTTTTATTTACAATTATTTTTGCATGTACCTATTAATTATAATAATTATTGAATTCAGTTTTATTAATATTAAAAATCCTCTTTAAATTATTTAAAGTTCTTTTCTGATATTTTAAACTTAAATTTTTAAGTTTTTATGCATCAATTATGGTTCCAAATTCACACTAAATTAGTCTCTCATTCTTTAGAATTATTATTCATAATATTGTTGCAACATTCAGAAGTAAATTGCCTGTAGTCCCAATTAAAAATCTAAAAATTAAATATAAATGAATAAATCAAGTCTAGGTCCAAAATTACAACATCAAATTAAAATAAACGTTGGTCATAGTGATGAACTTATACCTGAAGAGCCGTTAATGCAATTTAATAAACAACAACTTTAATAATGCAAAAAACCCAGATTTGACACTAAGGGAAGATAGATTATTAAGGGTAAAAATTACTCAATTGAATTTCACGATTGTGTTACTGTTTGTGTTTATAATCCTTGTGATGAAGTATTGTAAATAAAAGAAACCCTTTCTTAACTATCAAACGTTGAATTGACAAAAGTAAGCTTTTAAAATCCTCAAAGTTTCAACAAATAAACACAATATAATGGAATTCCTTCTAAATCGATACTAAAAAAAATTAGCCAATTAAATGCAATATAATTAAAATGAAGATTCTAAATTGTGAATTTAGTGCAATTTTGATGCTTTTGTGTTTATTTTATGAATACTAATATACCAAGAAATATTTACTATCAAAATATATTATAATGAATTAAAGAAAATCAAAACATATTTTCTTTTTCGAACTATTCTAAACAAATTACTTTTTTGTTACAAATTTTTTCAGATTTTAAAATAGATATTATTATTTTTTTTTTTTATTTATTTTCTAAAGCTAATCTCCACCATGATTTTAGGACAAAATTGAAATAGACCGAATTTATTATGCAAAATTCATTAATGATAAAGTCATATATGTTCATTCCTAACTAACATTTCCTCTATAATAAAAGTATATTGAAAATCAAAAAAATAATAAACCTTTGTCATTAGTGAAATTATGGTTTAGTAATATTGTATAAAAAATGTTCTTTATAATTCATATAAACTATTGTCAATAGTTTTTGTTTTTGTGTTATTTATAAGAAAAGCTTAAAGATGTACTTAAGATGCTTTATTTAAAATACATGGATTATAATTTATTTAATTACTATTAGGATTTTTTTATTCAAATCATTTTTTTAATTATTTAGATCAATATAATTCTTGCAATAATGTAAAATGCAATCATAATTATGAAAATTTTTTATTTTAAAGTTGTTAAATTAATTAGGTTTGATCTACTATATCTAGATATATAAAGATAATGAATATAGCAGCATTAAAAAAGTAAAAAAGAAATTTATTAATTTTAAAATAAAGATTAATTAACTAAGTAAGATAAATTTACAGTGAGGTTCTTAATTTCTACTTCTAAAACATTGATCTAAGTTAGAAAGATTAATGATATTAAATTTATTTATTAACAACTAATTTTATTTGTTTAATGATTGAAGAGGAGATCTCAGGATGGCTGGATGATGCCGATTAATACGATAGAGCAAAGTATAATAGAAATAAGGAGGAGAAAATAATTAAACTTCCTTTACATTAAAATCTACGTAGTTATAGTTTATGCTAAAAAAAAGAGGATTCAGATAAAATGCTTATTACAAAATCAAGTCTTTATTGAAATGTATTTTAGATCTCTTTTCTGACAAAGAGAACTCATCCCAATATGTAAAAAGCAAGATGTAGAAAAAATAAAATAGTACAATAGAAGAGCTGAAAAAAGTGATGGAGTTTCTATCAATAAATGAACAATATAAATATGAAACTCATAGAGCATTTGATCCAAATGATGATAGATTCTTGAAACAGTAGCAGCAGTTAATAGAAAAATAAAAGCAATAATAAGAGCTGAAAAAAAATAAGTTTAAACTTTAACTAGATATCAAAGATAATTATTAATCTATACCAAAATAAAGAAGGCAATTGTTACCATTAAATGATTTCTAATAATTATAAAAAATTAACAGTGAGAGATCATAAAATAATTAAATTCAATAAAGTGGAATCTAAGAATCCAAAAGTTAAACTCAAACTAAGTTTAAATTTCCAAAATTCATCATCTAATAATAAAGATAGAAGAAACGACATTATAAAACAGATGATTTTGTTGGCAATAAAGATGATAAGGAATAACAAGCCAAACATTTCATCCAAATAAATAGAATTTTCAGCAATAATAATTTAACGGATACAAAGCAAAGTATATATACTCCTAAAACTGTGACATAAAATAAACATTAGCTTCAATTATAATAAACCATAAACAATATCAATTAAGCTAAAGATAGCTCATATACATATGATCTATTTTATAGAAAAACACCCTCAAGTACAATTTAGGAAAATAAGGAAAAGTAAAAATAACTTAAATTGTTAGAGATAGCTCTAAAATGTAAGAATATTAAATGAGATATTGTATATACACTACTATTATTATGAGAAATTATTTTTTTATTTTACATCTATTAATTCCATTTTTTATATATTTTTCCATTAATATCATCATTTATTTAGATACTTAAGCCGATCTTCACAAACATTAATATAGAATTTATTCAAACATTAAAACTCTAAGGATATCAATAAATCTATTATTTAATTAATTTCTTTGAAGTGATACTTCAAATTTATTTAATTTTTGTTTTGATCGATATTACTAATATTTATATATAAATTATTGTTATGATTGAAGAAAGAGATATAGCTTGTTAGACTACTCNAAGCAAGATGTAGAAAAAATAAAATAGTACAATAGAAGAGCTGAAAAAAGTGATGGAGTTTCTATCAATAAATGAACAATATAAATATGAAACTCATAGAGCATTTGATCCAAATGATGATAGATTCTTGAAACAGTAGCAGCAGTTAATAGAAAAATAAAAGCAATAATAAGAGCTGAAAAAAAATAAGTTTAAACTTTAACTAGATATCAAAGATAATTATTAATCTATACCAAAATAAAGAAGGCAATTGTTACCATTAAATGATTTCTAATAATTATAAAAAATTAACAGTGAGAGATCATAAAATAATTAAATTCAATAAAGTGGAATCTAAGAATCCAAAAGTTAAACTCAAACTAAGTTTAAATTTCCAAAATTCATCATCTAATAATAAAGATAGAAGAAACGACATTATAAAACAGATGATTTTGTTGGCAATAAAGATGATAAGGAATAACAAGCCAAACATTTCATCCAAATAAATAGAATTTTCAGCAATAATAATTTAACGGATACAAAGCAAAGTATATATACTCCTAAAACTGTGACATAAAATAAACATTAGCTTCAATTATAATAAACCATAAACAATATCAATTAAGCTAAAGATAGCTCATATACATATGATCTATTTTATAGAAAAACACCCTCAAGTACAATTTAGGAAAATAAGGAAAAGTAAAAATAACTTAAATTGTTAGAGATAGCTCTAAAATGTAAGAATATTAAATGAGATATTGTATATACACTACTATTATTATGAGAAATTATTTTTTTATTTTACATCTATTAATTCCATTTTTTATATATTTTTCCATTAATATCATCATTTATTTAGATACTTAAGCCGATCTTCACAAACATTAATATAGAATTTATTCAAACATTAAAACTCTAAGGATATCAATAAATCTATTATTTAATTAATTTCTTTGAAGTGATACTTCAAATTTATTTAATTTTTGTTTTGATCGATATTACTAATATTTATATATAAATTATTGTTATGATTGAAGAAAGAGATATAGCTTGTTAGACTACTCTTGAATATAACGAAGGTAAATTATATTAAATAGCAAAGTCAATGATAATTTTGCTGATCCTTTATAATAATAAATACAATCTCCTATCAAATAAATTTAAGTTAGATAAAGAAGCTAAACAACTTAATAAAATTCTAAATAACTTGTAATTCTATAGACAAGAACTCCTAAAAAATAATCAATGGCCCATATTGCTGATTTAAAATAGTAAATTTTAAGTATTGCTTAAAAATTTGATGAAATAATTAATAAGGAGTAAGCATAAAAAAAATAAATTCCAATAAAATCATAAGAAATTCAAGATTATGAGAACATAATTAAAGATCAGATGATTGAAATAAAATCACTCTAAAATTAAATAGAAACAAATTAGAGAAGATTACAACTAAGTTTGGAAGATAAAGAAATAACAAAACTTGAAGATAAGTTAAAGTATTTATAGGAGTTAGAAAAACTCTTAAAAGATGAAAATAATTCAATAAAAAAAATTCATAATTAACAGCAATAAGCTTTAAATTAATTAGGAATAAATGAATAAGATGAAAAAATAGTAATAATAACTATTATTTTTAGAGGCTTGAGAAATTGACCATTTTAAAACAAGAAAAATAAAAAAGTAAACAATTGTAAGAATTATTGAGATAATTAGAAAATTAATCAAAATAGAATCATAATAATTGTTATAAATAAGTAGAGAAGTTAAGATGGATTGATAATAGAGTGTTAGAATACAATAAGAAGAAAAAGAAAAAACTTATTAGCAAAGATGATGTTTAAATATTAGAAAGTCAACTGTAAGAATTAATTTAAGAAGTTGAATAAAAAAATTAAACAAATTAATCAAAATTAAAAGAATTAGAGAGGGAAAGAAAATAATTAACAATTGATGTTGAAATTAGGGAAAGACAATTAAAAGAGAAAGATAAAGAGTTAAAATTAACAATTATGAAATTCAATGAGAATAAAAGATTTGTAATTAGAAACGAAATAATAAAACAATGATAAAATATTCACTATAACCATTAACTTTATTAAACCTCTTGTATTGACAATCTTTCTTTTGGATCTACTCTGAGCATACCAGAAATTAATTATTTAACTAATGGCGAAATAAATGATGGATATTCAATTTTTCCTAAACAAATTTTCTTATTTAAATCTTTCTCAGAATTTCCTCTAAAAGGAAATACTCCTGTTACTATTTTAAAAAGGATAACTCCACAAGCCCAAATATCTACAGATTGATCATAAGTTCCTTTTTTTACCAATTCTGGGGCCATATATTAAGGAGTACCACATGAACAGGTCTATTTTCCTTGTATTTTAATAGAATATCCAAAATCAATAAGTTTAATTTTTCTAGTATTATAATCTATTAAAAGATTTTCAAATTTGAGATCTCTATGACAAATATCTTGTTAATGCATATAATAAACAGCATCTGAAATTTGTCGAAATAAAATTTTAGCTTCATCTTCATTTATTCTTTTAAATGGCCTTCCTTTCATAAAAATCTCTAAATTAGTTGGTGATGAATATTCCATGACTAAATAAATAGATTTATCATTTTCAAACATATGGTATAAATTAATTATATTTGGATGCTTAAGTTGATTTAAGATATCAATTTCTCTCTCCAAGTTTTTTAAATGCATATTATTCATTTTTTTTTTATCATAAATTTTAATAGCAACATCAATCTCTAATTCTTTATGTCTAGCCATTTTAACTTCAGCAGTTGCTCCAATACCAAGTGTTTTTATAAAAGTATAACTATTGAATTATTAATATTCTAAAGGAATTTCAACAATTTCAGAATATTATTTTCTTATGTTTTCATTTTATGGATTCTCTTCAAAAATAGGTTATTATGCATAATTAGTTTTAAGAATATTTCTCAAATTGCTACCTAGATTTTTTGATATAGGAAGTGTCTTTTTTTTTAATTAAGGTTGATTATTTTCTTGTTTTGGTGAATATTATTTTTTTATCTGTTGAGTCTTTGGAGGTGAACGATTAAGAGGAATTCTATTATGATGAGATAATGATCGTCTTTAAGTATCTTCTCTATTTTTAAGATATTTTTTCTTTAAATCAAACAATTTGGAATGCTAATTAAACTAGGATGCTTAAGAGGATATCTATTAATGAGTCTTATGATAATCTAAAAATGAATAAATATGTACTTAAAGACAAATACATGGCTGGTTCATGTGGTTATTCAAATTCTTGATGATACATTTATTCAGGATTAGATTGGAATGTAACTTACTATTGTTATTCAAGTCTTAACATTAATTTAACTATAATAATAAATTCAGTTAATTATAATGGTTCTTATTATATATATACTATTATTATATATATAATCTCATTTCTTAGGTGGTGCTTTAGCTGCTGGTTTTGCTCCTCCGGCTGGTTTTGCAGCGGCAGTTTTTGCTGCAGCAGCTGCTTTATTATCTTCTGCTTCTTTTAATTTTTTTTCTATTAAAATATTTAATAATTATACCAGCTGCTTCTTATTTATCTAAAATTTATTTCTTTGAAGTTGGTGCTACTTCATCTGGTAAGATTTTAGAAATAACACCTGCTGCTACAGTTTTTCCTCCTTCTCTAAGTGCAAATCTTTGACCTTGATAGAGTGGCAAATTATAAGAGAGATTCAATTTACAAGTAAAATTATCTCCTGGCATACCTACTTTAATATTATCTGGTAACTATAATGTGACAGCAACATCTGCAGTTCTAACAAACATCTAAATTAATAAAATTAAGTTTATTACTTATGGACGATAGCCATTTGGAAATGGTTTTTTACGACCTCCTTCTTCTTCTTTCAAAATATATAGATTTGATTCAATACAATTATGAGTTGTTAAAGATCCTGGCTTACATAATACTTATCCTCTTCTAACATCATCTCTTGTAAGACCTCTTATTAATACTCCTACATTATCACCAGCCTCTCCAAAGTCTAATTATTTTTTAAATGTTTCAACTCCAACTATTGCTGTCTATTTTGGTTTTCCATATCCAACTATTTCGACATTGTCTTTGATAGATGCTTTACCTTAATCAATTGTTCCTGTCACGACTGTTCCTCTACCAGCTATATGATATGTTCCTTCAATTGACATTAAAAATGGTTTATCAATTGGTCTCTAAGGTATTTTAATCTCCTTATCCATTGTATCAAGTAATTAAAGTATTGATTTTTCACCTAATTCTGGTTCTTAATCATTTGATGCTAATAATGCAGAACCTTTCACAATCTTTGCATTGTCACCATCATATTCATATTTGCTAAGAAGTTCTCTTATTTCCATCTCTACCAATTCATGGATTTCTGGATCCTTGGCTAAATCTATCTTATTAACAAACACAATAATAGTCTCCACACCAACCTAACGACAAAGAAGTACATGCTCTCGTGTCTAAGCCATACAACCATCTGTGGCTGCCACAACTAATATTGCAGCATCCATCTTGGCAGCTCCTGTAATCATGTTTTTGACATAATCAATATGTCCTGGACAATCTACATGACTAAAATAATTAAATATAACATAAATTATTACCCATAATGTCTTGTTTTTGTCTAATATTCCACTGTAGCACTATTGATAGTGATACCACGAGCCTTTTCTTCAGGAGCCTTATCAATTTTACCATATTCTTAGAACTCAGCAAGTCTATTTTGTTTATGTTTTATAATTACTATTATTTAGCCAAGACTTTTGTGATGGCAGAGGTAAGTGTAGTTTTACCATGATCGATGTGTCCTATGGTACCGACATTAAGATGAGGCTTGTCTCTGACAAATTTGGCGAAGAGTGCACGAGCAGTATTATTAAGGGTGAAAGGAGCTTATATGGAGCGTAGAGTGTGGAGCATTCTTTAATTTTAATTACGGTTGAGATTTAAAATAATGTACTCTTTTGTGATAAAGATTTATTTATTTAATTAAATATGTAGAGATTATAGGGTGCCACACTCGGTCTATGGAGTAGCTTTACTCCAGTACCATAGTATGCATTCGCAACATTGAATCTAAAGTAATTGAAGTAGAGAATGAAGTCTGTGGGATCAATTAGAAAGATTACAAAGGCAATGAAGATGGTTGCTGCTTCTAAAATGAAGCAAGATGTTTAAAGATTAGAGAATGGAAAGTACTTTGGAATTCGTTCAGTCTAAGATTTATTTGCTTAAGAAACTTATCTATAGAAGAAGCAATTGACATTTAAGATTAATAAGACTTTGATTTGTCCAATTACATCTGATAAAGGACTTTGTGGTGGCATCAATTCCTCAATCATAAGAGAAACAAGAAGTATTGTTAGATAGAATCGTAATGCTTATAAATTATTCTTGGTCGGTGAGAAGGTATTAAATACAAATTTAATTATAGTCTTTAGGAGCATTATAAAGAGGATTCCCAGAATTGTTAACATAGGCTGTCACAGCAATTTAAACACCAATTAATTTTGTTAATAGTTCTTCTATTGCTCATTAAATTCAACTTAATGCTACTGAGGATATTGATTAAATTGCTATTATTTTCAATTAATTCAAAAATGTAGTTCAATAAGTTGTTAAGAGAGTAGATTTACTTAATAGAAAGAACTTTATTGCTTAATTTAGATTGGTTACTAAATATGATACTGCAGAACCAGAAAAAGAATTCGTTTAAAATTATATGTATGAGTACTATTTAGCAACTGCATTCTATCATGCTATGTTGAATAATTTTGCTAGTGAAACTTCTTCTAGAATGAATGCTATGGAAAATGCTTCCAAAAATGCAGGAGAAATGCTTGATAAGTTGACTCTTGAATACAATAAAGTCAGATAAGCCAAAATTACAGTAGAATTATGTGAAATTATTTCAGGAGCCTCAGCTGTTTGAAAATTATAAAGACAAATATATACATAAAAATTTACATATTTATATAGTATCAATAATATTTAAATTCTTCTTCCATTCTATTCTTGCTCATCTAAATGTTATTGCTTTACATACTATATAATTAGATCCAAAAGAATTTTAAAGATATATTAATTATACATAATTTAAATATTTTATTTAATATTATATACATTTTTATAAATCATTTACGACAACCTTATATAATACACACAAAGCCTTTTGATTCTGGATATTATTTTAAATATTATTTATTTCTTTATAAGTTTTCATTCATCTCTATAATGTATCCATCATGTCCAGCTACAATCTCATAAGTCTCTCCATTCTCTAAATGCACCTTCAACATCTTTGTATCACTTTTAACCTTCAAACCTCCCTTCTTCTTTTTTCCCTTCACTTACTATTCCTTCTATAGAAACTCAATCTCCTTAATATTACTTTCACTCTACACTATAGGATGATTCTTATTGATTCCACTCAAATATAGACGATTTGAATGCTAAAACACATATTGATGCTCTGAAAAAGATTTTACAAAATATCTATCAGTAAATTCAGCAAGTCTAGATTACACATTAAGTGGAATCATTAAATCATCATCTTAATCCTAAGGTTATTATTATTATTATTATTATTCTTCCTCCTCTTATTACATTAAATTTAATTAATTATTCTTATTTATAATTATTAGTAAAACAAATATATATCTAAATCAATCCTAAACCATTCTTACTTAACTTGGCAACTAACTTTAATATAAGCTCTAATTTCCAATCTAACTCATTATTAAACTTTTTTGCAATTCATTATTTTCATCTAACCATCCCATTCTCTTTCCCTTCTCCCAAATACCCTACTTGATCGTTCCATCTTAAAATACCATAGTTCCTCTTCCATTCTATAATCCATCTGCAAAACTTCCTTCATATCTCTTTCCATCTGCCCATGTATAAACACCAAAACCATCCTTTTTATCATTTTTAAACTCTCCTTAATATGATTTTCCATCAGGCCATTTATATATACCATATCCATGCATAAAACCATTTAAAAATGATCCTTCAAATGATCTTCCATTTGCCCATGCATATACTCCTTATCCATTAAATTAATTCTATGCCCATTCTCCCTAATATGATGTACCATCTGCCCAATAATAATTTCCTTCCCCATGTTTCATTCCATTTACATAATTACCTTCATAACGTGATCCATCTGGCCATTCTTATTTCCCAAATCCATGTTAAACATCTTCCTTCCATTCTCCTTCATACTTTCCATTCAGTTTATAATAAAAAGTACCATATCCCTCTGCTTATCCTTCATTCCATTCTCCTTCATATATATCTCCATCTGCATGAATAAACTTCCCTCTACCATGTGGTACATTATTGTGAAACTATCCTTCATATCTTGCACCATCAGGCCCTTTATAATTTTATAATCCTTTTACATTCTTATATTCCATGACCCTCCCGTATCGTCCCTTTCCATTACCCTGTATATAGAACTCCATCTGGAAACTAATAAGTTGGTCGTTCCTCTATCTTATCTTCAACTTCTACCGAAACCTATACTTTCTATATTGGAATTGATTGTTAGGGTCTATAACTCATTCTTATCGATTATACAAAATCTTCTGATGGCCTATCTGTTAATTCTATATTCTCTGTGTATATTTCATTATTAGTTGTATCAAAAATAACCTCAGCTTTTGAACAATGATCTATTGCAGTACATTAATTTCCCATTTAAAATTTATTACTTCCAATAAGAATTAAAATATTACTTATAAAATTATTTCTAAATCAATCAATCTCATCATTATTATTTTTAAAATCTTATTTTTTATTCTGCTTTACATTTTAATTATACAATTATCTTTTCCAATTATATAATTATTTTATCACAACATATTTTACTATCTAAAATATTTGAAAAACAGTATAATATATATAAAAATTATAATCATAATTCTTAAATTATTTTCATCGTAGATTATCCTAAAGCACTACTTGTTAATCCTACTATAAAACAAAGTTCTTTTATATTTCCACCAATATTCAATGTCTATTAAATTAATCTAAAATTTTACGAAAGCTTCATTAATTGTATTGTTTGTCCATTTGATTTTTTAATTCTTCAAATCAACCTCAACCTTTATTATGTCATTATTTTTTATTCCAAAACATTTAAAATAATTATTCTTAGATTTTTAAGTAAAATAAGTAACGAAACCTTAATTATTTAAGATATATGCACTAAATAAATCTGAACGATACATACCCATCTAAGATTTATTCATAGATTTTATCCTTTTAAAATATTATATTTTAATGACAAACTCCAACTTCAGCTCCTTCACCGCAATTAATAGTTAATGCTGCTATGGAATTGCCAGTTATTATTTGATCACACATTATGTATCTTGTTTCTTTGAAAAATGATGAGCTATTTGCTATTTTACCATCAAGATCAACAACAATATCGTTATGTTTACACATTTTTGATAATGTATAGTTTTAACCAACTGTTTAATTAGAAATAGGAGTCTAAATTTCTCGAAGAACTATTTTCCTTTCTTAATATTATCCTGATGAAATCAAAGGATGAGATTGAGGTCTACATTCATTAGCTTTCGGAGTTTAATCACCAGGAATCTAAGATTAACCTTAATAATTAAATATAAATACTTTTAGAAAATAGCAACTATTTTAGGCTTTGCTTAAGAATGGGGATTTAGGATACTAAATCAGCTATTTTAGACATTATAGATTTTTCAGATTATTCTATTAATAATAATCTTTTTATCTCTTTTGTTAAACTTGTATAATTCATATTTTCAACAAAATCACTACTTACAACAGTTTCTTTTATGAAATCTGATAGCATTACTATGAAAGATTGTAATTATAAAATATTATCCTTAAAAGAATCTAAAGATAATTATTTTTATTTTTTCCAATTATAAAGCTCCTTAAATTTAATTGTATCAAATAAATGATTGGAATGAAATTTTTTCATGCAATCAAAACAACATAAACCTTATTTAGGGCAAACATTATTTAAACAAACTCCAATTATTTCTGAATATTCATGATCACTTTCTTGACAAGATAGCATATCTGTTAATAATAATTATTAACGTAATAAATTTATTAATAAATTTGTTAATAATTTTTATTTATAAATTTGACATTTTAGAAAATAATTCTCTTAGATTAGATTGAAGTTTAATGTTCGAAAAGTCTTAATAATAAAATGAAATCCTATTTATTTAGTAGATTAAAACTTTAATCATCAAATTAATTAAGAAGCCAAAGTTTTTGAGAAAAATTGAAAATAAAATTTGTTTTTTTTAATTAAAAGTTATTTATAATCCAAAGATTGAAAAAATAAAGGAGATAATATTATAAAATAAAAAATTTAATCAGACTTAATATGTTCCCCAAATTTTCATAAAATTTTGTAATTGAGCTACCTACATAATTAGTTTTGTATTTTAGAGACAGACAAAATTAATTCTATATTTTTAACATATATAACGATAATATATGTATTTAATAAAAAATAAATGTTAGAAAAAGTGTGATAAAATTAGTAATATATAAAGAGATTGATTTTTCCTTAATTTTATGAAATATGCATGATAGTCAATTATATAAATAATTTATATGTATTTTAATATATTAAATAATAAAAAATTAAATATGAAAACTCTAAGTTAGAATGAGAAAAGATCAATAAAGAAGATATATAGTCTTGCAATGAAAATGATGGGACTTTTATTAATAGCATTCTTTCTGGTTTTATATTATTTTATAATTTATTCATTTATCCGTGACACAATGCTATTATATTATTTGGTTTACAATAATAAATTGCTTATTAGTATATTGATGTTAATAGGATTGATTGAAGGTATAGAATGAATATATAATAGCATTCAATGTGATTTTTAATTATGGGTTAGTGATAATAGTGTCACCAGGATTGACATCTGATATATTTATAAAAACAGATGATAAAATAGGGAGTCCATACATATATGATCCAATTAAATGCAAGTTTAATAAAACATAGTTGAATATAAAGTTAGATTAGAGTACATTAAAATATTGTGATAAATGTTGTTTACCAAAACCTCAGAGAACACATCATTGTAGTATATGTAATAAATGTGTACTAAAAATGGATCATCATTGTCCTTGGGTTGGATAATGTGTAGGACATTAAAATCATCGATTCTTTATTTTGTTTTTAACTCATATAGCAATAGGTACATTGTACATTTCGATATTGAATTTAAATATAATGATGAAGTATTGATTTTAGATGGAATTAGCAACAAATTTGATTAGTACAAAAATTTAGAATCAAAAGTTTTTACAGTAGTTTGGCCCTTAAACATATCGTTGTTTTTAATGTTATCAGGATTTTCAGGTTGGAATTGGTATTTGGCAATGAAAGGAATGACCACATTAGAATTTTGGGATAAGAATCCTAATTTTAAAAAGAGTAAGAGAATACTTAATTTATAATAAATATTTGGAGATGTAAGAAATTGGATATAGATATTATCACCAAGTGTAAGAGATTTACCATCAAATGGAGTGATTTGGTATGATACTTAAGTAGAAAATTAAAACATATTAAATGAAGAATAGGAGGAAGACGAGGAAGAAATAATTGGTTGATTTTATAATGAAAGTTAATTAATTTAATTTTTGGAGCCAAAATGGCAGCAAATTAAGATTAGATATTTGATGAATAATCTTAGGAAGTAACAATAAATGAGGAATACAAAATATGGAAAAAGAATGCACCATTTCTATATGATTTAGCAATAAGTCATCCTGTAGAATGGCCATCATTAACAGTGTAATGGTTACCAAAGAAAGAAACACCATAAGGTTAAGATTATTCAATTCATAAATTAATAATTGGAACAAATACAGGAGATAATGAAATGAATTCATTGATGATTGCTAAAGTAGACAAACACAATTAATATTAGGTTCGATTACCAAAAGATTCGGATGTATAATAAGATCCTTCTGAATATAAATAGAATGAATCTAGTGGAATAGGTAAAGCAACAGGAGAAAGTAGAATAGAAATTGATGTAAGAATAAACCATGAAGGAGAAGTCAATAGAGCAAGGTATATGCCATAAAAATCAAATATAATTGCTACTTTTACACCAAAAGGAGAAATTCATATATTTGATTATATAAAACATCCTTCTTAGCCATCAAATAATATAGTAAAACCTGATTTAAAATTAGTTGGTCATTAAAAAGAAGGGTATAATTATATGAATTAATATATAGATTTGGTATATCTTGGAGTGAATAAAAATTAGGACATTTATTGAGTGGAGATTATGATGGTAAAATATGTATATGGGATATTGAAACAAATACTCCAGAACCAAAATAAACATTTCAAGCAAATAATTTATAAATTGAAGATGTTTGTTGGCATAGATTTCATCCAGAAATATTTGGTACATGTGGAGATGATAGACATGTAAGAATGTAATATAAATAATAATATATTTATAGTTGGGACACTCGTAAACCTTAACCATTAAGTGATATTTAGACTCATGCTGGAGATATTTATTGTTTAGATTTTAATCATTTTAATGAATACTTTTTTATTACTGGATCAGAGGATAAGAGAATAAATCTTTTCGATATGAGAAATACTGAAAAACCACTTCATACATTTGAAAGTCATGGTGATTAAATCTTATCTTTGAAATGGTCACCACACAATATGAAAACATTTGCCAGTAGTTCAGCTGATCGTAGATGTATGATATGGGATTTTGGAAGATGTGGAAAAACGCAAACTCCAGAAGAAGCTTAAGATGGACCTCCTGAATTATTAGTATTTAATTATTTCAAATCATTTAGTTTGTTCATGGAGGACATAGATCTAAAGTTTGTGATTTAGATTGGAATCTTAATGAAAATTATGTAATATCTAGTGTTGAAGATAATAATATTTTATAAGTTTGGTAATTGGGAGCACATATTTATTAAGAATGATTTTATATATATATATATCAGTATTATTATTACGTCTTTTACAGTTACATCTATCTTCCAGTTGGAGGTTTTTATTCCAAAGGATTTAAATTTGATACTACAATATTCATTTTTAATACTTTTTTTATTCAAGGGAGGAGGAGTTATTTAAGATGTGTTTTAATTATTATTAACAACTATTAATTCACATTAATTATTAAAACTAGAAACTGTATTGCCTCTATTATCAATAGGATTTAAAATAATCTTCTAATTCACTCTTTTTTATAACTATTATTGTTATTGCAATTCGTCTTTTTAATGTTTATTAGTCTTTCCTTCATAAAGTTCTAATAACTATTAATTTAACTTTGTCTTTTCTACTATACTCATCCCTTTATTATCATTATTTCCATTCATTTTTGGTTATGATTCACCTAATTATATATAAATATTTAATACCTTTTCTTTGTTTATAAGGTGAGTTATTTCTAGTGTTTTCAACATCTCTATAACTAGAAGGTAATTATCTTTAATTAATTTCAATTTATTTTGAATTAATTTCAATTTATCTTTCTTATTTTTCTACATCAATCAAATCCATTGCTTTTTAATATGGCAAACTAGGAAAATTAACTTTTTTAGCTTTAATATTAAAAGGAGGTATTTTATATTCTTCTAAATCTTCATTCCATTCACAAATATTAGTTATTTTGTCAATATCTTCTTATAATAGTATCATTCTCAAAATTCCAGAAAATAATTTAATTTCTTTCGATTATGATCTAATTGTATCTAAAAATTCTTCTTTATCATATTCAAAATCTTATTTCATATCATTTAATTCTTATTTTTATTATTCATATTTATTTTTTAGAAATTTAACTTATTTTCTTAATTTTTCAACTTCATCCTATACACTATTATATTTATATTCAATTTCAAGCATTTCTTTTTCTTTTTATTCTTACATTGATTTAAGTTATTCATGTTCTTTTTTTTATAACTCTATAGCTTATTGCATTTTCTTATATTTTTTTTTATCATCATCAGTTCCTTTACCTCCTTTGATCATCATTTATTCTTTTTCTTTTAGTAATTCTTCTAATCTCTATCTTGCTTATCTTTCTTATTCAGCTTATTCACTTTTTTATTTCATTTCAGATTCATATCTTTACTTTTCCAAAAGTAATTAATTATTAATCTCTTTAAATTAATTAATTTATTCATTTTGATTATTATGTTAATGATTATTATGTTAATGATTATTAATTGTAATATTATCAATTTAAATCCTATCCCCTTTCTCTTAATTTTATCTTAATAATAATTCCCTAAGTTTTTTAATTTCTTCAGCTTATTCTTTTAAAAGAGCATCTTTTGGATCTTCATTAACTTTAGGTTAATTTTTAATCATTTTAGCTCTAGATGCATATCTTAAACTAGATAAAGTCTCTTCATAATTAAAATCCGATGGAGATATTGCAGTAATCATTATTGTCTTTGTATTCCCACCTAAGGAGTCTTATAATAATCTTGTTAATTTAGAATCTCTGTATGGAATATGTTAAGTCTTACCATCAACTAAAGCTGAAATCACATTTCCTAAGGCAGATAATGATAAATTAATTTTAGTTGCTTCCTTCAATCTATCACCTGTAGCTTAAGTCTTTGATTATCTTTCGCTTCCTGCCAAATCTACCAAATTCAATTTCCCAGCTGTTATACGTTCATTTCCTTTTTCATCACTCAATGAACATTCAATATATACTGTAAAAATACAATGGCTTCTACTTGATTCCTTATTCATTGCTGTTGCTCCAACTGATCTATTCTAAGCACCCAAAGTCATATACTTTTCCATCTCCTACAATGTTTTAAGTATTGGAATGTTCAAATCTTTAACATACACACCTTATTATCCTTCTTTTAATTCATATCTTTATTTAACATCTTTACTCAATAAATCGTGAATCTCTTCATTATATATCTCAATATATGAACATCTTAATAAGAATTTCTTATTTTAATCACTATTGTTATTGATTATACTAATTATTTATTCGAAACTTCTCGGAATTATCCCTTTCAGACTTTCCTAATAAGATTTATGTGATTCATTATACATTCTATGCATCTCCAATCATTGTAAACGTCTTACCACAACCTAAATCATTATTAATTCTTTATACCAGTTTAACCATATGCAAATATTGTTCCGTTGTATCCTTCTGCCACTGATTCAATCAAATTAAATGCAGTCTATTAATATATTTACAATTAAGGAGTCTCTGGTCCAAATACATAATCATAAGTATATTATTTTTAATCATTGTCTGAACTCTACTCATACAATAATTTTGTATTAAATACTCTAAAGAGTTCTACACAATTTGTACTTTCATGAACATTTACGCATGTTTTGCTACCGTTGTCTTTTTCTCTTTAATTAAATGGCCTGACTCTAACAATAACTTTCACACATTCAGATGGCATATGATATAATATTATTATAACGATTGTAAAAATTAATTAATATAATAATGCACCCTTAATAATCATCTTTAACAAGATTGCATAGAGAATATCGTTTGCTGCCTGTAGGAATGTATTCTCCATAGAAAGAGAACCTTTAGAGATTACTTCCTAGATATCCTGAGAGTGTAGATGTAGGAAGTAATAGTAAGTATTAAGGGAATACATCATTTCCTGCTTTACCTCCTTTAAAAAAGTTGAGTAAGATAGAGTAGACAGTATAGATTTATAAAGGGAAAGTGAATAAATTGCCATCTATTTAATTAAGTGATTAACAATTATAAAGGAAAAAATAAATATCAGAAACTGATGGGATGAGAAAATCAATAACACCTGAAAGAAGACAAGGAAAGAGAAATTCCGTTTAATTTGCAATGAGAACAAAAGCTGGTTGTTAACCAAACAAAGCTACAAAAATAAATCAAGATGCAGCTATATTGTGTCCAAAGAATTTAGAAATGTTAGAAATATAGTTTTATAAATAGTATGGGTTATAAATTCTTTGGAGTGTGTGATGGACATGGTTAATATGGTCATATGGTTTCAAATTAGATTAAATAATAATTGCCTAAACATTTAGGAAGAGTTTTAAAAGAAACAGATGATATAGAAAGTTAAATTAGTAAAGCATTTGGAATGACAAATAAAGAATTATGTAATTCTGAAATCGATACAAATTTATCTGGATCAACAACAGTATCTTTACTTTTAACAAAAGATATTGTATATAATTAAATGAAATAGATTTATTCTGCAAATGTAGGTGATTCTAGAGCAATAATGTGTAGATTTGAAGATGGATGGAAAATTATAGAATTGAGTCATGATCATAAACCAGATGATCCTTAAGAAAAACAAAGAATTTTAGAGGCAGGGGGAAGAGTAGAATAATAAAAGGGTTTGTAAATTAATAACAAAATCTAGATTTCAATGGAAATGGTATAGGACCATATAGAGTATGGTTATCCTACATCTAAGCTCCAGGATTAGCTATGACTAGATCCTTAGGTGATAAAGTTGGGGCATAAGCTGGAGTTATTGCTGAACCTGAAATCAAATAATTCACAATTAGTGGATAAGATTAATTTATTGTTATTGCATCTGATGGAGTATGGGAATATATGAGTAATTAAGAGGTACATTACAAATCAATTAGGTAATGAGTATTGTTATTCCATTCTTGGATAAAGATAATCCTGATCAAGCTGCTGAACGTATCATTATTGAAGCTACTTAAGCATGGCGTAGAGTAAGAGTATTTTTTTTATTTTAAGAATAGTTTAGCTAGAGACGATATTACTTGTATAGTTATATTCTTATAAAAATGAAAATTTTTATTATTTATTAAATATCATAGTAATAATGTCTCAAGATTCTTTCCCTAATGAACCTAATCTTAATACAGCTAATGATATTGAATAATATATTAAAACACTTTTGCAATTTCAAGATTCTTGTGAAAAATCTGCAGAATATATGTAAGCTGATGCTGCTCAAAAAAGAATTGTAGAATTAAGAAAACTATTAGTTTCAAGAAGAAGAAAAGAAATGCAACAAGCTCATTATTAATAAGAACAAGAAATTGAAAGAGCTCATCTTGATGAATTCAATTAATTCAATCAATTTTGGGATGAGAAGATGTAAAAATTTAATGATGAAGCATCAGCTGTAGAATCAGATTTATTAAATAGATAATAAAATGAATTCAATAAAGTTTCTGAAGAATTAGAAAGAACTATTCCTATTAAACCAAAAGAATCTTCTGATGTTCTCAATCTAAAAAAAAGAGAAGAATATTTAGCCAAACAAAAAAAGTATCGATTTCTATAATTTTTTGTTATGTTGAAGCTTAGAAAATCAAAGAATAGAGAATTTAAATTGAAGATGTTGATTATGAGAAATATTAAATTGAAAGGACTAATAAAATTAATACTTAATTGAAATAATTGAAAATGAGACATAAAAATGAAATCAATGCTCTCTAATAAAGAATCAAAGGAGGCTAAGATGAATAAAAAAAAAATCGTAGCCTCGACCTCGAAAAGTACAATTACATAATTACTTTTTTATTAGATTGTTATAAAAATATCAAAATATCAAAAAAGAATTGGAAATCAAATAAAAAATGGATAAATTAGCATTTGAAGGATAATTTACCAATAAAGGTAGTTCCAATCAAAGCGTTTATATGAGTTAAATGTGATTCTTTATATTCATAAAGAAAATTATAATTACCAATTTTCTCATTATTAATATTTAAAATTAAAATAAAATTCAACAAAATGACTGACACAGGTTTTGAATGTTGTCTTTGTATGAAATTAGCTATTAAAGCCTAAATATGCGAAAAATGTGGTTCTATGTACTGCAAGATGTGTCTCAAAGAAATATTTGGTAAAAATTATGAATGTGTTTAATGCCAATCCTAATCATTCAGATCTATTAAAAAATCAGCATTGTAAGAGGTTTATGATGAAATACTTAGTAAATCTCAAATAGTAAAAAATTAAAAAATTGAAAAGCCTCCTCCTCCTAAACTTTCTGTCGTAGAATAAAGAACATAATAAATCTATTTAAGAGAAATGTGTGTAAATTATGAGATTTGCAAGCAAAATGTTAATTAATAATACAAAAATGAATAAGTATGTAGTTAAGAGTGTTTATTTTTCTCTAAACTATTTCCTTTAGTCGAATAATAAGATTTTACAAAAATTAGATAAGAAATTATTTCAATAGAATAATTTATTAAAAATAAATAGCCAACTTAATTATTTTAATAGATTGTCATACCAACATAACAAAATTAAATTGGTTGCACAAACTTTGTTTTTGATAAATGTGGAGAAGGTATTGTAATTAAATATTAATCTGTTACATTATAAGAGGAAGAATACACATTTAAAACTGTTACTTGTTCTAAAGGTTTTTAAAATGGAATTCATTTTTGGAAAATTAATCCTATGTTTATGACAAAAAATGAATTGAAAATTGGAGTTTCAACTTCTGATAGATATGCTCTTAATACTGCTTTTTCTGATTACAATTTTGGCTATGCTTACTATACAGTAGGTTAATTTAAAAATGGAAGCAATTCTAATGTATAATAAAAAAATAAATATAGGGATTTGAATATGGTGTTAAATTTAAAAACATGGGTGAAGTAGGAGTATTGCTTGATATGAATAGAGGAGTATTAGCATTTTCATACGATGATAATTTTTTAGGAAAAGCCATTTGTACAGATCAACTTAAAAAAGGACCTATTTATCCTTGTGTTGCTTTACTTCATTAAGCAGGGTTTGAATTTAAATGTGGTTTACCTATCCCTTAAAATTTACTTGAATTATTTTTAAAATGATTTATATTATATATAAAATAAATTCATTTAATTAATTAAGTCAAATATTATATTTATAAAGAATCTAAAGGATGATTATCTTTTGTTAATTTAGCCTTATTTTTCACAAAAACTCTACTTGGAGATTAAAATGTGTTATCTAATTGTAAAGTTTAATGAGATGATTATCTAGAATTTGTTGTTTTTGGAGAAGGCAATTCTAATAATTTTATTTTATTTATTACTAGATGCTAAACTACATAATATAGCCTATTAATCCTTAAATAATTATTCAAACTGTTCTTTATATTATTTTTAAAAGAAGTTAGCCTTTTATTTAATCAAATTGATCAAGTTTTCTAACTAAGATTATGACTCTCCATATGCTTTTTCACACAATTTATAATACAATCCTTAAATAGTTATATTAATGTCAGATGATAAATCATCAGGTGCAATATAGTAACAAATTTAAGAAATAATTTGAACAAAGAAATACATCCAATTTTATTCATCCTTTATCATTTAACTAACATTAATATCATATATACTTTTTTAATTCTCTTATTTTATTTTGTATAGTATCTTTTAGTTTATCATTTTCAGTTTAGAGTCTTCTGGTTTCTGTGTGAATAGATTATTAATTATTATTCATCAATTTAGGAATTTCCTATTGTAATTTCTGCATATCTTAAACTAAATTAGAAAATTGTTACTCTTTGAATTCTAATACCTGATTCACATCTTGTAATTTAGTTTATAACAAATTGTTTATATTTTCTAATTCAATTATATACGTTTCCTATTCATGTAAATCTAATTATGATTATTATAATTGAGTAGCTATTTACTATTTCTCTTATTATAGTTCTTTAATAAATGATCTTAGTTCTATTTCAGTACTTGATTATCTATCATAGAGAGTGGAAAGCTTTTGTAAATTTTTAATATTTTCTTCATGATAGTCTTATGGTTAATATTCATATTAGGATTCATTTTGAATATTTTAATCTCCATTCATACCTATTATGTCTTTTATCATTTAATATAACTAAATCTATTAAGGATTACTTGAACTCTTAATTTATAATTATCTTTAAGTGTAATATTCTTATAATTATTCTATTCTACTTTCTAAATAATCATTTTCTAACTACAATTCCTTTATTTACTTTTTCTATATTTTATTTTCTTTATTCATATCTTCTAATTAAAGTTTACTTTAAAAAACATAATGCTAAGATTTTTTTTTTATCGTTTTTGTTTTCTCTCTCTCTTATTTCAATAATGTTGAAGTTGTAGAAATAAAAGTTTGCTATAGCTTCTCAATAGTTTCTAAGAAATTCTTTTTAGATCCTTCTAAATTCTAGTTTCATTTATTAATAAACAATACTTTTCTTATTAGATTAATATCCATACTATATTATTCAATTATTATTTAATTTTAGCTTTTAACATTTCTTTCTTTATTTATTAAAAGATTCAAAATTCTAGCATATAACAATTAATCTTCTTTATTCTCTGCCAATAATTCTAATCGAATTCCATTTTTTGCTTCAATCGCTAAAAAACAATCCTATTCAGCATTTTAAGGTAAAACAAAACTCTTTTTTATCATTTTATATCTACATAATATTAATTCAATATTACTTATTATAATTAGTATGTATCTAAATTATTTAATCTATAGGAATAGTTTATTTAGCTGATGGAAATTTTGAAGATTTTGATTTCCAACATATTGAATCTAAAAATGAACAATAAAAAATCATTCTTTAATCCCATTTTTTACAGTTAGATCGGGAAAATTTAATAAATTATGTACCTTTCATAAGTTATTAAAACTCTTTAAATTTGGATTCTGTTTTTTATTGTAAGTTCATACAAACATCGAATTATGTTGCAATCTAAACTATTTAATTATCAATATCTTTTATTTCTACTATATTAGTAATTTAAACCTTTTTCAAGTTTTTAAACAATTAAATTGTCTATCTTATAAGCTTATTACCATTAACGCAAATCATTTTCCAAAGATTATTCTAAAATACTACTACGATCTAAATATTATGAATCTATTGAAAAATCATTTACGACTTTGATTTCTGATATTTTAGACATTTCTCAAATTATTCATAATTTTATACTCTAATCTGATATTTATGATTTTGTATGAGTAGAATCTATAATTGTTTCATCTTTGTATCTTATGGCTTGATGCCGATATAAATTATGTTGTTTATTGGGACATCTCTATTAGTTCATATTTAAATTTTGAATTTAACGAATATTATCTATAATACTAGATTAAAACAAAAATAATTCAAAAAATAAATTGTTTCTAAATATTAAGAATTCATTTATATTATTAAAGATATCTTTTTCATCTAAATAAAATATGGAGAGAATGCTAATATATATATTTGATATTATAGATTTCAATGTAAATAATCAACATTCTTTAAAAATTTCATATAACTTGCGACATCAAAATTTTATGATGATTAATTTATTGAAGGATTTGTATTATTATTTAAAGGGATTTTTGATGCAGATCTAGGTTTCTCTATTTTATTCTTTGAACTTTATCGTGGTGGAATTTATGCTGCAGTTTAAGAGAAACCTTATAGAGTATTTTAAGTAATTTCTTATCTTAAATGAGATAATGTTTTATGCATCATATTCAATTGACTCTTTTCTTACTCAATTTAAATTTTATCTTATTAATTCATTGATTATTGTGAACTAAGCTCAATCTTTTACTTTTGAATTTATTCTTTTTCTTATTNGATGGAAATTTTGAAGATTTTGATTTCCAACATATTGAATCTAAAAATGAACAATAAAAAATCATTCTTTAATCCCATTTTTTACAGTTAGATCGGGAAAATTTAATAAATTATGTACCTTTCATAAGTTATTAAAACTCTTTAAATTTGGATTCTGTTTTTTATTGTAAGTTCATACAAACATCGAATTATGTTGCAATCTAAACTATTTAATTATCAATATCTTTTATTTCTACTATATTAGTAATTTAAACCTTTTTCAAGTTTTTAAACAATTAAATTGTCTATCTTATAAGCTTATTACCATTAACGCAAATCATTTTCCAAAGATTATTCTAAAATACTACTACGATCTAAATATTATGAATCTATTGAAAAATCATTTACGACTTTGATTTCTGATATTTTAGACATTTCTCAAATTATTCATAATTTTATACTCTAATCTGATATTTATGATTTTGTATGAGTAGAATCTATAATTGTTTCATCTTTGTATCTTATGGCTTGATGCCGATATAAATTATGTTGTTTATTGGGACATCTCTATTAGTTCATATTTAAATTTTGAATTTAACGAATATTATCTATAATACTAGATTAAAACAAAAATAATTCAAAAAATAAATTGTTTCTAAATATTAAGAATTCATTTATATTATTAAAGATATCTTTTTCATCTAAATAAAATATGGAGAGAATGCTAATATATATATTTGATATTATAGATTTCAATGTAAATAATCAACATTCTTTAAAAATTTCATATAACTTGCGACATCAAAATTTTATGATGATTAATTTATTGAAGGATTTGTATTATTATTTAAAGGGATTTTTGATGCAGATCTAGGTTTCTCTATTTTATTCTTTGAACTTTATCGTGGTGGAATTTATGCTGCAGTTTAAGAGAAACCTTATAGAGTATTTTAAGTAATTTCTTATCTTAAATGAGATAATGTTTTATGCATCATATTCAATTGACTCTTTTCTTACTCAATTTAAATTTTATCTTATTAATTCATTGATTATTGTGAACTAAGCTCAATCTTTTACTTTTGAATTTATTCTTTTTCTTATTGATATTATTATTTAAACTCCTATATATTTGTAATTTCTTATTAATAAAATTATTCTTTATCATTTATTTCTTTTAACTTTCCTAATAATAATTATCTTTCATTTTCAACCAAAGCCAATTTTCTTGTGTATTCAGCATGCAAACTTGAAACTTAGTTATTTTTCATATCCAAATCTCTTTATTAAGCTATAAGTTGCATTTCTTTAGCACCAATTTTTTACTACTGTTTTTCAATATCTGCATACCTTTATTAAATAATTTCATTATTCTTTTATGTAAACTCAGTATATTCTAATTTTTGCTATTCAAAAATTTATCTGTCTACATCTAATTGTCTTAATTTACTTTGAGCTTAAGAATTCAATTCATTTTTATGAATCTCAAATTCATTTCTATACTAATAAATACGATAGTTACTTCTATCTTTATAATAATAAGTTTTCTTATTCTAATCTTTTCTTAGTTTCCAATTCCAAATTTCTCAATGATTCTTTTATATCCTATAAAAGTTATTTTTCACTTTATAATGATTTCTTTTCACCATCTACTGATGCTTAAAATAATTATTCTCTTCTGCTTATATCATCTTGTAAGTTTGTTAATCTTCTTTTTTCATTTTCTAAATATGATCTCTCTTTCTCTAATTAAGACTCTTTTTCTTTTATCTCATTTTATTTGCTATCAAGCTATTTAATTTTATCTTAAGTCTATTATTCATTCTTTTAATATAACTAATTTTTCAACAATTCCAATTCTTTGGCACTCACATTTATTTTTTCAGCTAAATGATCTAATTACTTTTACTCCCCTAATTGCTATTTAAGAATTTCATTCTAAAATAAATTAATTTATATAGTACTTCTAATTTTGATGTATCTATTATTCTTTATTTCTCTCTCTCAAAATCTAATTTCATGTATTCTTTTTCTTTTATAAATACTTTTTCAAGATCTTATTTATCCTAAAACAATTTTATTCTCTCCCTCTTTTCTATATCTAATTCATCTGATAATCTATCTTTTTCATTTTTTATCTACTAAATTTCTTGATTTAATTTTTCTTTTTCTTATTTTAACTATTATAATTCATCTTACAATTTTTATAAATTAACATTATTGAGATTATTATTTGTATTATTTAACTAATTGTTGTTAAGATTGAATGCAATTTCAGGTTATTTATTTTATTTGATTGAATAATCTGATTAAACAGATTATTTTTCAATTTCAAATTATTAATTGTAATTAATAATAGGGTCTTAACTTGAATTCATATCACTTCTCTAAGGTTATCCTTTATTTTAAGAGAGCATTCTCATTTTCCCTCTTCTGCTTTATGTCTATAATAGATCATTATTATTATTATTGGATTCTTCTATTGATTAGGTAAGCGGTTAATCTTTTATTACATTTGGCTTTGGTAATTAAAATAAATCTGCCATTTTCTGCTTTTTAGATTCATCAATGATAGCTGTTTAGGGTCTTTAACGTGAAACAAAGGATTATTATTTCTCAATAGGAGAATCTGATGCTTTAAGAATACTATCAAATTCATATGGATCGTTTGAAATTTTTTAAGTCTCAAATTTCCTTCATTAAATAATTCTATTTACGGTGGATCTATAAATGACCTTCTATTTCTATCTTTTGAATTAGAGGGCTTATACTCGTTGTTGAGATCTATCTCATCTAATAATTCATCGATATCCATATAAATATTAATTAAAAATATTCAGATTTATTTTAATTGGTTTCTAATTTTGTTAGATTGTTCTAATATCAAGTTATATTTATCATTCATTCTTTATAACCGTTCTAAATTTAAATAATCTATTATTACAATTTAAATCCTCCTTTGAATTTTTTAATACATCCTTCTTTTCACTCCTCTCCTCTTGTGACTAAGATCTAGTAGGAACTTTAACTGGACGAGAAGCTGATGCTTACTTTGGAGAAGTTAATGGAGTAAACTTAGAACTCTAAGAAGTGTTCAATTTTCTACTTGTATTACTACAAATTTATGGCTTAAAAGTGCATTATTCCATTTCCTTACGTTGTTTCTCTTTATCTGCAACCTTTTTCATTTATTATCTCTTTTCATATGTAGATTTCATATCATCTTGCAAAGCAGGAATTTATTTTCTTTATTAAATTCTTGGAGAAATATTTATTGATTGTACAAGAGACTACTGCTTTTTCTCTTTCTCTTTTACTATTTCCTTATCCAATTAAGCAATTTCATTTAGCAGTTATTACTTTTTAGTTTAAAGCTGATAATGGAAAGATTATTGTAAAACATTTGAACAACCAGGACTTACTTAAGATTATTTTGTACTATTAATTGAATTATTATTATCAATTATCTTACTTACTTTAGGATGAGGTTTAGGTACAGTTTGAATTGGTTAATCTATTGATTTTCTTCTAAATGTTTAAGATGTTCTTGAAATATCTATCTATTAAGATTAAGCAGTTGAATAATCTAATTGTTATTTTTTTAATGCACTTTTTAAAGTAGGCTTGGTAGGATCGATTCTCTTTTTTGGTTTAAATTTGCCACTATTTTTGGTTCTCTTTATCTATTCCTTTATAACTTTTTATCTTTCGCAATATGCTTTCTCTGCTTCTTCAGGAGGCATTTAGCTATATGTGTAAGTTTTATGAGTTTTCTCCTCTTCTATAATTGGAGGATTTTTAACTGTTGAGTAAGAATTTCCAACATTAAATAATCCACTATCGGAGTAAATGTTTATTATTTTTGAAGGTGATTACTCATTCTCATCTGTAGATTTAAGTGGAGAGCTTACAGCAATAAAGTTTTATGTTTAGGAATTTGATTATTTCTTTTTTTTAAATGTCAAAGCAGATCCGTTTGTAAAGGCTGAACTAGCTACTTTAATCAACGGAGAAGCTGACATTTGAATTAATTAATTTAATTATTATATATATAAAAAATTTACAATAAACTATTGTTACTTATTTAATTTGTTTGATTGATTTTATTGCCATCTCTTCAACTTTGTAAATATCAAGAATATCATAATATTATATATTTAATACAATATAAATAGTATAGATAATATTTGGTAAATAAAAAAACAATATTTACTTAAATAAAATACACAAAATATAAGAATTAAATTTCAAGGTTCAGCAAATAATCTTTATTTCTCAGATGACTTTACAGGATAATAATATGCTGGTTATCTTTTTTTGGTTTAATACTTTCCATCAAAATATTTTTTTTTGATAACGTATGTGAATATTAAACAGACAAGTCCAAATATTAAATATTAATATTTAATGCCCCCTTCAGTTTTTTTTTCACTTACTGAAACTGTCTTTTAAGGAATATTTATTTGGGGTTTCAATGGCTCTGTATAATTTGGTATCTCACTAACTCTACCTTATTTGATATTAATATTATCCTTTTAGGTCACTTAATCTTCTTCAGTGCATTTTGTTTCAATAGGTCCCAAATAGACTCTAAATTGTAAACATTATAATATACCCATCTTAGCATTCATCTCCAGAGATTTTCCTATATCCTTAGCTTTTTAAATATGTTCCTCTACATGGCTTAGGTTTAATTTCTTTCATTGGAACACATTCTGAATATATGTTTCTCTAATATCCTACATCACATTCCCAATCAGCTCTGGTGCATGGACAATTTTCAGTTTGAACTGGAAAACTAGGTTACTTATTATAACATTAAGAACTTCTCTTTCTCCTAATATATTTTTATTTTTATCCAAATAAACATTTGTCTCCTGCATAATTTGAAGGATACCAAAATTCATAGTCTGAATCTTATTCGCCTGGTTAATCAAAACCTTAACATTCTCTAACCATAACTTAATTGATATCTAATGATACAACAATTCCTTTAAGAGTACTTGATGTAAAATCATCTTCTTTAGCAACTCCAAGAGTTTTGCTATCTTATATTCCATGAAATAGAAACTTGCCATTCTTATATACAACATTTGTGATATCAAAAGTAACATTCATTTTGATTTTTTAGAATGTCAAACCTTCATCCCAAGTGTATAGTATTTCATTGGCTTATTCTTCATCACTTACGAATACAATAAGTCCTGTATTTTCAGCAATATCATATATATGCATTCCATCTAGTATTTCAAACCAAGTGTGACCTCCATCTCTAGTAAGATAGGTTTTATATTAATTTCCTAAATAAATACCTGTGTTGCCTGTACCAATGGCAATGTAGGAATGACTAATAATTCTATTACGAGGAGCTTCACTTCTTCCAACTAGATGTAAGGAACAATCACCATTACATTATATTGGTTAACCTCTATAATCATATTTAGGTGCTTTAAGTGCATGCCATTCACCTCCTTATTCAAATGTAATTCTTGTTTATTTGTAATTTTCTAATCTTTTAATTCCGTCAGTACTTTTAGTAGATCTTCTCATTTTGAATTTCTCAAATTCTGTATTATCATAAATATTAGCAATATAGGTTCCTCTTATGATAGGTTCAAAATCACAATTTCCAGTATCTAAACTTCTAACATTATTTAATAATGATAATGTGTATTTTGTGCCACTATTATCACTTTAATAAATATTCATAATTTTTGGCATATCTTCAAGATGCGAAATAGATATAAATATAGATCCATTAACAGTGTCCAATACAGTGAAAATGTATTTTTGATGATCTTCTATAGGTAACACCAATTCTACTGGATTTAATGTTCCTTACTTTATAACTTCTAAATCATAACCTTTGCTTAAGGAGTCAGCATCAATCAAAATAAATAGATACTCTTTAGTTTAATAAAATCCATAGGAATTATTTCTTAATAATTTAAATGTTTTAAAGTAATCATCACTGTAACTTACTTATAAATGACCTAAATCATTGAGATAGGAAGCAACAATTCTTGAATCTGGAATTTCTGGGAGTTCTATTAATTTATCCCATATTGCATCTCTGGTTCTATTGAGTACCATTCTCCAATTAGCACCATAATCATTACTTACATAAATCTATTTTTTATATTTATCTTTGCATAAAGGAGTGGAGGAATTGCATCTAAAATCTTTGAAAGCCATTAAACTATGAGCTTCTAAAGGATTTAATTTGAAATCATGCAATGTCTTGTCATGTTTAAATTTGGTATATGTTTTTCCACAATTCTAAGAGACATAAGATGTATCAAAATCTCCAATAAAATAGAGTACTTAAATATCTGCTTCTGATTACAAGATTTCTCTAATAGTAAACTAAAAAAGTAAATGTGATTTGATTACATTGCTAATGAATTTAGGCATTTCAGATGTAAAATTTTTATAGAGCAATCCTTTGGCTGTAAGTATAAAGGTTTCTGTTTTGCACCATATGACTTATTCAAGTGGAGAATCCAAAATCTTCTGTGATAACACCACTTGTAGCAATAATAATAATGTTAACATAATTAATATATAAAGTTGAGGAGTGGAATTTCTTTTATAGTAAATATATTAATCTTAAATGTTAAGTTCTAAGGCAAAAGTAGATCGTGTATTACGTTAATTTACAGAGAAGAAATTTTTAATAAGAGTGAATTTCAATGTACCAATAAAAGAAGGGAAATGAAGAATGCAACTAGAATCTAAAGAGCTATTCCAAGTATAAAGAAGATTCTAAAATAGAATCCAAAGAATGTTACATTAATATGGAAAGAACAGATGGAAAGAGGTAAGAAAAGTATAATAAATTATAGAGTTGAAAAAGATTCCCTGAAAATAGTAGTTACTAAGTTAGAAGTATATTTGGGAACAAAAGTTAATTTTGTTAATGTTGAAGTATTGAAGCAGCGAATGCTGAAAGGGATAAATTGATTTATTAGAAAATTTAAGATTTCAAATATAAGAGGAATTAATGGAGTTGAAACAAAAATAAAGCTGATTAAGAGAGTCTTAGAAATTTAGAAAAGAATTATCAGGATTAAAAGATATATGGTTGGCATCAATCATAAAATAAGAGTTTTTGGTTATTTGATGAAAAAAAAATTTGATTAGTGATATTATTAATCTTGTTGGAGTTAATAAAACAAATGATAAACTTAGTTATGTCTGTACTGGAGAAGGTGTCTCTCTATGATTGTTAGATGGTAAAATATTAGGTAGTATAAAATATCTTACCAATATCAAAGATTTATGATTTACAATAATCAATTTAATATTATTAATATTTATATGGATAAACAATTACTACAACAAATTGATTCTATTATGTAAGAGGATGTTAAAGGAGCATTAATTGTTGATTAATTTGGATTCCCTTTAGCGAATAAATCTCTTAATCCCTAATTAAGCTAATATGTAAAAAATATTGCTGATTGTGCTACAGCTTTAAAAAACTAAATACCTATTATAGCCATAGAAACTGGAGAATCCAAAACATATCTTATTAAACCAGGCTCTAAATTTAGTCTATGCTTGTTGGCTTGAATAATATATATATTTATATATATAATATAAATGGCATTTATTTATCGTTCTCGTAATCAGAGTTAAATTTTGGATTCATCACCAGGACCAGGTTACTATGAGGTGGATAAAAAGTGGGAAAGAATTAGTACCTAAGCCCCATCCCTACCATTAATTGATATTCCAAGAAAACTTAGTCCTGGTCCTGGTGCATATGATTTTAAAGGTTCATCTCAAAATACACAAATTAATAGTGCAGTTTTTAAAAATGAAGAAGAACGATTCAAAAATGAAAAATAAGGTTTGATTGGGTATATCAATTTTTATTTATTATAGTCCAGGATATTATGACGTTGCCATATTATAAAAAAATAAACAATCTTTTTCTCATCGTCCAAAAATCATTGAATAATTAATGTATGCAGGTACCTATTAAACTTCTAATTCAATACCTTATGAAAGTATAATTACTCATAAATTAAGAGAGATTATAAGCCAATGTTGGACCTGGTTATTATGATACATAACACTCAAAACTCAATAAATATGCAAGTCTAGTAAGTAATTGGTCTAGAAAATCTTCTAAACATGATGATGTTGATACTTCTATTGGTCCTGGACATTATGATGTTGATAGATTTTATAGATATAAAGACAAAAAACTAGCACAATCTATTAAATTCTCTACCTCACAAGAACCTAAATATTATATTAAAAAAGGACTAGATAATAAAATTTATTATAGTTTCTAAAAGTCTTCAACTTCAGACTCTGATACTTCATAATATGAATTTATAGATGATTCTACTCCTGGCCCAGGCTATTATTAAACTTAATCAACTAATATTTCAATTGGACCCAGACTCTTAAATAAAGCTCCAAGATTTGCACTTTAAAAATAAAATATTCCTGGACCTGGTTAATATAATCCAGATATTGTTTCCATTAATTAATAAATAGAATTCTCTAAAGCTGAAAGATTCAAAACAAATTCTAATTCTATTTCTCCTAGTCCCAATACTTATTCACCTAAAATTTCAATGAAAGACAAAATTATTTAAAAATTACTTCAAAGTCCTAATTAAGAGATTGGCAGCAAATTACCAAGATTTTCCAAAACAAAACCAAAAAACACTCCAGGGCCTGGATATTATGATAATTAACCAAAAAAAATAGAAAAAAAAGATGTCTCANGCCATAGAAACTGGAGAATCCAAAACATATCTTATTAAACCAGGCTCTAAATTTAGTCTATGCTTGTTGGCTTGAATAATATATATATTTATATATATAATATAAATGGCATTTATTTATCGTTCTCGTAATCAGAGTTAAATTTTGGATTCATCACCAGGACCAGGTTACTATGAGGTGGATAAAAAGTGGGAAAGAATTAGTACCTAAGCCCCATCCCTACCATTAATTGATATTCCAAGAAAACTTAGTCCTGGTCCTGGTGCATATGATTTTAAAGGTTCATCTCAAAATACACAAATTAATAGTGCAGTTTTTAAAAATGAAGAAGAACGATTCAAAAATGAAAAATAAGGTTTGATTGGGTATATCAATTTTTATTTATTATAGTCCAGGATATTATGACGTTGCCATATTATAAAAAAATAAACAATCTTTTTCTCATCGTCCAAAAATCATTGAATAATTAATGTATGCAGGTACCTATTAAACTTCTAATTCAATACCTTATGAAAGTATAATTACTCATAAATTAAGAGAGATTATAAGCCAATGTTGGACCTGGTTATTATGATACATAACACTCAAAACTCAATAAATATGCAAGTCTAGTAAGTAATTGGTCTAGAAAATCTTCTAAACATGATGATGTTGATACTTCTATTGGTCCTGGACATTATGATGTTGATAGATTTTATAGATATAAAGACAAAAAACTAGCACAATCTATTAAATTCTCTACCTCACAAGAACCTAAATATTATATTAAAAAAGGACTAGATAATAAAATTTATTATAGTTTCTAAAAGTCTTCAACTTCAGACTCTGATACTTCATAATATGAATTTATAGATGATTCTACTCCTGGCCCAGGCTATTATTAAACTTAATCAACTAATATTTCAATTGGACCCAGACTCTTAAATAAAGCTCCAAGATTTGCACTTTAAAAATAAAATATTCCTGGACCTGGTTAATATAATCCAGATATTGTTTCCATTAATTAATAAATAGAATTCTCTAAAGCTGAAAGATTCAAAACAAATTCTAATTCTATTTCTCCTAGTCCCAATACTTATTCACCTAAAATTTCAATGAAAGACAAAATTATTTAAAAATTACTTCAAAGTCCTAATTAAGAGATTGGCAGCAAATTACCAAGATTTTCCAAAACAAAACCAAAAAACACTCCAGGGCCTGGATATTATGATAATTAACCAAAAAAAATAGAAAAAAAAGATGTCTCATCTAGTCCATTCAAAAGCAAAGTTAAAAGAACATCAATGTCAATTAAAGAAGATATTCCACCTCCAGGTTTTTATGATACATCATTAGGATCTATTTAAGAAAAATAAAAAAGTTAAATTGAATACAATGTCGAATAATTAATTGATAAACCTCCATTTGGCATAGGTGAAGAAAGATGGAAATAAGCAATAATAGAAGAATCTGAAGATGAAAGAATAGAAAGAATAGAAAGAACTTCTAATTATAAAAAACCTATCTCCAAAGATCCTCCTGCTTTTGGTTAAGGATAATAAAGATTTCAGCATTCTATTAGTGAAACTCCAGATAAATTATCATACAATATATAACCTTAATGGATTAAAAAGAGCTTCAATTTTTTATAAATTTAAAAATGACTATATTTACTTATTCCCTTTTTAAGTTTTTTATTCAATCTTTACATCCAAATCTTCGAAACTTCAGTTTTTATTATATTATTATCCTAAATTTATATTTTTTAGTTTATTTATAAAAACATACATACAATTTCATTTATTTATTTCTTTTATTAAAATAAAACAAACATGAATTTCTAATTTGACATAACTATTCTTAATCAACATTCAAACCAATAGAAATCTAAACTTAATAAATTATTCATTGAAATGCAAGAAATTTCCCTTAAACTTGCGTTAATCTCTAAAGATCATACATAAAGCAGAAATTTAGAATTTCTCTAAAAATAAAAAATTTTACTCCAGAAAAAAAAATCTTGCTCTTTGTTTTCAAAATTTAGAACAGAAATTATTATAAACTTCACAATGTTTCTAAATGTAAAATAAATTTTACTATTACGTCAAGTAAATAAATTGTTTAATCAAATAATTTGTTAATCTCTGCCAGCAAGAATAAACCAATATAAAAACATCTTAGAAAATATTTAAAATAGTTTAAATTAAATTCCAACAATAATAAATATAATACCAGAACAAACGTTTATTGATGAAGATCTTTTCATTGATTGGGATCTTGTTTGGAATTATAGAGAAATTGCTAAAATTTATTCTGCTAAAGAACTAGAGTCAAATGTCTATTAAATTTTAAGATTTATGTATATTTCAATTTACCCTGATTTTCCTGAAACAATAACACTAGAACAATTTAAAAAAATGTTATCTCGGCCATATCTTAGATATGATGTGCCATAAAGTAATTAAATACTAACTGAAAAATAAATAAATGCTTTATAAGATGTAATGTTGTTAGATGTACAATAAATTAAGGTCTAATATAAATTTTTAGCATATATTTGTTAATTATTACAAAATTATATTCGGATGACAAAAAGCGATGCTTTTAAAATTATGGTTTAGAAATTATAATTACAATAAAAAGAAAATCAAATATCTTAACGATTATCAATTCTTAATAAGCTAAATCATAAACTTAATAATTGATAAGTTAGAGTTATTTCATAGATTATATAAATTTAAAACTTATTAAATCCCAAAAATTTATAATAGTCATTTTTTTTTCAGTATTATCTTTTACTAACTCAAGATAAAAAAGATTTATTTCTTTCATCTAATTATTTTTTATTAGTATATCATTTATGAATTGATTGATAAAATCATTCAATATAATTTATAAATTTTTGTAGTTTTTTAAATCAATTCTGCAACTTCAACATCCTTTTATTTCAAATAACTTTCTGATTAAACTTTTTATTGAGTGCTTTATAACTTCCATTAGAATGCCAATTTTATCTTAGGTTTTTGCTAGAAAGGAGAAGTTTATAATAAAAAATTGACTCATTGATAGTATAATTAAAGCTGGTTTATTAAGATAATACTTTTTTAGTTTACTAAGCTGAGGATGATGTAGAATTTATTTATCATTCATTCTGTTTTTTTATTTAAGTATCAAATAATTGAGGATAATTCTTAAGGTTAAATAAAATTATTTTTTGAGTATTTTAAGTCACATTTTATTATTAAGGTATTGGCACGAGATTCTAAAGATTTTTTTTGATTACAAATAATTATTATCAAAGAGTTGGTTGTGAATCAAATTCTTATTAAGGTTATTTTTTTATTGTATAGATTTTTTGGGGTAGTTTTCATAGTTTTTCAATGAGTTCTTTTTGGTTAGGTTGTGAATCATAAATTTCTTCTTATTATATAGAGGGGAATTGAATTTATTAATGAATGTAATATGATTGGTTAAAGTAAACCTTGAGGATGGTAGTTTATACATTAATATATTATAGTTATGAACACACAACTAAAAATATTATAATTCAAGTATGAAATAGGACAGGCAAGTCAGTGTTATTTTGTGATTGTTTCAGGTAAGGAACTATATTTTACAAGTACTTATAAAGTTTAACATGGATTAAACGACTTTAGAGATAAATTTAGTTTGTTAGTCTCATAATTGATTGAATTTTAGTTATGGGATTATTGGGGAGATCCAATCATGAAAGGGTTGGGAAGACTTGATATTTAAAAGGTTTTGAAAGAACGTAAGGATATGCATATAATATAAATTTGGTCAGATGGTAAAGTGGTAGGAGAGTTAATGATTTAACTTATTTTTGAAGAAGAAATATTATCTCTTTAATCCTCCTTAAAAGAGAAATCATCATTTGGTCTTTAACCTAGTTTTCTAAGCTAATAAGGGGCTTCCTTTTATGATAATTATTATAACGATAAACCTTTAGTTTATATGTCAGCTTCACGTGGTACTTAGTACAGACCTACACAGTCCCCGGTGCTTTAGATAAAAAAATGATTATTTAATTTTATGGACTAAGAGAGTATTTTTGATCTATCTTCAATATCGGATTTTCGATCAGAAAAAGGTCTACAATAGTTCTTTATTGTTAGAGGAAGATCTGAATAATTATAAGAATAAAGTAAATTGGTGAAAGAATACTTGTAAAATTTAACTACTAAAAATAATGGTGGTTTCTCTAATCCCTTAAAATCTTTGGTAAGCAAGTAAAAGAATAGATTCAATATGAATGGGTTTGATTTAGATTTGACATGTACATTTTAAAATTAAATTTGAGACATTACAGAATAAGTTATTGCTATGGGTTTCCCAGCTAATGATTATGAAGCTATTTATAGAAATTCTATGGAAGATGTTTAAAGGTTTTTCAATTAGAGACACAAAAACCATTACAAGATTATTAATTTATGTTCTGAGAGAAAATATGATCATACTTATTTTGATGGTAATGTTTCAGAATACCCTTTTGAAGATCATCAAGCACCTTAATTTAATATGATTTATAAATTATGTGCTGATGTTCACAATTATGTAACCTAAGATAAATAAAATGTTGTTGCCATTCATTGTAAAGCAGGAAAAGGTAGAACTGGAATTATGATATGTTGTTATCTTCTATTCTCAGAATTGTTTAAAACCAGCTTTGAAGTCATGAGATACTATGGAATGATGCGAACTAAAAATCACAAAGGAGTTACTATTCCTTCTCAAATAAGATATATTTTGTACTTTGAAAAGGCTCTCTAACTTGGCTATACTGTAAAGGATGTACCTTAACCAAAAATTCAAATATTATAAATTCGCTTGATTACAATTCCTTCAATGAATTACTCGAATTCATGCAATCCTTATATTATTATACAAAACTATGAAAACTAAGCTACTTTCACTAAATTTCGAATAGTTGATGATAGTTTAATTTTATTTACTGTTGACATAATAGTTTAAAAAGATACTCGTATTATTTTTTATAATAAATCACTGATTGGTAAAGAAACAATGTTTTAATTTTGGTTTCATACTGGCTTTATTGAATCCAATGGCTTATTAGTAATTGATAAATATATGCTTGACAGAGCAGTTAAGGATAAAAAACACAAAATTTTCTCACCCAACTTCAGAGTGGAAGTATAAACTATCACACTACCAAATTGAATTTTACTATTTTTAAATTATATAATGCAATCACTAGTTTTATCGGCTAGAATTCCTCCATCTCTACCATTAAATAAATATAAGTCATCAGATTTTCATTCTGTAAACTAAAATTTGACTAGAGTTCAATCACCATCTGTTAATAAAATGAATTAAGCATTTGGGAGATGTTAGACTGTAAAAACATTAAACTGTGAAAAAGACCCAATTGAGCTCACAATAACATTAATTCTTAATGGTTAGAAGTAATTGAATGAATATAAAGTAGATTAATTGTTCCAATAAGCATTCACCAAAACACTACAGATTTATATAAGAAATTAATAACAAAGGTACTATAAGTGAATCCTGAAATTGTAAGTAAAATAAAACACTTCCAAACACATAGTAGTGTGAAGAATTATAATATTGATTATTACTTATCACTTGAACTTTAACCGTTAGAAGTATTTGAAGAATAAAGACATTTGAAATTAGAACCATATTATACAAATTCAGTTGGTAATCAAATGAGTATTGAAGATTATGATATCCTGAAATGTATAGGTGTAGGGTATTAATATGATTTTAAAATAATAGTGGATTTTCAAGAGTATATTTGGTAAGAAAACGTGATAATGGTTTATTTTATGCAATGAAACTTATTGACAAGAACTTTATACTTAAATCTAACAAGGAAATAATTATTTGCAATGAAAAATATGTGATGGAACAATTAAATTCTCCATATTTGGCCAAATTATTTTACTCATTTGAGACAAACTTCTATCTTGTTTTTGTAATGGAGTAACTTATTATTTTTAAATGTAGATATTGTGCTGGTGGTGAATTGTTTTATCATTTGAGAAAATGGAAAAGGTTATCCGAGTAATTGGCAAAGCAGTACTTTGTTTAAGTTTGTTTAGCAATTAATGAATTACATAAATTTGGAATTGTCTATAGAGATATTAAACCTGAAAATATTTTATTAGATTTAGATGGGTATATAAGATTATCTGATTTTGGTTTATCTAAACCAAATATGAGTCGAGATGTAACAGCTTATTCATTTTGTGGATCTCCTGAATATATGTCTCCTGAGATGTTAAAAAGAGAAGGACATAATTATATGGTGGATATCTATTGTTTAGGAGCATTACTTTATGAATTTATTTTTGGATCACCACCATTTTATTGTAGAAACATAGATTAAATTTACAACAGCATATTGAATGATAAACTTTAATTCCCTCCTTATGGAGATATAAATCCTGACTTAAAGGATTTGATTTCAAAATTGTTGATAAAAGATCCTACAAAACGGTTGGGAGCATAAAATGGTATTAAAGCAATTTTATAACACAAATGGTTTTAAGGTTATGATATTGAAGCTTTGGTAAAGAGAAAATGTAAGGTCAGTTATCGACCTATGTTATTAAAGTATAATTTTGATGAGTTAGAATTCAGCAAAGGAGATTAAGAATTTTAAAAGAAATTGTATGAGAATATGAGATTGGAAAAACAGCAAGTAAGTTTTAAATTAAGTTCTAGAATAAATTCACCCGTGCATTTCCACACTTTGAATATGTAAATAAGAGAATTATAGATCATAGATAGAATATTTTAGAGTAATTAACAAAATCAAGATAGATTTAAGGATAATAAGGATTATCTAAATAAAGTTTATCTAAATAATAATAATAAAAGACTCAAAACTGTTTGTCTCCTGTATCTTAAGTGAAATAACATTCAAATATTTAATAATTAATTTCTGAATCATTTAAGCAATCATCTTAATGTAAACGGTTCAATACAGATATTGATTTAAGTAAATTAATGAAAAATATGTGAATTGTTTTGAATTATATATATATATTTAATTTTCATTCTTCTTCAACTCCTAATAATCTTGTAATGTCTTTGCTATGGCAAATCAATTTTTATGATTTCAAAGATTCTTATAAGTAATTTTCTATATGAGTTAATTTATGATATGTCTTCAAATTAAAGTAATTAACATAATTTCTATTTTTAATGAAGTAATCAAAATCCCGAATGATTGATTGATTAAATTCTTTGAGGTTATTCGTTTTTTAATTGATAAGGGTGATGAGAACACTAAAGAATTTAGGTAATTTATCTTAAATTTTACATTTAACTACTTGATCAATATAATGGACGAGATATTAATAATGATAATTTTCACATTATTATTTTAAGAAATCAATTGGTATTTCCCAATGCTTAAGATTTCTAGCAATTTCTGGTATGAAAATCTTTTCCTTACTGAATATAATGATTGTTCTTTTTAATTTACAACTTGATTCATTAATTCTATATCCTCCATCAACTCCATCTTTAAGATTTTAATCTAATAATTCTTTATCTTGTTAACTTAATTTATGTGTGTATCTAACTAAAACAATTCTAGGATTACGTTTACATTCTTAGAATGTGAGTTTATTGAGTCCGATAACAATTTCTTTACCATTTAATTGAATCATAGCTGTTAGAAAATCAATTAAAAATTAGCTTTTATCAAGAGAAGTACTAAATGCATTAATAACAAGTCCTGAAGTAGATTAAGTATGCAATAGATTCATTAAATATTTAATATTACCAACTTTTTAACATTAAGCTCTTCCAATTGATCTACTAAATTAATACATACCATAAAGAAATAAAGTTTAATCGTTAAATAAATCTGTAATATCAGAAAAGAGAGGAAAATAGAATTACTCTCCTCTTTAGATTCTAGCAAAGTTTAATTAAACAATTGGCTATTTGATCATATTCAAATAAATCTTTTCATAAAAGAGACAGTTTCTAGTAATACAATTAGAATCTCCATTTAATGATAGTAATATTTTATTAGCAGATTTACATTCCTGAATGATGTTTGAATTTAAATAGAATTTGTCATAATATTATAAGGATTCTATAGCAATACATACTTTAAGTTCTTCTGGGATTTGATATTAAAGTGTATTTTCAAGTAAACAAGTACAAGATAGATAATAAACAGGATCTGAAGCAATTGAAATAGATAACAATGATGGTTATTCAACAACGAATTCAATTTTAGGCAGAATCATTAGATCATCATCTTCATCTAATAAAATAGTTTGGGTAAGCTTTTGTTATTGAACTCCATTTTTTTATATTTAATTAATAGGAAATGACTTTTCATGTTTAATTGCATATTCATCTTTTTTCATTTTGACAATATCTTATTTCTATTTACGAGTTGCATCATGTAATTCTATTAAAGAGGTTCTTACTTTCAACATAGTGTCAGATAATATATGTCCACATCTTCTTAATAATTTGAATTTTCTTTCAAAAGATTCTTAATCAGTAGGCGGAGGAAAATAATTCTTGGGAACTTTTTAGTAATTTTCACCTTTAGAAGCTGTATTAAGTCTTTTTAAAGTTGCTTAAAAAGAGACTGATTAAGATAAATCTAATACATCTTCTGCTTTACGAACTATCTCATTCAATCTTAAATATAAGTGTTCTAATGTACGATATATTTCATCATTTATATGATCTGGTAACAAATCTTCTCCTTACATTCTTTTTATTTATTATTTTGTATTCATTTTAACATTTGAGTAAATATTAAATTTAAAAAATCATTAAAATAAATATATCACATTTCTTATTTCTCATTTTCATTATCACTTTCATATTCTTCTTCTTCCTCATCCATTTCATCTATTTCATCATGTTATAATAATCCTCCATATAATTTTATCAATTCTTCTGAATCTTCTCTTTCATCAAATATCAATTAGAATTTATTATTCTCCAATAAATTATCATAAAAAATTAAATGCTTTTTACATGGTGGCCATATATTTCCATCTGGAGGTGGTATTATCGTATCAATTGATAATCTCATTGCATTCTCTACCATTTAAGGTATTATTCTTTATAAAACTGGACTACTTGTTTCCAAACAAGGATTTGTATTTATCTCTATTAAATATGGTTTAAATTATGAATCAATCATAAAATCTAATCCAAATATCTCAAAATTAAATTCTTTTTTATGAAGAGCCAATTTACAATATACAGATTTTATACTTATTGTTGCTATCTCTATTAATTTTGGATATAAATCTTTATAAAAATTATATTTCTTTGGTTAATTCTCTAAATAACGTTAAAATTCAGAAAAAGATAATTTATTCCCATTCTCATATTTTCCATATGTATCAGCATATTTCTAAATAGCATCATTTGTTAAATGAACATATAAATTTGCAGGATCATCTAAATCAAACTCTTCTGATGAAGTTCTTATATATCCATCTTCATACCAATATGCTCTAAAAATATTATTTAATTAAGTTATAAGAAAGTAACATCTAATATCAAATTTCCTTTTATTATATAGAAATGGTTTTTCTATGTATCTCTAAATCAAATAAGTAAATGGCTTTCCATTTTAATGCACTTGTTTCTTACTTATGATTTTATTTATCTCAGTCAAATTTTAACAAACGATTATACCTGTTCCTCTGTTTGTAAATTCGCCAGGTTTCACTATCCAAGTAGAGCCTCTAGATAGGTAAGTTGATAATACTTAGGTAGTTTCTTATAATGCTCTAAGAATTGTAAATACACTTTATCTCTCTATCCTTTTTAAACATGGAATGTTATCGGTATTATTGAATGCAAGTCTTACTTTAATAGTTCATAATATCTCTTCAAATTATGATATAAAGCTTTCTTATTACCCAAATGATAATTCTTCTCTATATGATTATGAATCTATCTATTAATAATTATTAATTACCTTCAAATTTTAATGAACCTTCATTAAACTTAATCCTTTTTGATTTATTAATTTTAAGTACGCTTTTTAATTTCTCTCTATTTATTTATAATCAGAATCATCATTCATTAATCTTAGTAAAGGATCAATTTAGATTTTCTTATTAAATTATGCTAATGATTGACTTTAATTGATTTTCTTTCTCATTAATGATTTTATTTCATTACAAGATGGATTTTATAAATCCATGTAATTCTAAACTTTAATTTATGTCCAAACAAAATTACTATCTGAATCAATTAATTCACTAAATTTAAAGAAGTTCCACCACCATCTTAATTTAAAAATTTCTTTAATTAAATGAGAATTATTTCCTCTACCAATTTTAAATTTTAAATCAATTAAGCAATCTTATGGTAAAGTATAGAATCCACTTTAAGTGGAAACTAAAAACAAAAAATGTTGGTAATTTTATAATTTAGTCTAGAATAATTATTCTCTTGATAATTATGAATATTCAGTTAATGAGAATTTAAAATTATTACTTTAAATTTATGTTGTACTACTTTAAGGCATCATTATTTTAGGAGGTACTGGACTAGCATTATTATAATTAACAGAATTTTTTTATTTTATTTTTTGTGGAACTTTGCATTTATTTTTCCTCTCTATTTCTTCGGTAAATGATTATGATTTATCTCTTTCTTTATCTTAAGACAATGCTTTTTATCTGATTGTCTATTAAGTGAGTACTGTATTTTATTCCATTAGTTTATTAAATGGAATAACTTATAATCCCATAACTCCCATAGTTTTTTCAGCTGAAATTTTATGTTGCATTCCTTATAATATACTCGTTAAAATCTATTTAGTATTATTAATATCAGATGGAAAGAATCCTTTGACAATTCTAGCTTAGCTATTTTTAGATTCATCAATTTAATCACAATTACTAGTTTATACTTTCCTCTTATCTCTTTTTTATGGAGCACTATTAGTAAAAACTACACTGTATGTACCTTGAGTTTGAGGTTCTTATGAAAGATTTCTTTGTATGGTAATAGCTATAGTAAGAGTTTAAGAATGTGAGTACCTTACTAAATTCGCTGGATTGGTTTTCTTGGAAGACTTGGTCGTCGATAGGATATTTTTTAATTGGAAGATTAATCTTTTGTCAGTTCAGAAAATTTAATACTGCTTTTTTTATTGAGTTGATTGATTTTTTATTAAATTGTAAGTGCATTATTAAGGTTTCTAATAGGTGGAGTTCTAAAATAGGTTTCATCTTTGTACATAATTTGATTAAGTTTAATAAATTATTAATTTATAAAAGGAAACATTAATTTTCTCCTATAATAATTAAATAAAAATGATGTTCTTCAAGTAAGATTTTATAAGTTGTATAGTTTAAGCTTTTAAAGATTCTTTGCAGGTTTTGGTTCAGTTTTAGACCCTTTACTGTCTCAAGAGAACTGTACATTAGAGATGATTCTTGATGATGACACATTATAAGAGATAAAATTAAATGGAGCAACAAAGTTTGGAAATTTGTAATTATAAATTGATTTATTAGAGTGTAACAAAAAATATAGATACATTTAGTAAGATGATAGGATATTTGTGTGTAAATGAAGATGAAGAGTATAATGAGAAGACATAGATTAGGTAAAATGATTAAACTTAAAAATGATTAAGATATCCTTTTATGATAAGTGAGGCAATAGGAAATGAAAATGGTCCAATAATAGATTATCTATTTGAAGGAGATAAATAGAATCCAAATTATGAAGAGAATGAAGAATCAAGACAGAAATTCTTACCAAAGATTTTTGATATTTTGGATAGAGATTATTTGAATGTTACACTTGCTGGATATTTATCAAAAGTAGTATGTGGAATTATAAGAAGAAGAGGTTATGATGTACAAATAATACATATTATTAAAAGTTATGGAGATTTCTATCTTAACCAGAACATAAATCAATTATAAGTAATTTGATTAAGAATTTGGATGTATTTCATATAGCTGAAATAATTGAAAAATTAATTATCTTAGATACTAATTAAGAACAATAAGATAATCAAACTAATTTTTAGGATGAGAGAATTGAATTGCTACGTAGAGTCATAAGAGTTTTTGAATATAAGACTCATTAAAATGATGTAACAGATAATTGTAGTCATATCATAATTGAAATTCTAAACAAATCAGAATTGTTTCTATCTGTTCTTAATATACCTGAAAAACTATTTACCATAGCTGTAAATATTAAATTATATTCATAGTTAAATTCTAGTTCTGCTACTGTTGTTTCTGTAATCATTACATTACTTGAAGCCATCCATCGTTATGTTTAATAGCAATAAGATAAGAATCCATCTTTTTCATTTTCTTATCATTAATTTTATCCAATTGCCTAGGAATTCAAGAGTGCATTGCTTGTTGATAAAATATCTATTAGTAATTTCACTTCCTTATTCAAGGTGCTTTCAATACTACTTATGGAATCTCACNTAAAAATGATGTTCTTCAAGTAAGATTTTATAAGTTGTATAGTTTAAGCTTTTAAAGATTCTTTGCAGGTTTTGGTTCAGTTTTAGACCCTTTACTGTCTCAAGAGAACTGTACATTAGAGATGATTCTTGATGATGACACATTATAAGAGATAAAATTAAATGGAGCAACAAAGTTTGGAAATTTGTAATTATAAATTGATTTATTAGAGTGTAACAAAAAATATAGATACATTTAGTAAGATGATAGGATATTTGTGTGTAAATGAAGATGAAGAGTATAATGAGAAGACATAGATTAGGTAAAATGATTAAACTTAAAAATGATTAAGATATCCTTTTATGATAAGTGAGGCAATAGGAAATGAAAATGGTCCAATAATAGATTATCTATTTGAAGGAGATAAATAGAATCCAAATTATGAAGAGAATGAAGAATCAAGACAGAAATTCTTACCAAAGATTTTTGATATTTTGGATAGAGATTATTTGAATGTTACACTTGCTGGATATTTATCAAAAGTAGTATGTGGAATTATAAGAAGAAGAGGTTATGATGTACAAATAATACATATTATTAAAAGTTATGGAGATTTCTATCTTAACCAGAACATAAATCAATTATAAGTAATTTGATTAAGAATTTGGATGTATTTCATATAGCTGAAATAATTGAAAAATTAATTATCTTAGATACTAATTAAGAACAATAAGATAATCAAACTAATTTTTAGGATGAGAGAATTGAATTGCTACGTAGAGTCATAAGAGTTTTTGAATATAAGACTCATTAAAATGATGTAACAGATAATTGTAGTCATATCATAATTGAAATTCTAAACAAATCAGAATTGTTTCTATCTGTTCTTAATATACCTGAAAAACTATTTACCATAGCTGTAAATATTAAATTATATTCATAGTTAAATTCTAGTTCTGCTACTGTTGTTTCTGTAATCATTACATTACTTGAAGCCATCCATCGTTATGTTTAATAGCAATAAGATAAGAATCCATCTTTTTCATTTTCTTATCATTAATTTTATCCAATTGCCTAGGAATTCAAGAGTGCATTGCTTGTTGATAAAATATCTATTAGTAATTTCACTTCCTTATTCAAGGTGCTTTCAATACTACTTATGGAATCTCACAATAGCCTTTTAGTTAGATGAAATTGAAATTGCTACAATTATATCTATCCATCTTGAGAATCAATAATATTGAACTTATCCATTAATTTAATCATAAAGGTATCTATGAAATACTAATGAAATTTGTTATTCAATATGAATTCAATAATCAATTACAAAATTACTTCTATGAAATTACAACATTCATTTTTGATAGACCTCAATTTGAAAAAATTTAAGAAGATTTCTTAGCTTTAAATCTTATTTAATTCATTATTAAATATAATAGATTTGATAAAGAAAATGTTGGAACTCTAAATACTAAAATTAAAAGAGGTTATGTTGGAATCTTAAGTAAATTGAGCTATTATTTCATTAACAAAATTAATAATAATTAAGAATGGAATCAATATGTTGAATAAATACTTGAACCTATTAGCATTATTGAAAATTAGTATATGTTAGGAGTCAATCCTAAACCTAAGATACAAATGGATACAAATGATGACAATATGAATGAAATGTTTAAAGTATTATATTTTATTATAATATCCTATAGAATTTTTCGAAAAATAAAAATACTTAAAATATCCAATAATCATAATCATAAGTATAATAATAAGATCAATAACCAGCTGTTGAAATTGAAGAAGATACAGAAGAAATATAAAATGATGATGATTTAGATGAAAATATTAAAAATGTAGAAAAAGATGAAACAGAATAAATCTAAGAAAACAATTCTAAAAAACCTGAAATGATGATTGATGTTGATGAAGAGGAAATTGAAAAAGTTATCAATAGTCCAGAAACAAGTCCTAAAGTTGGTAATTTAATTATCAATCTATTTTAGTTGAATAAATTATTTAATTCTAAGAATAAACTTTAAAGACATCTCCTTAAGCAAGTGAAATCATAACTGATCAAACTGTTAATAAATATTGGAAGGCTCATGAAGGATTAGAACATTAAGAACCTGGTAGAAAAGGTTCATAGGATGATATCCATAAACATTTACCTGATCATCATAATTCACTCAAATAAGAAGAGAATTTAAAAGATGTCTAAGAAAAACATGATTTACAATCTAAAATTGAAACCCATGAAGATCTGAAAGTTTAAGTTTAAGAAGTTAAAGTTGAAGAAATCAATTCCCCTGAAGAACAATAATAATAACAACAAGAATAAGAATAATAACCAAATCAAAAAGTTGAAGAAGAATAGGAATAAGAAGAAATAATCAGTTGATTCCATTATAAAATAATATATACATACATTATTTATATTGCCCTTATTTCTATTAAATTCTTTTTTAACATCCTATAAATTTAACTATTAACTTTTACCCCTAAAAACTATTAATCCACTATCAAATATATACAAAATTAGTACTTAATAAAATAATATTTTTATTTTGAATTTAATTAAATTTATAATCAGCACTTTATTCTTATAAAATTAAGTATAATTTAGATTAATTTATGAAAAATTCTTCAACAATAATAAAACTCTCTTTTAAGATGAAATTTCTATGTCGATCTATTTTACACTTTATTACTTGAAAATCTACATAAAAATTAGATTAAAATGTGTTAATTTTTTCAGTTTGTCATTCTAGAAACTTTTAAATAATACTTTTAATATAGATAATGTTATTTTTAAACTTGGATAATTTTTTAATTGTAGAGATATCTTCTGTAAGATGTAACTTAAAAAAGAAAACATTAATTTTTATAGATATCACCATTAATTGATACAACTACTCAATGGAATATACTAACTGTCAACATGTATTAAATTTCTAATAAATAAAACTGATGTATTGAATATTACTTTTGTAAAAATTTGTCTCAATTCAAAAAATTATTTAATTAATATGTTATATATAAAAATGATTGTCCATTCCGTTATTCAATATTGATAAATTGCTAGATGAATACCATAATTATTTATTATATATTTAATGTCCATAATTAAAAGAATGGATAATCCCAATAATATTATTGAAAAAAACAGTTCAATTTAATTAAAAATAGAGATTAACCTTAGAAACATTAAATGAATCAAACGCCATAAAAATTTCAAGTGTAGTTTCAACTCCAAACTTGAAATAATAGAGTTTATCATGATTATCCAAAGTATGCCTTGTATTTTTATAGAAATTAATAATGGTTTTGATTTATATATTAAATTTTATATATATTTAAATTAATTTCATTTTTAGAAATGAATAAAGACTAAGATGATCAAGAAAGATAACCTATACTTATAGAAAAATAATACAATTAATATTTTGATTGGGAAACATTCAAAAAATAATATTATCAATAAGAAAATGTATTATAAACATCTTTAAAATCGTTAAATGAATTACATAGTGAAATCTCAAGAAAACTAATTTAATTAGAGTATTGAACATATCTATACAATGATAGCAAATCAGATCCAATTTGTGAAGAGGATGAATAAGACAATCGAAAATAATTTTAATCTATTGATATAAGAAAGTATTAAGATTAATTTGATGATCTAAATTTGATAATGAGCACAATGTCAAGAATGCTGAATGAATATACAATCAGTCCTGAAGAAGTTTAATCTAAACTTAAGAATAATATGTTAAAGAGATTCAAAGAAATACATTAAGAACATGAGAAAGAACTTTTTAAATTAAAAGTACTACTTGAAAGCATAAATAGTAAGCAATGAAAACTAACATCTAAAAATATGAGCTATTTAAAGAAGCTATAAAAAATCCATCTTTATCAGGAAATAACAAATATAAAAGAGATTACCAAATAAATGATTTTCTATCTAGAGGAGTTAATTAAGCATCTCATGTATTAGACATAGCTTCAACAATTCACTCAAGTCTTTCAGATCAAAATTATAGAGTGTCTTCAATCTAAAATAAAGTCACTGAATATATGGGTATTTCACATTTCGATAATAGGATAATTTGAAGGAATTAATTAATTAATTAATGGAATACGTTATCATTAAAATAAAGGTTAATTTATATTGATGGGCTTAATTGTCTTATTAGTTGTGATAATTTTATTTAAATTTATTTGAAATAATTTATTTATTAAAATGTAAAAACTAAAGCTATTAAGATTAGAATATAAGTTATTTAAATTTATTATATCATTAATTTAAATTATATAATAAAGATGATACATCATATTTCATTGAATATTATGAGTTAATGTTATTTTCTATTTTTCTAAATGCTCTTTTAATATAATGAGATAATCATTTATATGTTGTAAAACGTAATCTCGCTTTGTTTGATATAAATCTTAATCTTTTTCTTATTCTTCCAAAAAGGCTTTTATCTTTGTTTATATCAAACCTGAAATAAATGCTAGAGTATCAGGTAAATTTTCTAATTATAATATATAATGCATTTTTACATTATTATATATAATCTAATTGTATTTATTGATCAATTATTTAATTTTCTAAAATTTACAATTATTCAAATGTAGATGGTTATTATTTATTTAATTAATTTTTCTACCTCGGAACCTTTACTTATTTTAATTCAATGCCTTCAAATTAATTATTTATTTCGTTCAGAGTATAAATTTATTATTTAAGATCTTCTTTTTCCTTTAAAATATATTCCTTTTCAATTTATTATTAAGATAATTCCTCTGACAATCTTTAAACTTAATCTCCAAGTTTTTTTTTTTAAATATGCTATTGATCCAACTCAACTACCAAATTTTACATTGTTTCATGAAATGATTATTTTTATTTACTGTAATTTAAACATTTGTTATCTAATTCATTAATTTTTTATTTTAATTTTATTATTTCACTCTTTTTCTTTTAGTTTTCTCCTTTGCTCTTTTCTACAATTTTTTAAGTTTCCTAATCTTATTTAATTTTTTCAATTTCAAATTTTTGTAATTTATCTCTTATTTCATCTATTTCTTTAACTTTATAATTCAATTTAATATTAAGATTTTCTAATTCATTAATTTTTTTCAATAATTATACCCTTTCTTAAATTATTTCTTCTAATTAATTACATTTTTCCTAATACTATTTATTTATTTATTCATTTTATATATAAAATCCTTACTTTTTATCTTCATATTATTACTTTATTTAAGCAATCATCTTTTCTAAATTATCTTAAGTTTCTTAACATTAAGTTTATGATTAACCAAAGTTATTAGATAGCTTCTGATTTTCAAATAAAGTCTAATTTAATTTCATCTAAATTTCATCTATTTGATTAATTAACTATATTTTCTATTAATTTAAATCCTTTAATAACAAAATTCTTTACCTAATTTAACTCTTTTAATTTACATATTTCATCCTCCAAATATTAAATTTTATTCTACCATTAAAGAGAAGTTTATTAATTTTCTTATAATTACTTTATTGAAGCTTCAATTTCCTTTTCTAAAAAATTAACTCTTTTATTATGATCCTAATTCAAAAGAAAAGTTTTATCATTTAATCCTTAAATTTCTTATTTGAGAGTTAAAATTTTATTATCTTTTTCAATTATATTATTTTATAATTCTAATAATTACTAGCTTAAGCTTTAAATCTCAATTTCATCTTTCTCAGCTTTTTTATTAATTTTTCTTAAAAGAAGTTCAAATTAAATATTTTATGATTCTGATTTTTTTAAATTACTCTCCAATTCAGCCCCTAACATTATTTAAATAAATACTCCAATTTCTAATCTCAATCAATTATGTTGTTCTTTCTGATTCAATATTTTAAAATTTAATATGTAATTATTATATTTCTTTTTACAATTTTTTTTCAACTTAATGCAATCTCTAAAAAATATTGAATTTTATACAGCATTCTCAGCTTAAAGAGATTTTAGTAATTTGTTTTACTTTTAGAATTCTTCTTCAGATCTAATTATTTCAATATCTTCTTCACTCATTTAAAGAATTATTTTATTAAAAAATGGATGAATTAGAAAAGAAATATTAAGATCAAATTAATACTTTATAAAAGGCTATAAAGACATAGAATGAAGTACTTATCAATAAGATTTAAACAATCATAAATTAATCGACTTTGGAAGTTTTTTAAACTCTTGATAGAAACTTTGCTGAGTTTAGATAGAATTATAGAGAAATAAGAGACTTTAAAGAATAAAACATTCAATTTGTTAATTATGAATACTTATGGGAAGAAATTTAGAACTATGCAAACTTAAATTTGAGAAGTAATCACAATATTTTAATAATGAATAGCTTTGAGAGAATAAATTTCAAATTCAATTGGTGGTTTATAAGAGAATAAATAAGCTACAAATGATGATTAATAGGTATCTTCATTATTAGATGTTATGTAACTATTATTAAAGGCTGCAGAATTATACATGAAAAATTTAAAAGAGGCCGTATCATTACCTAATCCTATAGCTTTAAAAGATAAATTCAAATAAATATAGTAAGAAGTTGGAGGATTTAAAGATGGAAGAATAGGCAGAACATCAAATCAAATTGATAGTATCTCCTATAAAGAAAGTTAAATGCTTAATTGTAGTTAAATATTTGACATATTTCCATTGTTGAATAAAAATTAAATGTTAGTTGCAACATATGAAAATGAATTATTTTTATATGATACAAGTTTGAATTCATTAATACAAAAAATTGATTCAATGAGATTTGTACCATGTTCTTGTTTACAATTGTTTAAATTGAATGGAAAAAATTTAATACCTTCAAATTTAATGTTATTAGGTGGAAGTGAGTTCGATCCAAATATTTATTTGTTTGATTTATATTTTGGTAAAAAAATACAAACTTTTCCAGGACATGAGAAAAGTGTTAGATTTTTATGTTAATTGGGAGATATAAATACATTTGTAAGTTTAGGAAGAGATTCTAAAATGTTTTTTTGGAATTTAATAAAAGGAGAACCTCATTAAATATTATCAATTCCAACAATTGAAATAATTGAAATGTAATTATAGGTATCTACGAAATGTATATATACATTAAGTATAGATGGTAGAATTTGTATTATAAAAATATTTGATGATTTAAAAACTTTTCAAAAAGGAGAAATTGTAAATTTAATTGAACTTGCTTAAACATCAAGTTTATCTTAGATGATAATTGAAGAAAAATTAAGAGTAATATCTTTTAGTAATGGATGGTTAACTGGTTAGAATTCAATTAGAATTTATGATGAGATTCCTTTGTAAACAGCAAGAAAAATGAAGAAAATGTTAGAAATAGGATTGGAGAGTGAAATTTCATAATTAAATACTATAATAGCAAAAGATTAATTGATAGTTATAAGTATTGATAAGAATAATGGAAAATTAAAAGCATTTTTAAATGGATAAATATTAGATATAAGCTATAATGGATTATAAGAGAATGATAAATAGAATAAATAGTCAAGATGGAATATCAAGTTATTTATAATTAATGGATAAATAAATTTACTAAAATTTGGAGAAAGCAATGAAATACAGATTTTTTTATTAAAATATAAATAAATTTGAATAAATAAAATTATATATCATAATATAAATAAAATATATAAATAACAATGAGTAATAAACTTAAAAGCCATAATTTAAATGGCTATCATCAAAATAGATTGGATTAATCTTTTAACAATGTGAATATCACTTTTATGACCACCCTTAGAGCCCCTATTTAATATACTGATCTAAATAAAACTGTTCATTATATTCCAAGTTGTTTTGGTAGACAAACCCATTCAACAGAAAAATGTCATACAACTAAAGATATAGAAAAATTAGCAATTATGTCAATAGTATCATATTGATCTAAATTGAGTATGAACATTTGATAAGAAATAGAATAGGAATTAAACCACTTCTAGATACTGTTATTTTTGAAACCACTCTTCGAAGTAATTAAAAACGTTCAATCTCATTAAATTAAAAATTTAAACCACAAAAATAAATTAACAAAGAAAGAATTATATTACCATATGTATTTAAAGATCCTTTTATTGAAATTAAAAAAAGAATATAAATTCATTTATCCATTGTCTTAAAGAAGAAGGTTAAGGTACAATTAAACCAGGGTAAGTTGAATGGATTACTTCATTATATTATTTACCATACCTCTTTTACAGAACAAATAAATTAATTTATAAATCATAATTGTATTCGTTTCTAATTCTCAATTATTGCTTGCTTATTCTCAATTATTGCTTGCTCATTCTCAATTATTGCTTACTGATTCTAAATTATTGCTTGCTCATTCTCAATTATTGTTTGCTTATTCTAAATTACTGCTTACTGATTCTCAATTATTGCTTACTGATTCTCAATTATTGCTTACTAATTCTAAATTATTGCTTGCTCATTCTCAATTATTGCTTACTGATTCTGAATTGCTGCTTACTGATTCTCAATTATTGCTTACTGATTCTGAATTACTGCTTACTGATTCTCAATTCTTGCTTACTGATTCTCAATTATTGCTTACTGATTCTGAATTACTGCTTACTGATTCTCAATTCTTGCTTACTGATTCTCAATTATTGCTTACTGATTCTAAATTACTGCTTACTGATTCTAAATTACTGCTTACTTATTCTAAATTACTGCTTACTGATTCTCAATTATTGCTTACTGATTCTAAATTACTGCTTACTGATTCTAAATTACTGCTTACTTATTCTAAATTTCTGCTTACTTATTCTAAATTACTGCTTACTTATTCTAAATTACTGCTTACTTATTCTAAATATCTGCTTACTTATTCTTAACTTCTGCTTACTTATTCTAAATTACTGCTTACTTATTCTAAATTTCTGCTTACTCATTCTATAAAGCTATTTTTTAATTCTCATAAAGTATGTTATTTAAATAGACATCATATCTTATAGGTTATTATAAAATTTTCCAGTTTTCATATATTGACTTAAATTTTTTCCTTAAATTATGCTTCTTCTTAAGCTTCTCCTTAACATAATTTTCCTCTAAAAAAAGAGATACCTTTTATCGGTATAATTAGATAAAAAAATAGATAAAAAAAAATAAATTGAATACAAAAAGAATGATGATTTTTGGTAAGTTTGTAAATCCAATATCTTTCTAATTAAAAAGGGCAGAGATAACATATGAAAGAATAATTAAATTGTTAGATATTTCGTCCAGTTTATTTATTAATTACCATTTATATGGATATTACTTATTTGAGCCAAACAGACTCTATTGACTAAACATGATTAAGGAAAGACAAAAAATTGGGATCAAAAAAAACTAAAAATATCTAATAAATTATTTACCAATGTTTCATTCATGGATAATAAAATAAATGTTAACAATTTAATTTATCTGAATATAAATTATATGATAAATGCCTTTTTAGAATAATTTGAGTAAATAATTCCAATTCTGTTCAAGACTTTTAAATTTTTATATTTGGTAGGAACAAATTTAAAATAAATATAAACACAAAATATAATTGGTGCTAATACAACTCCAATTAAAATTAAAAGAATAAGATTATATCTCCAATTATAATTATCATCAAATTGATAAGATATATTTGAGTAATTGTACTTAGTTCCTGATATTTTTCTATAATTAATTAAATTAATTAGTTCAATTAAATAGCCAGGCTAAATATAAATAAAAACTAATATTATGAAATTAAAAAAGGAGAAAATGTTCTTATTTCTTAATTTGAAGATAAAAAAAATACATAAACTTCCACCCAAAATTATTGATAGAGAATATAAAATTACATAGTATAGATTATCCTCAGAAATGCATTATAGATGTATTTTTAAACTAAATGCAGGCATAGCCATAGAATTGAAGGCTATAAAAGTATTGAAATTCTTGTCTTCTAAATTTAAAAACCTTAAAAATGAAAGGAATTACAAATGGTTTATTAATATCATTAAAACAAAAGGAAATCTTTATATAAAAGATTTTTTAGCTCTTAATTTAAGTATTTTATCTAAAAAATACAAAATATTTTTTTCTTAACTTTTAAGTGCAATATACGCCAAAATCAAGATAATGATAATTTATGTAATAATCACTAAAGGGTCTACTAAATATATTGTACAGGTATCACATTTTTGGCATTCAGAATGCCAATTTAAAAAATAACTGTCTTCCCAAATAATAGAATGGATATCACAATTTTCACATAAAGCTCCTATTGATCCTGTTGTACATAGTTAATTTCCCACATTAAAACCTCCAATACATTTATCCATTTTTTTAATGCAAGATTCAACTTAATCATTATATGGATCAGGTCTCCAAAAACCCTCATATAAATATATATGAAATCCAGTTGTGTTTTTCATTTTAGATTCATCTATTCTAAAACATGATGTATTTTATTTTAAAGAGTAGTAATTCTTTGGACAAACTACACACATTTACCTTAATTCAATATAATATTCTCCAAGTCGACAATGTAGTGGTTAAAATTTGATTATTACAAAATATTATTTTTTTTAATATTCCTTAAATGAATAAGGATATTCATCAACATAAACTGGCTATTTAATATGACTACTTAATAGAGTGAGATTTATGTTTTTATTCAAGTTTGGATTAAAACAAATAGAAATATCAGATAATTAGAAACCCTATATTACATTATCAAATTATGTAGTATATTTTTTAATAATACTTGAACTATTAGAAATAGGATAAATTTCACAATTTTGTTATTGTATTGTGTTGTTATCAAAAGTATCTGTAAAATATGTTAAAGTAGCAGGATATTAATATTTCATTTCTAATTATTCTTCATCTAAATACTAGATTTAAATGCTTTGATTTTTATAAGTACTTAATTTATATCCACTTTGCATGATAATAGGAGATGCAACAAATTCAATTCCATTTTCTAATTAAATAATTGTTTGTTTAATTTAATCAACTAAAATAGCCATTTATTATGGAGATGTATTAATATTGTTACCAAACATGGTAGCATTATTTCTAGTAATTTGATTTCCTGCCCTAGTTAAATTATTTATATAAACTCCTTATAGAGTTATACATCCACCAATAGAAGCTTTATTATAAAAGCAATTAGATTAAGCCATATTGATACGTTATTGGATTTAAGATTCAAAGTAAATGCAACCTCCTCTACCTGAAGCATAATTTTAAGTACAATATGCATTAGTAAGATTGGTTGTTAATTCATATATAGATAAACCACATCCATGCATACAAGTATTATTTTAAATGAATAATTATTTAATTAGTATATGTGATAAATAGGATGGATTTGGGACAACATATTAAAAGTATTCTTCTTAATTTTCTAATATTCTTTAATTTTATTGATTTTCTTAATTTTCTAATATTCTTTGATTTTATTGATTTTCTAATATTCTTTGATTTTATTGATAAATTTAAAATAATTCAATTGAAGGTAATATTCCTGTATATTTAATTATAGCTTCTTTTGTCAAATTAGATTTGATTGTAAAATTATATAATAAATCTTAAGTTTTCTATATTTTAAAATAAGATTCAGTTGTTATTGTAAAACAACCATAATAAGATGTCAATGTATCAGTACATCTACATTAATCAATTAAAACAGATTATTATAATGCTATATTTGAAACTCTAACAATCTAAACTAAACCATGTATACATTCTGTACAGAATATTTTATTGATTAAAATACTTTTTAAAGTTAGAAAAGTCTATGGAGTAATCATATCAATCATCATTAATGAAGGTCGAATCTAAATATATGAGAAATCAACTCTTATTTATAGTATTAAACAAATTAATTCTTTTGTTTTAGGTAAACATTTAATATTTTCTAAACTGATTGAAGATATATTTGCAAATTTAACAGTATCAATAATAACTTTATTTTAGATAGGTTCTATAATCTCAATTGACGGATTAAATGATAAAATCTAATTTTAAATAATAATTTGAGATAATTTTATAAGTGATGGATTTTTAATGGATAAGAAACCTTAATATATTAACCCTTATGATTTGACATTAACTAAAATGATTTCTCCATAATCTTATTCAATAGCAGATGTTCTTGTTAAAAATAAATATTTTTCTGTTTCTTAGATTTCTCCCAATTAACTAAAAAAGTTTTCATAATTTTCTTAGTTAGCTTCAATATTAATATTAACCATTTTAGTTTATTAAGTCTAATTTTAATTCATATCATAAGTAAGTTTTAAGATAGTTCCACTTAAGGATAAACAATTAGAAAATGATGAGTCTTATATAAATAATTACTATTAAGATTATAAACTTAAAATATAAATAGCACCTCCTTCTTATCTTGAAACACAATCTTCAAAATTTGATTAGATAATTGTCATATTTAATTGAGATGCTCTAGAATCAACATAAAGGCATCCTCCTTTAGAATCAAAAGAACTATTTAATAAAGTTCTTGAGACTTTAAAAGAAGTATTCTTTATTAATATCTGTCCTTCTTTTAATGCTCTTATGTAAATACTTCCTCCTTATTTAGCAGTTGAATTTTAAAATGTACAATTATCCACTATTGCTTAATATGATAATATCATTAAATGTCCACCTTCAGTATTTAAATCTTTATCTGAATTTAATTAAGATAATTGATCATTATTATTTGCCATAATAACATTTCTAATATTTTGAATACCTGCTTCTAAATATAAAGTAGCTGCATATCCTTCAACTGAATTGAATAACCATTTACTATTCATTAATTCCAACTTTCCTAAACTACTTTATAATAAAAAAGTTGGATTACTTGGACTAAGACTTCCTGGTATCTTCATAAAATGCTTATTTGATAAAAACTACATATAACTTAATTACAATATTTAAGATTATGTAGATTATATTATTATAGCAGATGATGGAATTCCAGGTTATGTTGTTGTTACTGTACAATATTATACTAAAATTTATTCTAGTTTTATTAATTCTTCATAATCTTTTGTTGTTGTATTATATATTAAATTATTCCAAGATGATATACCTATAAATGAATTGTCTTATGCATTCAAATTCTATAATTTTACATTAAATAATCTCACTGATTTATATGGGTTATCAATAAACAAACAATAATTATTCTTAATAAATACATTTTTAACTTAATGACAATGAATGTTTTAAAATTTACTCTTCCAAACTTAATCAACATATAAGATTGATAAATTTGAATTTTCTACACTCAAAAAATCCTAAACAAATACTGAATAACTCTTCTCTATTTTTATTGCTGCACTTGTTGTTGCATTCATTATTTTAACATCAAATCCTTAAGTATTTATTTAAAAGATTTCAATATTTTTAATTGTAATATTGATAGGAATATCATAAACATTTTTTATTTTAGTAATTGATATTAAACATTAAGGAGTTGAACATATAACTTATTCAAATTTTATTGATTCTATCTAAAGTTTCAAACTTAATTAATTAGGTCCAATCAATGGATTAGATTATAATTCATGTTATGTTTAAATCATTCTTCCTTTTGAACTAAATTAAGTATTCTTAACAGAACTATTTGCAATTTCAATATTTGTAATATGAAATAAGTTTGTATGATTCACAAATGAATTTAATATATTAAATTAAAATACAGTAATCTTTTCCATATTATTAAAATTAACAATTCCTATAGAATGATTAAATCTTGTATTATTTACTATTAAATTTTTAATTTAAATAAATCCATTTAAACTATTTTTCACTGTTGTGCTAAGAAATCCTGCTCCATTAACAAAATATACATCATTAAAACTGACTGATTAAATATTAATCTTAATATTTATTTAAGCCTTTTTTATTACATTACATTATTTTAAATCAAATATAGCTTATTCTTCAAATCCAAGATCAAAGAATCTAACATTATTAATGTTAAAGTTAAAATATGGAAATGTCATGTTTTAATCATATAAAAATTCAAATAATCTCTATTTAATATTTGTATCTTGCAATATCAAGTAATTTAAAGATTAAATGACAACATTGTTAAAGAATAAATCATATGTATTTGTAAATATGAAATAGAATGGAGTAAACTTTTTCTTTAATATTGACATTTAACTATAAGGAGTTGTATAGAGATTTTTATCAGAATAAAATTTGGATGCAGCATAATTGTAGATAGTAATATTCTATAAATTAATGATTAGACCATCATTTAAAATAAATTACAAACTGAATGGTTAGAAAAGTTTTTTAATTTATGGGAACAAATCACAATCAACAGCTGGTTAAATGTTGATTCCGGTTATGGTAATTTTTGAGAAATATTCAAAATAAATATTACTTTAAACATACCAATTAATTCTTTCATTATTTTCCACTTAAATATTAAGTTCTATTGATTGAGCTGATAATACTTATTTTTTAATATCAGTAGTAAAGTAAGTATCTTTTTGAAAGTAACAACTTTTAAAATCTGATTTAAAATTAAGATTAATTATTATCTTATTACTAATATTAAAATTTAATTCTTAATATAATTTTGTAACATTTAAGATATCTTATTTTGAATCATCATTTTTGTATGATTTAGTTTCAAGAATGATTGTAGCATTTTTAGATAATGATTTATCTATTGATAAATTATCATTTTTTTAATTTTAATATAGATTGTTAATTTTCCAAAGTAATTTATCTTCTTGTTAATTAATTGAACAATCAGCAATCACATCAATAATATATTTTCGTTCTTTTGTGATATCACTTTTAATGCATCTACCAAATTCAGTAATTAAATGTAATTGATCATCTCCATCACATTTAAAAGCTAAAGTGGAATAAATTTAATTTTCAAATGAAGGATTATAAAATCTATTTAATTGATTAATTTCATTTTAATTCCTAACTCTGCATCCAATAGTTGCATCAGGACAATCAATACAATCATTACCATCTTCAGAAGAACTTCTTATTTTATCTTTAATACATTAATCACAAAATCCTTTGTTCCCTTTAGCTAAAAAATCTTTACATTTTTTTCCACCTTTTTCACATTTCCTTAAATCCTCATTCAAAAATGGTCCAATCTTATAATTATTTGAATTCTCTATATTTTCATCTTTATTCTCAACTTTATCTTCAGGTATACATTAATAACAAAATGGACCATATATTATATTATCTTTAGAATCCTCATCATAATAACTATCATAATATTCTGGATGATGAACAACATTTAATGTTAAAGTATAACATTTAAGACAATAATCATCAGCTGAACAAGACTTACATTTCTTAGTTACACTATCAACATAATATCCAACTTTACAAATTTAACATCGATAATAATCTTTTTATTAAATACATGATTCACAATTTGGATCTTATAAGATTTCCCCACAACCCTTCTTACAAACCCATACTTAATTTGTTTAATTTTAGTATAGAATATAATCCTATTAACATTTTCTACAATTTTATGTATCAAACGATCTCTCAAAACTCAAACATCCTTCTTTAGGTTTATTCTGATTATCAAATATTAAACATAGTCCATTCTCAGTTAAATAGTAACCATCTTCACAAAGAACACATTTTTCCATAAAACCATCTACAAATGATTTTATTAGATACCTTCTAATTATTAAGGCTCAAAATCTACAGACAATGTTGAAAATGGAATTTTGCTTTACTTTTGAATTTCAGTTTTATGGCATAAAACGCAATGAATTATACTACAATCAGTACATTTTGTTCCTATAGCATTGAAAATTTATAGATAATTTGAACACTCTCGACATCTTAATACAAATTAAGATTCTAATAATTCTTATGTTTCTAATTTATTTTATGGTTCTACAATCCATAATGGATTTCGGGATGGTCTAAATTAATAATAACATTACCTTTAATTTAACCAAAAAGAATAATATTCGCAACGTCTACATTTAGTTCCACATTATACACATGATCTTCTATTTAAAGAAGGAATATAAGTTAATTAAGATGTACTTTCACATTATTCACATCTTTATGCTATTCCATATTTATTAAATAATAAATCAAAAAAAGGTCCTTAATTTTCTTAAAGATCTTTTGTATATAATCCATCTATATTATTATACTAATCCCATGGTAAAACATTCAAATTTATGCCATTTTTACCAAAATAACAATTTGTGCATTTTTCAAAACAAGGAATGCATGAAGTACTTGTTTTTAAACTTGATAAAGATTCTCTAGTTATTATTTTACTAAAACCATTGTTACAAATTAAACAAGTATTTAAATAACATGAATAACAATTCTATGGACAAGGTTCACACATTTAACGTTATTAATTATATGAGTATCCTTCTTTACAACTGAAATACATATTATTAGTATCATATTAAAATTCTTATGGTACTAAAAAACAATCCTATGATTTTTCTTTGCAAAAATGATCACACCCTTTGCAATTAATTGTTGTATATTAAATTTTTTCTGGTTTATTTGCTTAATAAAATTCAACCACATAAAATAATTCTTTAGATAACCTGTCCTTTTTATGATATACTGAGTTATATGTACTATATGTTTTATAATCATAACTGCAAACTCTTTTTATATTCCTTTTTATAATCATAAATCATTACCATGTTTGACTATTATCAAGACAATCTCCGCAATATAAATTTTCTAGATCTTCCATAAATTGTTAAAAAGGACTATATATTATATAATGTTTAATATTACCATTCTACACAGATTTTTTATCCTGATTTTAATCCTAATATATCATTATCTTAAGGTAATTCAAAAACAAAGTAATGAGCTCTACATAATGTGCATTCATCATCTACACAATTATTTTTGTATGAGTCTTTTATTTCATTTAAGACTATACAGAAATTAGTTGACAAAATGATAAATAAAATCCTATACATTTTAATGAAAAATTTATTCTACAAACTTATAGTATATTCAATACTCAAGCTCAATTAAATCTTGAGAAATTATCAACTTCTTATTTGAAATTCATATTATTTCTAAAAGAGTCCATTATAGTAAAAATATTATTATTTTCATCCCTTTTAATAATTACTTTTAAAGTATTTTATGAATTAGCAACCAAATATTTTTTTTCTTAATTAAAATTCATTACAGTTTTTAAAATAATAACGACATAATCATCATTTTTAAAAAACTTATTTATTATTTATAAATCAGAATTTTTATTACTTTAATTTTAATATATATATTATTTATAATTAAATTAAAAATTAGATATTAACAATAATTAATATTGTATGTAGCTTTCTTTAAATAAATCTTCAATAAAGAGTTACTAAAGAAGTAAAAATCATTAATGTGACAGTTTAACTGAAAGAAAAAGAAGAAAAAAATCATCAGCTGAAAATTTAATTATTAATACCTACTTAAGTTTTTTGTAAAATAAAGAGTGATTGTAAGGAATTGAAAAAAGGGTATTCAAAAACTTAATTTATAATAAAACAAAAAAAAGATTCTTATAATAAATTAATTAATGTCTCATTAAGCTTGTATGATAATTAATAAAATTATAAGAATAATTGAAAGTTTTATCAATAAATTTATAAACTTTATTGGTTTAAAGAAAAGTCTATTAAAATTGTTAATCAATTTAGAAACATAAACAATTTGAAAACCTATAACCGATATGATTTTAAATAAAATATATGCATCAAAGAATATATCATGGATGGAAACACATTTAACTCTTGATACTAACATTATTAGAGATATCAATTTTTTAATTGAAAAAATCAATGAAGTATAAATCTAAATTGAAGTAGATGGAATTTGATAACTTGAACATAAAGTATCTTATTTGTTTTATTAGATTACAGATGAAATTTATAATTTAAAAATAGAACAAAATAAAATGAGACATAAAAGAGTCTAAAATCCTAAATTACTGTTTCAATCAAGAATTATGAGAAATAACCAGAGGGTATTGATTTATCGAATTAAAAATTTGGAGCATTTCCACTTATTTAAAATAAAAACAAAATCATTCATAATTAGATTTAGACTATAATTAATAATCTCAATATCAAATTTTAATATTGAATCATTAACTTTATCTTTTTTATTTTACTAAAAACTAATCAATATTTTGAATTAATGATTCAAAATGCTGAACTACTATCTTTGCACCTTGAAAATCATACTCATTGGCACTTTTTGTTCTAAAAAAACATGGAGCAAAAACTATTGATAAATTATGTAAATCCATCTAAATTTAATTGAATTATTATTCTTTACCTTATTTTCAACTTTAAATTCTGCTACAAATTTTATAAATTCTGTCATTTTAAAAACTGTTTATCTATTCACTTTAGGTAAATGAGCAAAAAATATACTAAACATATCAATAAATTCCTTAGCTGGTATTTATGGATTAGTATCTTTTAGTATTTCATATATTTCAAAAGGAAATATAGGGTTTTTTAAATTTACTAAGGCATTCTTTAACACTGTAGCTATTACATTAGGATCATAATTTTTCATATCTTCATAATTTGATTATATTAATTGTTCTACTAATTTCATTTCTTATTCATGTGAACCTGATAATCTAAATACTCCTTCACTACGTAAATAATCTATATTATTAGTATAATATTTTAATATTTCTTCAAGAAATACAGGAACTCCAGATTAACCAATGGGATAAGCATCTAATTCTCTTCCATAAAATGGTTATTATTCTTAAAATTAGATTTTATTACACAAGAACCTTAAAACAGATGAATGCAATTCAATTTCATATTAGTTCAAAAATGAAGTACTTATTATGTAAATATATTTAATTACTTGCTTATTTAATAAAATTTATCTTTTACAATATTTTAGAGGAAAAAAGGTATTGTTTTTTCTCTTTTACCATAATTTTAATTGCTACTTATAACAATTAATTTATTAATTCGCTTCAATTGATTTGAATCCACCTTTCTCTTAAATAATGTTCAAAATTACTTAATGGTTTTTTTCAATAAACATTTTACATCATTAGCTGTCAACTATGCATCATCTTACGAACAAATAATTAATACAAATCCACTATTTTCAAATAAAAGTTATATATACTTAAAAGGTCTGAATTATTGCAGATAAGATTAAAATTTATTCCCGATCAATTCTTCATTTTTGTTTTAAACAATCAAATTTTGCAAAATAACATAAATTGGCTATCCATTTCTATCTAGACCTATAGAAATTCTGAAATATCATATACCTGCTTTTAGTAAACCTTCAATTTCATAGGATTATCCTTGTCTCATTTATTAAATAATTTTAAAATTATTACATTTATATTTCAATTTTCATCATTATAATATAATCAAAATTCTTGTTCAAAGAATGATTATTGTTTTTTCCCAAAATCAATATTCATGTAAATTTATTTTTGATACTCATATTTGATTTGTTTTAATTTTTTTACTTATAATATTCTCTTTGTTATAATCAATGATAATGAGAAAATATAAAATAAGAAAAAAATTAATTTACTCTATGCCACTATTATAGAGAGATTTATCCAAAATTATTAAGAAGTGGCTTTAATTTTTGGATATTCTTTAAACTAAAATTAATCAAGATATTTTAACATTACAATTTTTAGATTCCTTAAATTATAATTAAGTTTTTCATTATATTAGAATGATGAATTTATTCAAGTAAGTTGATATTTATCTATTAATTTGATTTTAAGGAACAAAAACCAAATAATTAATTAAAATAAGCTTGTTAAATAAAATATAAACAACCCTTAAACCTCGAATTGTCTTAATAATCGATGATTAAAAATTCTGGAATGAAGCTTTTTTATTATCAAATTTATACAATCATTTTTTGAATAAACACTTTAATACATCATTTCTTATAAATTAAAGGAAGAATCAACAATTAATAGCCTATTTTATAGATTTTCTTTGAAAATTTTATTCTTTTTTTATTAATGTATTTGCTTGTTTAATATTTCAATGAATAATATATAGATATTAGAAATATATAATTGCTTTTGAGCTTTTATCAAAGATGTCTTCTTTTCGGGAACAAAATATTTTATCAATGTTTTTTCAAATTCAGTTAAAAAATATTCATCACTTTATTCCATAAGTATTTAATAATTGTTTTAATTTTTTTTTACTTGTTTAAATGAAATTAGTTTAAAACAATTTTTTCTTCTGTTACTTATAAAAAATCATAGAATTATTCTAACTATCTTTTTTCAAAGAATATCTCTTTTATTCTGGAAGAACCTTAAAATTATTTATAAATCCATTTAGTTTAGCCTGACGTATTCATTTTTATTCGATATTTATATAATAAATAAATAAAGTATTATTGAATATTGTAAAAATTTTAATTGATTATTTCAAAATATCGAAATCTAAAAGTTTAGAATAATTTTTTTCTCATGGATTAGTTTTCTTCGATTATATATTTTTTCTATTTTAAACTAATTATTCTATATGCTATCTTTTTATTAAACTAATTCTTATAATTATAATAATTTAGAAGTATTGTTAAATTATTTTTAAGTAGATTAAATACTTGTTTTTTAATTCAGATTTAATAGAAGTTAATCATGTGATTGTATTTAAATAATTAGCTTATTTGTTCAATATTATAACATTATTTAATATTAATGACCACAATTATTATAATTCTTTCATATAAATATTAGTTGTCTTATTAGTTTGATTTATTATTTTCATAAATTAATCAACAGATCATACAAGTTAAAAATGTATAATTGGAATACCAATAGTATAAATTTTGTATATAGATCCTACAAATTATTTTAAACCTTAAAATATTTAAATAATTGTTTTGCCATTAACTTTTAGAGAGGCATAAAATAGATTTCATGACTAAAATCGTTTCCATTCTTTATTAACTGACATAAAAATATGATAATTAATTATCATACTTTCTATTTAATTAAAATATAATGAAATAAAGAGAGAGATCACACGCATATCTGTATAAATAAATTTGTAAGAACTTAAATGTTCATTTTTCAACAAGTTTACTTAATGGGATTTAGGAGACCGAAATTGTTATACATTTGGACCAAATCAGTTAATAGGGTAAAAACATCAAGATTGAATAGATATTGAGCCTCTATCTTTACTGTTATCTTAATGCAAATTTAAGAGGATTACATTGAAAACTATTTAGAAGAACCTGAAATTAAACAAATCAATGGCTACAGATAATTATAAATTAGAATTGCTTGAACTTTTGAGAGTGATTACAAAGTTATTTACGAAAAGCTTGGATGTTGTCACTTTAGTTATTCGAGATATTAGAATGAATAGTGAACATATGTAGATAATTGCTTAAGGAATAGCAGTAGTTTAATCTTTAAAGGAATTACATATAATATAATGTTTGATGACTTCTAATCATTTTAGCATTCTCTAGCCATCTCTAATATAAAACTCATCACTTCATATATTAGATTTCTCTCATAATTATTTAACACATTAAATTGGAGTTTAGTTGGGTTAATTACTATAAGAACATGGTAAACGAAGAGATAATGTAGAATATCTATATAGAACTAAAGGGGAATGTCCTGAAGAGGATATTTCAAAAATAGGAATAGGGGAGTTAAATTTATCATATAATAAGTTAAATGATTAATTTGTAAAAGACATTGCACCATTTTTAGAAAGAGATAGATGGGTTAAATCAATAAATCTTAAGTACAATGCAATTTAGAAGGATGGTTTTGAGATTTTAATTGAATTGCTTGATAAAAATTCAACAATTACAAGTTTGGATATAAGGAGAAATTTAGGAACTACATCATAATTATAGAAGGAAGTATTTAAAAAATTGATAAGGAATAAAAATATAAAGAATGATATTTAATAATAAAGAATAGATGATGATAATGGAAATATTTCTGTTAATGTTTCAGCTATACCTTAAAATTTACAATCTGTAATATCAGATTAAGAAAGTCCTGTAATGTCTTTTGGAGTGTTTGAACCTAATAATTTAACTAAGCAAATGTCTATTTCAGGTAGACAAGATTAATTGAAATTTAAATCTGGATTTAAAAATAATGATTCTGGTTGTTCAGATTGTAATCGTTTATAAATAAAATCTAAAAAATAGTAACAAATAATTCAATTACTGAAATAAGAAGTTTAATTTTTAAGATTTCAAATGCAAAATAAATAATCGTTACCTTAATAATAATAAGAAGAATAATAATAATAATAATAAGTAATAAATGAACTGAATTTCTCTGAAAATAATCATAACCCTCCTGTTTAAGAGTTAGAGTAGGAAGATATGGTAAATAAGATTGAATATATGATGAATGATTTAACTAGAATGATGGATGGTTTAGATGCTTAAGGTAGTGTTACAAATAATCTTAATGCTCATTTATCTAGTACATTGATAGGATAAGATTATACAAGGGTAATTCTGGAAAGAGAAGATAGAGCGAATGATTTAATGAATATTCTAGGAGATAATAGTCATAATAACTTATCATAATCTTCAGATGAAGAATAGAAGTGACATTTACTTTTTATTTATATATATAATTGCTTATCTATGAGGATATTGGTAATTAATATCATTATGGTTATTCTCCCGATTCTGACAGATGTGATTTTGGTTACTTTTGAATATCTTACATTTCTAATTCAGCTTCTCTAATTTATTGTGAATTAATCCATTCATCAACATTCTGCTGTCTTTAGATTTGAGAATATTCACTATTGTAGCTAATTGCAAAAAAGATAGCATAAAGCTTTAATCATTAAACTATATACCACAGCTGTAATAAATAATGCAAAGGCACCTTCAACTCTACTATGAGGTACCACATAAACGGTTTCAGATCCAATTGCTATCATTAAGCCTAAATAAGTCATCACAATGCATCCTGGAGCTGAAATAAACATGCAATATTAAGCACACGATACCATTAAATTTAATTATATAGATTGAGAATAATAAAAAAATTTAGAAACTCTTATAAAATAAATAATATTGTGGGCCTATTAATATATAAAAGGCAAAAAAAATGTGAATCAATTTTTCAATTTTTATACTAACTTAGATGATTTTGGTGTGTTAGTAGTTGTTGGTTATTTGGTGATTCGAGATGAAGAAGTACTCGATACAATAATTTAACTGCTTGGAACACTAACAGTATTATTATCGAAATCATATCCATTAAAGAGATCTAATAAATAAAATAATTTATACTTTAAACAGAATTTCTTCTGAGCATAATTTATTATTCTTCATTAATAGAATCATCAGAATCTCGTCTGCTATCAGAAGGAAGGTAATTATCTTCATTACCCTAATATTATTATATTAAAATATAGAACATTAGGTATAAATGGAGCAATAATCTATTTAGTTATTAATTTTTCCCAACTAAAATCTCTAAACCAAGGATGTTCCTTCACTTCATCTGGACCATTGTTTCCTAATCGATTTTATGGTTTTCTTTATAATAGCTAATAAAAATATGAATAAAAACATAAATACTTTATTAGTAAAATCAGCAGCTTCTAAAGTCCATCCTGGAGGAATTTCTTATCTTTTAATAACAGCTTATTTAGCAAGCATTTATTCTCTAATTTCTTATCTACTTCTTCCTAAATAAGGTCTTCTACCTAACATGCATTCATATACTATAACTCCTAATGCAAAATAATCAACTGCTACACCATGATTATGTCCTTTTTATTAACAATATTAAATTACTACACATAACTTCTGGAGCCATATATCCAGGAGTTCCACTTGTATCTTATGAATTCTCTGGCTTCCAAATTCTTGCTATTCCCAAATCTGTTAATCTAAGATATCCTGTTCTTTAAAAAATTAAACAATCATACCATTACTATCAAATACTAAATTTTCTGGCTTTAAATCTCTATGTAATATTCCTTATTAATGTAAATAATCTAATGCTACTATCATACATCCACAAAAAAACTCTATCCTTTACATTTTATTTATATACTTGTTTATTCTTCATTAAATTTTCTGTGTCTTCCTATATGGTATCTCAAATCTCCACCAGATAATAAATCCATTACTAAATATAAATATTCTCGATCTTGGAAAGAATATTACATATTTATCAGAAAACTTTTTTCTATTTTTATAAATACTTATGCTTCAATCCACTCAATAATGTCTTTTCATTCATTACAGATTACACTGACTTCTTTTATATGATTCTATATTTTTATTATTAATTACTTTGGTTTTGACATCACTTTTAAAGCATAAAATTACTTATTTTTCTTTTATCTAACTTTCCATACTTTTCCAAATCCACCTCTTCCAATTGCATCAATAAATTAAAAATTCTATACGGAAACAACTAATATTTCAATTACTCTCAATACCATTATTTTCCATAAGATCTTCCTTTTACTCATTAATATTACAATTTCCCATTATTTTTATTATTAATTATATGATTCTTTATGTACTACTTTCCAAAGAAACTTTTGTCTTTTCAGAATATACAGAATTAGAAGATGAGTTTGAAGAAATGGCTCGAATTATACTCAAAAGTGTGAATCTCAATTTGTAAAAGTAAATATTTAGTAAAGAATATAATGGTAAAATGTAGAATAAATATGTCTTTTACATTACATACATACTTTTCCAATCTTAAATTTTTTTGTATTATCCACAATGATTACATTAAAGAAAAACCATTTGTCTTTCTTGGTGCAATTCTCTAAGAATACTAAAATTAATCCAAAAGTATTTATCTCACTCTCTAATATATAGACTCCAATATTAATAATGATCAATTCTCTGTTTAATTCTCTTGTATGATGAAAGACTTTAATAAATTAAATCAAAAAAGATGCTTTGAATAATCTTAGATAATCTATTGAAGATTTAAATGATCTGCATTTCAAAATTTGCATTAAATGATTGGTATCTTTTTATGTACTATCATTATGAGAAACAGAAATTTAATAGATGTATTAGCCAAAAAAACAGAAGAATTAACCAAAAATGATGATATTATTTTTAAATATAATAGAAATATTCATAAAGCTAATAAATGTAATGAGTTTAGATTTGGAGCTAAAGTCTTAATTGTTTACTTGTTCATCTTTGCTGTTTTTTGCTTACACATTTATTATCAAATTTGATACTTTCATTTATAAATAGAGTGATTACAAAAATTTTAAGATCAATGTTCATCTATTACACAAATATCTAATACTGAATAAAATAAGTCTTATACTCATTATCTACATAATATATTATCGTATCAAAATTTGATTTTATTAACAATCCAAATAATTAATTATTATTATTATATCTAATATTCTAATCTTTCTTAATTAGAAAATACTAGGAAATACTAAATTGCATTTTAAAAACACTTTAAAAAACATCTAATTCTTGTTAAATTTATTTAATATAAATTTAAACTTAAATTTCTATTTATTCTAACTATACGGGATAATGTGGCAATTATCTAAATCTGATGTGAAAGATATCTAAATTTATATTAAATTACGATTTAATGATTGCTTTATTAAATAAAATTTAAAATGAGAGAATGGATCAATTCAAATTACTAGATTTTGATAATAATAAAAATATTGTCCATGATTTCAGATGTTTGAAATTGCTTTAAAATGTATGAAGTTTGATATTTCAAACAACGACTACCTTTCTGGAATATTTAAATTTTTACATAAAAATATTTTATATTTAACTTTCATGATAATTTCTATACATCTTATTTAGCTGAAATACTTGACCTAATAATATTTAATATTCTAATTACTATTTTTTTTTTTAATTAAAAAATTTCTAGTTTACCTTTTAATATATATTAAATCTATCAAGAAAATTTTAATATACAGAAAAATATTTAGAGAATGTATTAATGTATTATTAAATTTTAGATGCAATTAAAAAACTAATCTTGTATGGGATTGAACCTCTACCATCAGCATATTAGACTGACGGGTATTACCAACTGAGCAACGAGATTTGTGATTTGTGCTTATATTCTATTAGGCTTTTAGAATTTGAGCGTAAACAAAGGAACTGGTACATTTAATAGTTAAAAAATGAGAATAAAAACATACTTTATTATATTACTTCAAAATTAATAGAAATAAAATATTTAAAAGATAGAACAAAAATTATTGATTCATAATTTATTTATCATTTAATGAAAATGCTCTCTATCAAGAATATATTTGAATTTAAAGACAATCGTTTAGATGGAGTCAGAGAAAATTTGTTGACAAATATAAGTAATTGAAAAATCAAATTTTTGATTAACTTTAGGGTTTGGGTGTACCAGATGTTTGTATAATAACAAAATAAGCGCCTACAAATTTAAGAAAATCATCTTTTGAAACCTAATCTTCATTTCATTTTGTTTAAGGTCTATGTCCTACATCTTAAGCTGAAATATTTGCTTATCTTCAAACTATTTTACAGAATTAAGAAATATAAGAACATTAATCCTTGTTTTCTAAAATTCCTTATATTTCTAAAGTATAAATGTCTATAATAAATAGTTATCCTACCTTTGTTATGATTTATTTACAAAAACAATACTGGTTTGTGAAATTTAATTATCAATTGAAGGTTTACATAAATCTAAAATGTTTGCTGTTTAAGAGAATTAAGAATAAATATTGCCTTCTTAATAGCATTGGTAAGGTGCTTATATTAGTAGTATACTAAGAGCTATTGATGAAGAATTTAAATTAGCAAGTGTTGGTAGATTCTTTAACAATATAAACTTAAAAAATAATAGTAGATTATCTGAAGTGATTCAATTGTTATTGTAGTTAATCACAGTAAATCCTTAGATTTTTGTAGATTTTGAAAAAATTAGTTCTAATAATAATTTTCCTGAATTTAAAGAAATTTTATATTATTTATGTTGGCCATTAGACATTTTAGCTTCATATTTAGTAAAATCTAATCAATTAGTTATCTTAATAAAAGAATTAGAAAGTATTTAAGATAATGAAGTATTTTATTTAATCAAATGCATTTTGTACTATAAAATGAAGTATTGATAAATTTAAATTTAGAAATTACGAAAAATCTTTATCGTGTTTAGTGAATATATCTTATATAAGCAATTAATTTAATTTGATACAGTATATGATTGGAAAGATTCTAATTAAATTAAGAAAATTTGATTAAGCTTTAATAACGTTGAAAGATACTTTAATAAAATCCTTTGAAAGCTAAATTGTTTGGGTTACTTTGGTATAAAAAAAAAGTTTATATATTAGGCTACCTTATTTAGAAAATCAAATAATTATCAAATTAGTTTAAGTTTGTTAAACAAAGCTGCATCTTTATAAGGAAAGAGAACCAATAAAAGTTTTTGGCGTGAAATAATTATTTCAAATTATCGAGTGATGACTTAAGACAATTCAATAACAAATGTGAATGATTTAGATAAAATTTATGCAGTTATCAATCCAATTTATGTTGATAAAATTGAAAGCTTTTCCTAATTAAGTAATCATCCTGTACTAGAATAATTATTATTAAGACATAGACTTTTAGATAAAAAGTAACTTAAAGTATCTAATTTTTATATTGTTAGTTTTGGAATATTTAAGTATCAAAATTTATAGCTAATTAGAACATTAGAATTGAAAAATAGACAATAGATTTTATATCATAAAATTTACTACTAGAAAATAAATAAGAACTCTCTGTATTATAAAAAGAAATAATAAGACTTTCAATTGATGTTGGTCATGAAAAATTAAAAAAATTTTTATAACATCATTTCTATACTCCACCTCATAGTTTATACAATTTACATGATAATAAAGTTGACAAAAAATGTTTAGAAATTAAATTAAAATCCAAAAATCTAAAAGCTAATTAATGTCATTTTAAAAAAGTAAAAATTTTTATTTTATAAAAAGAGCTTAACTGAGATTTTTTCAGAAAATGATGAGGATTCAGATGAAAGAGAACCTGATTTTTTATAAAATAAGTCATTTGACTTTTTAAATTCCACTATCAAAACTAACTAATAATCAAGTAGCTCAAAAATGATTTTCTCAATTAATAAAGCATCTCAAAAAGATTTTAAAAAATAATAAATCTGCAAAAACTCTTTAGTTATTCAAGAAAATGCATTTGAGAGTATTGAATCTGAAAGGGATGATATTTATAAATTTAAAAAATCTACAATCCAAACTTTATAAATTACAAATACAATGAAACCATAAAGTGAATAAAGTTTTACATAAGAAAAGAAAGTATAAATTTATGGGTATATCGATTATCTTTAAGATGTTCCATAATTTAAATAGACTGAAATGGAAGATATGATGAAAAGAAAAAAAGACACTTTACACCCTTCATTCTATGAATTTGTAAATTACATTTCATAAACTTAAAAGATTCTTGAGGAATTATTTTATTTTAGCAACAATCAAAGATCCTAAACTTGCTAAAATTCTGTTTAATAATCTATTAATAATTCTGAATAATAAACACCAAAATAAAAAAAAACATAAATATTTAAATCTCAATTAAAAGAATCTTTGAAAAATAAAAGTTTTTTATAGAAAAGAATAGCCATTTAGGATTTTTATGTTATAAATGGTCTTTAAGTCAAAGATTCAGATGAGCAACAAACATACTTTCAATTCATTAAACATGAATCAATATTTCTTTATAAATGTAGTAAAATAGCTTTGAAGCTTAAACAGACAAAACTAGCATAGAAACTATTTGAAAAATTAAATGAACGAGTTATATCAGTTTAAGTGTCCCACTCTCTATTACATATATTGAAAGATGATCATGTTTAATTAATTTAGTAGTAAATATTTAAATATATTCAAAAGAATTTAGAAAATTATGGTCGATTTTTTAGAATGTGGCATTTAAAAAATATAATCAATGCCTATCTGGGTTGAAATTCATTTAATTAGATTAATTAAAATTAAAGGTTCAAATTATGTTTTGGGATTGTTAAGTGCTCTAGAAAGTTAAGACACTTTTTAATTAATGAAAAAGATTGTGTTATAAGCTGATAACTTGCTTTGATAATTATTTATATTAATTTTTATTTGTGTATACATTTAATTATGATTAAAATATAATTTTAAAACAATTGCTAGATTTATAAAAAATATTTTATCAAAAGTTTATAATCAAACAATTGTTTAATGAACCGAATTTCTTGGTTAAAATTTGGAATTTTTAAAGCATAATTGATTATATTCCTGGGTTTCACTTTTTTTTAATTTTGAATTCTTTCTTATTATTTGAGATAATTGAATTTGAAAATCTTTTTTTAAAACTTTAAAAGTAGGAATTGCACTAATATGAGGAGATTCATGATCAACTTATAATTCATCTAAATGCTTTTCGATTTCATTAATTTCCTTTTAAAATAAATTATTGCATCTTTCAGTACTTGTAGTAGTTGTAGAACCTTAAATAGATTTAGTTTTAGTCAATTATTATTGATCTAATTAAATATTTTGACATTAAAAATAAGGATGAGATAAAGCTGCTTCTGCACTTATTCTTTTTTCAGGATCAATTTCAAGAAGATTAATCAAAAGATCCTTTTCTTCATTTGAGAGTTTATATAATTGAAGAATTTTAAAATCTATATTGCAAATTTTGTTCATTCTCAAGATTTCATTTGAAGTTTTTCCAGGAAATAAATCTCTACTTGTAACTCTATAAAAAATGAAATAAAATATTTATACAATTTAAAGAAAATACATCCAACACTAAAAAGATCAACTTTTTCATTATAACTATCTTTGAATTTTTCTGGAGCTGCATAACCAGGAGTTCCACATACTCTTAATTCCTATGATGGATCTATATAAACTGCTAAATGAAATTCTGTTAATTTTAATCCTTCTATGGAATCTTTATTTTTGAATACTATATTAGTTGGTTTAATATCTCTATGCATAATATTTCTAGAATGGATATCTCTCACAGCAATAATCAATTACTTTATGATACTGATATTTATAATTACTTTCATAATAATTAATATTTAAGTTCTGTTTAATGCAACATTCATTATTAATTCATATAAATTTACACCTTCTAAATACTCCTAAATTAAATAAACAGTATTTTCTCCATTAAATACTTCATGCAAATGTTGAACATAATCAGATTTAATATTTGTTAAACAAGATATTTCATTATGAATTCGAGTCTTGAGTAAAATATGGTATAAATACAATTGAATCTTCAAATTAATTTTTAGCAATACATTTTATTTCATATGAATTACTATTTATTCTGTCTATGCATAAATATACCTAAATTTTTGAATGAATTACTTCATCAAAATTTCCTTCTCCTAATTATTACATTGGTTTGTAAAGATGTTAAACATGTTGAAACATAATTTTATTTTTTATATTTTAACGTAGTTTAAAGAGATCTTCATGACCTGAGTGAAATTGTTTCTCAATATTATTCCATATTATGCTAAAACTTGCAAGTTAGTTCATTTGATTTAAGTGCCATGAGATTGTGTTATGTAATTTTAAATCAATTATGTATTTAGGCTTTTTACCAATCTTTGTTATATTCAAGGCATACTTAATTAAGAGTAATCTTAGTTGGAAGCAATTTAAGAACATATTTCTAATCTAAAAATGTATGTTATCGGATGCAATTAAAGCTTAACTAAGACTCCATTAATTAAATAATAGATTTTTATATTTCATTCAATTAGAACAGACTTAGATTTTTTTTCTTATACTTTTATTAATCAAAATGAATGATTTCTAATAATTAAATTTATAAATTAGACACTTTCTATTTCTATATATCCATTGCATGAAAATTAATGTACTAAATATTTATTTAGTTAGAAACAATTGCCTAATATATCAAAAACACCTTAAGCAAAAAGTTTCCATTCAATAGAGCATCTTTTTAACTCGTCTTAAAAATAATCTAAATAATGTCATGATAATTCGTTAAAATCTTTTCATAACATAAGTAATGTCTCATTTATTCGAAATGATAAACATATAGTAAAACAAGATGTATGATATAATTTAATTTTGTTTAGTAATATTATGCATCTCCATTGTTAAGTAAATCTCAAATATTTGAAGTTGAGAGATAAAGCAGACAGAGAAGAAATGAAGTGTATTCATAAATGTTAAGTGAAAATCCATTCAAATTTAATAATGATTCTTAAGAAGAAATAGTTTCTGAATATCCTCGAAGTACTTACAAAAATTTATGCAAATTTTAGAAGTATCATCGATTCATGTCAATTTATTTGATCTTAGAGATAAAGAAAAATTAGCATAATTATTGCATGAAACTAGTGAATTTTCTGATAAAATATCCTAACATAATCCATAAACTAAACCAGCTAATGTTCTAATTTAAAGATAAGATGTCATAAAATTAGCTTAATGGATAGATTATTAAATGAAAATAATTGTAGGAGATTCTAAACTGAAAGAAGAGAAGATGCTTATGTAATTAGAATAGGTATTCAATCAAAGTCTTAAAGAATTAGTAAGAGAAATATCTATTGATTGTTTAGAAAAAGGGTAAGTATTTACTTTTAATTAGAGTATTATTGGAAAAAATCTGGAATTAATATGTAAACTTCAATAACATTGTTCTCTCTGTAAATCAGTAAGATAAAATAAATTAAGAAAAAGAATACTTAAATGAATTAAAATAAGTATTTTTATTATAAATTAGGTTCATTAAACTTATTAATTATCTGTACAAGTTTATGAAGATAAAATTAAATTTTTAGAAAAATAAGTATAATTCTTATAATAAAAATACGAAGAAAAAGAAATAGATTATGACAATCTAAATTCTAAATATTAACATATTATATAATTATTTGAAACTTTAAAATAAGAAAATTATGAACTCAAAAATAATTATTGTATTACTATGAATTAAAATGAGCATTTAACCATTCAAACTAATTCTTTATTGAATGAAAATCAAAAAATATTAAAATAACTTAATGATAGAATTAATCATAGTCTCTAAAAATCAAAAAGAGGTCATAATATTTATGGGGAATTTGATGATAATAAATCAACTAGTTGTTTAGATTTATACACTATTATGGAAATTCATGTGAATAAATAAACTTAAACTAATGTTGAAAAAATTTAACAATCTGCTTAAACTGATTATAGATATTTCAAATAAATTGGTATTCAATGTGAAATAATGGATTCGGATGATTAACTTATTTCATCTCCTTAATCATCATTTAACAGGTAATATAATTATTATTATATTTGTAGAAATAATTCTAATCCCCCAAATTCAGAATTAAGAAAGATTAAAGAAATCAATTTTGCATTAGAAGAAAGAGTAAGAATTGAAATTAAAGTCTAAGATGAATTAAGGAAATAAAAACAATAAATTTAAAGAGAATTTGAGGTTTAAAAACTTAAAATTAATAATCAAGATGCATTAATACTTTAATTATAAAAAGATATAGATAATCTGTAATAACCATCAGAAAAGAAGCATGATAATAAATAAAGAGAAATTACAATTGTTAGTATTGATCAGTAAAATACAGATTAATAAATGACTCTAGCTCCTTAATAAACTATTTTTTCTATAAAAACAAATTAAAAAATTGAAATTTAAAATAAAATTCATTAAAATGTATCAGATATTAATAAATTATAATAAAAAAATAAATAATAATAAATTGAAGGTTCCAAATAAAATTAAATATAACCTTCTCAACAATTAAAACAAACAAACTCAGGATTAAATAAGGTGAATTCAGTTGAAAATAAAGAATCTAAAATTTAAGTTAAATCCATCAAGAACTCTTCATAAATTATTCCAAGAAGATTATCATAAAATTCATTGCATTTTAGTAACTCACAAGAGTTAGATAAAAATTAAATTAATGAAGATCCTTTAACTAAAGTTATTAACGATTTTATGAATGATTCAAAAACTTCTCTAAATCATAGATCTAGTATTGTTTAACAGAGAAGACAAACTTAATAATAAAACTATATTATGATTTAATAAGAAAAACAATGTAATATATTGTTGTATATCATTAGAATAAAAAAAAATAAAACTCAAAAAGGAAAACATTTATGTTGATGTTGCTTTAGCTTTTATAAGTTAATTACAATAAGATTTTAAATAAAATCCAGAATTAATTGAAAATACAACAACTTTATAAAATACATTAAAGTAAGTTTCCTTTTTTTACAAGGAAAGGTTGGAGTAAAAGTATCCACTATATGCAATTTGCTATGAATATTTTATGAATTAGTATGGATTAAAAAACGTTGCTGAATCAAAGATGACATAGTTTTGTTAAAGTTTAATATCTTACTCATCAAATAATAGAATTAAATTATTTGCAAGATTTCTACAGTTATATGATGGAATTTCCAATGAAGATCTAGATTTCTATATTTAATCATTATCAACCTTAGATGAGCATTCTAATCCTTTAAATCTTTTATATTGTAATTAAATCAACGATTGTGTCTGCATTTAGCAAATGAAAATTTAAAAATAACTTATGATTTTAAATGAAAAAGGATAAGAAATACTTGAATAACTTAAATAATATCAGAAAATAATTAAAGGAGAGATTTATTTAGACTTAGATTAATATTATTTATTGTGTATAGAACAGTTTTAATACTTAAGAAAAATATAACAAGATAACTTTAATGAACTTTTTTAAGCAATCGATATTGATGATAACAATATAATCAGTATTGAGGAATTTCAAATATTATTTCATTTAATTGAAGATTAAAATAACATTTTACATTATAAAAAACTATTCAAGAAAGAGAGTCAAAATAATGATGGATTAAACTTTTATCAATTTGGAATGTTTTGCATGCACAATAATTTATTTACTAAATAAAGGTAGGTTAATTTCTTTTTTTAAAGTTAAGTTAGCATTAATACAATTTATAACAATTGGAGTAGTTAGCGAAATCTTATTACCAGCAGACTGAAATAATCAAATAATTTTAATCAATACTATTAGAATTTAATTCGGAAATTAGATAACGTAAAATTATAAAATCGAATTATTAGGCTTTAAAAAATAATCTAAGCTATGCTTGGAATTTGTGGAGAATCTTAGAGGAATAGTCTAAAAAAGTTTATCTGGATTCTATAATTATGAATGTAATAGCAAAAAATTTTAATATCATCACTGAAAAATATGAATATTTATTCTCTAAAGATTGAAATTTAAAAATAAGAATTTTAAGGAATTCATCATATTGTTAATAGAATTAATAATTTAAATTTATTTTTCAAAGTTTATGAATTGAAATTTTCATTTATCTTATTTTTTTGTCTACTAAGAATATGATTCAAATATCCATTTTTATTGTAAGATAATACTAATACTCAAGCCTTTTTTGATTTATCAGAAAATTTTGAAACTGCATTTTTATGCTGTGATTTAAATTTCTTTTGTTTTATTTATTTATACTGTTACATATTCATCTTATTTCCATTATATTAATTTCGTTTATTTTAAAATTATTGTTTTTTTACTACTAAATAGTGAGTTAAGCTAATTTGATTTAAAAGTAAATTTGTTTTTTTTTCATATTTTCCTTCTGTTGGTATTTGCATTGATAATTTATTGTGTGAATTGTTTTTTTAAATTATTTTAACAAAAAGTGTTACTTTCGTAAATTTTTGAAAAACTAATTTTTAAAATATATAAAATAATGCTATTTCATGTACTATCATATGCATATTTTATGTTATTATTTAGTTTAAATATTATTAAGATATTGAATTCTCATTCATTTAATTATTATTTTTTTCTCTAAAGTAGATAATAATTTTATCACCTTTGTTTTGATGAGAAATAATTTAATTTGATTAACTATAACAGTTCCTTATTATTTTATTTTTTGAATTATTTACTCTATTTTAGACATCCTTTCTGTATTATTATATAAGGTATAATAAATTTTAAATGAGTCATCTTACAAACTAAGGGTTATAGTGGGTTTAAGTTTATTATAAATTTTAATTTTATTTGATAATTAAATGAGTGGAAATAAGAAGATGGATGCTTTGATAAGCATGAAAGCTGAAATCTAAGCATAAAAAGAAGGATAAGAAAAAATTTAAAAACTATGTTTTGAAAATATCAACATAGGATAATTTACAAATGAAACAATAAAATTATTGTCAAAATATGATGATTTAAGTAATAATAATGAATAAAGAAAGCCTGTTTGGAATTTAATGATTGCAAATTATCGTCTTTGGATAATTTGATAGGATTTGAAAATCTAACAAAATTACGATTATGCAATAATAATTTGGATAAGAATAGTATCCAACATATTATTTAGCATTTTCCAAAAGTGCAATACTTAGATATAAGCGGAAATAAAAAAATAAGCTAAGATGTATATTAATAAATTTGAATAAAAAAAGGATCTTAAAGTTTTGGTTTAACTAAAAGAATTATAACATTTAGTGTTTAATGAGAAAGAGACAAATAGAGAGTAGTTGTTTGAATTAATTCCTTAATTGAATTATATAGATCATAAGGATAAGGATGGTAATGAAGTAGAAGATGAAGAAAATGAAGATGAAGATGAGGAGGATGATGATGATGAAGATGAAGAAGAATTTGATGAAGATTTAGAAGATGATGAAGATGATGATGATGATGATGATGAAGACTAAGCAGAAGAAGCAGAAGAATCTGAAGATGAATAGCCAGTTTAGAAAAAAAAGAAATTATGATGAGAAAATATTAAAAATAAATATAGACTCATTTTTTAGATGGTTCAGTCAATAAACTTTAATAATTTTTTAGGTTAGTTACACTTTTTGTATTTTTGAGTGTATCATTAGAACATATCACTGATGATAATTATGATTATGATTATTGGGATAAAAGTGATTGTTAACTATTCTGAGAATTTTTACTTCTCTTTCTTACTAAAGAATCAATAGTATCTTTGGTTATTTAAGTTGAAGAGTTTTTATCAAATTCATAATGTTTTTGTTTATTCTATTGGTAGAAGAAAGTATTTTAAAACATAGGTGTAAATTAAATAATTAATTTCTATTCTCTATTTAGCTATTCGAATAATATTCTGTCATTAGTAGTAGGTTGTTTAAATGTTAGTTTAGTTAAATCTGGAATATAAGGAGGATCTATTTTTTTTGAAATATATTTAGCAATATCAATATCTTAAAACCAAGGATGTGCTAAAATATCATCTACACCATTTTTCGAACCTAATCTTTTACTTGGATCTTTAATCATCAACAATCGAATTAAATCTTTGACTTCAGGACTTAACTTTTTTGGGAATGTCACTTATTCATTTAATAATCTAGTATAAATCACATTTTTATCTTCACAATAAAAAGGTGGAAGTCCTGTAACAAATTCATATAAGAGAGCTCCTAAACAATAATAATCAACCAAATAATTATGTCCATCATTATGAAACATTTCAGGTGCCATATATTCAGGAGAACCACAAAATGAATATGCATTTTATTCAGGTTACATATTTGGTCTTGCTAAACCAAAATCTGCCAATTGAATATGTCCAGTTATATCAACTAACACATTTTCTGGTTTTAAATCACGATATATTATTTATTAATGATGTAAAAATCCTAAAGCTAAACAAACTTCAGTTATATAAAACCTTGCTTATTATTCTGTCATCTTTTATACTCTTTTCATATAACTAAACATCTCTCCACCAGGACAATAATCTATACCAAATATTATCCAATTTTTAGTTTCAAATACAAATTCTATTTTTGATGTGAATAACGAACCTTTATTTGTAGTTTCTATTAGAATATCTCTTTCATTCTAAACTAAATCCTACTTCTCATTTTATATTACAAAACTTTTGCTTATCAATTTTAAAGCAACGAAACTGCCATCAATTAATGATCGAGATAAAATAACTGTTGAGAATCCACCTCTGCCTATTACATGCAAAAATTAAAAACAACTTAAATTTAATTGTTTTGGTGGAGATATACCTATTATTGGTTTAAGTCTTATGGTTTTTCCAATCATATGATTCATTGATAGAGATGGAATCGTAAGATAATAATCAAATCCAATATTTTCATCTAATGTTGCAAATCCAATCACTTAATAACTTCCACATTTATTCTTTAATACATTTAACATCTTATCTGTTGTTATATTAGGATTAAATCTATGATTTTGTGTTACTTCTGAGGAATAATGAACATATACACAAATTTCCTATTTAACTATTTTATCAATTGATGATGATTTACCACCTACTTAAATAGAACTTGTTAAGAGATCTTCCATACTATTTCTGCGAGTCATTGAACCTTTTTCTAAAATTAATTTATTCTTATTTGTCAATTTTTGATTTAGAATTAAGTTGATTCCCTTTGATATTTATTGAAATTGGAAATTTGTTTCAGTTGGAACTTTCGAAGATTTTACTTAAGGTTTAACCTTATCTCTTGAATTTGATCTTTATTAACTATGTACTCTCTCTGTTAAGCTGCCATGATTAGCTTTCCGAGATGAATCTTGCTTCACCAAATCCTTCAATATAATTTATGAAAGATTTCTCTAAATAAATTTTAAGGGAGATTATGATGCATTTTTACTAGTATGATTTTTAGTGCTCATTTAAAAGTTTTATATTACACGAGCTGGTGATAATATCTAACCACTTCGTTGTCTCATTTATTGTTATCAAATAAAAAAAATATTATCATTCACTTTATTTTTAATAAAGTAAAAATAATCAGATTCAGTAGCATATTGTTTAAGATAAATAAATGAATAATTTTGATTCAAAATATTTCTTTATTTATAATTATCATAATGAAGATTGATACTTTAGATTATTGATTAATAAAATCATTAAGTTAACTAAAAATAAGAAATCCTATATAATTTTGATAATATTTCCAAAATATATCAATTCATTCTAATTTAATATTCTCCATTCTACGTAATATATCTGACCCATGGCAATGCATTATATCCACTTTTATCTTAAATCTTTAAATATCTAACTTAGAAACCAGAGACAGTAAAATAAGGAATTTCAAATGTGATATTGATAGGCATTTTCTAAAATTTATCCCTATTTGGTGATACAATTCTAGAATAGATGATATAAATATACGTTGGTAAATGAAATACAGCATTCATCATAAAATCTCTTTAACCTCCAAATTATTTAATACTCCAACACATAGCTTCTTTTTCAGGCATATAATTAACAGAACCATGTGCAGTTCTAAATTAAGGTTATTCTGCATCTTCAGGAACTGGAACGAAAATCTTATATTAAATAATAATTAATTACTTCGACATTATTAGCAGTACTTTTTGGTTTGAAATTTGATTTAGCTTTAACTAAAAATTCAATTTTAGTAGTTGATTTTCTCTCAATTAGTACATCAACTGAAAACAAAGGTTTTACTCTAATGTCTAGTCTATAAGAGATTAATTCAAAATCACCATCAGGAGGTATAAATTGTATAACTCTTTCATTTTCAAATTTAGATAATCTCACACATTAATGAAACTTAATATCATCAAATTCAACTGCTCTTGCTCTAGCTTAACGACCTTATGCTTCAAAAAATGCTTTATCATTCAAACCTAATTTTAATTCAGGCATTCCACTTAACATACATTTCACTTATACTTATCCTATAATCTCACTCTTTATTACATTTCCTTATTGACCTATTAGTATATTCAACTTTTCTATTACATCCAAAAAAACCTCATTCTTTTTATACTTTATTCCCTCCTTTCTCCAGGATATTTTGTTTGATACCAATGCAACTACATTAAAATTTGTTTATTCTGGTTATTTCTTCTCTTTCAATTAGAAACTCTCTGTTTTAATAAATTCTTTCAAAATTTTAAATTCTGTCGTTTACGGATATCCATTATCTAACATTTCATCCAATAATTCATAAACAACTACAAAATTATCACGAATTGATTCTTCCTCTACATTTACAAAATATTCCTATAACACCTATACCAATCTGAATAAAAATGAAAAAATCATTAAACAATTTGCATTTTATGAACATACTGTCATAAATATTAAATTATTATGCCTTATAAATATATATGTGTATCCATCTTTATCTATCATCACAGGCTTCTAGGTATATTCATCAAACTCCAATAATTTTTTATTAAATGTTTCATGAATATTTGCAGGCAATTCATTTCTATATTATCTTGTAATTAAAACTCTTCCTTTCTAATCCAAAATATAAATCGATGAAATTCCAAACATTAATAATAATAATAAAACACGTCTAATTAAAATTATTTGTATATATGCAATAATATCTAGGCTCGTCAAAATTAAAAAATTATAAAACATTAAACGATATGAATTTATTATATTTTATTTGCATTTCATGTATTAATAAAATTTGCCATTCGAATTCAAAGGATCCAAAGAGGAAATTTATATCTGCTAATAATTAATTGCCTCAGGTTCTGAGGGTTAAGTTTATAAAGGTATCAGAAAGGATTAACCATAATTATATTTAGCAATCAAATTCTCATTCGATACAAGTAATGATGAATTACAATTTTTATATAAGCTTTAAAAAAAATAATAAACTGATAATCCATTTAAACATATAATTAAATACTTTGATGTTATACAAGATCCTAAGTTTTTGAATAATTAAGAATAACTATTTAAAAAGTATTGTTTCATAATGGAATTGGGAGAAAAAAACTTACTTGAAGAAGTCATATAAACAAATAATTACTCAGAAAATTAAAAAATTGAAATTATTTATTAAATTGCTGTTGGAATTCAAGAACTTCATAGTGTAAAACAATTTCATAGAGATATTAAACCTGAAAATATTATTAAAATTGGTGATGCATGGAAATTATGTGATTTTGGGTTTCTAAAACATTAAATCAGCTAAAATAAAACTCAAAATGTTGGTACACCCTATTATATTGCTCCAGAAGTCTTTAAATAAGATTCTGAAAACTTTATTAACTATGATTAAAAAATAGATGTATGGTCATTAGGTTGTATAATTTACGAAATCATTACAGGATAATTATTTTTTTCTGGAAATTCAATGTAAGAAATATAAAAATAAATTTAAAATTATTGTTCCATTTAAAAATTTAATCCTTTAAATTAAAACACTGATTAAAGATTCAAAAATATTACTAATCCAAAATTATAACTATTATGCAAAGGAATGATAACTGTGGATTCTTAAAAAAGATATGATATTCTTCAAGTTTTATAAAAACTTTCAGAACTTAGATAAATACCTTTTACTAATGTCATGCAATTTCCACTTTATTAATAATTTTAATAAACCTGCTCTAATTAAGTAAGTTAAAACTTTTAAGGATTACAAAATACTTTCTAATAATAGATCTATCCTCAAAATATGTAAACATTAAAAACAATTGATAACAAGTTTTAAAATTCATAAAATTTTACAAACAATCCTAAAATATAGACTTTACCAGCTATGAACCATTTATTTTATAATAATGTTTAAAATCAGTAAAATACCTAATATTCTAAACAAATTAGCTTCTCAAATTAAAAATAAACAACTTAATAATAATTTCCTTAGTTTCAACAGAATAATCTTAACAACTTTTAAAACAATCAATAAATTGAATTCTAATATGGTGAAAACATAGATAGTTTAGATATGAAGAAAGATAATAATCAAATTATTGAATAATAGAAAATAATATTAAAATAATAATTTTTCGAACTCTTGTCAAAATCTCTTGATAAAGTAATTAAAATAGAATACAAGAAAGAAATTTAACAATTTTTCGATTCATCAAATGATCCCATCACTAATTATATCAATAATCTGGATGATAAATAGGATAAGTAACAAATAGAATTTATAGCTGAGAAGCTCACTTAGTTTATTAAAAAAAGAGTTGATATGGTATTGTAATAAGGGTAAGGAAATAAATGAATTGTTATAATCTTAAGTTTAAAATTATAATAATATTTAATTCAAAATCCTTATTTAACTATTTAACCAGCTTTTGATAAATTTGCTGATGATTTCTTACTTAAAATTGACATCAATTCATTTTGAAGGGATACTGATAGATTGTTTTTCTAAGGCGGAGATGAATCAGTTCTAAATTTATTGATTGATTATTCATCAGATTACTGTAAATAAATTTATTATTATTGAGTTGTTGAAATATTAACTTTTTCTGATAATTCTTATTCTAATTATTGCACATATTCATCCAATTAATACACTCTAGTTTATAAGGAACTTAATTATTATTTATAATAATCAATTTAACTTCCAACAGAATTTTTTCTTATTATATCTTCCTTCGCAAAATTTAAAATCTGATAGTAATTTTACGAATTGATAGATCTTCCTTGATATTTCACATCATATTTATTTATTTAGAATTTCAATTCTTTTATCATTTTGTTAACTATATTGAAATCTATTTATTTTCCCTCTTCTATTTCATGAAATATTGGTATGAATTTTTCAAAGGTTTAATCAATAACTTCATTATCTTCAAATTCTAGACTTACTACTTCATCTTTAATATATAAGGCTTTTTTAAGTTTTTTGATAAAAATGATTGCATAAGTTACTTTTCTAAATCTTATATAAACATTGTGATTTCTTGCCTTGAATTCATTTCTAAGCATTATAAAATAGTGAAGATAATTAGAATATTAAATAAATTGTGAGAATAAAAATTAGTTTTTCTTATTTTTCAGTATATGAGATAATAAACTATAGCTTAAAGCTACTTTATTTTAAGAAATTGCCTTTCTCAAAAGCAGCTCTTCAAATTCTAATTGAAGTTATTAATATTAATTATTTAGTTCTTCAAATTCCTATGCTAAATCTTATTTTTATTGTAAAAATTACTAGTTCAATTTTTCTTTTTCTAAAATTTATTAATCATATTGATGAAATTATTCCATAAGTTGATTTATATATTAATTATCTTTTTAAGCTTTTAGATTTTATTGTTAAAGTGCATCCTATAATTGATTGATTTTATCTTCCTATTATTCTATTATAATTTAATGTTCTAGCTATAATTAATCTTTTGCTTTAATGTGTTCAGAATTCAATTATTCTATTTTATATCTAAGCTATTCACCTACTTTATGCATTTCTTATATATTTTTACAAACCTATTCATTTTCATCTTTTAGTTAAGTATTAGTAGATATTAAACTTTGAATAATTTCTTTAATATCAATAAAGAATTCTTCAATTTATATTTAATTGTAACTATACTTTTTCTTTTTTTTAGGAACTGATTTACGACTAGAGGCAGAAGATGACTTTCTTCCTTCATATAATCTTTCATAAACATTCGATTTTTTTTTAACAACCAAACATTCTGCAATAGTTTCATCAATTTATTATTAGATATAGTTAAATAGTTTAGAAAATTCTTTATTTTATTAATCCAATTAATTTGAGTACTCTTTTTATTATTTATAATGATCATTTAAACTTTCACATTCTTTTCTTAGTTTTTCATTTGCTCTATTCATTTCATCAAATTATAAAGCTTAATTCTTCTCACATTCCATAGCAGTCTGAACTTAAATATTAAATTATTCATTTAATGACTAATTTTTCTTTTCTAAATCTTCAAATTATATTTTCATATATTTCAATTCAACTAATTCCTAATGTTATTATTCTAATCTCTATCTATAATCCTCTAATTCTTATTTTAATAAATCATTTTCTGTTTCCAATTGTTTTAGCATATTCATTATACTATTTTCAAACTTATTTTTTTCATTTGATACTTATTTCAATTATTATTCTGCTTCTTATTTTTCTTTTTTTAAAATTGAATTTTTCTTTGTTAATTATTATAATTCTTCTTCTAATCCTTTTACTGCATCTTTTATTAATTAAATCTATTCAGTTACTTCTTATTAAGCCATTTACTTTGATTATATTTCCTAACTTTAAAATTTCACTTTTTCCAAAAGCTCTTAATTCTTATCTTATACTTCCTTCAATGCAACCAACAATTATTAATTAAATTATTGCAATTACTTTGTTTTTTTCTATTAATTATCAAACATTTAATCATGTTCTTCTTAAAGTATTGCAAATTATCGATCACCATACTCTTTTTATTTAATTGCTTAACTTAATTATTCTTCTAATTCTTGTAATCTTTCTTACAGTATATTAATTGTTTAGTCTTTAATCTAAACATCATTACTTAATAACTTAATTCTAGTATAGCTTTCTTAAATTGCTTAAACACTGTCGTTCATACTTAAATTTAAAATTATTATAAAAAATAATAATCTAATCTCATTTCAAAATCATCCCTACTATATTCAAACCACTCCTTGCCATCTCTCTTTTTAATTCTTATAACTTTCTCTTATGATCACCTCTACATTTATAAAATCCATGTAAATTTACACCAGATGATAATAGGCATATCAATGACAATGGCAACTTAATATATATATAATCTATATTCATTACCCAATAAGTTTTTAATCCAAGAAAGTCTCCTAAAAATATCACAGCCCAAAATATATTTCCATAAACAATACACGCCCAAAAAAAGCATTAATCTACTTTTTTATTCTTTTCTTATGTTTAAGTTTAAACATTCCATTGTTCCCCTTTTATTTCAATCCACCAACTTAACCCAACCAATTGTTTTCCAAAATAATTCTTCATCAAAATAAACTGAATTAATTATAATAATCCAACTAACACATATGTGTTTAACATATCCTCTAAAACAATAAAGCTCAATCCTGGTAGCCCTGTTAGTATAACAGCAGCTATACAAATTATAGGATGAGCAGCTTCTGTTATATCATATTATTGGACTAAAAGATCTTTCTTATTTAATTAGTCGTTTAATTTACATTAGCTACTTCTATTTCTTCTTCTTGTTGATTATTTTAATAAACTGAATCATATTTGTCAACAGTAAGATCTAAATCAGGCTCTATATGATCTGTAACTCTTTTAGGTTATATGTCTATCTTAAAGTCTAACTATGTTGATTCCATTAAATATTATTTATTTTAAATTTCATAATTAAAAATATATTTCAATATATCCTTCTCCAACTACTTCATAATGTTAATTTTCAATAATAACTAAAGAACAATTGTTACATTTATAATCAAAAGTTTAAGAAGAGCCTTATTATTATGGAATAAAGATTTTTGTTTAGCAACCTGATTTAGATTTAAATGATAAAAAGAATTCTTTAGTATCAGAATAATATTAATTAGTTTCTATAGAATCTGCACAAATTTGATAAGCATAAGGTCTTCTTAAAGCATTAAATTTTAGATTTTAAAATGATCCATCTTCATTAAAAAGTCCTTCTTCATACATGGTTGACATAGTTGTATGATCATTATATCCTTTATATTACCAATAAGTCCAAGATTATTAATAAACATCAGCTTTATCAAGAATAAAATCAAGTATATCTTTAGATTATTCATCATTTCCAACAGCTCCAAATTCAGTCAAAAAACCTCCTATTTTAAGATTTTAAACATTTCTCATCTTAAGATAATAAATTAAGGAATGAATTCTATTACAACTCCATGATGAAATCTTTTCTATACCACAATAAACATGATAACTAAAGACTTCTTTATTTTAATATTCAACTCCACCTATATTTTCATCAAAACCAGCTCCAAATAAATCTAAAAAATCAGATTCAAAAAATATAATTTTTTCATTATCAACCTTTCTAATATAATTGTGAATCAATCTATAAAATTTAATTAAATATTTTTAATTTGCATATCCTGGCCAAAAAAAGTTAATTTTCCCTTTTTCATAATTTCCTGGAGAAGGTTCATTTAAAATTTCATAACCAATAACATTCCATTCATATTTATTTTTTTCTGCTATTCTTTACCAGAATTAACCAAAATAATCTGCCAATCCATTTTTATTTTCATAAAGCATTTCAAAATGTCTCCCTATATCATTTGTTGAATAAAATAATGCAAATTATTACTAATAACAATCTTCTAATAATGGATATCCTTAAGAATCAAATCTCATTTGCATTTTTGATGGTGATGGAAAATCTACATTTTAAATTGCCCAATCAGGAAATCCATTCCCACAAAATTAACGATTAAATAAATCTTAATGAGCATCCAAAATAACATATATATTGTATTTTGCAGCCATTCTCACTATTATTGATATCTTATCTAAATATTACTCATCTAATTCTCCTCTATTAGGCATTGCTCCTTCAAATGAAACATGAAGTCTAATTACATTAAAACCATTATTCTTCAAAATTTAACAATCCTCCTCACTAAATGTTTCCATATAATCAAATCCTTCTGTTTTTGGAATGTAAGGTGCTTATTTATATACTACATTAAATCCATGAAATATTCTAATAGCACCATTCTCATCTTAAAAATATCTCCGTTCATTAAGTTAAATTCTAGAAGCAGTAACGCTTAAACATACTATCAGGGCATATAATACTAACATTATTTTTATTTTATTAATATCTATGTAAAATGAAAAATAAATAATTCTAGATTATAAAATTCATTAACTCAAATTAAATCTTCTATGTCTTCTACTTATAATTATAACTCCTATAAGCAATTACTATTCTTAAATTATTCTGATAATCTTTAAAATAGACTAATTTTTAACTATTTAGCCTTTTATGATTTGATTTCTGGCTATTATATTTTTTAATCATCTAATAATATAAATATTCTGCTTTTGAGAATACAAGAAATACATAATGGTTCTATAATTTTAGTTGATTAATCTACTACACAATAATCAAATAGTTCTGATTATAAAATGTCAGTACAATTTTAACAAGTCGAAAAATAAAAATGTTTATTTTCTAATTTTTTTTCTATTTCTTATATATCTTTATATTTTGTAAAATCAATTGTAAATTGTTAATAACTTTCTTAAATCTTATCTTTTTCATTTGATAATCTTAAAATCCAATCACATTCGTTTGGGAAAATTTCAATAAAATTATCTATTTATTGATCTAAAATTTCGTTATCAGCAGCAAAAAATAGCACTTTTTTATTCATATATCCTAATAAAAATAACAAATGACTTAACATTTTTCGCTTTCCATAACCTCCTTAAATTAAAGCAAAATCCTATGATAATAAACATAATTAAATAGCTTTAAATTAATATTCATTCAAATAATTTTAAAATTTTTATTGTAGAATTGTAAAAGCACACTTTTAATTATCATCCATTTCAGTGATTAACTTAAATTTTGGTTCCATTCCAAATATAAGTATTTCTTTTTTTCTATTATAAAAATCCTTATTTGTGACTAATTCAAATATAATAAATTTGTAGTGTTTAAAAAGATTCTTTTTAAATAACTTATGAATTAATTCATCATTAATTTATAAAGTTGATGCTGATCCATTTAGCGGCTCTTATTCAATAAAAATTTGTAGTCTAATTAAATAATCAAAATTTTATTCATCTTACGCTTCATTATTTGAATTAATTTAATCTTCAATTAAATTAATTATTTAGGTACTCTAAATTAACTAAATATTTTAAAGTATGTATTTTTAATTTTATTAAGTTCTTATACAAAATAGATCTATTACCTCTTTATCTATAAAGCATTGTTGTAACATTTCATTTGCAAATTATTTTAAATAACTTTTTTTTGATTGCAATATTACCTGTGTTCCAGTTTATAAATTTTATGTTTCTAAAATCTTATATGTTGCTTAAGGTATATATGTAATTTACTCTTCATGTCTTAGATTCTTCAGCATCATATTTAAATATTCTCTTGATTTAGGTTTTAACTACGCACTAATCTCATTATAATCAGGATTAAAAAATGTTAATTCAGATTATTCCGTAAGAATATGTAGTCCATAACAAACCGATTTAACATCGCATTTTATACATTTTTAATTTACATCTCTCCTACATTTAATTTCGTCTTTCAAGTTAGGAAGTTAATTATAAAAATTTTTATATTTTTCTAAACCAAAGATTTTTTATATGTACCTATTCCTATTGAACATTATCTTGGATATTTCTGATTAATTCTCAATTATAACTTAATTCTTCAACTTACTTAACAATAATAATAATCCAATCTTACTTTCTTAGCTATATTAATTATTCATTAACATTAAATAGGTTGTCACTTGTTATAAATTATTTTTTTATTTCATTATGCTACCAGTTTTCAATTCTATAGGAGCATTGCAAATTTTAAATTCCTCATTATTCTTACGATATTTAACTTAAACTACTATGTCAATGTATCCTTTTAATCCATAAATAGAAGATTAAATTAATTATTCATTACTAATCCATCTTAAAATCTATATTTCGTATACATCATGCTCATATTAATCATAAATTGGAAGTTATTTAATTATATGTTCATTAATCCATTTAAGGCTATTAACACATCCTGGAAGGATATAAACTATCATTTCTCTTATTGTTTTTTTTTCTAAATAATAGAATTCTTTAAAAAACTTTGAATACAACTTATAAATTGGTTCTAAAAATGATTTAGGCATATTCTCCAAAACTAATAAATCAAGATTTTTTTAAAGTTCATCAAGTTATTCAATTTATTAGAATAACTAAGAAAAATTTTGAGGGTTCTCTATTATATTTTAAAAAAACTCATGAATTACATTACCTCCAAGGAATTCAATTCTTGTTCCAAAACATTGATACTTAAAGAATTTTTTGATAAATTATTTCCTTTCACAATATTCTAATCCAGATAATGTAGAAGGTGCAACTAAAATTTCAGGTTCTAAAATAAATACATTCTTATTATTCATTGTTTTTGTGAAAATTATTGTATTTGAATTTATAAATTCACCACTTACTCTAATTTACATTCCTATCTTTACGTTGCAAAAAGCAGTATAATAATCAAAAAGATAAATATCTATGCTTTCTTGATTATTTTAAAAGTGAGAGTTTTTGCAAGCCTATATTAAAAGAAAATTGTCATCTTATTTTTTTTCAGCCTTTTTTAGAATAGAAACTATATGATCATCTTTCTTAATATATTTTGAGTCAAAAAATTTCTTAATATTTAAAATGTAAGTTAAATTGGTGATTTAATCTATATTGTTAAGTAAATTTTCTTGATCAAGTTAGGTGTCATTGTTAAATAGATTTCCAATCATATATGCTAAATAAATAAATAATTTATAATGCACCTAAAAATTAATATTGATTTTATTTATAGAAATATTAAAAAAATTATCATTTAAAAAATAGAATAATATTTAAAATGAAATCTATTGAGCTAGAAATTAATTTTAGTTAGATATTTTTCATTTAGAAATACTTATTGTCTTTCATTCTTTCGAGCAATAATTTTATTCTGTGAATTACTTTATTTCTTATAAAAGAATAGTCAAATGATAAAATATTTTTCTTTATTTCTGAGTTAACATAAATCTAAAATGTTTAAATACAAATCAATTTCTAATAAAAACAACAATTTTATTATCTATGTTATTCAAGTAAATCATAAATCCAAATAAAATCTCTTATTCTTTTAGATGACTAATTAATAGTAAATAGGATTAAACCTTAGGTTTAAACTTATTTTGTAAGCCATTTTAATTTAATAAAACTTTTACTAATTTTTTCTTTAAAATAATCTAGAGTCACTTTAACTTTCATAATCAAATCAATTTCACAGTTGAATTATAAATTTCTATAACAAGTTGATTTATAAATATTCATATAATTGATTTTTTTATCTTATAAATTTCCTTTAGTTAGGCATGTAAAAAAAATGTTTCAATAATCTGAATTATTAGAGTTAAATTCACATTTTTTGTATCTATTTGTCTTAAATAATAAAAATGATCCTAAGATTCATGAATTAATTGGAGCATTAGAACTAGGACTAAAAATTGAATTTTGATAAATTCTTAATCTAATTTTTTTATTCTGCAAATGTTAAATGTTAGAATACTTAATTTAGTAGTTGAGATTAAATTTTTTGGTTCTAATAAAACAAACAATAAAATTTTAAGTTTTTTAATTTAAAAAAAAAATACATTATCATGATTAATTTTTGATTAATATAATTTTTTATGGCTTATGTAAAATTAAGGAAAAAATAAAGATGATCAAAAGAGTTAAATAAAATAATTATTTTGATTGTTAGATAAATTTAATACTTCAAGCATAATTCTAGGTGAAATTATTAAATTATGAAAAGCTTTTTAAACTTTTAAGTTAATAAAGATTAATAAAAGAAAATTGGAATATTTCTTAGAATAATTGATCTTTTGTAATAATAATTTTCAAAATTTATTAAAAGTACGAATGAGAATGATCTAAATTCAAATGGAAAAATGGTTAAATATATAAAATAATAATTTTGAAAATNAAAATGAAATCTATTGAGCTAGAAATTAATTTTAGTTAGATATTTTTCATTTAGAAATACTTATTGTCTTTCATTCTTTCGAGCAATAATTTTATTCTGTGAATTACTTTATTTCTTATAAAAGAATAGTCAAATGATAAAATATTTTTCTTTATTTCTGAGTTAACATAAATCTAAAATGTTTAAATACAAATCAATTTCTAATAAAAACAACAATTTTATTATCTATGTTATTCAAGTAAATCATAAATCCAAATAAAATCTCTTATTCTTTTAGATGACTAATTAATAGTAAATAGGATTAAACCTTAGGTTTAAACTTATTTTGTAAGCCATTTTAATTTAATAAAACTTTTACTAATTTTTTCTTTAAAATAATCTAGAGTCACTTTAACTTTCATAATCAAATCAATTTCACAGTTGAATTATAAATTTCTATAACAAGTTGATTTATAAATATTCATATAATTGATTTTTTTATCTTATAAATTTCCTTTAGTTAGGCATGTAAAAAAAATGTTTCAATAATCTGAATTATTAGAGTTAAATTCACATTTTTTGTATCTATTTGTCTTAAATAATAAAAATGATCCTAAGATTCATGAATTAATTGGAGCATTAGAACTAGGACTAAAAATTGAATTTTGATAAATTCTTAATCTAATTTTTTTATTCTGCAAATGTTAAATGTTAGAATACTTAATTTAGTAGTTGAGATTAAATTTTTTGGTTCTAATAAAACAAACAATAAAATTTTAAGTTTTTTAATTTAAAAAAAAAATACATTATCATGATTAATTTTTGATTAATATAATTTTTTATGGCTTATGTAAAATTAAGGAAAAAATAAAGATGATCAAAAGAGTTAAATAAAATAATTATTTTGATTGTTAGATAAATTTAATACTTCAAGCATAATTCTAGGTGAAATTATTAAATTATGAAAAGCTTTTTAAACTTTTAAGTTAATAAAGATTAATAAAAGAAAATTGGAATATTTCTTAGAATAATTGATCTTTTGTAATAATAATTTTCAAAATTTATTAAAAGTACGAATGAGAATGATCTAAATTCAAATGGAAAAATGGTTAAATATATAAAATAATAATTTTGAAAATGTAAAACTTAAGTTGAATTCTGCAGTATGATTCAGATAAGTGTCTATAATTAATAATTTTATAATGATCTTTATTTATTATTTAATTTTGTTTCTCATTTCTAAATACAGTTTTTATCATTTTAATATGCTTCTAAGGAGATATTGTTGTGATTTTATATAAAGGAAATACTTTTTTAATTTATTAAGTAATGATTTGTACAAGTTGCATAAATAGAGGATTCTATATAGAATTCAGAACTCTAATAACTTTAGACAATGGCTTTGAAAGAGAGATGGTCTTGGTCCATTGATTAATTTTATAAAAAAAATATATTTTTCACTTTTTCTTTGATACTACTAAATTTTCTAGTATTAAGGATTGAACATCTGGGGAGTTGGAGTATAAAACTAATGCAAATTTGCCTTAAGGAAAATTTGATGATTACTAAAATATGAAAAAAAATAAAACTTCTGTTATCTATAGCTTTTTAAATTCTCCTTTTCCTTTAAATTACAATTTAGTCTTTCCCACTAAAATTGGCTTTCCTTTGGAATTGACGGTAATTTCTTTAGGAAATTTATCTGCTGAAAATCTTCATTAAAGGAATAGGGTACAATTTGATATAAACAGTGTATTCATCATTTTTTGCCAAATTGCCAGAATAATCTCTTAAAGAGATTGATAGAGTGAAATCAGATTTACAATATAAGTTTTAAATATCTTTTTCTAGATGAATAAAGATGATTGCTTCATCATTGCTATACAATTTGATGAGGTTTTTGTTTCTAGATCTATCTTTTGATTTAAAGTTCTCTAAGCAATGCTAAAAAGATTTAAGTCCCATGGAAAGGTTATGTATTTGAAGACTCTATGATGATAGCATATCTTCAAGCATTTTGAAATTCAAATCTTTCTATTTATCGAGAAATTCTTACAATTCTTACATTAATAATCATAATGATTAAGGTATTGCCTTTGTTGCTTCTACTTACGATATGTTTATCAGAAGAAGCACCAGTAGCAAGATTTGCATATGGAAATATGAATTTATTGCCACGATAAAGAGCTCCTTTCTTTAGTGCTATAGCAGTCACTCCAGATTTGAAATTCTAAAAGATATCACTTTCTGATTATTAAGGAAAGTATGTGGTTTTATTATTTTACCCATTTGATTTTACATATGTATGCCCAACAGAATTAGTGGCTTTTTCAAATGCAGTTGATTAATTTAGAGCCTTAGGTGCAGAAGTCTTAGGTATATCAACAGATTCTCATTTTACTCATTTGGCATGGTTAAAAACTCCAAGAAATTAAGGAGGAGTTGGTGATTTATAGATTCCATTGTTAGCAGATATATCTAAGAAAATATCAAAAGCATATGGTGTTTTAGTTGAAGATGAATTAGATGAATTATATGGTGCTTCATTAAGAGGATTATTTATTATTGATTAAAAAGGTTTAGTAAGAACAATGTAAATAAATGATGCTCCAGTTGGAAGATCAGTTGATGAAACATTAAGATTAATTTAAGCATTTTAATATACAGATACTCATGGTGAAGTTTGTCCTGCAAATTGGAAACCTGGACAAAGAACTATTGTTCCAGATTAAGAGAAAAAAGTTGAATATTTTGCAAAAAGTGAATTATGATTATTTAAATCATGTTAATTCATTCAATAAAGCTTTTCTAGTAATAGTCTTTTTGCCATCAAATTTATTAAACTTAGAAATCATCAACTCTGCATCACATAAAGTCACATTTCTAGTGGTTGAGTTTTCTAAAATCTAAAGTACATCAAGTACATCCATATATCCTTTATGAAAATACCTATCTAAAGATGTTAAGGATCCTTCCCTTAAAAATTGTAATCTTGCTTATTATAATTACATTTCTTATTCTCTTAATAAACTAAACAAATTATTAGCAACAGTCTAAACTGAACTTTATAAATCTAATATATTAATCTTTTATTATTATAATTGTTTTCTTTCATCATAATAATTGAGAATATTTTAAAAAAGTTCTTATGAAATATTTCTAGAATCAACTCCCAAATCAGACCATTCTGAATGCCAATCTTTTGAAATTATAGATTTTAATATAACTACTTCTTCAAATTTTGCCAATACATTTTACAAACATCTTTATTAATTTAAATAGATTGACATCAAAGTATTAAGTTCTTTTGATTCATTAATATATGATCTAGGTTCTGTATTTTAATTTGGAGTGCTTATTCTAATCTATTTTGTTTCAGTTGTTGTTTTAGTTATTGTTATTGGAGTCTTAGCTCTAGGTGTATGAAATTCTCTATTCTCAATTTTATGAATTACTATTGATTATTATGTTTAAAGTGGTTTATATCTTCTTCTCAATTTCTCCATATAACTATGATACTATTGCTCTCTTTTTATCACTGAACTTATTTTCATCTAAGAAATCTCTATTTTATTTACTGATCTTTATCTTTATGTTTTTATAGCTTAACTAAAATCTTCAAATGTCATAATATTTCCATCTCCTCTACCTATTCTTTTTAATAATAATTCAATTTCTTCATCAGCTACTGTTTATCTTATTCTTATAAAAAATTTCTTTAGTTTTATTTAGTCAACTAAATTTGTTCGAAATGATAACTTTTTAAATAGTATTTAACAATTATAATCCCATCTCTTAATTACTTTTTATCTTTATTCATCTAATTATCTTTCTAATATTATTTCCTCATACAATAATCTTAATAATGTTATTTCGGCTTCTTTACTCTAAGAAATACCTGACTAACCAAAATATCTCTCTTTAAATTTTGAAAACATCAATTTATCCTCATATCCACCTAATCGACCTATCAAATCTTTCAATTCATAGGTTTAAGTTTAGATTTGATATTATGATAAATAATCAGATAATTAATCAATTCTACAAACAGAATTCTTAAAAAATTAAGGCATGAATTCATTATTTGTTATTTCTTAAATAAATTCTAAACAACGATCTAATCGTCTCTAATTATATATTTAGACATACCTCATTCCATTAATAATAATTTGGAAAAATTTACATAATTCTTATTGAGTTTCTATTGAACTCATTCTTTAATTCGTTAAAAAAAAATAAATAAAATCAGAATAAAACATATTCTCCAGATTTGGCTAAATTCTTTTTATTCCAAGTATTAGCAATTATTTCTTGTTCTTCAAGAGGAATTTCTATAATTTTATATTAGTCTCCTGTTTCTCTATTTAACATTTTTAATTCCCTTTCCTTTTAACTTTCTCCAGCTAAATAAAGAAAATTCTTGCAATCAACATATTTTTTCTTAGGTTTGTCTTACAACTTTTCTTTATAAAGATTAACAAGTTTAGAAGTATATAATTTAGTTTTAGGAGATTTAACACGTTCATTTTGATTAATCTCTAGAATAATAAAAATAATTACTATTTTCTGAAATGACAGTCTCAACTTATTTAAATGGATTATCTATTAATTTTGTATTAAAATTAGCTTAAATGTCTGACAAAACAAATTACTATTATTAAGCAAGTCTTTCTGCATCAAAATCTGATAAGTGTCGATTCATTAATCTATTTTCAAAATTTTAACAACTTTTTGATTGATTTGATTATGTTAGTAATGAAAATTAAGGTCTATTATCCTTATGATCATACCATCTTAATCTCAAATACCAAAATCTACTACTATTTTTTTCTTCTTCCCCTTTATTTAATTCAATAGCTTAAATCTTCTACTTTCTTTCTCTAAATTAATCTGCTCTACTCATAATTGTTTATTCTGGTTCTCTTTAACAATTAGAAGCAACTTTTATATTAACATTTTCCCATTAAGTTTTTATATTCTCAAACGTTTTCATTGCTCTCTCTTCTCTTGTAACTGCATTTCTTAAATGAAATGGAAGTTTCTCTTCAACTTTTTCTTATTCTATTTATGCTCTCTAAATATTTTTCTCTGCTTCTTTAATTATCTGATTCAAATCTCTTTTGCTTAAATAACGCTATTCTACTTTACTCTTTTTTGGGGTTTTTCTTCCCTATTATTTATCTAGAATAATTGATTAAGCTTATTAATTAGTTCTTGTTGGAGGTTATTCATCAAATAGAGAATCATCTGTTGTCATTTAATTTTATTAATTTCTCTTTAGTCTCTAATATTATTTTTGTTTTTCCTAATGAATTTTTAAAAACTATTGATATCCAACAACTGAATATTTTGTTACTTTATCCTACTTATCACCTTCAAATTTAGGACCTCCTGTTTAATCTATATACTTTTTTCGTTCTTCATTATTTACCTCTAAATTCACTTATTAATTTACCCTCAAAAATATTTAATGTTTATTAAGTTAAAGAAAATGTATCAACACTTTGTTTCATTACTCTTTTACAAATACTTTATTATTATTAAATATGTTCTTGAATTTATTATGTCTAATCTCCTAATCCATATCGAGTCTAATAAAAATTGCCAGTTTCATTAGATCTAAATGTACTTGTCTTTGTTGAATTTGGAATGAAATCCATCATTAAATCACTTCTGCTTGCTCCTTTTTATTAAAATATTATCGGTTAAGACACATATAAGGTTTTTGTATGTTTTTCTTATTTCATAACATTAGCATTTAATGGTATTAACATTTATATATTATATATTTCAAGTTTTTAATTTCAATATTTTCTCTAATATTGAATTCTATTCATCTATGGAGGTTTCTTTCTTAAATTGATCCCAAAGATCCATCCAGTGTGTTTATTAATTTATACCCATAAACACAGGAATTTCAACTTTTTTCACTTCATTAAAACTCTTTTTCCTCTAATGTTGTTGTTAATAGCTACTTTTTTTTCTATCTTCCTTTGAAAAATGAACAGGTTTTAACTATTACTAAATAATTATGTTAAGTTTCCCAAACTATTATAAAGAATGCTCTGACATACTTCAAATTACAATTAATTCTAATTAAAAATATTTATCAGATTTCATTTATTTCATCTATTTAATTCGAGAAAATCTCAATAAATATAATAATTTTAGAATAATTATTTATTATCTCTTTTAAAATATCTTTTGTTCTATATTCCTTATTAAAGAATTAATTAAATCCATTTAAAAAGTTTATATATAATAAAATTTTAATTTCATGAGTAAACATGTCTCCGAATACGAATAAGACTTGAAAATAAAACATAAGGTATATAAAGACAAACTTAATTTAATTCTTGCAGATATAGATTAATATTATCGAATATAATTATCAAGTAAATAATTTTTAATAAGATACTTTCAATACTTGAGAGAATTTAATGAGAGAGAGATTAAAGGTGATACTAGTAAATTTTTTTATGAAATGGTTGATTATTTTAAAGAATTCAACATAAAACATTTTTTTCCTAATAAAATTTGGTAATTTAATGTAGCAAGTATAAATTTATTGAAAATATAGAAAGTTTTATTAATAGTCTTTAAAATATTTCTGATCAAGATGTCATTCATATATTTATTTTGTTAAATTAAATTTTGGAAGGAAAATTCCACTAATCTTCAAAATCAATAATAAAGGTTCTTCCTTATGAAGGAGGGAATGTTAAATTTCCTTTTGAATATGATTATATAATTGGATTTAATTTCTAAAGTTTCCTTAAATTAGTAATATAAGTAATTCCTATTTTATATCCAATTTTAAATGATTAAGGTAAGCCAACACATTTTGAATTTCGTCATGAAATAATTTTAGTGGGATTAGGACCTGAAAATTAATCAAATTCTATGGGATATTATGAAATTGAGAATTATTTCAGAAATTAATCAACCTCTCCTAATTTTTTTGCAAATATGAAATTAATAAAAGAACTAAAAAAAGACACAAAAAATTTAAATGGAACACTTATAGGAGAAAACCCATAGCCTTGGAAGGAAATATTGATTCCAAGAGAATTTGAACCTGTTTTATTGAATGATTAGGATTATGTTTATAATTAAACTTTTCAGAAATGGATACCTGCTTCAACTTAAATTATGTTGAATAAAAAATTAGAAAGAATAAATACATTTTCTGAAAATCATTATTTGATTTAGAAATATAGTCAATAACCATCTCCATATTAATTACTTAAAATAATCTAAAATATTCCTAATTTTAAATTTAATCTAACAAATGAATAATAAGATATAATTTCATTTAATGGAGATGGATTAGTAATTGGAAGAAGTGGTACAGGAAAAACAACATGCGCTTTATTAAGACTCTTTACAACAGATATTCTATTTAAAATTAGAAGTAAATTAGATTAAATTATTTCTTTAACTCCAGATATTTAATTGAATTAATAATAAAAGGGTTGTTAATTAAAGACTGTTTTTATTACAGCAAGTCCTCTATTAGCTTGTTAAGTTAAAAGATTATATGATAAATTAGTATAAAATATATAAGATGTAATAAATAATAAGAAGAAGAATCAAAAGAACAAAGAAGAAGAAACATAAGTTTTTTAAGATGAGATGGATTAGAGTACTTTTTAAATTATAAATGCAATCAAAATCGATTAAGAATAGTAAGATCAATAATAACAAGTAAATCAAGAAGATGAATTAGATGATGAAGAAATTGATGCATATGAAAAAGAAATGGGAAAATTTTCAAGATTTTCTGATATAAACCAATTTCCAATATTTTTAACATTAAGGAAATTTCTATTTTTAGTTGATGCTTCACTTATTAATTCTTTTTTTTCAATTTTTGAAAATTAACATGATCGATCTTCTTAATGGCATAATGAATAATTTGGATAAATGAGTTTATCTTAAAATAATGAAATTATAGAAAAGAAATTGGAATAGTTTAATTAGAGATTAATGGATGAAATTGATAATAAAGACTATATTGAAACAAAAATGCATGAGGTAACCTAAGATGTATTTGTAAGAATTTTTTGGCCAAAAATATTATAAACCTTAAAAAAAAAATTGGATAAAACAAAAAGTTTTGATCCAATATATATTTGGTCAGAGATTTGTACAAAAATTAAGGGTCATGAAACATCACATGAATATCCAGATAGATATATGAATTATGACAATTACTATTATTTATAATAGTTACCTGAAGAATAATGTAGTTTTGTATATGAAGTTTTTCAAATTTATGAATAGTTGAAATTTTCATTAGGATATTATGATTTATTAGATTTGGTAAATCACATTAATTAAGAATTAGTTTTTGGAAAGGATATTATTGAGAAGGTTCATTATCTATTACTTGATGAATTATAAGATGTTCCAAGAGCTGTATTAATATTATTAGATCAATTAACTGAACTTGGTTTATTTTGTTGTGGAGATAATGCTTAAAATATAGCTAAAGGAATAGGATTTAAATTTTTTGAAGTTTAAAACTGTTTATAATCCCATAGAAATAGCAAACAAAAAATAAAAAGAAATCTTAAAATATTTGATTTAAATGTAAATTTTCGTTCTCATAATAAAATCTTATAATTAGCTAATTCTGTTATAAGAATGATAGAAATACTATTTCCTTACAAAATTGATAAATTAAAAAAGGAAACATCAAATTTGAGAGGTCCTAAACCTCTTTTAATAAAAAGTAATAATGTAAAATATTTATTGAATAATCTTTATGGATTCTTTTCAAATGATTAAAATATATTAGAATTTGGTTGTAATTAAGTCATTATTGTTAAAGATTAAGAATCTAAAATAAAATTACCTATTGAATTATAAAATATCTTATGTTTAACCATTTATGAAGCCAAAGGTTTAGAATTTGATGATGTTATTTTGTTCAACTTTTTTCATGACTCAACTGCATCTATTAAGGATTGGGAATCGATAAATGATTTAGAACCGTACGCAGAGTATTTAAAGAAATCTGATTATTAAAAGTATATTACAAGTACATATTGTATTAACATTATATAGATCACGAAACAGATGTAATTTCATCCATATCAAAGAAAGATAATGAATTGGTTGAAGTTTGGTAATTGAAAATTAAAAATTACAAATAGAATCAAGAAATTTCTATTGATTTATGCCAGGAATTAAAATAACTTTATGTAGCTATCACAAGACCTAAAAAAAGATTAATCATATTTGATTAATCATTAGAAAAAAGAAGAATAATACAAAATATTTGGATTAAATTAAATGCTGTTAAAATTATTGATTAAATAAATCAAATTAACAATGTTACAATTTCATTGTAGTTAAGAAATACTCATAAAGAAAATTGGAAACGATAAGGTTTTAAGATGTTTAGAATGAATAATTTTGATTAAGCAGCGAAATGCTTTAATTTTGCAGATGAAAAGGTATTAGAAAAAAAATCTATTGCATATAGTATTGTTGTCAATAATGCTCATATAATTAATAATTATTAAAAATTCTTAGAAGCAGCTATTATATTTGAAAAAATAGGTTTATTATAAAGAGCAGCTTAATGTTATTTCACTGGAAAATAATTTTAAAAAGCATCAAATTTATATGAAAAATTAGGATTAATGAATGAAATGGCTGAATCGGAATTTTTTGCACATAATTACTCAAAAGCAGCTTAGACTTTTGAGATTTTAGGTGATATTAGAAGAGCTATTAATTGTTATTGTTTAGATTAGGATTGGGATAATGTCATTATTATTTTAAATAAATACAAATAAGAATTCAGTCAATAAGAAAGATTAGCATTTTTAAATTAATTTTTTCCTAATTATTTATAAAATTTGACTTTGTAAATTTAAGAAGAAGCAGCTTAATAAAATAAATGCACTTAAGAATAAGAAGAATTTAATAAATAAGAAAAATCATTTTAATCTGAAAGCTTTGTAATTTAAAATTCAATACTTAATGAATCTTAAAACTAAGAGGATTCTTAATTGATAACTACTAGCTAAATAATTAATTAATAAATTAATGAATCTAGTTTGGAAATATTAAATAGTGCAGAAAAAGAATAATCAGAATCATTTTAAATTGAGAATGTGAGTGAATAAAATTTGGATCATTTATCTATTTTTGATCCTGAAGATGAATGGTTAAAATAAGATTAAAAATCATTGATTAAATAAATGTCATCTAGAATCAGTCATTAATCATAATTTTCTAATATTGTACTTCTTAATTAGCCTCCATAAATATCGCTTTTAAAATCTAAAAGCAATCTCTTAATTTCAAATAATATCTTATAATAATTAATTAAGAAATTATAGTTATTCTCAAATGAATTCTAAAAACATTTAGATTAATAAAAATATAAGGCAGTTTAATTATCAAATAGAAGGGATGATGAGAAAGAGTTTGATCACATTATAAATTTTATTTATGATTTAGAAAACATAGACATAGATTCAATTTATATGATTTTAGATATTTTGGAATAATTTAAGAGCTATAAATTATGCATTTACATTTGTAATTATTATAAATTAGCTTTATATTTGGGTAGGTATTTAGTTTCTCTTGTATCCATTTATTCACCATTTACAAAAATTAAAAATTAGGTTAATGTCTAAATGATAACTTTAGGATCTTTAAGAAAGAATCTTCTTGAATAATCTGCTATTTCTTAAATAGCAATTAATAATATACTTGAAACAATTAATCCTACTTTTTTAATTTTTAAAAATGAAGAAGAATTAACTCTAACAAATAGTTTAGGTTTGAAATGTTATTAAGAATTAATTGGATTAGGTTTTTGGAAAACATTAATATATTAATTAAACTTTAAGCATACAATAGATTTGTGTATGTCTTTTAACGATTTTGAAGATTGCATTTAAATATTTGATAAAATTAAATCTAAAAGAAAATTTGAATTATCCAATGAAGAAGAATTTAAATATATGAAAATTTAATATTATTAATAAATTAAATTAATTAAAGGCTAACAGGAGAAGACATTAGATATCGTAAAAGAAATTAATAGTGTATTTAAGATTACAAAGAATTATTATATGAAAAAAAATTAAGAGATTGAAGAGGCTGATATTAGCTAATTAATTATAAATGCTAATATTCATAATAAAAAAATGACTTTTAATGAACAACTTAAATAAATTGAAGCTGTGGTTATAGGTTTTGATTTGCTTAAATCGTAAATGGATTTTAGTTATGAAAATGTTATAGGATTAATTTAGATTTTAGAATATTTTCATAATCAATTAACTTCATGTTAGAACTAAGAAAATATTATTGAAGCTTTATTATTTTGTTATGATTTATCAATTCCTCAAGGAGAGATTATGAGTCATTACTCACATTCTTTACTTATACATATAAGATCTACATTAATAAGACAAGTAATAAAAGATGAAAATAGAAAGGAAAATAATTAGAAATAAAATGGTCCGTTATTATTTGTAGATATTGGATATGAATATATTTCAATATCTTTTGAGTAAGCTATTCATTTAATAATGAATTCTTTTGCTTATAAAGTTTAATTAATACTAAATAATAAAACTGCAAAATTAATGGATTATTATCAAGTAGATGATGATTCATTTTCTGTAAATTCTTAAGAAGATTGGGAAAATACATTAGCAGAATTATTAGTATTATTAATGCTTGAGTAATTTAATAATAAGTTTTAAGGTAAGATTCAGTTTAAAAAAGAAGAATCTTAATCTAAAAAATTGCATCCTCTTACAATTTATTATGAAAAAAGATCTGAATCTTAAGAGTATTCAATTTTAGATTCTGAACCATCATAAAATTTAAAAATGATACAACGTATAATTTTGAAAAACAATTAAAGAATAGTCAATACTCCTAATTATATAAAAAAATTGATTCGTGATATTTCTTTAAATTTGATATTATAGATACCATAAAAGTAAGAGAATTTTCATTCAAATATGATAATGGCAATTAATTTATTGAATTTAACTGATTAATTATCTTTTGGGGTGTCAGTTCTTTAAAATTAGAAAAAAGGATAGGATAAAAATATTCCATATTTGAAATATATAGAATTTTTGGAATGTTAGTATTTTGGAATAACAGAGGATGCTCTAGGATGTTTTTTAGATTATAGTTAATATGTAATGGAGAGATTTTATTTAGATGAATAATTATATCACGTGATTAGAATAGGTTTAAATATTTTAATATCATTATTGTGTTAAAGTTAATAGAAATTAACAATAATAAAGGAATATAAAGAATTTTTAAATAATATTGATATTGCTGACGAAAGTAATTGTAAATTAAAGATGGGAATATTTTAATTAAATAATTAATAATTAATATAGGAATATTTACAATTTTTATTTGAATACTAGTAGTATTGCAATTCAAAGTACTACCAAGACCAAGTATAATAATATATAGTAATATTTGCAATAAATTTATTGAATACGTAATAAGTAAAAATAATAAAGTGTTTGATTGAATAATTTAAGCAGAATAACTAATTAAAAAATTTATCTAGATTATAAGAAGCCTTATTAAAAGAGTTAGGAAAGAATAATAAGGAAATTCAAAAAAAAAAAAGTTTATTAAGCACAATAGGTGGTTATTATGATGAGGATATAATAGAATTAGAAATAGTAAATACTAAATCTGAATAAGAATAGGATGAATATTATTAGAAATGTATATAAGTATGGAATGCTTATTAGAAAGAATCTGAGAGTAAGTAAGATAGTATAAAAAAATTGATCAAGATATGGTAAGGGTTTAGAAAGGATCATGAATTATTAATATAAGTATAATTAAGTAAAAATTTGTAATTTGTGAGAAGTATATGGTATTTCAAAAATGGTTAAAATTTGGGAGAGAAAAAGAAAATGAGATAGAAATATGATAATAATTTAAATGAAGATTTGTAATTGAGTGTAATATTACAAAGGTAATGAATAATTTATATATATAGAAAATTGTAAACTGCAAGATAAAGATATATAAATTCACTTGATATCCATTTGTTAAATAGTTTATTGAATAATTTAGGAGAATTAATGAAAGAATTAATGAAAGGGATAGATGTAAATGAGAAATTAAAAAAATTAGAGAAAGAATTGATACAGTGGGAATAAGATGACAAAAAGTAGTAAATTGATGAACAAATGTTAGAATTAAATAGAAATTTGTTAGCGTAGAAATGGTAGAAATTAAAAGCTGGTATAAAATTACTTCGTAAAGGATAGAAAGAGGTCATGACAACAATATAAGAAGTTAGAGAGGAGAATTGATTGAATTAAATAGATTAATATATTTATATATATATTAAAATAATGTTTATTGTTTAATTATGTATGACATATTTAGTTTATGGGAATAAAATAATAGAGATAGGAGAGACTGTAAACAAGTAATCTGATGGTAAAATATGAAATTAGTGCTATTATACCATGGAATGAGAAAATTAAAGAAGAATTATATTAATTTGAATTAAAAGAATTAAAATAGGATTCAGATTTAGTGATTGTAGTTAAATAATAGTCAGCATTAGGGAATCCAGATATTTATATATCTTCAACTATAAAAGAACCAAATTAAGAAACAGCAGATTAGATCTGTGATTCTGTTGGAATGGGTAAATATTATTATCAATGAATAGATATTTGTATAATTGAAAATCCATAAAAAGGTATATATTATTTAGCAGTTCTTTGTGATAGCTATTGTAGATATTCATTAAAAATAGTTTATTAATCTGAATTAATAATGACAAATTGTAAATATTTTAATGTTAAATCTTATAGCTGATGATTTAGAATTCAAATTTGATCAGAAATCTTGGACTGATGTAATTATAATTTAAACTAAAGATCTCATTTTAGATTAAACTTAAATTAAACCTACTTTAGAGATTTAAGTAAGAGTGAGAAATATAGAAATATTATAAGAATCATTCAAATCATATTTAAATATTGGAACAACTAAACCTACTTCATAAAAATCTGATTATATTGGATAAGATACATTCTCAGGAATGCAAAAATTTAAGATTCATAATTTAGAACCTAATAGTATATTTACTTTACTTGTAGAAGGTTAAGAAGGACTTATTATTCAAATATAAACTAGAACTTATACAAATATGAGATATTTACAATTAGGAGATAAAGTTGAAGATATTATTACTGAAAATGATTATTAATTCTATTGTATTGATCTTACGTAAGATGCTTAATCCATCTTATCTGGATAAACTATACTCAATATTCAATTATTACCATATAAAGGATTTATTGAAATGTATGTCAATCTAGATTTTTAACCTCCAATCTTAGATGAATATCAATGGAAATTAACAGACAAAATTACTGATGATCTTATTATTACCAAATCAGATCTTCTAAAATATAATTTAAAATCTAATTATGCATTTATAACGATTAAAGCAAAAGAATCTAATGCAACCTTTTAATTAAAATCATAAATTTTAGATCCTCATTTCATGCTTCTAGAACTTAATAAACCAACCACTTCTAAATTGTCAAAATACTCCTAAGTCCAATATAAATTTTAAATTAAACACACTGATAAATAAACCGTTAGTGTAAGTCTCAAAAATATCAAAGGGGATACTGATATTATACTTAAACAATGCAAAACTTTGTGGAATTGTGTCATCTAAACAGAAGATATCTATACTAAAGATTAAAAAGTTAATACTAATCCTGGTGAATTATTTTTATTTTCAGATAAGTAATAATTCTTTTATTCTATTTAGACCTGGTAATGATATCATTATTTTTGACAATATTCCAACTTTATGTAAAAAAGATGATAACATGTATTAATGTTTTTATGATTTGCTAATTTATACAGGAAATAACAATTAAGAAGAAGAGTTGATTTATTCAATTCTTATAACTGTATAAGAAGACTTCACTCTATTGAGAGAAAACACTCCAATTAAATAGTATGTAGGATTGGGATTAAGTAATTATTATAAGTTCAAAGTGGAAGAGTTAGACTTAATAAAAAGAATGATGATTCAAGTTACACCAATATAGGGATAGCCAAAAATATTTGCATCAAAAACAAACAAAAATCCTAATCATGAAGATAAATAGAGTGTATAAAATGTCATCACTTATGGATTAGAAGAGGATTTTGAATAAATAAATGGTATATATTACATAAGTGTGAATGGTTATACAGCATGTTAATATATAATAACAGTGTACACATTTAGAAATATGGAAGATTGGAATTAGATAGGGAAATATCCTCATTAATATATTTTATTATTGGAAGGTTATCCTTAAGAGATTACATCTCAAAATAATAACGATGTCTAATTATTTAAGATAGATTTGAGTGCCTTTTACAACCCTGAGTAGTAATACCATTATTCTGTAGATGTGAAATTAAGAGCAATTTAAGGTAATTTCATTTTGTATGGATTTGACCATCCTGAAATCGATAAAAGTAAAGCATTTGTGAAGGGCAATGATTTCTTATAAATAGGAAATAAAAATTAGATTCATTCATAATATATATATATTAGAGTAGAACCTAATTCAATTTTGTCCTCAAATTAATTATCATATTAAATCTATTATCGAATAAATGATTAACCTATTGAATTAATTTTAGGTAATAATTATAGAGGCTACATAAATAAAGATGATACTCAAAAATTTTTTTTAAGCTATTTTAAAAATGATGAATTGTTGATAACAAAGAATGTCGAATAATTTGATCAATCTATTTTAAAAGCAAGAATTTAAGTAGGAAATACAGATTAAGAAATAAATACATCAAATTATATAATAAAAAGTGATTAATTGGAATATGATAAGTGTAAAACAAATGCTACGAAAATAATTAAATGCTAAATAACGATTATAGTTAGTGCAACCCAAGATACTTATTTTTCATTATTAGTTACAAAGGAATCTTCTATTGTCTTCTTATATGATGGTGAACCAGTGACTAAACCTTNCATGTATTAATGTTTTTATGATTTGCTAATTTATACAGGAAATAACAATTAAGAAGAAGAGTTGATTTATTCAATTCTTATAACTGTATAAGAAGACTTCACTCTATTGAGAGAAAACACTCCAATTAAATAGTATGTAGGATTGGGATTAAGTAATTATTATAAGTTCAAAGTGGAAGAGTTAGACTTAATAAAAAGAATGATGATTCAAGTTACACCAATATAGGGATAGCCAAAAATATTTGCATCAAAAACAAACAAAAATCCTAATCATGAAGATAAATAGAGTGTATAAAATGTCATCACTTATGGATTAGAAGAGGATTTTGAATAAATAAATGGTATATATTACATAAGTGTGAATGGTTATACAGCATGTTAATATATAATAACAGTGTACACATTTAGAAATATGGAAGATTGGAATTAGATAGGGAAATATCCTCATTAATATATTTTATTATTGGAAGGTTATCCTTAAGAGATTACATCTCAAAATAATAACGATGTCTAATTATTTAAGATAGATTTGAGTGCCTTTTACAACCCTGAGTAGTAATACCATTATTCTGTAGATGTGAAATTAAGAGCAATTTAAGGTAATTTCATTTTGTATGGATTTGACCATCCTGAAATCGATAAAAGTAAAGCATTTGTGAAGGGCAATGATTTCTTATAAATAGGAAATAAAAATTAGATTCATTCATAATATATATATATTAGAGTAGAACCTAATTCAATTTTGTCCTCAAATTAATTATCATATTAAATCTATTATCGAATAAATGATTAACCTATTGAATTAATTTTAGGTAATAATTATAGAGGCTACATAAATAAAGATGATACTCAAAAATTTTTTTTAAGCTATTTTAAAAATGATGAATTGTTGATAACAAAGAATGTCGAATAATTTGATCAATCTATTTTAAAAGCAAGAATTTAAGTAGGAAATACAGATTAAGAAATAAATACATCAAATTATATAATAAAAAGTGATTAATTGGAATATGATAAGTGTAAAACAAATGCTACGAAAATAATTAAATGCTAAATAACGATTATAGTTAGTGCAACCCAAGATACTTATTTTTCATTATTAGTTACAAAGGAATCTTCTATTGTCTTCTTATATGATGGTGAACCAGTGACTAAACCTTTATAGATTAAAGCAGATCATTATATATTTTTTTTAAGTGATCAAGAAACTGAAATATCAGTATTCTCTATATTTGGAGAAATCAAAATCTTTCTTTAAATATTTTATGAATAACCTTTATTGAATTAATTTCCAACAAATAATTAAAATTCTGCGTTATAATCCTTAGATGATTAAAATAATATAGGTAGTTCAATATTTATATCACACGAGTTTTTACTAAGCAAAAATTGCAATAAAAATGGCTGTTATATTGGAGTTACTTGTATAAAAGATCCCAAATATGAATCAAAAGGGGATTATGTTATTATTAGATCTTCCAGTTATTAAATTCTCTATCCATCTATAATATAATATGGAGAAGTTCAGAATATGAAAATGAAATATTTTAAAATATCTAATGTTTCTTAATCTAGTGGTTTAATGGTGATAGTATCTCCTTTGAGTTCAGGTAGTCTTATAGTTTTGGCTAGTACAAATGAAATGCCTACTATAGATACATATTAATATAGTTCTAATACAATGATGGGAGATTAATTAATAATTCCTTCTAATTCAAAATCTAATGAAGCAGTTGATTATTAGTATTATTTATTATTAATTATATAGTGTTGGTGTTTATGCATTTGATAATGTTAAATTCTCTATTCAAGCCAATTTTGGAGATCTTCACTTTTATATACTTAAAAAAGCAGTACCCATTAACTTTTTTGCACATTTCAAATCTATGACTTTTCTTAATTACTATCATAATTAAGATTCTGAATTTACTATTTTATTTAGTTAAAATCTAGTTATTCAGTTTAATAGAGCTATTGTGTAAGTTCTTACTTATAAAGACATAAATAAGCAAGCAGAAGCCATACAAATAGTTTAAACTTAGTATTTAATTTTTTAAATTCTTTTAGACCATTTTGGGTAATGAGTGATAATTACTTACACATTAAAAAGGATTCCTAATACTGTTCTTTCTGTTATTATTTAATTTGTGTCTAAAATTTCTATTTAGGAAATGATATTTCAATAACAATTTCATTAGATAATGAATCAACTTAATTACTTGATAATGTAGAAATTACAAATTAAATTCAATCTAATTCAATTTAATATTATCATTATATAGCTGAAGATAGTTTTTATGTAAATGTTACTATCTATGATGGTTAAATATAAATTTTTGGAGGATTCTATAAAACATTAGAAAATATCAATAAACTTTTACTTACTCTTGATATTTAGGAAGGTTTAACTGATAAAAATGGTACAAAAGTTAAACATACTTATAGTGAAGGTTTATTTCCAAATAAAACTATTGAGATTTAAAAAAACAATTTTGAAGAAAATAAATATATTTACAGATTCAAAATTATTTCAAATACAGATATGAACTCAGTTTATAAAATAGAATGCATCTAAAAAAAATAAGCTATAGAACTTAAGATTGGTGAACCTTAAGTTTAGAGAATTAATTCAACTCAAACAATTCCTTTCTATTTTTTTATTCCTGAAAGGCAAAAGGATAATTAAAATGAAGGATTCTATACACTTGATATCGAAACTTATGGACATTCTATGAATAGAATAATTCAAAAGACTTAACATCCTTTTATTAAACTAAATTTAGATCTTTTGAATAATCCTAATTTTTTAAGTGATTATCATAATTATGTTGATGTTTTATTATTAAATCAAGAGCAAACTGATTAAATTATTCATTTAGAATTTCCAAGTTTCTCTGGATTGTATTTTCTATAAATAACTCCCAGATAACATTCAAGTCTCCCTTATACTATAACTTTAGGAAATGATTTCTTAAATGTTCTTTCTCCAAAACTACAAAGATTTGCCTCTAATAAAATTGGATAATAGAGATTTTGGGAAATTAATATTTATCAACCTTCAAAATTATTTATTTAGGCATAAATATGCGGAGGAATAATGAATATTTATGGTAGTGATAATCTCCAGAGTTTAAAAGAAGGATATTATTCAGAAAAAATGGAATACAACAAAAATAAATAAATTATTGGAACCATATCAATTTCCTAATCAGGTCCTTATTACTTAAATTCTAAAGCAATTAAGAGCTTTATTCCTCAACAAGATTATCTTGACTATATTCTTTAAATTAATATTCTCCAATTCAGTAGTATTGTTCCACATGAATAATTTAAACCTGGAGATGATGGATAATTCTCAGCTAATTATGATGGCTAATTTATGATTGTCACTTTTAGTCCTATGTAAGTTTTAGAACAATCTAGTTCTGAATATAAAATTTAAGCTTTCTCATACAATTTCATCTATCGATTAAATAATTTAACATATCATGATATTCCTATTTATCTTTGCGATTCATCAATTTCCTACCCTTCAATATCATATAATATAGAACCTCATCAAAGTTTAAAAGCAATTAATTATTATTTTTATGTTGGTGAAAATTTCCAAAAAATTACTCTCACCATTCTAGCAAAAAGTATATATTTATTAATTGCTTTTAGTTAGAATTAAGACTAAAAATTTCGAAGAATTAAAACTTTATTATTATTATGATACTATTACAATAAATGTGGATAATTTTATGAAATTAAAGTCTAATACAAATGGATATTAATAAATTATTCTTTTTGGATTTATTTCAATATTTTTATTATTGATTATGTTCTTACTTAAAAGAAATAAAAGAATTTAATTATTGTATTTATAATTCTAAAACTTATTAGTTTACGATTTGAATCTAACCAAGAAATAAATCCATAGCTAGTTAGATAAGAACAATCAATTGAAATGAATTATTCAAGTTTACGTTGATAAATGTGATATTTGAATCGATCATTGTAATATAATTTTTATCTGTATATATTTTCTAATTATGAACTTTTTAATGTTAATTCTCTTTGTTTCTTCTTTATAATATTATAAGAAGAATATATTTTTTTCATAATTAAAAAAAAGATCCCTCACATTTTATAAGTGTGAAGAATGATAATTATTATTTTCTCTTTTATAAATTGAAATTAATGAACTTTCTAGGCTTCAGCTCTATTACGTATTCTGCCTGTAAATTTTGGGAAAATTAACTAAAAACTCCAAAAAAAGAAGAGGAATCTACAATATGTAGTTTATAAAACCCACCTTAACCATCTATATTTGAAGTTTCAGCATAGAAGTGTGAGGAATATTTATTTGATGGGGAAGATAAAATATAATCTATTCCTGAATCAATAGATGGAGATGAATAGCTACATGAAGAGTATATAAAACCAAAGGATGAAGATAGTTCCTCATAAATGTCTGAAAAAGAGTGTGTAAGAGAATGTAGAAAGTCTAAAACAACTTCTAGTAAGAGAAAAGGTTGGAATTTATTTTTATCATAGGAAAGAAGAGATTTACTATTTAATAGAATCATCTTATATTGGAAAATATAAGAAAAGGCTCCAATTTTAATCAAATAGCTGAGTAGATTCCAGGAAGTGCCATAAGTTCGATCAAAAGATAATTCAATAAAAAACTTCGAGTTCTTAATGATGAGTCTCAAAAATAGGAAGTAGAAAATACTATGGTTCGAATATAGATATTGTTAGAGTAAAATAAACTTAATATCTTATATAGAGATTAAAGTATTGAGAAAGAATAAAAAATATAGGAACTTAAGATACTGATTTCGAATATTGAGATACATCTTCACCAGACAAAAAAATTGATTCTAAAGAAATACTTATCTTAATTTCTATAATAGTGATCTTTCATACATTTTTAAAATTTCTAAAACATCAAACAAAAACTGTTTCTGTCTTAAGACTCTGACATTTTTCAATCTTGATCTTTTTAACAGTTATTAAGATCTTCTTAATTTTCGTTTTCATTTTGATCTTTCTTAGTCAATTTACTAAATAACAAACTTTTATTAATGATAATCATTCTAATTCTATTATTTTTTTGTTTGAAAATAAAATCGACTATCTAAATTAATATTAAGATGATTTTTACTGAATTTATAATATTTCTCTATTCTAACTCTCGAATTCTCTTATCAACTTATAATCCTAGTTTTTCTCATATTGAATTCTTTCCTTCAATATTATAAAATTAAATATAGCTCGCATATATTTGTTTTTTATCATTATTAATTTTTTTCAGATATATTTTTTAGCTCTAATTATCAATTCCAAAATTATTTTAGTTTAATCTTTTTAATAAGTTCTTTGTTATCTTATTAAGAGCCAGATAATTATTTTATTCATTTAATGTATAACTTATCTATTGTAGCATTATTATCATTTGCACTCATGTACATTTTATCTAAATATATAATTTATTATCATAGTTTAAAAACCTGTATTTTGATAATGATGTGTTCCAGTAGATTTGAAAAATAATTCTAACTAAGATTCAAACAGAATAAAGCTCCTAGTTTACTTGTTCTAACTTTAACTTTGATTATTGAAACAAAAAATAATCTCATTATATTTATATATTTTATTTAATTCTTTTAAACTCTGAATATTTTTCAAGAAATATAAATTTGAACAATAAATAATATTTACTAACATATCGACATAAAAAATTATTATTAATATTTTTTTTAAAGGTTTTCTAGATTATTTCAATAAAGTAATAAACATTGTTATTTTAATTAAATCATGTATTCCGGAGTTTTCGAATTTTTTGTAATTTATAGACAATATCCTCCAATCCTAGTTATTTTGGTGTCTCTTATACTCTCTCAGATTGTAATGAAAGATTTCTGACCCTTAAGTGTTAGTTAGCTTATGATTTAAATAATTAGTCAAAGGCCTTATGATCAAACTTTGTCAATGGAGGTGCAAATAATGGATCAAGTCTTCTATATTATGCAGTTCGTTTTTTTTCTAAGAATATGCTTGGGGGTTCATAAATAGAATGTCTCCATTTCTCCATATTAATAATAATAAATCATAAATGCAATAATTCATCTAAAAAATGCAATCATTTATTTTGAATTTGAAATAATATCTATGGTAATTACTTGAATGTCAGAAGAGTATTTTTATTTTTTTGGTTTTGGAATATAAAATATAAATTTTATTGAGAAGTTAAGATACAATATTTATTAGTGAAATATATAGAAATTCATAAATTTATGAGTTTAAAATCATTATATTAAATTTTGATATGGATAAGTAAGATGTACTAGTTAAATAAGGAAAAACAGTATTCTAAATTTTATAATATTTAATAGGTATAAAAAACACATATTAAATTTTAAATATTTAAGTATATTTTATATGATGTTTAAAAATGATAAAAGATTAAAAAAATCTATTAATAAATATTGAAAATAATCAGATATTTTGATTTGCACTTCTATTTCTAATAACACGTCTTCTAGGTCTTAATTTAACTAATTCTTCTTCTTGATCTTCAGATATTTCTTGAACTTACAAGAATTATGGAGACATAATTTCTAATTTTTATTCTTAATCAAATTCATTTATTTCATCTAAATGGAATGAATAATTAAGCTAATATATATATTAAAGTTCATAATATACATTTGAATCATTTTTTTGATTACAAGAAGCACTTCTAATCATACTACTTTTACGAATGGATGGTTTTCTCATTGAATTACGTATTTTAATAACATTAGTAGGTGAAACAAAACCAGGTGTTTTGGTGCCGTCATCTTGAAAAGAGTCAGTAAGAGGTTAAAAGCAAGGTGAACCTTCATAATAATTTTATTATTCCCACATTTCTTTAAGAACCTATGTAAATCTAGTAAACTCTTCTTCTTTAGGTTATTAATTAGAGATCGATTCATAAAATTCAATCAATTGTTTTTTTGATTAAACACTTGGATTTATGATATTATGTTTTTCTTTGACATAATAAAATGCTTTTTCGTATTTCCATCCTCTACTAATGAGATATGCTATTATTATAGTTGGTGCTCCTTACAATCCGTTATTACAGACTACAAGAATTGAGGATAATTTTAATCCATTCTAGATCAATTCACATATATTTTTAAGTTATTTTGTTGATTTATTGTCTTGTAAAAATACTTACTAATAAATATGAATGACATAATTACATAATATCGTGCAAAATCAGTATAATGTACAGAGGGACTCTTATCTACACAAATAATGGTCCTTAAGTTTTTAGATCGTAATAGATTAAGATGTTCAGCTGCATGAATATTTGACATGTATAGGGAATGAAATTTGTCACTGATTATGTGATAAACTTAAGATGAATACATTTTGATAATAATAAATTATGAATATTAATAACTAATTACTTAAGATAGTATAAGATGTAAAAATCATCTTTTATTTATAGATTCAATTAGCTATAAAGAGTGACTTTGATCTCAAACCTAACCTTGATGATTTGATTAAAATTTTATAATAATAAGTGACCATATTGATTGATTTGGTATAACAACAAAAGAGTGTTGAGTATGATTAATTAGAGAAAGCAGTTTAGAAGGCTGAAGCTGAAATTCGCAATCATGTTAGAGTAATAAAATAATTCCTAATCATTTTTAGGTCGAATAGTAAATGAAATTATATTCAGATGGTCTTTAAGACAAGATTGATTAATTAGAGAGGGAAAAATAAGAATTATTTGATAAAGTATTCAATAATCATTCTAACTTATAAGAATAAAACACTTCTTTAAACTTAAGAAAGAAAGATCTCTTCATAAAATCCTACTAGAGAATCAAGTCCTAGTTTATTTAAGAAGTCTTACATATTAGGCAATCAAGTTTACAATAGATAATAAGGAATCTCATAAGATAATTGTACATCAGTCATATAAAATCCTGATTCTCTATAAACTAGAGATAAAAGAAGTTCTGGTACTTAACATTCCTATGTAATGATGAAAAATATGTATCAAATCTGTTATTTACTTAGTCGAGAAAAAATCAATATGAATGCTTCACAAGAAAAAATTAATGATAAAAGTTCTACCCTTCTCAAATCACAAAATAGCTCCTCACTCATTAAGATGTATAATATTTAAAAATTAATCATCAAAAATTAATAAGATAAAAATTTACAACAATTAAAAAAGTACTATATCATTTCTAACTTTAGCAAAACTTTTAATCAAATTTTAGATGATTCTTAAGCTACAAAAAAGAAACCTTGATATTATAATATCATTATCTCATATATTTTTATTAAACTCTCAAATTCTCTTTGTCTTTTTTAATAAAATAAGAATGAATTAATTAATAATTATGCTATTTGAGTTTGATTCTATAAAATCTTAAAAAGTCTATTATTATTATTTATTAATCAATTAAGAATAATTTCATAAAAATATAATTTCCTTTTCAAACAATCTTTGATACTAAAAATATTTATTGTTAGATTAAGGGTTTAATAAATACGGAAAAAAAAATAATTTTAATTTTACAATTAATAAAGTAGATACACATATTTATTCACAACTATGTATTCTGATTTACAGTATCAAGAGTTATGTACAACTCTCTTAGGTTTATGATATCTTTATTTTCTAAGCTTTACATATTTTCTTGATTTTAATCATTATTCTTAACAAATTTTTATCCTTCTTTTTTCGTTCTATCACTTGAAAAGTTTTTTTTTTCTTCTTTTGAACCTATATTGCTTTTATTTTTCGGTAGAGATTAATGCTTTTTTGTTGTAACAAATTTAGGTGAATTACTCTTATATACTTATTTGAAATCTTATGATTTTAGATTCAATTTTGGTAAAATTGGTTTTAAGATTACAGATTCAAAATTATCTTTAGAATTATTACTATCATACTTTTAGATTATAGATCCTAAAGTCTATCTTAGTGGATGATTAAGTGTTAGACTTATTTATGATAATTGATAAGCAGATCTAAAAATATTTTTAGATTCAAGACTTTGTTTTAAATGTTCCATTTCTACTCCTAAATTATGATACGCTACAATCAAAATTTATATTCTCTCTTTTTGTTCTTTATTCAAATTTATTTATTCTGTTTAAATACATTTTAATTAACTTTTAACTTATTAGTTTGATTAATCAAATGAGTTTAACTTTTAAAAAATATCTTTGCTTGATTATTAACTTTATTTTAAAAATTGCAGTAGCAATTCATGTTACAACATAATAATTGATAAATAAATATGTTATCTTGCATCTTCATGTCTTTCTTATGATGAAAGAACTGCACAGATATTTAGATACAATTCAGGTAACAATGTTGTTGTTTCATTTCTATTAAAATTTAAAAAAAAATTACTTTAATTCAATCGATAAAGCCTATTAAAGATATTAGAGAGCGGTTCGTGTCTTTCCAATTTTACGATAATAACATGCTAAATTGCTAAATGTTTAAGCCTATTTTATTTATAATAGTCAACTTTAAGCTCTGGAACATATGAAGTTATTAGTTCAGCTTTTTTAAGGTACTTTTTTGTGATCTAAAAATTTTACACTTATAGGGCTATCAATGCTTGTTGATTCAATAATTTACACAGAACTTGATTGTATTTCAACATCTAAATAGAAATTTAAGACTAAAATTTTACTCTTGAATCTTCATCCCCATATTTTAATTATCTCTATTTGATATTTGTTTCTAATTGATTAATTATGGTATCAATATTTCCTTAATTCATTTTTGTTAGATCAATCTCGTATTCTTACATTAAATAATTATAATAATAAATTTGTAGAACTTTTTTTAGGGTAGAAATTTGAATTAGCAATCTAAAAAACTATTTAAAAATGTTTAAAAGAACTCTTATTTTTAATTCTGCAATAATTGTAGTAATAATATTAGACATATTTAATTAATTCCAAGTATGTAAAGAAATGGCAAATATATATTAATATGTTTGTTAGTTAACAAATTAATTTATATAATGTAAAATTTAATTAATCCTAATATGAAAGCGATTTAAATGATGGAGCTGTATAATATGATGAATGTTAAATATTATAAGATATTTTTAGGATAATAGACATTTATTGATTGCTGATTTAAGAAAGTTAGAATTTTTTGAAGACAAGTAAATAAGAGGAAGCTTTTGTATTCAAAATAATGTTTAGTCAATTGGATCATATATTGAGAAACATGATATAAATGCTAAGAAAAACGAAGAGAAATATCACACTTAGCCAATCCGAAGAATGGTTATTGTTAATGATGAATATTAAAAAATAGAATAGGATGCTTAATTGATTAAAGAGTTAATAAATAGTTTGAATATGAATTAATACAAAGTATCTTATTTGAAAAGCTCAGTTGATACATTTTTAGATAAATATCCATTTTATAGAATATCAAAAACAATTTTATAAAATTATGAAAACTTAGATAATAATGTAGATTAAGAGAAAGTACTATTTGCTTATTCTTAATTCCCTTAATAACTTTAAGAGAACAAATTATTTTTAGGAAGTAATTTGAATGCAAATAGTAAAAAGTAATTGGAAGCTTTGTAAATAAAGACAATAATAGATTTTAAGAATTATGAGCCAAACGTTTAGATATCTGGATGGAAAAAGGAACAATATAATTATATAAATTATCCAATAAGTGAGGGAGGAGAGCAATTAATAGATTTTTGTCAAATAACAGATCTGATTGAATCATAAAATGGTGCTGTGTTATTATGTTGTCCAGTAATTATAAAATATAATGATAGGATGGTTATTAAATTACAAGTGTAGTTGCAATTGGATATTTAATGACATTGAAAAAATAGAATTTTAATATCTCATCTTTAAGAGTATTTTAGATAAGAGGAAATACAACAGTGAATAAACAACTATATAGTCAAGTATTAACTTATGATCCAAAGACAATAATTAATACGAATAAACAATAACAATTATAATAAGGATGACCATAATTAATTAATTGAGCATATTATTAAGTTTAAGCTTAATTTTTTTAATAAAGATTCTGTAATAGTTTTATTTTTTTAAAAAAACTGAATTGATTGATAATATATTCCATTTGAGTATGTCGAAACAATATACTTATATAGATATATATAATTTGATAAAATTTCAATTTAATTTAAAACCTTTTTGATTTGCATAATGTTCTAAAAATGATGGAGCATATTACATCATCTTTTCTTAACCAACCCAAGAAGGTCTCATAAAATGTCCACTTTCTCTTGGTTTCCATTCTATTAAGAATATATATTTATTATTATCTAATTCATCTTTTGCATAAGTTATTATCTTCACTATTTATTCTTCAGTAAATGCAACTCTACTCCCTCCTCTTTAAAATGATTTTGTAATGTTTTTTAATTCTTTATTCAATTCTATTTATTCATTACTCTCTTTTTTTAAATGATAAACAAATTCTTAATTGTCTCGTTAAGGAATCATAAAATCAGTAGTTGTTTATCTACAAATTTAATCTTCTGTTGTTTATAATGGATTTAATTATCTTATCTATTCATATTAATCATCATTTTCAACGATCTCTTTTAATACTTCCATATAATAATTTTAATGGTTTCTTGTTTCATATTACTCTATCAAATCTAAGTAATTGCCCAACTTATACATTTCAATCCATTATGTTCTTACTTTGTGAGTAGGAGTTTCAAATTCAATCAAATAAAAGATGATATTTGGATTTTTTACTCTCTTACCTAATATTCTTTTAGGATATTCACTCATTTAATTGAATACAACCCTGTTTATTAGTATTGTTTATATAGATCTCAATAAATCCTTTTATTATTTTTCACATTTTAATTTAAATCTACATGATCATTCTTTCATATATTTACTATTCTTTTTATTCAACTTCTTATTTTTATTTTATGTATTATAATTATTACTCTCGTATTCATTATGTCCAACCTAAATAACCCTAATAATCTTATAACCCATACCTTGTCTCTCCTAGAATGTCTGTAAAAGATTCAATTCATTATAATAGGTTATTCCTACTTCCATTAAACAAATGAGAGAATCTATTCAAATACCATATAATTAAGATATCATGAAAGCCAGTGCCATCTTAGAAGTAGGTCAACGAACTCGTAATACTCATTACAAATAAAGATTAGAAGGTATTTCTACTCAACTTTATTTAGAGTTATATCTTAAATATGAAGATGGCTGTGTTTATAGAGGTTAAGGAATTCCACCTTCATAAAGACATGGTATGGGAGTTCTATTCAATACTGAAAATTAAGAAGTTTATTCTGGTGAATGGTTCAATAATCTTTATGAAGGATTTGGAATTCTAATTAATCAATCCCCATAGCTTATTAAACATAAAATAGATCCTAAGGATTTAAATACTATTGAAGATGGTTGGCATGACTATAAAGGATATTTTAAATCAAATAAAATGCATGGTGAAGGAATATTAACTCTTACAAATGGTTAAAAATTTGAAGGTCATTTTATTAACGGCATGATTCATGGAAAAGGTCGATTTTATGGTGATCAAATCATTGTTGGAAATTGGTTTGAAGGCGTTTTAATTTGATCATTTCTATTCCCTATTTTACTACTTTCAATTCCTCACTTAATCTTTCCAAAACTAATTTATGCTTGTCTTTCTATCTATCTAATCTCACTTAAATTTATTATTAACTTAGAAGATATTCAAATTGTACTCTCTTTATTTATATCATATAATCTTCTATCTTTATTAATTTCATACAAATCTTTATATATCTCTACATTTTACTTTAATGATGAATTTTACTATTTTTTTATGATTTTCTCATTTCATATTAAAATTTATAAAAGAAATTCTCATCCTATACATTTTATGCAATAAGTAAAAATATCTAGATTAAACATATTTATTAAACAATGAAAATGTACTATACATACATCAATTAAACTTATCATTTTCTGAATATCTATTTAAGATTTTATACATCATCATATAAATATTATTGTTTAAATACTATTGTATTTGATTAATTCAATCTAATTGAAACTCTTTATCTAACAATATAGATCGATCTAATGCTTTAATAAAAAAATATTGAGTGATATTATTAAAAGATGTGGAATTGATAATTTAGAGATAATCCTAGAGGATATATATTTTTTTCTCTAAAATAGTAAAAAGTAATATGATGATAGAAAAGAGTTAATTATTCCATATTATTTTCTAACATAACAAAAATGGTTTCATCATTTAATTATTATTGATTTTATTTTAATGTCAAATAATTCAGGATATCTGATTGCTTCTTTTGTACCTCTCTCTGTTCCAACAAGATATCTTTCAGCTGCAACAAATAAATCAAGAGCATTAGACAATGATTATGATGTTAGAGTGACCAATAAAAATCAAGAACATTGCTATTTCTTATTGGAAAAGGTTAGTGAGGGTGTATACAAAATAAGGCTCCTTACTTAACCTAATCATTTTGTTTTTTGTTCAAATGATAATACAAGAAAATTTAAAGATTAATTTGATGTTAGAACTCATGCATTTGATGAAAAAAGAAATAATTGGATTATTGAAAATGCTGGATGGAGTTGTTTCACAATTAGATCAGAAACTAACCCTGATTAATATATGTTTATTGCTGATGATTTCTCTAATTAACATAATGGAGAATTTGATGTTAGAACACATTCCAATAAAGATTAAGAAAAAAATCTTTGGTTTATTGTAATTACACCAAATATTCTTCATCCATATCCTTCTGTAACTCAAAAAATGACTGTTTAATTTAAACCTTTACATATTCAAAATAATTATTTAACTATTTCAGATGCTCATCCTTAATTTAAATCAGACTTTGTAGCAAAAATCACTACCACTTAAAATTTAAATTCTTCCTTTTACCTAGAATAAGTTCATGATAATAAGTATATTATTAGATCAGCATCTCATCCACTTTAAGTGCTTTTTGTAGCTAATGATAAATAACATAATAAATGGGGAGATTTCGATGTCAGATTTCATTCATTTAATGAAGAAAGAAACAAATGGATAATTGAGCAAGTTGGAAAGAATGAATGGACTATTAAATCTGCTTCTAATCCTGATTAATTTTTATTTGCCGTCTAAGATGAAGCAAATGGAAAGGAATTCCCTATTAGAACTCATCCATGTGTTGAAGATAGGAATAAATGGTTTATTGAAGGATTTTAAAAATGATTAATTATATGTTAAATTATAAATCAACATTTAAATTATTTATAATATATTACAAAATTAATACTCATAAAGATTACTAATTACTAACAAATTAGAAATTAATACATAATAATACAATAATATTTAAATTAAGTAGGGATGGGTGCTTTTGAATTAGTTTATAACTGTAAAAGAAAAGATGGTTTAGAAATGAATCTATTGTGTGTTAAGATTATCCCAATAAATAGGAATTATATGCAGAAACGAAATAAGAAATTGAGATCATAAAAAATTCTAGAAAATTTAATCAGAAAATTTTGCTCAAATAGTATACATCATATATAAACCTTATTAATTTGAAATAATTTTAAAGAGATGTATAATAATGTTCTTAAAAAATAAATTTGTATCTTGAAAAGCAATAATTATGATAAAAAAATTAAAATAGAAATATTTTGACATAAAGAAATCTTATTATATATCATATAGTTAATTAATTATAGTATTAGATTAAATTTAAGAAAAAATCAGTAATAATATTATTAAATAGTCTAATATATAAGTTAATTAAAGCAAAAGCGAAAGATTTGAACTAAATATATGAATTAAATTTTTGAGATTTTTATTAATTAAAAAATTATTATAGTAGTTAATAAATGAAGAGATTTTGAATTAGAATTTGAAATGCAATAATTTTTAGATAAAAGATTCCCTCTATCAAATTACTAAAAAATAAAACCAAATGATATTTTTTAGAAATGATGGATTGGCAGACTCAAGTAATATGTTGAATTTTTATTAACAAAAGGATAAAGTTATCTATTTGTAATAAATTATAATGTATATATAATTCACATTAATCCAAAGCCTTCTGCATTATCTAAAGATATCATTAATTTTTCTTTCAATATTTCTTTTTTCTTATAAAGTGGTAATAATAAAACGTTAAAGCAAGTGTGAGCAGATGGTAATTATTCAGTATCTAATATAATCCTTCATAATTACCTTCACCATGTTTTTAAATAACAAATTTAATTGATTTTAATCCTCCAACAGGGATTCTATCTGTGCCTGTGCAAAAAAACAAAAATCTCTTTTACATTTCTATACTCAAGGAATGTATACAATACCAGAAGTATCTAACAATATAATCATTAATTTAAACCTTATATACTCAGATTTATCTTCATAGCCATCATATTTTGTAACTAATTCTAAATCCTTTAAATCAAAGTGTGGTAAACCTATAATCAATGCTTAAAGTTCTTCTCCTGAAAATAACTAATTTTAGAAATTATAATTTACCTTAATACCATCTCCATCAACTACAGATTTAAATCCTGAATATAATAAATCAAACTAATTTTTAACCAGTTTATTTAAGTACCAATCAGTATATAATTGTATATATTCTTCTCTGTTTTCTTTTGTAACATTAATTTAAAATCCATTAGGCTTTATATATGAGAAATGCTTATACTTTCAAATCATCAAAGTAAGCTTGTCCCCATACAACATAACTTGCATTAAAATTTAAAGCAAGACTCTAAATTAAATTAGAGTCAGTTTGTTCTCTCAAATATTAAAATCCTGTATAAATTTCCATATCTAATTCTTTTAAATCTTCTTCTGTAACCTTTTCATTCTATAATTTCTTAAATAGAACAGTTGGGAATCTCACATCTAATAGCACTTAATTATAGAGAGCCAATCCTAACAATTTTCCTATTAATGAGTAATATATTGGCATTTCAAAAGACTTTGGATTAAACCAATATATTGTTCCATTATTTTTTGGAATAAACATACCATAATCTGGTGAAATCAATTTCTCCATAATTAATCTAAAAAATTCTCTTTTTGGACCTCCTTCATCAACGCCTTGTTCTCCTATAAATTGCACTTTCAAAGGATTCTTTAGTGGAATATGAGTTATTTATAATTATTTTATTGCTGATTCAATAATATTATTTCTCTCTATAGATAAACTTAAATAGGGAGCTTATCCTGTAAAATGATATTTTACTGAGTGGCTCATACTATCATGTTATTTGACCTTACAATCTAGACTCAATAATTTTGATTTAAATTCAATTGGAATTGACCAAGAATATAAACAAAAAGTAAACGAATAATTTCTCCATTATTTTGCTGCATAATAACGAAATTGTGAAAATTCTTCTTTATCGGCATCCTATTTATACAATTTTGTTATTAAATCAATTACAAATTCGGAAGTTTATAATCTAGTATTTAATTTATTAGATTCTTGTAAAATTTAAAATAATTCAAATAAACCTACCATTTTTTGGGAATCTTCTATTTCAAGAAAAGGCATCAATGGAGTATGTTGTTGTCTTAAAATTTCAGAATTTATTAATTTTTTAACAATTTTTGTTGTCTCCTCAAATTCTGCCTTTGAAAGGTTTGTAAACCATTTAGATAATTATTATTTTTAATCCTTTTGAAGTCTTCTAATTATTTTTAAAATTATTTAAGATTTTTCATCAATAATTTATTCTAAATATTTTCGAAATTATAATATCAAATAAAGAGCTCTCAATTAATATAAATTAGTTAAAGGTTCTAAATTTTTTTCTTTTTAAGAAAATAAATTATTTATTATTAAATTTAAACCATTTTTGAAATTGATAAATTTTTTTTATGTATCAATAATTAAATTAGAATCTACATCTGCATTTTGAGAATCAATTTAATAAATGCCAGATTTGTTGTAAAAATTTTCAACAAATGAAGCTCCAAACATTTCCAACTAAGAAGAGACTTTGAGAGTAGCTTCATTCAAATCTTTTTAGAACTCTGACATTTATAATGGAACTAATTTATCATTTTTGTTTTTTATTTGATAACATAATTGATTCCAATTAACTTCCTCATTTTCAATTAATTAATAACAAATTCCTTTAATATCATCTTAACTAAAATCTTGTTCAAGATAACCATTATTCAATTTACAAAAAGGAAAATCACACACATATCTACCACAACCTTATAAAGCTCTATTGAATAAGAGTTCAGTATCATATTCAATCTATTATTATTATTCCATCTTATTAAATTACCATGTATTCAACTCAAAATCTAAAATTAGACAATTATCTCTATTTGATTAAAGTTGAAAGATCATTAAATTTTCTTGTAAAATATTCCCATCAACAAAAAAAGATTTTTCTAATTATTCTATCAGAACATCAACTTTCAGATTTTGATGTCTTGGTTACCATATTCTAATATTGTTAATCTGTTTTTATTTATATTCTTCTTAGAAGGTTGCTTTTAATAAATCTAACCAAGATTTTATTTCTGAGTGTTAGTCTACTTATGCTTTAACATTATAGATTTTGTTGTCTCTTAAAGATTAATAAATCAATGTAAACTAAATTTAGTAATTTTTTATACACGAGCTAAATTAGGATAAACAATTTTTTTTTTTTCACTCTCATAATAATATCCAATCCTTTTTTGTGGTTCAATTGATGAGTATTTATCTTTAAAAAGATCGAAAACTTCTTTAAGAATCTAATTTTTTTGATGTTTAATATTACGTATTCATAATCCCATTCATTTTCCAAATAACGAATGCTGGAATTATAAACATGATCTTCAGGTAAATATTTAAATAGCTTTTCATTGCAAAATAAATCTGAATTGATTTTATCAGGCTAATATATTTAAATTTCAAAACTTTCTTTCTTCCCTCTCTCTATTAATCTCCCATTTCTTCATAATAATCCACATAATATTTCCATTATTTAATAAATTTTTTTGATACTAAATAGTACTCTATTCCTCCTTTTTCTCTTAATGTTTTATCATATCTCTTTTTTATTAAGTTAAAAATTTACCCTTCTTCCGTCATCATATCTTTTGATTTCTTCATACTCAACTGGATCTCCTACTGGATGGTGCCAATTCTGCAAGAAGTGATTAATCATGAAAATAAATATAATTTAGATTAGTATTAATTAATTAAATTCTTACAAAACTTTTATCAATGTAGTATTGATACCAATAATTTTTATCATTCTAAATAAACTATGAATATTCAATCTTAATAAGAACAATTAAACGATAATGAAATTTGAATTCCTATTTAAATAATTAACCTCAATAAATTAGATCTTTTCATTTAACTTATTATAAAGAAACAATAATTGATCTGGAGAAGTAATTTTAGGATTGCTTAATAGATTTTAAATAAGGAACTTATTTATTAAAATTAATAATCAGAATAGTTTCTAGATGTTTTAATTAATAAAGTCTATTTTTTATAATTTTGTTGGTTTAAATAGGATTATTATATCAAAGATGAGGAAATAAAAATATATATTACTTTTTTTAAATTAAACAATTTTAGAAATTAAAATCTGATAAGAAAGTATCTGCTGAACAAAGAAGAGTGAATATTTAACTTAAATATTTTTTATATGATTTAAATAATGGAATTAAACCAAAAATAGAAGTTCAGAACCAAATAAATTAAGAAAAAATAAATGATATTAAACATACTCTAATTTTATTTTTATTCTATTAAAATGGGATAATTTCATCCTTAATTTCATTTTTTATTGTTGAAAAAATTAGAACACAAAGGTTAATGATCTGTCTCAGGTTTTAGATCAACAAAATGATTTTAAGATATATTTTCTATTTCCAATCAAAATCACTAAAATATTGATTATTTTTAATCACCTTCAACTCTTCAACTTTAAGACATTTAACTCAATTTAACCCTTTATCTTTTAATTAGTTATATTTACATAATATACTTCATCTGTGAACTATATGCTTTATAAAAAAATTACAAAAGTAATTTAGAATATTTTAAGATTATAGGAGAAATAATAATATAATTCTAATGAAGAAACAATAAAATATTAATTAGATTGTATTATTTATAGATTATAAATCATATTTTGTCTAGAAAAATCACATTTTAATAGATTTAATATAAACTAAAACAATTATATATTATTGAGAGAAACCTTTATATTTAGGTTAATTAATTATCAGAAAGGAAATAATTAGTTAAACTATTATAAGATTTGATGAATTCTTAATATTGTAAGAATAGATTCTGGGAAATGAATAATTAGCTTATTATCTAATTCATCGTTAAAAGTTTATATAATAAATAAAATTATTAAATATGCAGGAAATTGAAGCCAAGAAACAATTAAAAGCTAGTGAAGGAGCTCATTTTTTTTACACATTGATATTCCTTTCAGCCTCTGGGATAATAGAGACTTAATTTATTGAACAAAAATGCAATCAAAATTTGTAATTATTTGTCCATTTGGTATTCTATGGATTAATTATCTGGGGTACTTACATTTTAATTACATTAATACCACGGTATTTCAATACAAGCTAAATTGAATTAGATATAAAAATGCAGCAATCAACTTATTTTTCAATTTTCTTGATATATGTTTTGGGATATACATAGGATTATTATTGATTTATGGAGGACGTATGTACATGACATCTAATGACTGTTAATTGGAAGCTCCTGTATTATATTTTTTTTTGGAAACATTTCTGTTGGTACTATTTAATTTCAAATTTTTAGGTTAACGGCATCATATTTGCGATATTGCTTTTGGCATTTTTGTCATATATCTTAAAACGATTTTCTAAATAATAATAAGTTTATGATGAAGGCAAAAATGAATTTTATGATGCATGATAATAATTTTTAATTATATATGAATAATTCAGTCTAAAATATACGAAGACCTGTAACATCTTAAAATTATAGATCGATAGAGAAATTAGGAAGCAACAGCTAATAAAAATTACCTAATTTAAGTGATGTGATGAACCTTAAACTTAAGCATCAAAGTGAAAAAGAACTTTAGGAACTTATTTAAAAATTAGTGAAACAAGTTTAATAACTTAATTCAGCAGTTACCTAAAAAGATAAATAAATATAGTAATATGAATTCATGATTAAATCTCTTTAAATTGCTATTGAAAAAAGAGATTGTATTATTAGTGCATTGAGAGTTGAAAAATAATAAATAGTTGAAATTGTAAATCCATTAAAACCAACAATTAAAACTGATGATTCTTCAAGAACTCCCAGTTTAGGTCCTAAAAAATCCCTAAGGACTAGAACAAAAGACACAAATTTTGATGAAAATCTCTCTGCAATTCTTGATTCTGATTATGGTATATATATTCAATTTAGTTTGAGCCTTGTTGAGTTAGTATGTAAAATGTTATGAAGAATTAAATCATTTAACACAAATAAAAAATTTAGTTTCTAATGAAGATTAATTTTTTGCCAATATTTAAAAAATGGAGTTGAGTAATATTGTACACATTTTTGATGCAATTTAATTAGTATTGCAAGAACATAAACTTTTATTCAAAAATGTAATTAAGTAAAATAAATTATTTGATGCTTGTTTATAAATTTATGATGTACTTATTTTTATAATAATAATTATTAGCAAATTCCCTTAAATGATCAATTAGAAAGTTTATAAGGATTATTAAGAGACTCTCTTAATTGTGATAAAGTTCAAATCTATGTGTTAGACAGTGAACACTAGGAGTTATGGACAAAAACTAAAGATAGAGTATTAAGAATTTAATCCAATGAAGATATAATTGGAGCTTGCTTTTAAGAGAGAGGTTTGATTAATGTTCACAATGCATATAATGATCCTAGATTTAAAAAAGAAAATGATAAGGGTTATAAAACAAATACAATTTTATTATGTCCAATATTAGATAAATAACAAAATTCAATAGGTGTTATTATGGCAGTGAATAAACTAACTGGACATTTTAATAATGATGACTAATTGTTCATTTCAAAAACATCAGAAATGATATCTATTTTATTGAGAAATCATCAATAATCAAGTGAATCTATTAGTATTTAGAACGCACTAAGAAATGTTATTCAAGTATTAAATTCATTGTGAATTATAGGCTTAATTATAATTAGTATATATGAGTAATACAGAATAAATCTTATTTGAATCAGAAAACTTGTTAAAAAACTTGTTCCATACATAAAAAGGCTTAGTTTATGTTGTTAATAATAATCGATTATTAAGAGTAAATGAAAAGAAATTACTAGAAGTATCACAATTAGGAATCGGAATCGTTGGGGAGGCTCACAAATTTAAAGAATTTTTATGGGTTTAGAATGCATATAATCACTAGTCATTTAACAATTTAGGTATTTAGATTTTATTATTTTCTAGTTGATATTCAAACTACTATGCCAATATATTGTATAGAAGTTGAAGGAAAGCAACAATCAGTCATTCTGTAAGTGATAAATAATAAAGGAATCAGATCATAAAAGGTTAGTTCATTTGATCAAGAATTATTAGAAATGTTTGGAAAAATTATTTTAAGCAAAATTGATTTTATATAATTATGATTTTATAAATATTGATAATTTTCTAATAGTATTTTCAAATTTATTTAGCTTACTTTTATATTAAGAAATTGATTTATGACTATCTAAATATCTAACAAAATTGTAATTTTTATATAAAACTTAATATACATTTTCATGTTTTTACATTTAAGACTGACTTAATAAAAAATTATTCGTATATAAAGTTAATATAGGGAAATTAATAGAGTCTGACAGGAATCTTGATTTAAGATTAAATTAAGTAAGCTGAATTTTATCAACTAGATTACTAAAAAGAAAAAAACCATTAATTACTAATTTAAAAAAGTAGTTAATTTTAGAACTTAGAATGATTTTAGAACATAGAAATTAATTATATTTTAGATTAAATTTTAGGTGAAATTTTAAATATATAACAAATAGTAATAATAACTAATATAGATCTGGAAAAATTAATGAACAATTTAGTAAAAGTTTTATAAATAGAATATAATGTTATTGTTATTTTTTAATTTAAATTTGAGGATTTCTAATGGATAGTGATTTAAACTTATTTTATAGTGAATTATGCTTTGAATTTTAAAGGAGAATTGGTAACATTGTATAATTTTAGAATAGTAATATATAATTAATAACATTGATAAAATCATTTATAAAGTTAAGAAAATAAATAGAATTGGTTTATACCAATAGAAGGCCAAAATTTTAGTAAAACCAAATGAGAGAAGGGATTAAAGGAAGGATTAATTAGAAAAGTAGAGCTAGTAATTGAGAAGATAGATATGATACTGTTGGTGAGATAAATTGAAATAGAGGTTAAATGAAAATAAAGACTTAAATAGTAGTGGGTTTGAAAGGTAAGAGAGGAAAATAAGAATCAATGGAGAAATGATTGAAAAGATATAAAAAATTAGATGATTAATAAAAATAGATATAAATAATTGTAATTTGATAGTGAGTAAAGTAGATGAAGAAAGAAGAGATGGATAGTGTTTTAGTTGTGGAGAGATATAAAATATAATATAAAATAATAATATATGGATATTTCTAGAATAATTGTTATTTGGGTAATTAAGGAGATTGAATTTGATTGGGAATTAAAAATTAATTTGAGGTAATAAAATGCTGAGCAAATTATTGAGATCAACATAAAAATTGACTTAAGGGAATGTGAATGGATTTAGTAGTAAGGTGATGAAAGGAGAATATGTGATTGGTATAGATTTAGGTACTACAAACTCATGTGTGTCTATAATGGAATGTATAAATATGTAATATATATTAAGCTGGAACACCAAAAGTGATAGAGAATGCAGAAGGTATGAGAACAACTCCATCAGTTGTTGCATTTACAGCAGACGGTTAAAGAATAGTAGGTGCACCAGCAAAAAGATAAGCTGTAACAAATCCTGAGAATACAGTTTATGCAACAAAGAGATTAATAGGTAGAAGATATGATGATCCAAATGTTTAAAAAGATATTAAACATTTAAGTTATTCAGTTGTTAGAGCATAAAATGGAGATGCTTGGGTTAGTTTAAAAAGTATCTATTTATATAAAATAATGTAGGTGGTTAAACATATTCTCCATCTTAGATTGGTGCATTTGTCTTAATAAAGATGAAGGAAACTGCTGATGCTTATATTGGTAAACCATAATCAAAGGCAGTGGTAACAGTGCCTGCTTATTTTAATGATTCATAAAGACAAGCAACAAAAGATGCTGGTAAGATTGCTGGTTTAGATGTTTTAAGAATTATTAATGAACCTACAGCAGCAGCATTAGCATTTGGATTAGAAAAGAAAGATAATAAGATTATTGCAGTCTATGATTTAGGAGGTGGTACATTTGATATCTCAATATTGGAAATAAATGCAGGTGTATTTGAAGTTAAAGCAACTAATGGTGATACTAGTTGTGGAGGTGAAGATGTTGATTCTATTCTATCTAATTGGATTAGTTAAGAATTTAAAGCATAATCTGGTGTTGATATTTCTAAAGATAAAATGGCTGTTTAAAGAGTTAGAGAAGCTGCAGAAAAAGCTAAAATTGAATTATCATCAACAACATAAACAGATATCAATTTACCATATTTAACTGCTGATGCTTCAGGACCTAAGCATTGTAATCTTAAATTAACAAGAGCTAAACTTGAATCATTAACTGAAGATTTCCTTAAAAAAACAATTAAACCAACTGAAAATTGTATTAAAGATTCTGGTGTAGATAAAAGCAAGATTGATGAAGTTATTTTAGTAGGAGGTATGAGTAGAATGCCAAAAGTTTAAAAATTAGTTTAAGATTTATTTAATAAACCACCCAATAAATCTGTTAATCCAGATGAAGCAGTTTCTATTGGTGCTGCTATTTAAGGTGGTGTATTAAAAGGAGATGTCAAAGAATTATTATTATTAGATGTTACTCCACTCTCATTAGGTATTGAAACTTTAGGAGGAGTATTTACTAAAATGATACCAAGAAATACAACTATACCTACAAAAAAGAGTTAAACTTATTCTACTGCTAGTGATAATTAAACTGTTGTCTCTATAAGAGTATTTTAAGGTGAAAGAGAAATGGCTGCTGATAATAAATTATTAGGACAATTTGATTTATCTGGTATTCCACCTGCTCCTAGAGGAGTACCTTAAATTGATGTCACTTTTGATATTGATGCCAATGGTATTGTGCATGTCTCTGCAAAAGATAAAGCTACTAATAAAGATCACTCTATTACTATTTAATCATCTGGTGGATTAAGTGAAGCTGAAATCTAAGATATGATAAACAAAGCTGAAAAATATAAGGATGAAGATAAAAAAAGAAGAGTATTTATATATTTTCTATATTTAAGGAACTTGTTGATCTTAAAAATGAAGCTGATGGTGCTATCTTTAATACTGAAAAGTCATTAAATGAACATAAAGCCAAATTATAACCTAATGAAGTTTAAGAAATTGAAAGTGCTATACAAAATCTAAGAGTACTCTTAACTGAAAATCTCACTGCCAATGATGTTCAAAGACTTAAGGATGCTGTTGAAAATGTTAAAAATTCAGCTATGAAAATTGGATAAGCTATGTATTCCTTCTTTTCTATTCTAGGTATCGTAATACTGGAGGAGCTAGTGAATAATAATAACAATAATCTTCAGAATAATCAGGGGAATAATAATAATAATAAGAAGGTGGAGATAACAACAATAATAAATAAAATTGATATATTATGTTATTAATATTGTACATTCCTTTAATATTGGCTTCTTATCTTTATGAGAATTCCACACTTGTCACATAAACTATGTTTTATGAAAGAGAAGACAATCCCATGTACAATCTAAGTGTACTTCCAACTTATGAATCATACAATTAATTAGACATCAAGATTGAGGATCTTTAGAAACGATAATTTTATATTCCCTCTGATATCGAACCCTTTAAGAGCATTTATAATGATATCATTAATCCTATTGCATGTTCCCATTATGATTATGAAACTAAAATTGATGAATCCCCTTTTAAATTTAATGTCATTAGAGCAGACACTCAAGAAACTATGCTCTCTCTTTATGATATAATAGTCTCTGAATTATATAGTGAATTCACTATCAAAATACCTACCAAATATTTTTTTGGTTTAGGGGAAAGAAACCAAAAAGGATTTAGATTCAAAGAAGGCATTTATACTCTTTTTGCTAAAGATGTTCCATAATTATTAGAAGATGGTAAATAGCCAGGAAAAGGTGTTTATTCATCTCATCCAGTTTATTTAATGAGAGAAAGATCAGGAAAATACCATGTGTTATTTTTTAAAAATAGTTCTCCTATGGATATCATTTACAAAGATGATAAATTAACATTCAAGTATATTGGTGGAATACTATAATTGAAACTTTTCTTAGGAGATTACGATCCTGAAACAGCAATCAAATTATATCATTCTTATTTAGGAGGTTGGGCATTACATCCCTTTTGGACAATGGGTTATCATCATAGTAGATGGCCAATTAAAAGCAGTTAAAAATTAAAAGAGTATGTTTATAAACATAAAGAACATGAAATTCCTTTGGATACAATTTGGTCTGACATAGATTACATGAATGATAGATAAATATTTTCAGTAGATGAAAAGAGATTTCACAAAAATGACTTTGAAGAAATATAGAATTAATTAGGAGTGAATTACATTCCAATTATAGATGTAGCTGTAGGAGTTAAGTATGGAAAATAAGATAAAGGATTTAGAGAGGGAATTAATTTAGATATATTTTTAAGATCTCCAAACACTGGTTAACGTTTTAGAGGAAATGTTTGGCCAGGATCATCATATTTTCCTGATTTTTTTCATCCAAATTGTTCTACATATTGGAGAACGATGATCAAACATCTTTATTAAAGCACAAATTTTAGTGGATTATGGATTGATATGAATGAACCAACAAATTTTTGTGATGGTGAATGTGATATATAATCAGGAAGGGATAAATGGAATGCTACAATGGATTACACAGATATTAATGAAACTTATAAAAATAATCATATTAGATTTCCATACATTCCAGGAGTATCTCCTCTTGAAAGAATGACACTACCTCCAAATTTATTTCATTATGGAAAATATCTTCATAAAGATGTTCATAATCTTTATGGATTATAGGAATCATATGAAACTTATTAAGCATAAAAAGAAATTGGAAAGCCATTACCCTTTATAATTTCAAGATCAACATTTCCAGGTAGTGGACATTTTACTTAGCATTGGGAAGGAGATAATGAAGCTTCATATACATTTCTTTATTTATCAGTAGGTTCAACTATGTAATTCAATATATTTGGTATACCTATGGTTGGAGCTGATGTATGTGGATTTTTAGATAATACTACACCTAAATTATGCGCCCGATGGGTTTAATTGGGTAGTTTATATCCATTTTTTAGAAATCACAATAATGATAGAGCTAAAGATTAAGAATTCTATTCTCTTGGAGACGATGTCTTATTAGCAGCCAAAAGAAATATTAAACTAAGATACTCTATTATGAAATGGTATTATTCATTGTTTTTGAGATCTAATCATACTGGTACAATATTTCGTCCAGTTTTCTTCGAATTTAATGATGATGTTAATCTATTCAAAGATGATGTTTTAGATACTTAATTTCTTATTGGAGATGAATTAATGGCTGCACCTATCTTAATAGAAGGCTAAACAATAAGAAAAGCATACTTTCCTAAAGCTTATTGGTATCATTTCTTAAGTGGAAGTAGATTACAAAATGCTGAAGATCCTGGCTAAGAGCATTTTATTATGTGTAAATACACTGATTATGTGCCACTCTACATTAGAGGTGGTAGTATCATTTTATAATAAAATATCACTTAAGTAAAAACTGTTAAAGATCTCAAAAATCATTACTATGCTGTCATTGCTATAGGTGAAAAAGATTCTTTTGGTACAATGATCGATTTAGATGAGTTTTCTGATTAAAAGGTATAATCATATTATCATCATTATCAAGATAGCAGATAAATGTGATCAACAGAACTGTTTACTTAATGTTAATTTCTCCTAATAAGAAAATTAAGCTGAATTCACAATTGTGAGAGCGGATAATGGTGGACCAGCAGCATATCCATTATTTATTAATAGACTAAAGATATATGGTTTATCACCCTCTTAAACTATTAAATGTTCTAGCCATGTAATACATGAAATTATTTTAGAAAATTGTTGAATGTTCATACAGCAATGAAAATACATTCCCATATATATCTAACATCTATTTAAATGAAGGCATTGGACTTGAATTTGGAGAAACAACAGGAGTATTCAAACTAACCTTGTAATTTTCATGAAAAAATTGTTAATACAAATAAATATTATATCATTTGATTTGCTCACTCAATTTATAATTAATTACCATTTAATTATAATCTCCACCATTCTCCACATCCAATAAAATGTTAAACTCCAAACTCTTTTAATCTATCTCTTAATCCTCTATCACTAGTCACAACAGTTGTTTCTCCTGACTTTTAAACTCTTTAAGAGCATAAATTTACAATTAAATCGTCTGCTATACCAGGATGAGAGGATTAGATAGTAAATAAGATCTTTTTTTGATTGTATTAAATCTAAAATGAAATTTTCTTTCCCTCCTAACTTAAATTTTGTAGATTCTTGAATTAATTCAATTAGCTTAGCTCATTTTACAACTTTTCTATATTCTAAATCTTATAAACATCCCAAATCAAATGTACTTCATTTAATTATGAATTAGCATTTTCAAGCCAATTTACAATTATTATTAACATCTTTACAATTTACTCTTTTTACTTTCCATGGAATTCATTCCAATTTCTGTTGGCATATTTGACATTATTACAATCCACATATAAAATTTAGGTATCTTTTACAATTTAAATTATGTCGATGTCGTTTGTTTTTTTCTTTTTATTTTTTTTCTGTATTAAGCTTTCCACTATTTTTGCTTTGTCTCCTTTATGTTTCTTTATTAATTTAAGTATTCTTTTTTCATCATCAAAACCCATGGTAAACAACTCATTAATCAAATCTTACTATTCTTCTTGAATAATAATAGGGTTCTACTTTCCTTTTTAAAATTGAGCTAACCATTGTTATTATTCTAAATAAAGGGGATGTTAATTAATCATATTTAATAATCTTAAACTCTTAAGAATCAAAAAATTTTATAAAGAACTATTCTGATAAATACTTATATATTAAATATATGGAATTATAATTCATAAATTTATGTAATACAATAAGTATTTGCAAATTAACACAATTATAATTTAGTATTCCATAACATTCTTCAAAGAAGTATGAAAAAAAAATAAACTAAATTTCAATGAGAAAAATAAATCATTTAATAAAGGCAATTACTACTGTAATGTCATCTATGACTTCATCTTCTCTTTACCATGCCTCTCTTGCAGCTTAGACCAATCTTTAGCAAGCCCCTTGCATATCATCTTTTTTATAATATTCATAGACTGTTTCAACAACCCATTCATTAGAGAGAAATCTAATTTAAAATAAATAGAAATACTCCCATATTCCATCAGATGCAACAATTATAAATTTATCGCATGGTAATAGTGAATGCTTAATTATTTCTGGTTCTGCTATTACACCTACTTAACTAGCAACATAATCACCAAAACTTCTTGACATAGCTAAACCAGGGACATCTTCATCTGATTTCCAGACTCGAGCTGGACCGATTGGATTACCATCTTCATCACTATATGCTTATACACGTCCTCCTCTTTAAATAATTCGAGCTTATTCCAAAAAGCAATCAGGCTTATGATCTTTTGATAATTCAATAATTGATAGTTTGTTATCGAATCTTCCAATAATTGCTCGACTATCACCAATATTGGCGCAGTACAGTACATTTTCAAAAGAGATAACAACAACAGTAGTTGCACCAGAATAAGTGACATCAATACCACAATCGAGTAGCTCTTCATTAGTTTATAAGAAACAATTTTTGAGAATTGTATTAATTTATCTAAAATAATATAAATATATATACTTATCTCGATCATAACAGGATGATATACTTGTTATACCTTATTCAATAAAAGAGGGCAAGACTTATTACAGAAATTGAGCAACTTAGTGCCCATTAGTACCATGTCCATCAGAAACTTGAATATACCAATCATTTTCTTTATTTGTAAATTTGTTGATTAGTTTATAGATATCTTGATTCGTTTTAGTTTATCCATTATAAAGCATTCCTGGAGTACTTAATCCATTTGCTTTTGATATGAAGAGTTGCAAATTTGAAATATCTGGATTACTGATTGAACGAGGTCCTTTAAATAGTTTAGATTTAACTATTGATTGCTATTGTTATTTAGTCATTTCCATTAATTTTTAGTATTTTTTTGAAATAGCTTGTTGATTGAACACATCTTTAGATTACTGAATTCCAAGTTATTTAGTTTCAGGTCTATCTTATTTGATTTTTAACAAGATAGACAAAGCATTAGCAGATAGGTTTTATGAATTTTCTTTAGTTTCAATTAATTTGCTGTTCTAACGTGCATGAGTTTTTTTGATTAAAACACTGCTCACATCTTTCAAATCTTTACCAGTAGCAGGTCTTGTTTTTTTAGCTTCAATTTTTGAATTACCACCCCCATTTCTATTACTTGGTACTAGATATCTGAATAATAAAAAAATGATGGATATTTTACTTATTAGCATTTACAATAGGTGATTTAAGTCGTGCTTATTATTCTTATTCATTCTTTCTTTTAAGAAGTGAAGCATATAATTTATCAGGAGATATTTAGGAAACTTTAGCTTTCATGCTGATATAGTTGTTAGTTATTTAATTATTAATATTGTATATATATATTTTAAACTTGATCATATATCTTCATTTTCTAATTCTCCTTTCAAACTTTCAACCATCTATTCAGTTTGTCTTTACAATTCTTCAGGTGATAATTCACTCTATCCAGGAGTTTTTTCATAAGCACTTTCTAAATCCCAAGCAGGAGCCACTTCCATTTAAGGAGTTTCTCCTTATGAAAATCTACTTTCAAATTGATTCATCTCTAAAAGACTTTATTCTTCAGGTAATAATTCTAATGGTTATCCATTTTAATCTAATAAATCAAATTTATCTATTGCCCTCACATATTCCATATTTTCATCTTAAGGCATCTAAGCCATAGGAGGACTAGGAGAATCCTCTATTATTGCTTATTTACCCATATCTGGTGATGTACCATCATTTGTAAATAAATCTGCAAAGTTTATTTCCTTCTTTGGAGTTTAATCTAAAGTCTCTTCTACATATATTTCATTATCACTAACTTAAATGAGTGACTTATGCGATTCTGATTTCTTTATCGCATTCAATACTGCATTTCTTTCTTTTGTTTCTGCTTTCTTTATGTTGTTCTATTTCACAAAATCATTATTTGCTTCTTCTGTTACTGAAATAACTCCAACATTGCTACTAAGATCTTATGCTTCTCCTACAAATTTTGAACTAGATTAAAATACACCTATCATTACTCTAGTTCAACCAAATTTTAAACTTTTGTATTTTCTTTAAGTTATTTGTGCTCTCTAATGTTTTTTGCATTTGTCAACGCCAGAATGAGCAAAAGAATTGCTAAGTATTTCATTTATTTATAATTATTAATCCGTTTTGATAAATATATACAAAAATAAATATTTTTATATATATAAATAAGATTAAGCTTCTTTAAGTGAATAATGTTTTTTTATTATAAAATATGTGATATTAGAAATAATAAAATAAAATGTAAAATTAAGATCAAGAATATCTCATGAATAATGTAAATCCAATTTTAGAATAATTGACACTTTACTTAGTGAAAGAAAAGCCTGATAATGTGGTAAATGATATTAATTATGATTTAAATAGACTCAAGCATCTATTGAATGGTTAAGTGTAACAGGGGGTATTTTTATTATAAATAATATAATTAGCTCAAATCGAAAATGGATTACATCATAATTAACAAATTAATAATGAAACAGTTGAATCCTCAGATGAAACAGAATCAGATGAAGATGATTATGAACTTTATGCAAATAATCCAATAAGACCTGATAGAGCAAGTGTAAGTGCTGAAGTCTATGGAATTTACAATAAGAAAACTAATTTCAAACCTAAAATAGTTGCAAAGTCTCATTTATAAATTTAGAGAATAAAAGAGAAATTAGCTTAATCCTTTATGTTCTCAGAATTAGATGAACATGATTTGAGAATTGTAATTAATGCTATGGAAGTTATATAATATCTAAAAGGGGATATTGTTATTAGATAAGGAGATGATGGTGATAATCTATATATTGTTGATGAAGGTACTTTGGATTGTTCAAAGACAAAAGCTGGTCAAGATTCAGTTCATCTTAAAACTTATAAACCAGGAGAATCCTTTGGTGAATTAGCACTCCTATATAATTCACCAAGAGCGGCTACTATAGTTGCAGAAGAAAACTGTGTCTTATTCTCTCTAGATAGAGGAACATTCAATCATATAGTCAAAGATGCTGCTATTAGAAAGAGAGAAAGATATGAATATTTTCTGGCTCATGTTGAATTACTTCATGAACTTGATCCATATAGTAGATCTTAAATTGCTGATGCTCTCAAAAGCAAAAATTTCAATATAGGAGATTATATCGTTAAAGAAGGAGATGAAGGAGATATCTTTTATTTCCTTGAAAAAGGAGAAGCAGTAGCCACCAAAGTATTAAATCAAAGTATTTTTATTATCTACTATTCTTAGGTTAACCTGCTTAAGTTGTCTATTTTTATAAAGAAGGTGATTATTTTGGTGAAATTGCCTTACTAAGACAAGCACCAAGAGCTGCATCTGTTATTGCCGAGGTTACTCTTATTTTTCACTTATTTTTTAGACTCCATGTACAGTTGTCTATTTAGATAGAGATACATTCAAAAGACTATTAGGACCACTTGAAGACATACTTACTCGTAATTTTAAGAAGTATGAAAAATATATGAATTGATTTAAGATTAATAAATATCTATTTATTTTTAAAATATCATCATTAATAAAATATTTTTTATTCAAATTATAAATATTTGTCTCAAAATATGTCAAAAGATACATTCTTTCTATTTTATAATATAAATGGATTATTTTATCGCCTATTATAATTTAAGAAATATTTGATATAAAATAAATTTATTATAAATTTAATTGAATCTTTTTTGGAAAAAGAAAAAAGCTAAATAATAGACAACTCAAGATTTTTTAAAGTTTATTAAAAGTTTTATTTATTTTTACAATTACTTAGACAAAAGATTAGAATATATAGAATAAAAGAGATAATAGCTCAAAATTAATTATTTTTAGATATAAAATAAAGAAAAATTTAAATAAAAAGCTATTTTAGGTTAAATAGAAGATTTTAACCATGAAAATTATTAAATTATGATCTAAATTATCAACTAAGTACCTAATTATTAGACCTTGCTTTTCAAAGTATTAGAAAATTAAATTTCAATTTCCATTACACGTATTGTTTACTCTAAAATGAGAGTATTTTTATTGAATTCATCTAGAAATATAGATTATTAGATTAAAAATATTCTTTTACTCTTATCTTTAAATTAAAATTTTAAATGAACTATTTATAAAATTTGACCGATAAAATTCTATTTTTTATTTTTTGGATTCAACCATCTGTTGTGCTAAAATGAATTTCTTGAGTAATTATTATAAAATAATTAAATGGAACTATCTTAAATAACATTGATTCTAATAAAGGAAAAATAATCAAAAAGAGATTTTAGCTTTAAGTACAAATAAATATATTATTAGCTCTTTATTTGATTTAATATAATTTCTGTAAATATTTGTTTTAATTTTTTAGAAATAACCATATTTTGTTATAAAACAAATAATTTAAGTGAACTTAGGAAAATTACATCTATTCAAAATAAATTAAAATTTTTAATAAAAAACTATAGGAACATTAAGAGCTTGAATTTATAATATATGATTATTTGGCTTAATAAGTTCGAGTACTTTCATGTCTATATAATTTCATAAGTTGTGCCTTCGTATTTATTTAAACCTAATATATACAAATTGGTTTTATCAAACTAATGGATTTTGAATTTGATAAGATGTTATTATGATGTTCCATAGGAATGTTAAAATCACATACAAGAGATTATAATCTCTTATTGTTTTGATTAGTAGATAAGTTACTCTGATGAATTCTTAAATATTGAGAAAGAGGAGTTGTAATTTTGATTAATAATTGATTTTTAAACTGATTCTTTTAGATGAAGGAACTCAAAAATGAAATTGACTCAAGAAAAAGATTTTAATTTGCTTTAAAGTAAGCAATTGAATCTAAATCTTCTAATCATCAGTGTGTAATATTTCAATCCAAACAATGAATGCCTACAATCATATTATTAAATTTTGATTATTCTACAGATCTTGATGCAGATTGAATAATAGTAACCATTTAATGTTGTGAATTTTCCAAGTAATTAAGTTTAATGCATAGAACACTAGAATATAAATTAATGTCATTTTAGTATTAATTATTTGTTAACTTTATGAATTTATCTGCCAGATCCTATATGCCAACCTAAAAATCAATTTCACCTTTGATTGATAGAACTACCAAAAAGCGCACTCTAACAATTTAAGAGCTTACTAAGTCTTCTAAGAGCACTAATAAAATAATTACAGAAAAATCCACTGAAAAAAAATTGACATCCAATAGTTCATAAGAAACTTCGGAAACCTGTTTAACTAGGAATGATTCTACATAGGACAACAATAGATTGTAGTAATTGAAAATTCGAGTTTTAACGTACACATATTTATCTCAAAAAACTTAGAGAAAAAGTCTAACAGATTGAAAAATTTGATCTCTGCAAAACTACACTCCTGCTCAAAGAACTCCAATATTATCGTGCTAAGCCTATTACTAGTTCAAATACTTCAGTAATGGCTGCTTTGGCCTTAGCACGTATCTGATGTTATAGAATTACTTTTTAGATACTTATTATTATAATACTTAACTACTCTTATTTTTAATATAAATCTATTTATTTTATTGAATCATATATTCATATATAAATAACATTTCAAAATAATAATGTCTAACTATTTTTCAAATGAATTTTAAAATATTATAATAATAAAACTTGGTTGATCTAAGTAAATAAAATCTAAAGGATTAATAAAATTTAGTTTATAATTAAAAAAAGAGATTTATTTCAATATATAAATTTAAATATAAAAATAACAATTTAATGAATAGATTATTATATATATATATTTATCAGTTATTTTAAAATTCATATCTTGATTTTCCAGCCTCTCCTAAAGGTAAATTTTATTATGATTTTTATAGAAATGCTAAATAAAAAGATTAATTTACTTTTATAATTTTATAAGTCTTGTCTACCTCTTGAAACATTTGAAGAGTTATTTGGAATTAATTCATTTCTTTTTATAATGATATGTAAATTTAATACCTAGTTTAAAGAATATTTGCTGTTGGAAAACTTTAAGTTTGATTTCTTTACAAAGTGTTTGGAAATACATTTTACTTTTCAAAATTAGCCCCTCTATCATCCAAAACGATTGGTGGTTTAATTTAATTATAAATGTTATTTTAATCAGCTTGAGAATATGTTTAAATAGATTGTTAATTCTAATTTTAATATTATGGAATCTATTATTGATTTTAAATTAATTCTTTCGCATTATTTTATTCATTTTTTATTTTAGCTTTAGAAGATTTACCTTTTTTCTTTTTCTTTTTCTTTTCTTCTTCTGAATCAGATTCAGTATCGCTGAAAACATTCAATATTTCTTATCTTATTTAAGGAGTATTTAAAAATTGTCTCCAATTTCCATACTATCTTTCCAATAACTTAGCTTAACTTTCTCCTTAAACAAAAACATATGAAGGATAAGGACAATCTACATAGACAGGTTTCAATACGGCAACTTAGACTGGAATTTGAATTTTCTAATGAATCAAACCAACTAATACTTAAACTTTCATCTCAGCATAATTTATTCGATCTGGTGGAGGCATCATTTTTATTAATTAACGATTATAATTTAAATAATAAATAAATAATTTTTAAGTTCTATAATAAAATAATAAGAAATATATATTTTAAATAAATCAAGAGAAATCAATTGTGATCTGATTAGAATTCAATTTTCTATTAGTCTATTTTACATAATAATATTTAATAATTTTATCTCCAAGTTTAAAGGATATTCTTGGAATTTAATTCCATCTATTCTACCTTTTCCTTATAATATAATTCCTTATAATAATGATCTTCTATTTATTATAAATAATTCCTTGTTTGTTAATCAAATAATGATAATTTTGGAATAAAGAGTGAAATACCAGGTTCAATTTTCTTAATTTTTTCCTTATAGCTATTTAAAATGTCATTTTCTTCATTTTCTACTTTTATAATTGAACTTGGTTATTTGAAATCTTGAATTTCCATTTATTCAGGTTGTTAAAGATCAATATTTTTTTTTACTTTTTTTTTTTTTTCTAAATCTAAAGAGCAGAAATCTTATTTGCAAAATTTTTCAAGTTCAAATTAAAATTGTTGCATTTCATCTGACATTTTATGCTTTTATTCCTTAATTTTTTCTAAAAGTGTTTTTAGTTTGTGATAATGAAGCTAATTTACAGCAATAAGAGGTGCATGTTGATTACATAGCTACATTTAGATTAAAATTTGTTTTGATTCACTTATGAAATCTTAACCTTTAGACCATTTCTTTTATTTTACTTATTTATCCTTTTGTTCAGATTCTAATTAAGGTGTATCATTTGTTTCATTTTCTAGAGTAGAATTATGCATAAGAATATCATTGCTTTTTATTTCTTTGTAAAAATTAGCAAAATCGAAGTCTTTATTAGCCCTTTTTTAAAACTCTATCAAAATAGACTGTTAGAATTTATGTTCCACATGTTTTATTTCTTCAATAAAATGTTCTTTTAAATCTTTTCTTATGTTTTCAGGTAATTATGACAAACATTTCCATACTCCTTTATTAGGATATGACTACAAAGTTGCACATCTGCTACTTGATCCTGGTTTAATTGATACGCAAGTAGATAAAAGATGGTATGGTAAATTATTAATGTTGAAATACTTTCTCATGGAATTTAATGCCCATTTCATGAACAATTTTTTTTTTCCTTCACATTCTTCCTATTCTTTAATAGACTAATTTTACATTTTAATATAAATAAATTATTTAATATTCTACATTCGTTAAATTCAAATTTGTAATTCTATCAATTGTATATTTCTATTAATTTTAAAATTTATCTGTTTATATCTTATGTCTTTATTCAATTCCTTAACTTTTTTATCTTAATAAATTCTAATTTACTTATTTTTATATAATTATACAATCTCATATATAATTTTACTTTTTTAATCTATTTTATAGTATAATTCTAATAGCTATAATGATTTTTCAAGAAAATAGTTAAACCATAAAAATTTTAATTTTCTCATCTAAATGTTCTTAAATATAAGTACTATTGATGAGCATGAGTTAAAAGAAATATAATTCAAAAGAAAACACTTTTTAAAATGAACTTCTTATTTGTAATTTGATTCTAAAATTATTTTATAAAGAAATGAGTCTTAATTCTATCAAATAAAATTTTATTTTCCCTCAATACTTTATAACCTTTAAATCATACAAAACATATTAATGATTAGAATTTATTACAATTAATTAGTTTGAAGTATTATTTTGATAAAACTTTTCTATTATGATGATTTTGATGGTATTAACATTTTGATAAAATTTTGACTTTTTTCTCAAATAATTTGGTATTTAATATATATATGTCTCTATCATTATGGTATAGTTTCATTTAATTGGAGAAAATTGATTGGGAAAGAGAAAATTTGATAATGAAAGTATAAATTGAAATTTAATACTTGGTATAAAAAATGAGTTAATGAAGAACTGATTTTATTTTAGATAATATTAAAAATTAAAATAATTATATTGATAATATGGAAGAATATAACTTAATGTTCTTATTTTAATAATAATAATCATAAATTCCATGATTTCTTTAAAATTGCTTCAAATGTTTCATCTTATTATATTGATGATGATACATCCTAAAATAAGATAATAATGAATATTTACTTAATAAAATTCACCAAATTCTTAGAATGAAATAAGTTAATCTGGTTATGATTTATTCCAATTAGATACAAATTCTTGAAATACTTATCTTTCTGTTTTATATCCCTTAAGTACATCAGGATGTTCTTTAACATTAATAGTTCTACCCATAGTCTCTAAAGTAACTTTGGTAGCTCTTGATTCAATTGATGCATATGCTCTTTAAACAAAATAAAGTCTTTTATCACTCATTTTTAACTAAAAATAAGTATATTAATTATTTACTCTAAAAGCATCAAGAAATTCATTGAATTCAATTTTTGAATTATTATTTTTATCAAATGTAGAGAATATCATTTTAGTTTCATCTTCAGATAAAGTGAGTCCAAAATTTCTTAATCCCCATTTAAAATCTTCATATTCTACTGTCCCATCTTAGATTTATATAATAAATTGCATACTTTTATTAATATCCATTTCATAAAAGATTTTAGCTAATCCTCTTAATCCATAAGCTCCTTTACCATTAATTTATTATTTAACTCTTATCATTAAATTTTTAACATTTCTATTATCATCCATAACAGATTCATCAAATTATTCATTTTATTTAGATGCCACTACAAATTTCCATAAATTTTAAGGTCTTGAGAAATAGTGATTATTTGATACTCTTGATTTCTTAATGGAATGTCTATAGTAGTACGACCTTCTTTTTCTGCAATTAAATTTTATGTTTTATTTAAACATTAATAAGAATGAACAAAGACCTCTCTTTCTCTACCAAAATCATTTTAATAGATTATATCATCACTTGCTAACCAATGTTATGTAAATGAATGTTTAACTAATACAACATCATCTATTCTAATTGGTTATCCTTCCATTTCAAATCTTATTTTAGGATCTGAATGTTCTAATTTCCAAACTGTATTAAAAACATCACTTTCTATAGCACAAACTTCTTATTTCCTAGATATTTTAGCACATCTAGTAGGTGTTTATGGAAGTGAATGGAGATAGAAACTTTTATTATTTGAGATTCTTGGGTTTGCAAGAATTCTGAAATGTTGACCATAATGTAAAACATCATCACCAAAGAAATTAGGTTCTTTAGTATATGGTACAACTACAAATACAGATCTTACAGTAGGTTAAGTAGTTTGAGCTGTTGTAACATTATATGCTTCCTCATTTATTTTTAATTTCTCTTAAATGTCAATAGATAAAAAGCCTTATGTTTTGAGATTTTAAAGCATGATATGGAATCCAAAATGAATATATTGGTCTTTAGGAAAAGTAAGTGAAGCCAATCTAAGACTAAAATGAGTTTTTTAATCCTTAACAATGCTTGCCAGTTACCCATTTTATCTATTTTTCAAATAATCTTTTTTCCTAATAAATTCATGAACAAATTCTCACTTGGTTTCATCTAACTCCCATTCTTCAAACCAATTACCGATGCGCGTCTAGAACTTGTATTTATGATCGACGTTGTAATTATGCATTTATATAAATTTAATTATTATCCATTAAAGATTGATATTTAATAATTAATCACTCTTATCCTCCATTTATGAAAGTTCATAACAATATACTAATTAAGTTATTAAAGACTCTTATTAAAATCTTCATATGTATTCATTTTTATTTATGTTCTCCTGTTATTCTGTATTTCATTTTTTTTAATCTTTCCAAGAATAATATTTTTAATAAATTATTTAATCAATAATTATTATTATTTCATCATGTATCTCTCTTCTTTTATTTATTTAATTTTATTATTATTATATTCCTTCATTATATTAATAAATCTGACTAGCTACAAATCTCAATTAACACTTCTATCTTCATAAATTTATTTCATTTTTCATCTCTCTAATTTAATTTTAAATCTTCTCTTTTTTTATTAAAATTTATACAACTTATATACTTTAGGACAGAATTAATATAAATTATCCAATCATTTCATTCTATTTACATTATTAACATAGTTTTCCATTTATTTAATTTATGCTTATATTTTTTAAAAGATAAAAATTATAAAAATAAATTTTCAGAATTCATTAACCGATAATCAATTATCAAATAATCAATACTTTTTTTTATAAAATGAATTTTTTATTATCTTTTTGTTTCTTGATTCTTAAAGATTTACTAAAATCCATTGATAAATTAATAATTATATTCTTCCAAAGCCATTTATTTATAATTCTAAAAATAATCTTTATCAATTAAGTTAGTAAATTATGATCATCATGAATTAAGAAATAAATTATAATATTTAAGATTAATTTAATTCAATATATGAAAGCTTTCGAAACTTTGCGTGATAAAATGATATCAATATTTCAAAATGTGAACCTAAAATCAGCAGCGCTTTCAACACCCATTAAAAATTTCCTAATTATACAACATCAGTTTTTAATGCTTTCATATTTATTCGAATAGAAAAATAATTCATTTTTTTACATTATTGCTATTACAACAAGACCATAATTACTCTTAAATTCTAATAATATGTGTTATGTAATGTTACCAATTCTAATTTTATATCTGCTCAGTATTTTTATTAAAAAAATACCAGGAAGATAGAAGATTTTAGTGATAGGATAGTTATTAAGAGTAAGTGTATATAATTTATTTTTTGAAATTTCAAAAGGAGAATTGTAATTCATTATATAAATCTTGCTAATTATTATCAGTACTATTGATCTTTTATTTATTTTGGGTACATTAAACATTAGATAAATGAACTTCTCTTAAATTTAAATTAACTATTTTTAAATAGCAAACCACATTTTAAATAATTTAATACTGATTTTCAAATAGTATTCTAATAATACTCATCTCCTTATAACTATTTTATGCTTATTTTATTCAATAAATGGATTTCTTAATTAAATTGTTTACTCACCAATAAAATCGACAAAACTTCATCCTTACATCTTATACCCTCATCTTATTGCTATAATTCAATGTGTTCTTTTTTTTACAGATATCTAATTATAGGAATTTCCAAGTCTGATTTTATGTATGCTTATACTTAAACTTACATAAATTTCAAGTTCAAATTAATTGAAATTTCCAATATAGAATCTAGATACATTATTATTAATTATAGGAGATGGTTATGTAACATAAGAACATATAAAAATTATAAGAGATAAAAAATTAATATAAAAAGAGTAAGATAAGATACTTTATGCAACTATTAGAATAAAATAAAAACATTATTATGAAGCATTATGTCTATTATACAATTAAAAAAGTTCAAATTGGCTTAATCAAATAAAAAAAACTATAATTATTGATGAATGTCTATAACAATTAGAGTTTAAGATAAAGACATCATCAAAATTTGATTAAAGTGTTGCTTTGGCTGTTGAATAATTGATGAAAAGTGAAGATAGAAATTTTATCATTTAAGAAAAAATAATAGAAATAATTAAATAAAAATAAGATATTTAAAAATCTATTACTGAAAAGGATTTAAAAATATATAAGAAACTTATGAATTTTGTAAATAAAGTACAAGAAGTAAAAAGGAAACTTGAAAAATAATATTCGTAATTTCCAAATTAAAAAACTTAGGCAATCCTATGTTTTTTATATGCTGAAATTTTAAATGATTATATATCAGCATGCAAGCTTTCTGTTAGTGCATCAAAATAAGAATTAATTAAATTTCAAAATCATTAAGCGATATTCAATATGTTCAATTCGAAAATGATATATTTTATAACAGATTTTGATTAACAAAGATTGATAATTAAAAGAATGTCTAGCAATACATCTTAATTGTTAAATCTTAGATATGATTAATTAATCAATAAAGAAATAGATTTATTATTACCATTAGGAATTAGAGAACATCATAATGAAATGATAATGAATTTTTTAGAAGAGGGGATATCTAAATATATGAGAAAAGTAGATTTAAAATATTTTAAATCCCATTAATCATCCTATTTAATAACAGCAGATTTTACATTAGATATTAGTTTCACTAAATCTTCTTTAAAATTTGTAACATTCTTATAACCAGTCCTTAATTAACCAATGATTATTGTACTTAATTAAAATAAAATAATCACAGAATTCAGTGAAAATTTTATTGAAACTTTAAATGAAAAACCTGAAAATATATTAAATAAGCATATGAATTAATTTTTACCATCAATTGATACTATAGAATGTAGTCAAGTTCTAGAAAATGTTGAAATGATATCTCAATAAAGTAGTTATAGTACTATGAAATCATATTCTATTATTACAACTGTCAGTGTTAAAATAAAAGAACTAAAAGGTAGAATTATTTATTACTTATTAACCTTTCAATTTATTAAAAAAATGAATCAAAATTATACTTATAATTAGATGATTTAGAGTTTCTCTAATGGCGTTTTAAGCTAAGATAAAACAGATCCAAAAACTACTGAAATAAAAATCAAAGTTGAAGATGATAGATTATCTGAAATATTTAAAGAAGAAGTTAATGTATTTAAACCTTATGTTATGGATGAATAAAATTAAAAACATTAAGTAAATTCTACTTTTTTTTAATTTTAATAATTTTCTAATAATTATCTTTCTATTACATAAGATAAATAAAAAAGAAATCTTTAACCTACTTAAACTTTACAAACTAAAAGTTAAAATAATTCTACTTTGATTAGTCCAAATAATAGTTAATATTATGATCAATTACTATCTCAACAATAATAGTATTATTGTAGAAATTCTTAAAAATAACTTTCATATGTAAAAGAGGAATGTAGTATAGACATGGTTAAAGAAATATTAGCTATTAATGATAGCAATTAAGAAGAAGATTGTAAGAGATCTTAGGTATCCTCTGTTTAAAATTTAAAATAATCCTAAAATTTTAAGAAATATGAAATTTTTAATAATGTCAATAAAAAGTAATGCCATTAAGGATCATGTTTATTCTTAAAAATAGCATTAATATCACTGATTGCTCACTCAATTATTATTTTTATTGTAAAATATATTTAAATTATAGATAATCTAAAGTCTGTATAGTAGTTTACATTAGTTAGTAAAAGATATTGAATTACTATAAGTTAAAAACCAGGCTTTTTAACCTTTGGAAACATTTTGGGTAAATAGATGGATTATTTTCAATTATATGAAAATGAAGCAGAAATTACTATTAAATGAGGATGAATATAATCAATTATTAGTATTTCCAGAATATACGATACCATTATAATTTTAGAGATTGCAAAATAATTTGAATGAAATTGTAAATAAAAAAGAGTTATCAATCTTTATGTCATCAATCAATATTACTGTATTGTAATATATTGATTCTGATGAAGGAGAAATTTATGAAATTCCAATAAGGAGTTGTATTAATATTTTATTAGATTTTCAATATACATTAAAATAATTTTATGTTGAAAAAAAATTACCAGAAACTGATAGTACTTATATCTTTTATTGTTATAAGAATTCATTCAATATTAAGTAAGAATTTCAAATTTTAAATGATGATATATATGAACAATCTCAGATAAATTCAATATATATTCTAACTTAATAAAGAGTATTATATTTAATATAATCAATATTAATAATTACAAATCTTATTGTTCTTATTATTTTAATAAAAATTGTAGAAAAATAGCATTTAAAATATTTAAGATTATTGTTTTCATGTCCAAAAGAGACTTATTTTTTAGATATTCATAATTATTAATAATTAACCAAATTTATACTAAAAGATAGTGATAATTTATTCAAGTATTAGTTTTCAGTTCATGAAAAAGAAAAACATTTGAATAATTCTAATTATACATTAACAAAATCAAAAGATCAAATGCAAATTAAAAAAAATAATAAAGATCTAAAAATATAAGTAAGAGACTTATCTGTAAGGATATTTTCATATCTAATAGTATTTCTAATGTTAATATAAGGTACATATGTATATTGGATGATGTCAGAATATATTATATCATATCAACCAACAGCATAATTTTATAGAAAGCTTTCTGATGTTGGCACTGATATACCTACAATATATTCACACATTAGTGTATTGTATGGAATTTCTAATTTTACATTTCTTAATTATACTGACAAATAAAAATTCATTTATGAAATTGAAGATTCTCTAAATAGATTAGAAAATTTCATTAATATTCAAAATGATTAAGAAAAGTATATATTGTTATTAAATTAGTATTTTATCTTCAAATTTCATGGATAAATACAATTTTCTTCAAACTGCTAATCTTTGCGAATATATTAATGATGAAATATATGATAATCCTCCTTAAATTTGTAATCAATCCCTCAATTAAAATTTATAAAGAGGAATATCTTCTGCTCTAATTTACATTTTAAATTCAATAAAGACAGAAAGGGATCTAAATTAATTTAATGAAAAAATAGGTTATGATAAATATGAATTAGAAGGAGCTTTATTATTTTCAGAATTCATTGAAAACCTGAATGGTGAATTCTATGAAGACTTAAAAAATGTTACAATATTATAATTAAACTAATTAATTGTATTTTTATTTGATATTTTATATAGTTTACAGTAATTGGTATATTCTGTGTACTTATTTTTATGATGTTTTTTACAGTAACTGTTGGAAAATTGTATTTGACAAAAAAAAATGATGCAATAAGTTAGTCAATATTTATGATTCCTTTTTCAGTCATCTTTTTCGATGATTATTATGAATTAAAATTAAAGAACATTTAATAAAAAGGTCTATAGAGTAAATAAATTATATTATGATATTCAATCTTTTATATTTATATTATATTCATCTATTTCTTCAAAAAGAAACATCAATAATATTATAAAAAAATATGTGTTATACTTTGTTTATAAATTTTCATTTTTAAATTATTGAATATGTTCACCAAATTCTGTTAATGAAATTAATATTAAATAATAATTATTATTTCTATATATCTAGACTTAATTGAATCTGCTCTCTAAAGATTTTAATAAAAATATAAATGAAAATATCAAAACTGATTTTTATATAAGCAGGGAGTGGTATTTCTAAAGAAATTTCAATTATATATTTAATTAATAATAGTAAAATTGTTTATTTATGTATTTTCATTAATTTAGTTCCTCTCAATCTCAACGTTATAAAATAAATGAATTGATATAACACTATTACGTAATGTTACAAATAAATTTAAAAAGTGTTATCTGTGTTATGTTAAATCCAATTATTAATTGACCAATTATTATATATTATCATTAATGAATGAAAAATTACAGAGATGGCTAAATTATTGTATAGAATTGTATTTGAAAAACGAAGAATAGCAGATTGTTTTTCCAAGCATTTTAATATTGATTTTAAGATTTCAATAAGCATTTTAAATATTGAGTTATATATATGGCTAGAATGCACACTCTTATTTAACTTTGATAATGATGTTTGCTAGGCCATAAATTTATTTGCCAGGTACTGATATAGCATAGTATGTAATTTTAATTATTTGCCTTCTTTACCTTCTTAATATTGCATCACTAATTTCTGGCTTAAAATACATAAAAATATATGGATAACTCTTAAGATGTGGTTTGTTGAATTTTTTCTTTGAATATTCAACAGGAACAATTCAAACATTTACACATTCATTATTATTACTAATTTCCATTACTGAAACTTTTATACTATAGGGTACTTTAAATGCATAAACTATAAACTTTCAACATACAAGATTTACAATTTTGGATCTAATTATCTAAACTTTAAACTATACTATTATGATTTTTTATTCTTATGAATTATCAAATTAATCAATTATTTTTTTAGCTTTTTCTATTAATTTACTCAGAGCTATCAATCAACTATATTTTTCACCTTTAAAGAATTTAATTACAAAATGTATGCTTTTAACAATATATATTTATAATATATACTAAGGATTTCTATGGATGTTTTCTCTTTAAAAAAATTTCATTTCAGAACTTGTATTAATACCTCTAATTTATAATGTAATATACATTACTTACTTGAAGATATTTAAATTAAGTATTTTATTAAAAAAAAATAAGACTTGTGATATGATTTCTATACTGGTTTTTTTAGATAATATTAAAGACTTGAAAGATTTTAAAATAGAAAAACCTAATAATCCAAAAGATAAAATTATATTTTGTTCTTTGTTAATGTTATAAGGTTAAAATTATGAAGCTTTTCGTGAATTAATAGCTATTCATGATTAAGATCTTAATATTTTAGAAAGATTTAAAAAAAAAGTTATTAAGAAATAATGTATAAATAAAATAGACATAAACATACAAATATAATCAGATATGCAACATAGATTAACATTAACTGTTGCTGCTTTAATAACAAGTGAATAATAAAATTCTATAATTTATGACTAAATAATTTTAATTCTTAAAGAAAAAATTAGAATTTTGTAATTATTAGCATAAAATTAATCATACAATCATTATTCATAATATTTCAATTTCACAAAATAACTTTTAGATCTTAAAAGAAGATTAGAACAATAGTATAAAAATTATGCATGTGCCAAAACTTAATGTATTTTGGGTTTTTTTTATGTTTTGGTATTAAATGACTATTTGGCAGCAAATTCACTTTTTAGTGTAATGTCAATATCAGAAGAAAAAATTAAAAGAATCAATATGAATCAAGATGTTTTTTCAAACAAAATGATATTCATAATAACTACCTTTAAAGAAAATTTAATCATAAAAAAATTATCCAGTGATGCTCCTAAATTTTTTGATAAATCTATTGAATTCTTATAAGGTAAAAGTGCAAATATACTTATACCACCTGGAATATCAGAATATCATGATCAGTTTATCCTTGAGTTTTTATAAACTGGATAAGCTAAATATATGAGAGTGATAAATTCTAACTATTATTATTGTTCCGAATAGAATTATATGACGAATATTGAATTTGCATTTGATGTTAATTTATAAAACGATTTTAGTTTTATATCTTTTATTTAACCTATTATAAATCAGCCTATGTCTTTAATTATAAATAATGACCATATCATAACATGTATTAGTGAAGGACTTATAGAATATTTAGAATTTAAATTTTAAATTTCTAAACATCTTGGTAATAAAATATAACAAATTTTACCAGAGTTTTAAATACCAAATTAGAATTATTAGGTTATTGAAAATGCAGAAGCAATTTTTTTAAAATTTGAAGAGAATACCTTTATATCATAATAAATGTAAGAATCTTATATAACAACTTACAGTATTTATTATAAGAAATTAAAAGATCATGTAATTTATTATATAATAACATTTGAATATTTTAAAAAGAATTTAGGATAAACTTCAATGGTTAATTCTAGAATGAGTCCTATAAATTCATTTAGAAAAGAGGAAGTCATATAATCATCCTTCAATCTGATTAATTAGGAAAGTTTTGTTAAAATCCCATATAATGAGTACAATAGCCAATAAAAAATTTAAAATTAATTGAATGGTCTAAATATATTTAAAATTTAAGTCGAAGAAGGTTCTGAAATTCCTATTATTAATAATGAATTAAAATTAATATCATAATCAGAAAATCTAAATTTAATTAGTCCAAATAGCAAAGTAGAAATGTTAGTATCTGAACAAGGGAGAACTTCAAAATAAAAATTTAAAAAATAAAATGTTAGAATTTCTATAGCTGAAGAATAATAATCAAGTTAAGAAAGAATTGTAGCTTATTAGGATGATCGTTCATCATAAGTTTCAAGTTTATTAGGAGTTAGAAAATCTAAATTTTATAGAAAATATGAAATTGTTTAAAAAGTTACTAATTTAGAAAGTTTTTCAAAGAATCACCAAATCTTAATTTGCCTTTTAGTATTTTGTATTCTAATTTAAATTGCAGTATAAAGTTTAGTAATTATTATGTATAAAATTAGTAATTAGTTGAAATAAATATTAATCTCTCAAATTTAGTATCAGATATTGATTTGCTTTAAATTAAATATTTTGTGTTTTAACCTCTTGAAACGTTTTTATTGACTAGATACACAATTGTAAGCTATAGTTAATAAAGAGATTCAAAAGCAATACCAATAACATAATTTAATGAATTAGTAAAATTTCCAAGATCAAATTTGGTTCTAGGTTATGATTCTTTAGATTAAAATCTTAAATAAGTGATGAATCGCCCTGAATTATAGGACTTTTTAGAAAATACTTATTTAGATATTTATATTTATATTAAGTCTGCAGTTGGAGAAAAATATAACATGTCACTTAGAAATAGTATCAGTATTTTAAAGAATTATTAATACATATCTAAAATGGCATATGTAATTGATGGAGTGGCTTAAGCAGATAGTCCCTATTCATATTATCAATATAAAAATTATCTACCTTTGAAGACTTTATTTTCTGAACTAAATCAAATTGTATAGGAATAAACTATTTAGAGATCACAAAATTTATAAAGACAAATATTAATTAATTTATTAATTTGCAACACTTTGTTAATCTTGTTCTAAATCTAAATTTTTATATTTTATATTAGAATCACTAAAAGATTAAATAGACATTTTTAGTTATTGTACAACATTTCTGGTTAATATATAGATTAAGAATTAATAAGAATGAAAAATCTTGTAGAAAAATTATTTAAAGATTAAAACATACTTTTTAAATATCAATTTAATTTGAGTGACAATGAAAAAATATTAGAATAATATAATGAAAAAATATAAGCAGTTAGAAGAAATAATCAAAAGATAAATTTGATCAATTGCAATGAAATCTATTATTATTTCTTCATGTTTTTAATCATGCTAATTATGGCTGGAAATTCTTTACTCACATTTTTAGAAGGATTTGACTATTTAGATAAATATCCTGAAACTGCTAAATTTTATAGAGCAGTTTCTGATGTCGGAACAGATATTCCAACTATGTATGCATAAAGGGATATATTATATGGAAGAACTAATATAAAATTATACACAGAGGAAGATTGTTAAGATTTGTTGAATGAAATTAAAAATGCTTTGAATAGAACTTCTTCATTTATTGATAGAAGTGCTTAATTTGATAAGTATTGCTATAATAATTTTAAGATATTTAGTTTCTTCTACATTTGAACATTATTATTAGTCTTTATAAATTAACGATTTGTGTAATTTTATTCCAGAAAATTTGAAACAAAAATCTATAACGCTTTGTCCTTTTGTCATGAACTAAAACATGAAGATGGGTCTTAAAGCTGTTTTAGTTTATATAATTAATTTCATAACTACTGAGATGGAAATTAATGCATTTAAAAATAGAACCACTCAAAATAATCTTGAATTAGAAGGAGCCTTTTTAGTTTCTAATATTATTGGATCTATTAATATGTATTTTAATTAAGATTTAATTGAATAAACATAAAAAATCATTGCCAAAATTAATGTATAAATATATATTACTACTTTTAGCTACATAATATTTTTATTTTATCTGTTCTTTGTTTAATTATTATTTTTATACTAACTATATTTAAATAAAAGCTAATTTCAAAATCCTATATTGTTTAAAGATTTGTGTACTTATTACCAGTTTACCATTTATTTTTAGACAGTGTTTTTGAAAGAACCTTAAGGCAATTAGTATAATACAATTGATTTATAAATGGTTTCTTACTGATTTTATCTGAAAATAAAAATTATCTAATTTTATAAACATTTAAATGTATGAAATATTTATTATCAAACTACTATTCCATGGTTTTTCAAGTGATAGTAAAGATTTTGCTTTTTTAAATTGCTTTATTTTTTTGATCTCTAATTTAACTCTCAGGATTACATTGAGCATTTTTAATATTTATCATTTCTTTATTAATTTTTAGAATTAATTCATCTTATAGATTGTATTTCAAAAATATATTTGACCTAAATTATATAATATTTTTTCAAATAGCCAATTTTGAGATTTAAAATCTAGCTTTTAATTGAGTATTAACAAAATCATCATATAACGATCAATAGTATAAAGCGTATGATTAATTTTTAAATTCTTTATAAAGTATTATGGATCTATTTTTAATAATATAGAAATATTGTTTAAAAAAACATGTAATATTTCTATTGAAAAAACTATAAATACAATGAAATGCATATTAAAATTAATGAGAAGAAATTTTACAAGCAGAAGATATTTTTTGAAAATAATAATTTATAGGTGTTGATGAAAGCTTTGTCACTTCTTTGAGTGCACGCACGGCTTTTTCAACCCCTCATAACTGCAGCTACTAGTTTGAAGGGTTTTTTTCACTACTACTAATGCTACTCCCTATAACACTATTCATTGGGATCATATTATTAGAAAGCTTTTCTCACAATTCCCTCACAATTATTATTAGTGTTATTAATTTAAATATTGTTGTTCATCTAATTAAGATTGATATCATTATTATTTAAATCATTGATATTGCTAATATTGCTGATATTAGTCTGGGATTCTAAAATTAAAAAATATAACAAACCTGAATGCAAAGTTAACGAAGAAAAAATACTACTTGAATTAGGTTTAATAATTGGTACAGGTTTAGGCTGCCAATCTTAATTGTCAATTTCTTGATTTATATTACCATCTACCCCATAATATTGGCCTTCATAATATGGATAATATTTAAATAAGTTTTATTATGTCATTTCATTAACGGACTCTTCCTTCCTTAAAATTTCAACCATCTTTCTACTACTTATTGAACTTCTCATCAGTTTACGAATTTTTCGTTTTAACATTCTCTGTTTATTTGCTTTCCTAATAAAAGTAAAATTTTCTAGATTTGTTACTTTAAAATAACAGACTCTTAAACAGTCTAAATGAACATATTGGTAGTATTATAATGTGCTTCAAACATTTAAGCAAACTTCTCTTTTTCTGCTTCCAATTCCTATTATTCTAATTCTTCATCATACTGAGTTTGGATGCTATTTAATGAAGATTAAGAAAATATTGCAGAGTTACTAACTGAAGATGTGGAGAATGACATTTGATTTGATAATTATGATTTTTTTTTTTGTTTTAATTAATATATCCAAATTTATATTAAGAAACTCAAAAATTCTTTTTTAAAATATCAGTATATTCATAAATTATATCAATTTAGGTTATTTCTATATGAAACCTCAATTAAAAGGTCTTCTTGATAATATAAAATTTCCTATTCAACAAGTTATTTTTTAATATAATATAGTTATATTCTAATTTATTGAAATTTTAATTACAATCCAGATTATAAAATTCCATTAACTTCATTTCATTTTCGATAGCAGGCATAAACTTATACTCTCAATTCTCTAGATACACATAATAATATTTTTTAAGAAATTTTGAAGTATTATAACTGATAACAAAATCTTAAAGGAGTTATTAAAATTTCTATTACTTAAATTAAAAATTGAAAATCATTAATAAAATATTGCCAAATATATATAATAAATTATAAGACTCTTTAATTAAATTATTAAGATTATAAACAACTATCCAATATTTCTTTGAAAAAATAGAAATTTTCCTAAAATATATCGAATAAAAATACTAATTAATAAAGGTAACTTGAACCTATGAGGATTTATATTAAGTAATTTCTTAAAAATCATTAATTTGCCATCTATTTTTATCACCCAGACAATATTCATTTATATTTTCAATAAAATAATAAAAAATGATCATAAAATAAAAACTAAAGTATATTTGAATAATTTAAAATAGACTGGTTAGTATTATAATTATACTTATATATAATAATTTATAAAAACAAAATAATTAATATCAAAATTCATGAAAATTAAAATTATTTTCTATGTTTAGTAATTATTTCTAGAGATTAGGTAATTAAATATAATAATCTGATAAGCATTCTTTGACTTTTATTAGTCTCTTGAGGAAAATTTCATAATTTTTTTCAACTAAAATATCCATTCCTAATCTTTCTATAATTAATTCTTGGCATTTTAAATAGAGCTCATTTTGAATTGGAGATTTAAAAATGAATTCAGCTATATTTTCACTGTTTATTTGTAAGAGATCTTTCGTAGTTATATTATTTTTGATGCTATCATTTTATTAAATACTGTAAAACAGTTCCATCAAACTAAATTATTCTTGAGTCTTATACAGAAATTCATCTTAGGTTAGATTTAAATTAAAATTTGTTTATATTACATTGATTTATTTTTATATTCTAGAATATGAAATTTAATAGTGATAACTGGAGTTTTGTTTAAATTCTTGGTTAAACTTATTACAGACAAATCTGCTATTAATTATATCCTTCATAGAACAATATGATAAGGTAATTTTAAAAAACAAATTTCCTAAACTTGATATTTTACTAAGATAATTTTATTTTTATTTTATTTTAATTAGCAAATTTTTTATAAATCTTTACTAGATTGAAGTTTACTAAATTAATTAATCTTTATTATAAGCCTCACAAATTATTTTATAATCTGGACGTGACAAAAAATCAAAAAGATTTTACATATATTTTTTTAAATCATCATATTCTTTACCATTTATAAGTTCTTTTCTTTTATAGTTCTTAGAAATTAAGATCTTTAAAGCTCTTTTATCTTTTTCATATAATCCATACCAATTCAAAGATTAGTATTAAAGAAATTAATACGTACTTGATAAGATATCAAATTTTGAAAAATACGTGTTTCTTTTGCTTACTAAACCTTTACTTGACTCAGATAAATCAATAATAATGGCAAAATAAGATAAAAGTTATTGAGGAATCTTATGAATTTACCCATTTTAAGAAATCAATTTTTTCAAAGATTTTTAAATATTTTTTAATCCTGGAATTTCAGGTTGTTAAAAGTTCATAATATTTAATGATTCTAAATATATAGTTCTTTATATTTTTTTATAAAATATAAATTCTAAATTCGTTTCTATTAAATAATTTGTGAAATAACTTGTTAATCTTAATTATTTGATATCTTATGTAGTTAAAAATAACATAATATTTCTAAATACAATTTGAGAAAGATATCTCTTAAAAAGGTTCTTCTCTTAATAAACTTGTTTTTAATTTTCAATTTTAATTTTGTTTTATGATTATTTTTTATTTTAAGTACTTTATTAATTTTTCTTTGGCAATTTTAAACTTTAAACCTGCTTCACCAAATTTTAAAATAAATCAAATGCTAATTTTATGTCTTTCTATTTTTTTTATTATTTTTCATTTAATTCTGAGAGTTAATGCTAAAAATTTGTAATATCTAAATTCATAATTATTTATATAAATTATTAAAAAATATTCCAATAATTTATAAATAAGGTCGAAATTCTGATTAAATCTATCAATTGGATGTGTAATTTTTTAAAAGTTTAATATGAAAACATTAGTTTATAAAGATTAATTAACACTTCTACTCATTTCATTTTGATTAATGTATTAGTATTTAAATATTTAAATAGTTTTTTTATCATTTTAGTTTGTTTAAAGTGAGTTTTGGTATAATATTTAGAAATCTTGAAGTATACAATTTTGATATATTAAAATCTTTAATAATTTTCAACAAAAAAAGTGAGGAACAGCTTAAAAAAGGAGAAATTTTATGATTTATAAAAAAATTACATAGAATTCTAAAAGAAATTTATAGAATTGGTATTATTAAATATTCAAGTTATTATTTTATGGAATATAAGTCTAGAAGCAAATAATTCTAATCTAAAATATTCACTATAAGATATATATCCTGTTTATTTGCTTGATTTAGTAATATCAATTCAGAAACAATTAATTATTATTACTACAAATCATATGGGGGTGTGCTCATCAAAAAAAAACAACTATCCACTTCAGAGAAGCTAACCTTAAAGAAATATTGAAATCGACTTTGTCAAATTGTTAGAGTATAATCGTAAAAAGGAGGCTAAGGATAATAAGAACAATCAACAACAACAGTCATTCTGTTAGATTTTCTTACAAGAAAACAAAGCTTCTAATCCTCAAACCTTTACCCAAAACTTAGCTCCAACAGCATAGTTAGACTATAAGAAAATATGATTTCTTTTTAGGTTGATCATTGAAATTCTTTGAGTGAATAATATGTTTAATACACTGAAATATTAATAATGTTCCTCTTATTTTCCATTCTCTATTATACTTTCTAATACTCATTAAGTTACATATTTACTGTATTTAATTTGAAAAAAATCCAAATTAATCAAATATTAATATATATATATATATACTCATTAATCTAAATCTAAGAATTTTTTTCAGTCTCTTATCAGATTGATCAGGATTTAAACTTACATAGTGTAATCTCTTAAAACATATTAAGTATTATTTGATCGAGATTTCATTCTTTAAATGAAGTTCTTTTTTACAAATATTTAAAAAGACGATAAATTTTTCTGATACAAATCTAATTTAAATATTCTTTTTTAAACTTAATTGACTTAATTCATTGATTATGTATATAAGGTAGATAGAGAAAAATATAAAGTTCTGTTATTATTTAAAATTTAAGAATTATTAAGGTATATCTGGTTAAAAATAACAAATAAATGTTAGATTTGTTTTCACCCTTTCTTAGTTCTTTAATTAAAATATCCAATACTTTTTCATTATTGATTTTGAATATCATTATCAATAGCAGATATCAAATTAACATTATTTATCAACTTATCATAAATATTAATATTATTACTATTTCTCATACAGTAATTTAGATTTTTTCAAGAGTTTGTCCTCTTTTGCCATCATCAGTTTTTGTACAACATACTCAAAAAGGTACAATCCTCATAGAATCTTATAAACTATTAATCTATATGTTAATTTTAAAAATTGATAAATTATAATAATAGAAAATGAATCTTAAGGTTCACTATTCAACTAAATCATATTAGTTATCTGAATGTAATTTTTAAGTTATTTAATTTATAAAATTTGTTTTATATATATATTGAAAATCTTTATAAGTCTTTTAATTTTTAATTAAATTTTTGATTATTTATAATTAATTCACAGAGGCTTTTCAATTTTTAGTTTTTGTACTATATGAAAGAATCGATATTTTTTAATACAAAAAGTTTATTATCATCATTATAAAGAGTTTTTTGTATGGAGCTGTTAAAAAATCTTCAATAAGTATCACTAAAGATAAATTACAGCATAAAATGATTGTTTGAGTCTTTGAATTAGTTAAAATTTTAGGCTTTTTCATATTAATGTTATAAACATTTAATTGAAATAAATATTATTAAAGTATTAGAATATATGGGTCTAGAATAGGTCTAAATTTATTGATATTTTGAAGTTAAGTAAGAATAAAAGTGGTATATAGCATTCTAAGAATAATAAATGAAAATAGAAATAATAATTGATTAATTTTCTTTACGTATATATTTATCATTAATGTATATATCACCATTCAAGGAAGGGATCATCAGCTGGCTTTAGAGCAGGACTCTAGGTATCAGATTCTGGATAGGATGAGAAATTTGATGTATCATTTGCAGCTCTAAAATGTATAGATTAAAAAAATTACTTAACAACAGGTTTATAAGGAACTGGTAATTTTTTTTGGGTTAATAAATTCCAATCTAGATTTCCAAACCATCTATGATTCTTAATATCAGCAGCTCCTATATTAGAGATAAAATGATAGAATTACCATTTTTTAAGTTCCCATATCTTTTTGATAAATCTGCAACTAATAAATGTTTTACTAAAGATTTAGCATTTCTAAGTTAGAAAATGTAATGTACTTATCAAATGATTTAGGAAATTTAACTTTTCCCTTAAGAATTTTTTAATAAATAGCCATAGGGTCTTCATCAGAGAAAGGATCGATGCCTGCATTCATTTCATAAATTAAAATTCCCAAAGTCCACCAATCAACAGCTTTACCATGTCCCTTATTTAATAAGATTTCTGGAGCCAAATATTCTGGAGTTCCACATAAAGTATAAGTTCTTCCTTCAACAACTTTAGCAAATCCAAAATCTGTTAACTTTAAGTATCCATCATCTGCAATTAATAAATTTTCTGGTTTTAAATCTCTATAGATGATATTTTTGGAATGAAGATATTCAAAAATTGAAGCAACTTATGCAGCATAAAAACTAAAAAAGAAATTTTTATATAATTTTTTACGCTGCATGTTAAGTATCAAGTCTTCCAATACTTCTTAAATAGGTAAACAATTCACCTCCTGAAACAAATTCTAATACTAAATATAAGTATCTTGGATCTTAGCAAAATCCTTCAAAATTGACCTATTCAAATAAAATTAGTCAATTTACAATAAAAGGATGGGATAAGTTGCCTAATATAGTATTTTCATTAATAACATGATCAACTTATTTTAATCTAATGATTTCAGCTTTCTTTAAACTTTTCAAAGCAACATATTTATTGGTTTATTTGTTTCTTGCCAATTTTACTCTTCCAAATGATCCTATACATTTGAATTTCAATTGAATACCTGTTCCAAGTGTTTAAAATACTTCATAATCTGTTAATTTCAACTTCTTTGGTTTTGCCAATCCTGTACTCATTGTTTCTTAAGATTTATGAAATAAATAAAATATATATAAATATTAATCATAATGACATAAGAACTTTATATCAAAATTAAAATAAAAACAACAACTTTCCATAAAATCTTTACTCCGCAAAGAGTATTGAAAAAAACAATTTTAAAATTTCATCCAAGACGGATGTTTAATTCAATATTTAAATAAATATATATAATAAAGTTTTTGAATGTAATTTAGATATATAAATAAAAAACAATTGAGTCTGTAAACATTTATACATACATAATATTTGAACAAATATCAACCATCTCTTTAATCTCCAAAAGTCTCTTATGGTTCTTCTTCTCCACCTTATCTACCTGATTATTATTGTTTTTTTTTAATTCCTGAAACAACATCATCAATTCTTAATAACATACAAGCAGATTCAATAGCAGTTTTAAAAACTTATCTAAATATATATTATATACAAATTAAATTACTTTTTAACTGAAAGTGGTTCCCAAACATTAATTTCATTCATTTTTGCTATTTTACCAGTATTTCCATCTACTCCATAATATAATCCTCCATTTTCACTATGTTTAGCTCTTAATTCTGTTAAAATTCGAACTGTATCAGCACCACAATTAGCTGAAAGAGTTCTTGGGATGATTTCTAAAGCATAAGCAACTATTATATATAAATTGATTAATATATACCTGCTTTATAAGGTAATTATCCTAAACCTTCAACTTTGTTAGCTTTTTCTAATAATTTAGCACTAACTTCCATTTCAACAGCTCCTCCTCCAGGTAAAAGTTTTGGATCTTAATATATATTTTTAGCAACAGCCAAACAATCATGTAAATTTCTTTCCTATATAAATAAATTAAATTTATAATTACCATTTCATTAAGTACATCTTTAGAAGCTCCTCTTAAAATAATAGAACAAGCAGTAGGATTTTAACAATCAACAAAGAATGCAAAATAATCATCTCCTATTTTTTTAACTTCAAATGTTCCACATAAAGTACCAACATCTGTATCTTATAATTCTTCAGGTCTATTTACAATAGTAGCACCTGAAACTCTTGCAATTCTAGTATTATCTGTTTTTCTAACTCTTCTAATAACAGAAACATTTCCTTTAAGTAAGAAATGTTATGCTAAATCTGAAACTCCTTTTTCAGTAATAACAATATCCGGTTTATGTTTTAAAATATCATTACACATCAATGCTACTTCATTTATTTCTTATTAAAGTGCATCTGTCATATCAGATTCTTTAGTCATTTCCATATTAGTCATAGATTCTCCCTTTTTATATTCTAATGTACAATCTAATAAAATAATTCTAGGATTTTTAATTTCCCTTCTCATTCTTGGATGTGTAACATCTTTATTAATCATAACACCTTCAAGTACACAACTTTCTTCTAAAGTTCCTCCAGGAATTTTCTCAACTTTTGCATATCTCTTAATTTCCAAATTTAATTTATTAATATTTCCACCTCTTAAAACAATTCTTGTTGCTTATAATGAAAGATCACTAATTAATGTTCCCCATCTAAATGCAAATTTAGTTCCAATACAAGATTATAATGCTTTCATAACTTCTTCTTTTTTTTCTGTATCAATTTATTATGAAATTTCATCTAATATTTGTATTGAATCTTCTAATGCTTTAAAATAACCATTAACAATTTCCGTTGGATGAATATTCTTTTCTATAAATGGTCTTGCAGCTACCATCATTTCACCTGCTAATATTATAACAGATGTTGTTCCATCTCCTACTTCTTCATCTTAAGCCTTTTTTTATTTTAATAGTCATACTCTTGCCAATTCTATCATACTCTTAGCTGCTGGATGTTAAACATCTATCTCTCTTAAGATTGCATTCCCATCATTTGTCATTACTATTCCACCCATTGGATCTAATAACATTTTTAACATTGAACGAGGACCAAGAGTAGTTAATACTATATCTGATACAGCCTTTGCTGCCTATATATTTCCTAACTATGCTTTTCTTCCTTACTCTCTTTTTGTGTTAGCATTCACAACTATTACTGGAGCTCCTTACATATATTTTTAAATATAAAATTTTTTAATTATTTCTTTTATATTTCATTATTTCAAATAGTATTTTTGTTTTATTATAAATCATAATCAATACAATTTACATCTTTCAAATTATAACAAACCTTAAAAAAATTATAACTTACTTGTAATTTTAAGTAATTATTGATGTTTGTTTGATAGTTAAAATATTATGGATCCAAATAAATATTAAATAAAATAAAGAAAAGAAAAAGAGACTAAAATTATCTATAAAATACTTGATTCTAATTAATATCCTATTGAATATTATTTATATTTTTTAATTAAATAGGAAATTCTTTAAAATATATATTCTTTCTACAACAAAATCAATATTAATAATTAAAAAGTTTTTAAATCATAAAATTTATGCGAATTCTATTTTATTTTATTAGAATAACATCACTTGTCAATTAATTAGATTAATATAATTATATATATGGAAATTCTATACATTAATCATTCATTATATAAAAAATAGTATAAATTATAGAATTGTAATTTATAGAATATTTATTAATTTATTCATTAATGTGTCTTCCAATTAGTTGTTTGAAATGCATAGTGGAAGTAGAGGCAATCATCATATTGATAGTAGGATTGTGTAGTTTTGGTTTTACAATATACTTATAAATTTAATACTCTTCATATAACGAAAATGAAGTAAAATATTTATTTATTTGATATTTAGTAAGGCGACTAGGGAATTGGAACTGTAGCTATATTTTGGATTATTTCAGTAGCAATGATTCTGAATGGTATTATAGGGATTATTGGTGGAAAAAAGAAAAGTTCTTGTCTATTATTTTTATTTAATATGGTTAACATTGTAATACTTCTGGGATTTATTGCTCTCATGATTTTAGGATACGTTTTAGCAAATGAAATTTAAGATTTTAATTAAGAGGAATACTGTGCTGGAGAGCCATCTTTGCAATAGACTTGGCTGCTTGGATAAAATTTGATTTGTTCCTCTAATTGTCCGTGCTACATTAATAACCAATAGACTATCCCACCATTTTATCTACCGTATTCATCTTCAAATAGCTCTGATGTAGATTTATTTTTGATATTTAGGCAACTAAAGTTTAAGATTGCCCTTAATATAAAAGTTGGTCTGATAGTTAGAAAGCCTAGGCTTAGTTTTTTAGAAATATTGAAAAGAATCAAGATTGTTCTGGCTGGTGTTCTCCATTTTCCTTAAAAATTTTTTATGATATTAATAGCAATCTAAATCAAAATGTAAATTTTTATCTAGTTTTAATAGACTTAACAATGTACAATTGAAGCTCAACAATCATTAGTAGATACATGCTAAATTATAGGTGATACTTCTGCTGCATTAACTGGAATAATGGGGTTATTGGTTATTTTTACTTTTTGTTTATGCTGTCATCCAACCAGAAAGGATTAAAAGAGTTATTATGAAAGATTAGCTTATCAGAACGATTGATATTATTATAAATAGAATTATTTGTAATTGGGATATTTATTATGAAATTTTTTATAGATATTTCTTCTTTTTTAAAAAACTAATTCATTAAGTGTTAATAAATTGAGTTTTGTATAAATTTTTTTACAAAATTTGAATCCAAATTGTTGAATTAAATTTGTAAGATCAAAATAGATTGTAAAAATGGTTTGATCAGTAATGGTAAATTTAGTTTATAAATAGATTTTAAGAATTTTAGAAAGAGAATAATTTAAAAAATTTTAAACAAGTTCAATAGAGAGTATTGATTGTTTTAATTAAAATAATATATAGAATACACACAGAAATATTTGAAATTTGATAATAAATCGTTATTTAATATTTGATAATAAATCATGGGACTAATATGTCAGATTATTAGAAGAATAAATTAAATTAAAATATGCATTAAGAATTGATTAAAGAGAAGTGATAATAAATTTTAAATAGTTCTTCTATAATATATTTTTAATTTATTTTTATGTTTTTGGCAATAAATGGTTCTGCTTTTCCAATAAGAAATGAATTTAGATTACCTAAACTGAGAGGATAGAAGGGTAGATATCAAAATTGTTATATTTTATAAAAGGTCTTCGATAATCGAAGTCTCGGTTGCAAGAATAACCAGACTCTCCAGATAGATCAAGTAAATGTTTGACCAAGCCCTGTACTCTACTAAAATATTAAGTACCTGGTTCTATGATTTTGATTGCCAGATCTATGAAGTTTTCAAAAGACTAGTTCACTCATAGACAACGAGAAAAGTAAGAAGTTATTCCTGAAATTTTGGATGGATATAAATATTCATTAGGGTAAGGAAATAATCATGAATTGGTACAGAGAATCATGGATGGAAGAACTGAATGGCATCTATGTAAAGAAAGTAATTCAATGAGTATAAATTTCAGATGGTAATAAACTAATAGAGGATATAAATATGATAGACTGATAGCAAATAGTTAATACAAATAATGTGTAAATCACTTTGAGTAACATTTTGAAATCTCTAATAAATAATATCTATTTAGAAATCTAAGCTAATTATGCGAAGTATTATCTATATTTATAACCTTTAGAATAGCAAATAAAATGTTTTTGATTTTGTTCCTGTAACTTTTGTTTTAGATTTCAATGATGAATCTATAGATTCTTAATTTACATAATTTATAAAATTTTTTGATAAATTTGCTCCTAAAGATAAAAAAGTAGAATAGTTGCCAAAAAAGTTACAAGAGTTTAAAAAAAAATTAAAAGTACTTTGAATTAAATATAAATAATAGATACAGAGTACTCCATAATTGGATAAGAAATTACATCCTATACCTTAGAAGATACCAAAATGTTAAGAAGGAGATCAATATCTTTGGTTACTTAAACCTACATTCTTAAATAGAGGTAGAGGAATTCATGTAGTAAACGATATTGAAGTGATAATTTAATTAATAAGTGAATTATAATTTGGATCTGCTGAAGATTTGGAAGAATAAAAGAAAAAAAATGCAATAAAAGCAAATTCATTTGTAATTTAGAAATATATTGAACATCCATTTCTCATTAACAATAGAAAATTTGATATAAGAGTTTGGGTTTTAGTAACAATGGATATGAATTGTTATTTCTTTAAGGAAGGATATATTAGAACTTCAAGTGAAAATTTTACTACTGATAATGTGCAGAATTAATTTATTCATTTAACTAATAATGCTATTCAAAAATATAGTGATAAATATGGAGAATTTGAAGATGGAAATCAATTATCATTTGATGATTTTTAAAATTATTTAAATGAATAAGGATTTAAGGTTGATTTTTATGGAACTCATGTAACTAAAATGAAATAACTTGTATGGTCATCTTTATAGTCAGTCAAAAGAAAATTGAATCTATAATAAAGAAGATATTGTATGGAAATATTTGGATATGATTTTATTATTGATGATGATTTTAAAACTTGGCTTATAGAAGTTAATACTAATCCATGTATTGAGGAATCAAGCAGCATTCTATAATAGTTGCTTCCAAGAATGCTAGGTAAATTACTTAATCACAATTTTATTGTTAGATGATGCCTTTAAATTGACTATAGATACTATCTTTCCACCTAAATATTAAGATGATGAACCAAGTGATTCTAAATACCCTGTTAAAAAATATCCAAACAATGAAAATCTTTGGTAATTTATTTTATCATTTTTAGGGAACCACTTGGATGTTTAGAATCTCCAAAATAATAGACAAAAGCTAATCTTATGTAGCAATAACAAATACTATATTAGTAAATGTATTACTAAAATTAATAATAATAATTGTAACAACAAATGTAATAATAATATCAGCAATCTAATAGTTAACACCATAATTAGTTGCCATATTATCTACAACCTCTTACACCTTAATCAACATCATAATTTTAATCAATTTGAATATATATCTATATATATTAATAATATATGTTATATAAATATATTAAAATACTTATCATTTTCCTTTTGACTATTATTGGATTAGGATTTAGGCTTCTATTTCAATTTCCAAAAACTATTATTTAGAAGCTATAAAGAAATTTAGTTAGCATGTTTAATTCCTTTATTGAATTATTATACAACATGTTAAATGTTCTTAAAGGAGAACGCGTTCTTGTCATAGATTTTGGAGCATTATATAAAACCATTGGATTATGGAAAGATGAAGAAGAGGAAGATGATAATTCTAACCTCATAACTAAGCATTATTGAATAAATCAATATAATAAATAACCTCACATATTACTATTAAAATAATCTAATCAAAAAGTTATATGATCGTCTTATGTTAAGTTTTGCTTTGAAATAATTACAAATTTTTACCTCATTACCTACACCAAATTATTCATAAGGCTTTTTTTCATTTATTATTCAACTAAATTTCAAATTACAAAATTCTTATTTCAGATTTAATTATCTTTTTGTAGATTATAAATTTAAATAATCAGCATTTATAAATACCACATCTAAATTTGATATGCTAATTCAAAATTATATCTGGCTTTTTTCCATTACAACCTCTAATAATATTCATTACTTCATTGTTAATATTCATTTAGTCTTGTAATATTGAAGTTAAATTAAGTTAATTTCGTAAATTATTTCTGATCTAAAATTATATTCTTTTATTTTAATTTTTTAGTTTTATTTTCAAGACTAAATCTTTAATGTTCAAAGTTTATCTTTAAATATTATTTTCTTTTAAAATTTAGAATCCTGAATAAACTTATTACTAAAATTACCAATTTTAGTTAATAATTATTATCAGCTTTAGGTAACTATTTAATTAAGTGGAGCTTTAATTGTAAAGGTAAAACAATTTGATAAATTGGTTTGAGATAATAAATTTCATTTGCCTTTTTATATTTTTAATTATGCTTTATTTGACTGCTAAGACCTATTGAGTCTCATCTTTTTATTTAATATTTAAAATTATATTAATTTTAAAAATTGCTAAATCCAAGGATGTCACTTAAATGATAAATAGATTTTATTTTCTAATCGTTTAAAATTGTTTATTATCATAATTATTTTATAGAATATCATTAAATTTGCTTGTTGAATACATTTAAACTTTACATTTTGAATATATTATTTTAAGAAAGAAACATGATTATAGAGTTAAAAAACTTTAAAAAAGGGTATATCAATTTTTTTTACTATAATAAAAAAATCAAATTAAAAAATAAAATACATAAAATAAATACCATAATGATTTTTAAATTATTATTTTATCAATTTTATTTAAATAATCAATCATCGCCTGTGTTTTGAAATGTGATAAAATTTATTAAATTGTCTTTAATAGCACCTGGAAATAAATTATGCTTGACTTCATTATTATTCACTGCTGAAAGAACAATTACTGCAATCTTTTAATTTTGATTATTAAATATTAATATACCTTTACTATCATATTTATCATAGCAGTTATTATGACTGTGGAATGCAAAATAGAATCTATTTTAGTATCTAAAATTTTGAATCGGCTCCATGACATATGCCAGTACAAAGCATAGACAAAATCAATAATGAAAGAAAACAACAATAGATAGATTATCCTAGTATGAAACTATGTTAGAATGGAATTTGCACTTTCTAGAATTCCCACAAAAATGCAGCAAATATAAAGAGAGGCAGATTGTAATCAGCTCTTCCAAATGAACTGATGAGCGACGTCATAATTCCAAATATTAGCACTTTCTATACTAACTACCACCTAAATTTCTCATTAAATAATCTACTAGGTTGGTTCAGACATCTTTGATATTTTTATTTATATTTTAAAAATAACTATTAAATATCAATTGCCATATATTCATTAATTAGTAATATTTTATATCTCTTTAAATCTCCATTAAATTTATTGTAAAACAATAAAAAATATCGAATAATAATTATTAAGCAATTTGTAAAAATATGAGTCTAAATTTCTTAATATAAAATTTAATGATTGTGAAGTAAAAAAGAGAAATTTTTCATGTATAGTTAAGAAGAAATTAAAGAGAACAAATTTTTTCAAAAAAAAGAGTCTTAGAAGTACCAAATTAATAATATGTGACTTCAGAATAAGCAATTCTTTTTCTAAAAGGAGCAGTGTCGAATCAAATAAATTTATAGGAGATGTTTTCAGAATTACATCAATTATTACCAAAATATAGTGAATTACACTTGAAAACATTGCCTTATATAATTTAAGGAGTTAGGAAATATTTAGAGGTTAATGAGTAATCTTTACTTTAAATGAATGAAGAAGATCTAGAAATATCTGAATATACAATACTAGAAATACTTTCATATTTAGTTTCATTGACTTATTACATAAAAGTGGAATTTGATTTGGAAAATTTATTAGATATGTTAATAGCAATATTTAAGTCAACTGATGAGTTCAGAATGATTGAAAGATTATGTTAAATATTTTAAAATCTTCTTGTTGACTTTGATTATACTTCATCATATTTACTTAAGTGTGATATTGTAACATAATTGGCAAACAAATTTTTAGATTGTAATATAAGTTATGATTTAAATCGTCTTGCTCCTATGTTTAGAGTATTATAATAATTAGATGAAATTAGTTATAATGAATTCAATTAAATTCATCCATTATTACATAGATTATAAAATGAATTCAAGGTTGATTCCTCAAAATATTGTGAAATTATTGAAGGTTTTTTTGCTTTTTTAGTAAAATGTACAAATTCATCAAACAATTAGAACGAGTCACAAAACTATTAATAGCTTTAGCTATTTAATAAATTATTTGAATTTTAATATGTAAATTGGTCAGTAAGTTTATTGTTTAAGTACAAGAATTAAAAAAATATAGTAACAGTTATATATTAATTTCTTCACAACCTTAGTTTAGAATCTTGTGGAAAGAATTTAATTTCTTAAGGAGTTTTAACAGCAATATTTGAACATTTATCAGATTAGATTGCTTCTTAAAAGCAACTCTATACAATATTAACAAATTTAATAGTAGATGATTTAGAAAGTGTCTTGAAAAGTGGAATTTTTAAAAAAGTTCATTCGCATTTTGAATAAGGATTTCCTAGTGCTGACTATATAAATGAGTTAATGTATAGCATCACTAATTCTTTTTATATAGCTAATGAGAATTAAATAATAGAATTAATATAATTAGGATTAGCAGATTGTTTAGTTTTATATATTAGTTAATAGCCAATGGAGCTTTTAAATATAGAATTATGCAGTGCAATATTTTAAGCAATACATTCAGTTTTTTTAAAGTAACCTCAGAGATCGATACACAGTTTAAAAAATAAACTCAAACAAGATTCTAAATTTCTTGGAAGAAGTAGCTAAATTTATGAAATAAGTAAAAATGATGATTAAGAATATGAAGAAATGTGGAAATATTTGACTTAAATGGATTGATATTTATTAAATTGAATTACTCTTTTATTTTTATAATTATAAATCCTTACAATAAATATAGTTTAAAGTGATACAAATCATGTACTCAAAAGATAGCAAATATTTAATTACAATAAATACAATTTGAAAATAAGTTCAAAATTTAAAATTAATTCTTCAACTTTTTTTAGTTTTTTTTTTTGCCACTATTACTTCCGTTGATTGCTTAGAAAAAAAATGTTATTAAGAACTTGCTTAAGCCTTATCAACTTAACTTCCTGATTTAGTAGATTTTCTTTTGACTTAATCAATTTTAGGTGTGTTCTATATATTTACCCTACTATTTTTATTATTATTATTATTATTGTTATTAGTGATATTATTATTAGTAGTTGTAATATTAGGATTTGAATTATTTGGTATACTAACCTAAGCATTAGATTAATTATTTGATAAAAGATCTTTTGTTTAATTTATACCAGTATTATAGAATAGTTTACTTTTCATACCATCATGTATTTATTTCATATCTTCTCCTAAAGCATCAGCTAATTATTTAGATATTTCACTTATGTTTGCTACAGATTTTTATTCTTATTATTATTATTTAGGTTATGTTTGTTCCAACGATTATTTTGGAATAGTTTTTATCATTTCTAAATTTTCTACTTTATCATTACTCTTTTCTTTAAAATTCTATTCTTATTTTTCACTCAATTCATCAAGTATAGGATCCTAAAAATGTTTTAAAGTAATTTCATTATCATTATTCTCCATCATTTCTAACCATTTATTTTCTGATGATGCATCTTCTGTTTATTTAGATATTTATTTTTTATCATTTGTTTGTTTTTAATTAACTTGATCTTACCCCAATAATTAGATTCTAATTTTTTTTATATCTGTATCAATCTATTCAAACCTTTTGTCTAAATCAGTCTTAAAGACAAATAAATCATCTATCTTTATTCAATTTTATTATTACTTCTTAATCTGCTACCACATAAACAGGCTTTCTTTTGTTCTTATTTTCTTTCAACTCATTAATTTATTATAAAAGAACGGTATTTATATCTTATATTTCATCTATTTTCACTTGCTGAAAAATATTTAAATTATTACATATTCTTCTATTTATTTTTCTATTTCTTTTGAAGCTCCACATCCCATTTTTTATAAAAATAAATCAATTGAAATCAATAAATCAATAAATCAATTTAATATATAAAATCAATTGACAAAATGAGTATTTGTAAATCAAAGCATATTTCCTTAATATTATTATAAATTATTTTTTGATGAATATTATTATCTGTTAAAAGATTAATTATAAACAAAAGTTTTGATTTGATTACTAAATTTTTAAGAAAATATTAAAATATACTCACTAATTATTATTCTTGATAATCTTTAAGATAAATATTTTTAAAAAGTCCAAAAATTTATTTGGCAACTGCATGATTAGTTATTACAATTTATCCAAAATTACTTTTTGTGTTTATTACTAAATTTTTGTTTATGTATCTGCTTACAATACTAGAAATCTGGTCATTTAGTGATAGAAAATTAAATTTTTATTTGATACTTTTAGGCTTTTAAATCATATCATCAAAGAGATTTAATTTTATATGGACTTTTTAAATTTATTCTAACTTTATATCATTTTAATTGTTATCAAATTTTAATATATAAACTGCTTTTTTTATAAACTCTAATTCTATGGATAATCATATAGGCTTGATAATCTACTTTATGAATTAATTGATTCAAATTAACTTACGTGTATAATTAATCAAATTTATCAAGGCAATTTATAAAAATGTAAACAAATTTTATAACAATAATAATTACATAATTACTTTCTTTTTAATTTATTAAATATGACTTCTTTTTAATTTATTAAATATGACATAGAAAATGCCTTGATCTTCTTTTTCGAATTTTAAAGATATGAAACATTTAGTTTAGTATTTAAATTTCCTTTATAATAAATTTTTGTTTAATTAAAATAGTGAAAGTGGATTGGTTTTAGATATTTATAATTTTAGCAAATTAAATAATTATATATATAATGAAAGTAGTTCAAAATCCAACTCAATATTTTTTTGAGTAATCAAATAATCCACCAGGTGAATATTTGCCAAAAATAAATGAATTTCTTAGTAAGTTGTTGAATCAAAAGCAATGTATTTTATGCAAGAATGATTATAATATGAAAGACAGGTTACCAAGAATATTAATTCATTGTGGTCATACAATATGCACCGCATGTCTAACTAACTTCTTTAGGTAGTGAATGAAAATATGTAAAATGATAGAAATCGAAGAGTTAGATGTCCATTGTGTTTAAAATTGATAAAACATCTGGATTCAGTAGATAAATTGCCTGTAAAATAATTGTTAATGTTTTTAGATAAATCACACAATATTTAAAAGAATGTCAGAAGATATAAACAATAAAAGTAAATAACATGGAGGAACAGAAGTTATAGATTCATAATAATATTTATTTTCACAATTTTAATAATCAGCTTTGTAGTAATAGAAAGCAAGATAATAATAATAAAACACATATCCATAGGTTGATCCTGATTCAGGTTTAGAATATTGTGAATTTCATAATGATAGAATAAAACATTTTTTTTGTATGAAACACAAAGTAACTTGTTGTAGAATTTGTTCTGAAATGATACATTAAAAGAAGGTATTTAAATTTTATAATTAGGATTGCATAGTGGTGGATTTATATGAGATTGATGATGTTCCTTAATTTTTGAAGGAGGCTTATTAGTTGAATGAAGAGAATAATGATTAATAATAGAATTAAATGAGAAAAGATTTTGACTTCAGGTAGGATTGTGAATAAAGTAAGATTATAGAATAAAATTAGATGATGGAGAAAACTAGTTTAATGATGATGATTTAGAAGATGAATTTGAAGAGAATAGTATTTAGAGCATTTGAGAATTTTAAAAAATTTATATATATAAATATTAGCTAAACAATGTTATTTATAATTATTAATTATATAAGAAAGATTTGAATTTGTGTGATTGATTATTAATATAAGGAATAAGAAGAATTGTTGTATATTATAAAATTTAATAATATTTAATGGCTCATAAGTTATCTTAAAATTGGGTTTTATGGTATGCTCCTAGAGGTAGAAAGGCAATAGCAGGATCAGATCATTATGATGTGAATTTAAAAGAGATAGGAGAATTTAATACAATAGAGGAATTTTACAGTTATTACTGTTTTTTATAGCGACCAAGTGAAGTAAAAAGATTAGTGATAAATAGATAGAAATCGATAACAAAATAATGATGTTTAGAAAAGGGCATAAACCAATGTGGGAAGAATGTTTAGATGGTGGAACTTGGATTATTCACTTTAAAAAGAGAGAAGGTGAATTACTAAATAAAAAATGGGAAGCACTTCTGTTAGGTAATTAAACTAATCTTATTTAAAGCATGTATTGGAGAAGAGTTTGATGATGATAATGTAATAGGGGTAGTATTATCAATTAGAGAGAGAAGAAATTTATTAGAGATTTGGTTAAAAGATAGGAAAGAAACTGAAAAAATTAGAATAGGAGAAAAGTTGAGACTTGCACTTGAAATGGATCCAAATAATCTCACATTCTTTTTTAAGGAGCACAGTAAGAGTTTAAATGTATTTTTTCACTTATGATTAGGATAAATCAACAATGAAAGGAGCTGAATCATATACTTTTGTTAAAACTCCACTTGAAACACCTCAAGCTGAACCTAAAGTTCATCATCCAGATCTAGATTAATTCAAGCTTTGAAATATTATATACAATATTTATGGCATTACAAATTTTAATATTTAATCAATTTAATAATCCGATTGAACAGGTATATAAGAGTTCAAATTGTACGGAATATTTTATATAATATAAATGCTCTTTTTATATTAAGAATAAATCAAAATTTAGAATATCTAATTTTATATCATGCAAATTCAGTCTGAGTACACATTTAATTTTGATTGGGAGACTGTTGTTAAAGGATTTTGGAGAAAATATCCTTGTAAAGAATTCGATTTTATCAAATTCAATCAAGTCGTCGATATGATGCTTAATGATAATAATACTATGTCTATTAAGAGAATAGTACACTCTATTAAATCTATACTTAGGTCTATGCTCGCAAATTTATGGTTTGGTGCTTGACTTTAGAAGAGATTACTTTTGACATTGAAAATAGGAGTATGCAGATGCAAACAAAATTATTGAAAGCTTGTAAGTATTATCCAAACCTTTCAGGAGATGAATCAATCATTTATAAAGCAATAGACGATTAAAAAACACATTATTCTGTATATAAGCTTAATTTATATAGAAACTATTGTCAAATTTTCATTAAACCTTTGTTACTAAATTGTTGTCTCAATTCAATAGCTCTTTTAAAAAAGGGATTGAGGTTGTCGAAGCTAGATGTAGAGAACTTTAAAACAATTAATGACGATAAATAAATTTTTAACTATTAATCAATTATTTATTGTAATATTTATGATGATCAAGAAAAAACTTTAAATCCCTTAAATAAAGGACTCTGAAATCATAGATAGAAATCAATCAAAAAAACAAATGAGAACTATTCCTTATTCTCATAGTCAATCAATTTAGGAAGAGGAAGAGCATTCCTCTTTATCATAGATTAATACTCATGGACATTCTAAACCTGCTTTCCTAATGACTTTTCCTCAATAACCAAGAGACTTTTAAGCAAGTGAAGACTTAAGAGCACCTACTATTATTACTAATATGATTTCCAATAAGAGCTAAGAATAACTTGCAATTAAACCAGATTGCAGAAAATAGTATCAGCATCACTTTTTAGATGAAAGTTCTTAATTTTCTTCTCAAATAAATTCAGTATTTTTAATTTAATTCTTATTCTAGAGGCGCTCTGTTTTGGAAAATAAAAAATGTATGTAGATCAGTTAGGATAAGGTAAAATTAATAGTTAATCACATGAAAATTAAATTTTTGAATTTAATTCATTATTCTAAATATAATGATCCTATCCTTACTCAAGAATTTTAGGAACGTAATATCAATTTTTATAATCTATTTTAGTTTCACCACTTAAGTACCACTATTTTACTTTGTACATATTTCTATCCACTACCTTATCAAATATACTCTCATGCATTTTTATTCCAATTTGTTAATTTTTTGATGTCTCTTAAATTTCTTATATCATTTCATAAATGACATTTGGATTTGCATCATTAACAACATGTTAGGATTTGTTTTTTTAAAGGGGCCCTTATAAAATGTAAAGGGGAGTTATAAAAGTTAATTATAAGGATTAATCAAAAAGATTGCTTGATTCCTTAAGACTTTGCTTATTAACTATAAGTACACTTTTTGAAATAGATGACAGAGGAAAATTAGTAGCAGTAATATTTATGATGCTTTTCTAATTCTTTAGATAAATTGAAAACTTTGAAAATATCTATAAATCCACTCATCATTTTATTTTTGTTTTTTAACTTTGGATTTCAATCATAATTTCATTTGCTTGCATTTATTAAGGTATATTAATAAAATAATAAGAGTTTCTCATTGTGAAGAAGATCCAAGCCTCTAATTTTGTATTACTTTTGCAATTTCTCTATTGACTCACTGTTCTAATGTTTGTAAAATCTATTCATCATTATTTTAGCAATTGAAGTTACCAATGAAAATTCGTTATTGATTTCTATATATATGATCATCTCATATCTTTGTCTGGCATATACAACTATAATGATATTTATTTGGATAAAGCCAGAATTAGAAATAGAAGAGGAGAAATAAAAGTTATTAAAAGGATTTGTTGAAAGATTTAGAGAGAAATGTGAGAATGATGGACTTTTAAGAAGATGCTACTCTTATTTGGAATTTAGAATTGATGTAACTATAAATTAGAGTATATTTAAGGAAGACTTAAACAAAGCCAAAGATTAGTTGACAAAAAAGTTGAGTCCTGAATTAGAAGATGAGATAGATTTATCTTTAAGATCAACAATGATTGATAAGATTGAATTGATGAATAGGTTTTCTCCTTAATTCAAATAATAATTACTTTATGAAATTGAATAAGTGACATTTAATCCTGAAGACAATATAATAATTGTACTAATAATAAGTATATTAAGGAACATTAAGTAGAAGATTTAGGATTATTTTATATATTAAAAGGATAAGTAAAGGTATAATTTTAAGGTTCATCTTTTGGTACAAATAAAAGAGCAGTAACAACTTTATGTGAAGGATAAACTTTTGGATAATATTCATTTATAACAGGCATTCCTTCCAATATTAGTATATTCAGTTCTGGTGTTACAACTTTAATGAAAATTAGGAGATCTGATTTTACTTCAATCATATCAAATTATCCTAGAGATAATGAAATATTTTGTACAATGAAAGATAATGCATTTTATAATTCAAAGTTATTTGAATGTTATTATTGTAAAATCAGAGGACATTACATAGTAGAATGTAGACATTTATAATATTTTCCTTAAAGAATAAATGCAATTGAAAAACATTTATACACAGAAAAATAACAAAGAAAAACATTTTCAAGAAGATTAAGAAAATATTTTGCTTGGCAAGATATGAATTTGAATTAGGATAAAGCTAGACAATATGTTAATAAATAAAGTTAAGAATAGGTTTCAGATGATTTACTAGAACCTTCTTAATTGCCTTATTCTGAGAGTAAGCTTTTCAAATAAATTAGATTAAACACATTAATCAATGAGTTTTGTTAGTTAGAAAAATTACAGCCCTGATTAATATCAATCAGCTAGCAATGTAAATGTTGAAAGTTTAGATTAATTTAATATTGAATAAGAATATTAAGATGAATAAACGATACCAATATAAGAACCATTAATTAAAAGTATTAGAAAGAATTCGAATAAAACTACTTTGAAAACAGCAGGGTTTCCAATTAATTTTGATCCTAATAATATAACAAATTTTGGAAATAATTTATCATAAATAGAAAAAGATGATAGAGATATTTTAAGTTAATTATAAGAGGCTTAAAATAATAAAGATAAAACTATACTTTACCCAACAAGTCGTAATAATTCTTAAAACAAGTTAACGTTTCAATATTATAAAGAGGCATCTTCTGGAATTTTATTAAAAGAAGATCAAATCAAAACTGACTCGTATTAATAATAATAATAAATATAATAATCGTAACAACAATTATCTCATAATACTCTTAAACAATCAATTAGACAACCTTCGAATAGGTCATACACATATTCAAATTCATTGTCAAAAGATATCTCTAATAATGCTTCATCCAATTCTAAATTTAAAAAATCTTAAAATATATCAATTTTATCTAGTTAAAATAGACATATTGAGTAAACAGGCCTTAAGAAAATGAATAGTTCTAAATCACTTAGTGAATAAAATAGAATAAACAATAATAAAAGCCTAAAATCATGTACTAAATAGAGTACTCCAAATCAAATGTCCTAGTTCTAAGCATTAACATCTCCAGAGGTAGTATTAATTCTTAAAATAGAATCAAGGATATTTCATAAATGATGTGTTATTCAATAAATTCGAAAAAATGTAAGAGTATAAAATTTACTATCCTCATAATAATTATAATTAAGTTATTGATCGCTATGTCAAATTTTTAAATACAATTAGAAAAAATGACTTTAAAAGGAAAAAGTTAAATAACAGTACTCCTTATTCGATAAAATGCTTTGTTGCATCTAAAATTAAAAGAGTAAAAAAGCTATTATAAAACTGACTAATTATTTAATATAAATAATTATTAATTCAATTCGAGGAGGTTAGTTCTGATAAATGTTTTAGACTCTGATGATTTTTTTTGTATAGTTCTCTAAGATATTAACAGTATCCATTGCAGCTACTACTTTCATTGCAAATAGTTTAAGTTTATGTTTAAAATGATTATGTGAATGGTTTATTATAACACTCATTTTTTATTTAACTTCTAGATATTTTGAATCGATCATCTCTATTCGTAAAACAATTAAATTAGTTTTCTCCATAATACTTATAAGCTACTTTATCTTTAGTAGGTATATTTTTAATGAAAAATGTCTTAAGATATTTTGCTTTCAAATCTTCTACCTATCTCTTCTTTTTAGCATCTATAGCAGTTCTAAAATTGAATTGAGTTTAAAAGCTATCCAAAAGTTCTCTAACAGCAGCATCCTAAGCAGGTGATTACTGTGGCAAATTATTATTTATAATATGATCTTTTACTGCTTATTTAGATTTTGCTAAAATATTTATTTAAATGTATTTATTTTTTCTAGTAGAATTCATTAATGTAAGTGGATCTTTAGGGATCTTTTCAAAGAAGGTTGGTGGTTATCTCTTTAATTTATCAAATTTTTATTTTTTCTCATCTGATTTATTTTCTTATAATTATAATCCCTCTGCTGTTGATAAGTCTGTTCTTATTACATTATCATTACTTTATGTTTATACTCTTTAATTTAATAATCTAATATTCACATTTATTTTACTTCAACTTCGTCTTTTCTTATAATACATCATTATTTTGCTATTAGATCATCAATTCTCTTTAAGAGCTTTATCTTTATAAGCCTTTTGAGATATTTCCAAATTCCACTTTTTTCATTATTGCTGGACACCTTTAAGTCAACATGATGATAATAATTAAAAATTGGAAGATTATAAATATTAAATTAATTTAATCATATTACTGATGGCAAATATATTAAGAAATCTTTTATAATCAATAATCTTTAGGTTGATTTTATAAAGGCTAACATAGTCTAATATTTTAATTGCTTAATCTTTATTGTTAATTCATGCAACTATTATTTTAAATCCCAATTCTCTTCTAAAGCACTTTTAAGTGTCTAAATAACTAATTATTTAGTATATTCACTTCAAAAGGCATTAAAATGAAGTTTTATTAGAACAACTCTTTTCTTATATTTTTTATTTGCTAATGTAATTACATTTTCTCATTTAATTGAATTATGTATTGCTATAAATTTTCTTAATGGGGAATACATTATTTTTTATATGATATTGATTAGGTTCATTGTTCGTTTTCTTCCTTTCTAATTCAATTTTTTTTTTCAACATCTTAAGATTCTAAAACTATATATTTTTAGTTAATTCTTTAATATTTTATCGATTTTCTCTTTTGACTTCAACTAAAACTCTCTCTTAATTTCTTAGATTAAGACTTCATCAATTCAAATCCCTAATGAGATTAGAAATCCATTCTATTTTTTGACTAATGTGATGTCATAAATGATTTTATTCCTTCAATGCTTAATCTCACAAAGATCATCGAATTCTTTATTTAAATTGTCTTTCGTAACTAGAAATATCAAAATAACTCACACACCTTTCATTTTCAATTTAGAATATTAAATTAATAATTAAATTAACCTTTTATATCGAAATAATCTTAAACGAAATAGGGAGCAATAAAAGATAAAATCTTTGATATTTAAGGAGTTAAATTATTAGGAATTTTATTTTGTTATTTTATTTTTTATTATTATTAGAATAATAGATAGACATTAATGTTTCATAAAATTATTGAAAAATAATATTTTTAGTCCTTTTAATTACATGAGAGATAAGATTATTTTCAATTTATTGCATTTTTGTGATAAATTACAAATATAAGTAATTTGTAATGTAGATATAATTTAAAAATAGTTAATTTTTTGGATGACTTAGAATACTTTAAGAATAGAACAGACTTCTGAGTTGCAAAACCTTTTGATTATTTAATAGGTATAGATAAGGAAATTTAATATTTAGTTTTTTGATAGTTAATATATTTTCATATACCTTTAGATTAACAATTTGATCTTTTTCTAATTTCTACAGTTTTATCAAACAAGAGTTCTAGCTAAATATGTTAGGAGTGTTTTTTTTTTGATTTTTTCATCAAGTCTATTTCTGAGGCTTTGAAAATCTATTCATCTGGTGACAAAGCGACAAAATTTGTATTGAACCAAATTTGTAAGATTTTGAATTCTGATACAATAGATTTTTAGAATATTTATAATAGAACATCTCCATAAAGATAGATCCCAGAAAAAGCAAAGATAACTTCTTTATCTGTAATGATCTATGCTTTTTAAATCAATTGTTTGCTATTGTTTTACAATCGAATCAATGTTCCCTGAGATAAGCCAATTAATCTTAAGGAGAGTAACTCAACTTAAAGAAATGGTTTTTTGATTAAATCATTTTTAAGAGCAAAACTAAAATAATGTACATATCTAATTTAGCTTGGAATAGTGACACCTTTTTAATTTAAAGTACGAACTAATCCGTAATAAGCTAAAGCATCTTAGCTTGAATTATACTTACCACTATATAACAAATAACAACAAATCATTACTCCTGTTCTCCCTTTACCTGCTTTACAATGAACTGCAATAATATGATTAGGATTAGATTATAACCAATCATGAACAGTTATGCAAAATTCTACTATCAAATTAAAAGGAGGTGCCTAATGATCATCAAATGGAAATTCAGCCACTTTAAAGAAAGATTCATGTTTATACTTTCTTTCTGAACATCTAGGTAGCAATCTAAATTTACAAATTTATGACCATATAATTATTCATATGTCGTGTATTTAAGAATTTTTATACTTCTGACATGGAATTCCTATATATTGCTTCAAAACTCTCTGCAGGAAAACCCATCGCAATCATATTATCCGTTATATCTCGATAAGTATTATTAACTTACAAGTTAAATCCAAATTAAAACCATCCAATTTAAATCTTTTCTTTGATTTAGATACAAGTTCCTTAATAAACTCTCTCTAAAATGCACACTTTACATTCTTCATTATCTTTTATGTAATTTCATCAGCATGATTTTACAATTCTGCTATTCCATTTATTCTTTTATCAATATGCCTGTTAAAACACATTTCTATTGGCAATTCAATTATTGATAAATCTTCATCACATTAATTAATTGATTATTGTTCAAATTCTTCAACTTTCTAATTTTTTTATGGACTTACTAAATATTCATCTTCATCACTCGATATTTGATTCAACGACGTTGTGTCTTCTATATTTAACATTGAAATCATTAATTAAAATATTCTTTTCTATAATAATTAATAAATTTTATTACTATTGTGTATAATTATTAGATTTTATATCCAAATATAACACTTCATCTTTTCCTTTTATTAAAAAATGAATTTAATTTTTAAATGTTTTTTTGATTAATTTTTATTCCTTCCTTATACTTCCCTTTACATCAATATAAAAAATATCAATCCAATATTAATTAGAAATATTATCAGAATTTAATGGGAAATGAATCGTTGTCAGATTTTAAGCAAAATTTTACGATTTCAATTACTTAATTAAATATATTATACAATTTTATTCTTTATGCATCAAAAATAAAACGCTATTTAACATTCTAAATCCCAATAATAATAGTAAATAAAATCAAACATAAACAAAAAAAATATTGATTAAAAAAATGAAAAATCATCACTATTATAAATCAAAACACTCTAACAGGAAAAACCTTCAAATTATAAAATTTATTACCTTAAATATTTTACAAAACCTGTGATGTATAATATAGCCATTTTTCTAAATTTCAAAGAAATTTCCGTTATGAGAAGAGTAAATGTCTAATTTAATTAAACATTTATTTCATGTTTACCAATCTTTAAGTAGTTTTATAATTAACAACACAATATATAAACTGATTTGCTTAAATCTAACATGTTTTATAATCATGTACCCCAATTATTAGAAGTTGATTATGAAGAATTTAGATCTGGATTTTAAAATGAATTTTTATATACCTGCCCTGATATTATCAATAAATTTTACTTATAATGTATAGAATTAATGGTGAAAGTACTTCTATCAGACTTACCTAAGTGGAAATTTGCTAAGTACACTTATGAAATGAAAGCTAAACTTATAGATGAAAAATTAAAAATGAAAGAAAAAATTATAAATTTTTATGATCTTACAGATAAATAAGTCGAAATCATTAAAAATGAAGCTCATACTTTCAATTTCTAATTTAATAGAATCAAATGCTTATTCTGCCCTCTTTCAAATTTTGTATAAAACTTATTTATTATCACTGAATCAGCAAATTACAAAGAACTTAAAAAACTAAAATAAATTGAACATCGTATCAATCAGATACAAAATTTCCTAAATACATATTTTAGGAATTAATGATTTTATTATTTATAATTCTAATAAAATTCTATTTACGATTTGATTAGACTTAATAAGATAATAAATATTAGGAATACTTCCAATTTAAATTTTTTAAATATAAAATATTTTTCATTATTTTATTAAGTATTAAAACTATCTTTTAATGCAAATATATTTAAAAAGAAAAATTTTTATTTTCTTAATTCATAATTTTAGACTTCATTGGCTTTTCCCTTTGCCTTTTAAGTTTATAAACTTTCAAATAATTTGTGATATCATACTACTATCTAGAATAACAATTGTATCTTAAATTATTCAAGAATATTTTCATATTTTTTAAACCTTAAGTTGAATTTATTATCCTATCTTACATTCCATAAATCGATAGATTTACTACCAGATGCTAAAGTAGTTTAATCAGTAACGAACACACTCAACAAAAATTTCCAATATTAAATTATAATTTTTATTATCCAGCATCCCATAAACTTATAGACTTATTTCTCGAGCATATGTTAATAATAAATACATTATTATGTAGAAGTACATTTTGATATATCTTCAAATCCTTAGATATAACTTTATTGAGATTGTTTTTAATTTTATTTAATAAAAGTCTCTCTGGTTTTAAATTTAGTTAGACTTCTAAATTTTCTTAAAGTTTAAAAATCAATCACCTATAAGTTGATATTTTTTTTAAATAAAACTTAAAATTTATTTATATATTGTTA